CGTAGAAGCATGGGGTCAAGTGCAATGTGACCCTTGACTTATGAACTTAAATAATTGTTCAAGGTCAAAGGTCAAGGTCATTCAATTTTTTTTTTGAAATTTCATTTTTCCATCTCTCAAGCCATTTCTTGTTTCTTTTGTATAAAAATAAAAAAATAGAGAGTTAAATATGAAAAATATATGAAGTTTAAAGAAGGTGGAAAGACCTCTAATTGTTCGAGAACAATTAGTCTACTAGTTATTAGGTCTTTCCACCTTTCTGTGGAAAGACCTATTGATTTTCTTCTGTTTATTATTATTATTATTCTTCTTCTTCTTATTATTATTTTTCTTCCGCTGATTTTTTGTTTCGACATTTATCGAAAAGATTTTTTGTTCATCGTAAAGGTCATAAAAAGTTATGAACAAATTTGACCCAACGCGTATAACCTATGACCTCTTTCGCAGTTATTGCCCCTTTCACTAGAAACCTTGTTATCGCTACTCCTCTGAAACCGTAAACCATAGAGGTACGAAACCTTCACCAATGTCTTCGACTAATTGAGGAGACTCTTCAATCTATTCATTACGAAAGGATTCGTTGAGCCCTTTTATGAGTTATTGCCCCTGAAAGTTTTTGAACTTTACAAATAATGAAAAATTTTCAAAACGATAAGTTGTAGAGACATGAAACTAACTGCATTAGATTCCTTAACCCTAGACCTTGAAGTTTATGTCAAGGTCAAAGGTCAAGGTCATTCCAAATAAGAGAAATTAAGCTCTTTTTATAGCTCTTTTGTCTTTCAACATATACAGTATATCTTTGCATCTTTAATATGTACTTTTAAAACTATTTCAAAGATTTCAATCTTGTCCCCTTAGCTTAACCCTTTTAAAAGTTATTGCCCCTTGTGCGAAAAACCTTGTTATCGCTACTCCTCTGAAACCGTAGACCGCAGAGACACGAAACCTTCACTAATGTATTCAGTGTCTTTAGACACAACTTCAATCTATTCAGTGCGAAAGTATCCGATGACCCCTTATATGAGTTATCGCCCTTTAACGTCTTTGCGCTTACTAGTAAACCTTATAACTTTAAAGCTAAAAGTGGTAGAAGCATGGGGTTAATTGTAATGTGACCCTTGGCCTTTGACCTTGAATATTTGTTCAAGGTCAAAGGTCAAGGTCATTTCAAAATTTTTAAATTTTCATTTTTTCCATCTCTCAAGCCAATTCTGGTTTCTTTTGTATAAAAATAAAGAGTAGAGAGTTAAATATGAAGAATATATGAAATTTAAAGGTGGAAAGACCTCTAATTGTTCGAGAACAATTAGTCTACTAGTTAGGTCTTTCCACCTTTCTGTGGAAAGACCTCTTGAAATGCTTATGTTTATTATTATTATTATTATTTTTCTTCCCGGACTTTTTAAACCGCAAGACTTATCAAAAAACTTTATAGTTCATGATACTGGATATTAAAAGTTATTCCGAAAAACGACCCCCCATGTTTGAACTTTGACCTCTTACAAAGTTATTGCCCCTTTCGCAAGAATAGCTTGTTATCGCTACTTCTTTGAAACCGTAAGCCGTAGAGGTACGAAACCTTCACCAATGTCTTCGACTAATTGAGGGGACACTTCAATCTATTCATTGCGAAAGAATTCGTTGACCACTTCAATGAGTTATTGCCCCTGAAAGTTTTTGATGTTCACAAAAAATTAAAAATTTTCAAAACCATAAGTGGTAGAGACATGAAACCAACTGCATTGAATTCTTTGACCTTTGACCTTGAAATTTATGTCAAGGTCAAAGGTCAAGGTCATTCAAACTATGAGATATTTATAACTCTCTTGTCTTTCAACATATACTATATGTCTTTGCATCTTTAATATGTCCTTCTAAAATTATTTCAAAGATTTCATTCTTGTCCCCTAAGCTTAACCCCTTTGAAAGTTATTGCCCCTTGTGCGAAAAACCTTGTTATCACTACTCCTCTGCAACCGTAGACCGTAGAGACATCAAACCTTCACTAATGTCTTCAGAGTCCTTAGACACAACTTCAATCTATTCAGTGCGAAAGGACCTGATGACCCTTTATATGAGTTATCGCCCTTTAACGTCTTTGCGCTTAATAGTAGGCCTTATAACTTTAAAAGTATAGGTCCTAGAAGCATGAAACCAATTGCAATGTGATTATTGACCTTTGACCTTTAATGTGTGGTAAAGGTCAAAGGTCAAGGTCATTTCCAAATTTTCTAACCCTCATTCTTTTCTATTTTTCAAGCAATTTCTGGATTCTTTTTGTATAAAAATTAACCTTAAAGAGTAAAATATATAAAATTAAAGAAATTTAAAGAAGGTGGAAAGACCTCTAATTGTTCGAGAACAATTAGTCTACTAGTTATTATTATTCTTCTTCCGCTGATTTTTTGTTTCGATGTTTATCGAAAAGATTGTTCGTTGACCGTAAAGGTCATAAAAAGTTAGGAACAAATTTGACCCAACGCGTATAACCTATGACCCCTTTCGCAGTTATTGCCCCTTTTGATAGAAACCTTGTTATCGCTACTCCTCCGAAACCATAAACCGTAGAGGTACGGAACCTTCACAAATGACTTCGACTAATTGAGGGGACTCTTCAATCTTTTCATTGCGAAAGTATTCGTCGACCCCTTTTATGAGTTATTGCCCCTGAAAGTTTTTGATGTTTACAAATAATTAAAAATTTTCAAAACAATAAGTTATAGAGACATGGGACCAACTGAATAAGATTCAATGACCTTTGACCATATAATATATGCAAAGGTCAAAGGTCAAGGTCATTCAAAATATAAGAAATTAAGCTCTTTTTATATCTCTTTTGTCTTTCAACATATACTAAATATCTTTGCATCATTAATATGTCCTCTTAAAACTATTTCAAAGATTTCGTACTTGTCCCCTAAGATTTACCCCTTTAAAAGTTATTGCCCCTTTTACTGAAAACCTTGTTATCGCTACTCCTCCGAAACCGTAAACCGTAGAGACACAAAACCTTCACTAATGTCTTCAGGGTCTTTAGACACAACTTCAATCTATTCAGTGCGAAAGTATCCATTGACCCCTTATATGAGTTATTGCCCTTTAATGTATTTGCGCTTACTATTAAACCTTATAACTTCAAAACTAAAAGGCATAGAAGCATGGGGTCAAGTGCAATGTGACCCTTGACCTTTGACCTTGAAAATTTGTTCAAGGTCAAAGGTCAAGGTCATTTCAAATTTGTTAAATTTTTCATTTTTTCTATCTTTCAAGCCATTTATGGATTCTTTTGGTATAAAAATTAACTTTATAGAGTAAAATGTGAAAAATATATGAAATTTAAAGAAGGTGGAAAGACCTCTAATTGTTCGAGAACAATTAGTTTACTAGTTTACTAGTTTACTCTATTTTTAGCTCACCTCGACGAAGTCGAGATGAGCTTATGCTATACCCCCGGCGTTGGCGTCCCGGTTAAAGTTTTAGGAGCAAGTCCCATTCCCAAGTAACTATAAGCCCTACCAGGACCAAACTTGCATGGATGATGCATCTAGGGATGGACACTACCACACTTGCTTCGGATGCTGGATCTGACCTAGATTTTCCAGATGAGTGACCAGATTAAAGTTTTTGGAGCACTACCCAATTATAAGCCCTACCTAGACCAAACCTGCATGGATGATGCATCAAAGGAAGGACACTACCATACTTGCTTCAGATTTTGGATCTGACCTACATTTTCCAGATGAGTGACTAGGTTAAGGGTTTGGGAGCAGGTCCATTCCCAAGTGATTATTTAAGCCTTACCTTGACCAAACTTGCATGGATGATGCATCTAGGAATGGATGCTACCACACTTGCTTCGGATGCTGGAAGTGACCTTGATTTTCCAGATGAGTGACCAGGTTAAAGTTTTTGGAACAGGTACCTAACTATAAGCCTTACCTTGACCAAACTTGCATGGATGATGCATCTGGGGATGGACACTACCATATTTGCTTCAGATGCTGGATCTGACCTAGATTTTCCAGATGAGTGACCAGGTTAAAGTTTTTTTGGAGCAGGTCCATTCCCAAGGAACTGTAAGCCCTACCTGGACCAAACTTGCATGGATGATGCATCTAGGGATGTACACTAACTATCCTGCTTCGGATTCTGGATCTGACCTAGATTTTCCACATGAGTGAATTTTAGCCATATTTTAACCAAGTTAGCATGATGTATCTAGAGATGGACACTTTCAGACTTGCTTTGGATTCTGAATCTAATATTGATGGATATTAATCTTGGGATGTATACTAACTAGGAAAAAAATATGATGTGAGATTTCCCTTACTTATAGATAACATTCGCCGAGGTGAGCTTAGTAATCTTTGATTACCTATGTTTTTTAAATTTCTATAAGTATTAAGAATTTCTTTCAAGTTTTGTTTAGCACAGTAAATTTTGTTTTCTTCTGACATATACATGAAATAGTAAGCTCACAATCAATATCAACAAAATTTCCGCTAAAATTCAGATATTTGATAAATCTCTCTGGCAGGGTAGACAATTTTTATCAACCCTGCATGTCTAGTTAATGTTAGGGTGAGTTTCGAACACTGCTAAAGCATTTATGAGACTTTGTATAGAGCCCAAAATGCTCCTAGGCAGTGATGATGCACAAACAATATAATATTTTTCTCAATATACATCACAAGTCAGGGTGTGTAGAGGACCAGTACAATACAGTCGAGCCACATTAATCCAAACTTTTGTATTCCAGATCAAAACATCCAGATTAATGAAGCAGATTTTTTTTTCATAAATTTTTAGATAAAATTGTTAATTGTGTTCCCCATTAATTCCTTCTGGAAGGTAAAGTGTGTATTGGCTCCATTGAATACTGAGGCCTGATGTCATTTTTACAAACTTTTTAGCCTATTATAAAAAATTGGAATGGGCCTTTAAGTAAGAATCATGTTGTTGTGTACTGTTCTATTGATAAATCATGTCATTTTTAGCCATTTTTGGATTGTACTACTGTTACTGGGTCCAGCTGAATATGTTCCAAACCATTCGTTATCTCTGTGCACTAGCACTGCCAACATTCATCTTTGGAAATAGATTATTAAGTGGAATAGCTTCAAAAAGGTGGGTCTCATGTCAAATTATTTTTAGCTCACCTTAGCAGAGTGAAATAAGTCTTCATCTATACCTTTGCCATTCTTAATTTTGTACGTAGTACATGTATATTAAAAAGGAAATGGAAAAATGTTCTTAAATTTTCATGTTAAACTTGCCATATTATCATTAATGTTTTTTTTTCCTTTTTCAGAAAAGGCGAGAAGAAAGTTTAAAGCAAAAGTAATATATTAGAAGTTAATAAATTACAAAATAAAATTATTTTTATGTTTTGTATGTATATGTTTATACTTTCTCTGTGAATTTTTTAACTTATTTTTTTCCTTTGTTTATAAGTAAGTCTGTTTGAAAATGAAAATGGAATATATATGACTTTTTTTTAATACTATTTCTTGAAATGGTATAAATGTTAAAAAAAAATAAATCAAAAACTTTTATTTTCAAACTTTACTCTTTGAATCTATGGAAACTTTTTTTTTTACAGCAAAAGAGTGCTCTAGTTGTTAATGTGGTGATTTAAATAGGGTCATTTCTTCATTCACAGTGGACTTTCATTCATTTCTTTCATGAAAATAAATTTTATATATATAAAAAACGATTTGTTTTTGTGTGGTCCTTGCTAAGGAGAAGATAAGAGAGTGTAAAGCTCTACATCAGTATCATCCATAATGTTTAGTGCAGTGGGAAGTTTTTTGTTTTATGAAGAACTTTTGGCAATGAAACTGGATAAATTAAGCTCCTACAGAAAGAGGAGACTTTTTTTATAGTAATACAATGGTCAGAGGTATAATAAAGTGGTACCTCGGGAATAAATGTCACCTTGGTAGAAGTTTGTAGGAATGCTGCAAGTAGAAAAGGTGCTTGTATGTTGGTCTTGATGCCATGTTCAAAAGGGCATTTTGTTGTGGAAAAGAGACAGGTTCATCTTGATGCTTTACTTTCTGTAATGGAACAAAAGGGGCCCATTTTGACTCGAGGTCAATGAATTTTAAGGGTTGCAATTGGGAAAGAAAGTAACCTTTTATTTCTTATAAAATGTACATCAAGTAAATACATATAATATACAAACATGATCCTAAGACCTAGGAATACACATGAAATAAGAAAGCCTTAGCACCAACACTTTAAAAGTTATGGCCAAAAGTGGGTCAAAGGTTCAAAAGTCGCCTGCATGGTGCAGAGGTTAGAGCGTCTGCTCTAGAGTGTTGTTCCTTTAGTTGCAAATTCGAATCCCACTGTGGGACGTGGAGACCGGTCCTTCGCATGAGACCGTATAAACCGAGGTACCGTGTTCGCAGTAGGTGCTGGCACAAAAAAGATCCCTCACTGCTCAATGGCCCTGATTGCCGAGTATAGGTCAAAATTTGCAGCTCTTCACTGGCAAGTGGTAGCGCCTCCATGTGAGTGAGAAATTCTCGAGAGGGACTTTAAACAACAAAGGTTCAAAATTATTGATACCCTGTTGGAGGTCTTGCTACAAGGAATACACGTGTAATTTGAAAGCTCTAGAACCAACTTTTCAAAAGTTATGGCCAAGGTTAATGTTTGGTAAAATTTTATAAACTCTAGGGTCAAGGTCAAATACATTGGTACCAAAGAAAGGTCCTGTCCGAAAGAATACACCTGTGAGATGTGAAAGCCATAGCTCCAACCAATCCAATCTGAAGTAATGGACATAGGAATACAGCAAAACCATACGCCCCTGAATCTTTGATAATGGGGGCATAAAAATTAAAACACATCAAGTTTGATAAAAATATATTGCAAGCAAAAGATTAAGTGTTCTGGACAAATAACCATGGTGGACATTACAAAATTAAACCAGAGGCCCATGGGCCACAATGCTCACCTGAGTCTGACCCTACTAATAATATTCTTCATAGCATTTTTTCCCTTTATATTCCCATGTAAAAACATTTTCCTATATAAATTGTATTCCTATGTAAAACTTTGATCCTCTTTTGTGACCCCACCCTACCCCAGGATCATGATTTGAACTTGGAATATATACATATGTAATGAAGCTTTCACATAAATCTCACCCTTTTTGGTGGTTCTTGAAAAGATTTTTAAAAGATGCCATTAAATTTTTATGAATTCTTTATTATCTCCCCTTTAAAAATGACCTGGTCCTTTTTTGAACAAAATTGAATCCCTTAATCCAAGGATACTTTGTAGCATGTTTGATTGAAAATGGCCCAGTGGTTCTGGAGAAGTTTAAATTGTGAAAAGTTTACCAATGACACATGATACACAAGAGAAGCCGACACGCTTCCATTAGAACTTGCTTGAACCTTTGACTCAGGTTAGCTAAAAATCAAAAAGATACATGCATTTCATAAAAGTTCACTTTAAATTCAGGCCAAAACTATTGATTTTAATATTCTTCATGATCTGTATTTTTAATAAGTGTGACTACAGTGTACTTCATTCCTCAAAATTAACGAAAAGGGTCAGTGTCAACCTAGTTACTTAAGTTTCGTCAGCTATGACAATTTTCAACATTTCCCATAAAATTTTTCGACTTACAGGGTTTGAAGGTCTTATGCCTCAAAAGGTATGGTCCAGACAGGGAAAAAGCTAACAGACAAATGACGAGAGGCCCAATGGGCCACAATGCTCACCTGAGTAACTTTGGCCCTGCTGTTCTTCACCTGATTTCCTACGTTGTTATACCTTTTGTGTCCCCCCCCCCCCTCCCCCCGTGGTCATGATTTGAAGAATTTAGAATCTACATTACCCTAGGATGCTTCTACATAAGTTTCAGCTTTTCTGGCTCAGTGGTTCTTGAGAAGAAGATTTTTAACGATATTTTCTACATATTTCAATGTAAAACTTGGATTCCCTATTGTGGCCCAGCCCTATCCCCGGAGGTCATGATATGAACAATTTAGAATCTACACTACACCAGGATGCTTCCACATACGTTTCAGCTTTTCTGGCCTAGTGGTTCTTGAGAAAAAGATTTTTAAAGAAATTTTCTACATATTTCAATGTTAAACTTGGATTCCCTATTGTGACCCCGCCCTACCCCTGGGGGTCATGATATGAACAATTTAGAATCTACACTACCCCAGGATGCTTCCACATAAGTTTCAGCTTTTCTGGTCCAGTGGTTCTTGAGAAGAAGATTTTTAAAGAAATTTTCTACATATTTCAATGTAAAACTTGGATTCCCTATTGTGGCCCCGCCCTACCCTTGGGGGTCATGATTTGAACAATTTAGAATCTACACTACCCCAGGATGCTTCTACATAAGTTTCAGCTTTTCTGACCCAGTGATTCTTGAGAAGAAGATTTTTAGAGATTTTTCCTAAATTTTCAATGTAAATCTTGGATTCCCTATTGTGGCCCAGCCCTACCCCCGGGGGTCATGATTTGAACAATTTAGAATCTACACTACCCCAGGATGCTTCTACATAAGTTTCAGCTTTTCTGACCCAGTGATTCTTGAGAAGAAGATTTTTAGAGATTTTTCCTAAATTTTCAATGTAAATCTTGGATTCCCTATTGTGGCCCAGCCCTACCCCCGGGGGTCATGATTTGAACAATTTAGAATCTACACTACCCCAGGATGCTTGCAAATAAGTTTCAGCTTTCCTGGCCCTGTGGTTCTTGAGAAGAAGATTTTTTGATGACCCCACCCAATTTTTGTCTTTTCTTGATTATCTCCCTTTTGAAGGGGGCTTGGCCCTTCATTTTAACAATTTAAACTCCCCTTCACCCAAGGATGTTTTGTACCAAGTTTGGTTAAAATTGGCCCAGTGGTTCTTGAGAAGAAGTTGAAAATGTGAAAAGTTTACAGATGGACGGATGGACATTGGACAGCGGGTGATCAGAAAAGCTCACTTGAGCTAAAAAAGCCATGCCACAACAGTCAGTCTAGACAGTAAAAAGACTGGCATTTAAAAATGCTTACCAATTAAATTCAATAAAAGTAATACACGTGTAACTCTGAACAACAAATTCAAAAATAGCAGATTGTAACTTATTCATAATTTATTTCTCATATGATATAATTTATGACATAAACACAGGAAAGAAATGCATTGCCATTGCAGTAATAGCACTGACAGAAAAGGTATCTAGAAATAGTATTTATATATACAACTGCTTCACACATGTATTCTGCTTTACAAGAAATTGCTGAACAGAAACATTTCTAGTAATACACATTACAGCCATTATGAAATCACATACTCCTCAACTGTTCATGGGTTTTGAGAATACTGTGTACATGCAGTTGTAAGGAAAAGAGAGACAGACAGAAGCATTATGGAAGACGCTGCATGTTTATCCCTTAACCAATGAGAAAAAGGCTGGCTAATGATTACAGAATACACTTACCATTTACTCACCCTTTTTAACTCTCCATTAATTTACTCACCCTTTTTAACTCTCCATTACTATATGCAAATTTCCCCCATACAAATCTCTTGTGTCATATATATATTCATTTTGATATAAATCTAATATAAAGTGCTCTCCATCAAAAGTTTTACAATGTACAACTTTCTAAAGGAATTTCAACCTAAGTGTCTAAACAGAGTTAAAATACAGCATGTGTTTTAAAATGTTGTAATCCAATCTTTATATAAAAATATACCAGTGCATACAAGGAAAAGTGTCAACATTTTTGAATTAATTTTACATGTATGAATAAATTGTTTTTGTTTATTATCACAGCCAAAAAATAAAATCTAATTCCTACAGTATTTTATTTCAGAGCCATCTGATTCTGAATTTACACATATTTATTTGCCTTTTACCTTAAATAAAATATATTTAGTACCGTACCACCCTTTTTTTTATTGACAGTACATCCTACTATATACTCTTAACAACTTAGATATATGAAAATAAGTGCTCCTGTTCTCCCCACTTGGAGTGACTCATATGGCCACTTCCAGAAATTACTGACACTAAAGATTGTTATACCTGGTACATGTCCCGGTATATTGTTTCTTATACTAGTATTTAAAAAAAACACATTGAACAGAAATGTTTAGAAAATTGCATGTTACAATCCTAATGTTTTTATAGTTCTGACAGTGATACATATATTTGAATGTTTGAAATCCAAAATCATTCAATTTATGAAGTCAGCAAGCACCATAAGCAATTTTTATAGGTACATGACTATCTACATTTCTGACACAGTTGTAAATGATTTTTTTATACAAATGATTGGTCCAAATTAACTACCTTGAAGAGATAAACATATATTGCAAACAACATGACTGCCACTGTTTTTGTCTTTGTTTCCCAATGTCCAAAAATTAAATGAACGTGGTTTAAAATCTTAAACAAAATGTTTGGGAAAAAAATGTACACAATAAAATGCAACTTGAAAACTAATGCTTGAAAATGTGACTTTCTATGTAATATATTATGATTCAAAATATGCTACACTGTTCTTCCGTTTCAAAAATAAATGTTATCTCAAAATGAATGCAATAATAAATAAATTAGCAACAATTTTTTAATAACATCACAGACTATGGTATCACTGAATAACTTATGGAAAACTCAATGAATGAGGATGCAAGTGTCTGTGAATTCTTAAAACTTCTTGAAAATATTAAACTAGGCAAAATTTTATTTAACACTTACAAACTTACACAGATATGCACTTTTAAAGCAGCATGATTTTTAACCTATGGCATACATACATGTACAATTTTAATGGACTTTGGTCAGTTAATTTACATGTCATTTCAATCCAGAAGCCACTGTGTTATGAAGCAGTGCAGATGAATTGTGTTGTAACAAGGACATTAAACGACATCTTTCTCTAGAGAGGAACTTTCTCCTCCGGTAAGGATGTTGGCTGGCTTCCATTAGCAGCACTGTTTCCTTCTGAATCTTTCTGAAGAGCACTCTCAAAACTATCTTCAGATTTGCTTCCAGTTACTTTGGCCTATAAAATTCAATTCAGCATTAAGTATTTAGCAGAGACCTGTATACTTATTTGCCCTTTCTATTATACACATATTAATAGTAAATGAAATATTACCTTTTCAATCAATGTACTGTACAAGTTTTGAAATATCCAATTAATTACTGGTATTATAATGTTACATACCCCATAGAATTCCCAGTTATAACAAATAATGGTTGTGCTTCAGGGTTTTTTTTTTGGGGGGGGGGGGGTATAATACAAAATCAAAAGCAACAAGAAAACTGACAAAGTCATCTACGACATTGACAACCTATGACTCAGTAACTCCCAATTTTAAAGGTGATTTTTTTTTCAACTTTCTACAAAGAAAGAGAATATGGAGAAAATTGAAGCATTATCCTATCAAATAGAACTCATGTACAATTCACTCTTAAGCTTGATGATGGCCATTGAAAATGTATGTCACACAATGATCACAAAATTAACGGACGTCTTTATTAAACCTAATCTAGCTGCAGAAAAAATTAAAAGTCTAAATATTCTGTTTCATTGAAGCATGACAGATTTATTTATGGGACTGTGGATGGACACACAGACAGCCTGAGTGTTCAGAGCACTTGGTTTTTGAAGCAGAACCCTTTCCTAATGTGCAAGATAATTCAATATACTGGTAGCAAATAATGACTGTAAAATTCACTGCATGCATTGATAACAATATCACAAAAATACATATGGAATAGATGTTTTCAGTTAAAATGTACTTAAAAGTCATAAATAATGTGCATAATAAAATCTACCGTCTATATATCTTTTTAAAAAAAAATAAAAGTACGTACTTCACAAAACTTCCAATTCAAAAAAATCACAGAATGACCTAAACAAATTCTTTCAAATGATTATCGATAAGGTGCTCTAAACTAAAATCTAACAGAAGATGTGCAAGGTCATTTTGGTGTTAAAACATTTATACTCTGTAAAACACAACATTGACTCAGATTCACTCACAAATCCAATTTTCTCCTTCAAACTCTCTATAGATCTGGATGTCTATATAAATAGATTGTCTATCACCATTACCTTTGGTATCAAGGGCAAATATGTTGAAAACCAACGAAATGGATTTGTAAATAATTGCAACTTTTTTATCTGATTATTACTTAACATGACCAATTTTTATCTCTAAAATTTACTGGATACATTTAACAACTGTTTTCTTTATAAAGTTACTTCATGGCTCATTTTTTGAACTTCATTGCAATTTAATATCAAGGCACAGTACTTCCAAGTACATGATTACACCAGGACATAGAGTAATATGATTGTGTTATACTGTTAAAAGGATGTTTACAAATGATGGTGCATTAACATATTCCAACTTAGCTAACAGTTACTTCTAAATGGATGAATGAGTATGAAAGTTTAAGAAAACATGAAATTACATTAATACCTATAAAATAAATGGGTAAAATGTAAATATTGGAATTCAATGCATCAATTAAGTGAAATAATGAATGAAAATTTGTTAAGTCCATGTTTACATTATATATATATGTACATTAGTAAATATATAGTAAATGATTATTGCACAATTTCAAAGCCTTCCAAATGAACTCACCTTCACATTTGCGTAAGCACCTCCAACTTTTTCTTCCATTGATTTAAAAGTACCAGAATTCCTGCAAATATATTCAATAAACTGTAAACATGAATTCAGAAACTAACCAATAGTTGGATTTTTATGTAAATATGGTACTTAACTCAAAATTTGTTTTAAAACTGATAAATTTCAATTTTCCTATTTTGGAAACAGTAAACCACTACTTAGTAAAAATTGTATCTTTACAAAGTTGTCGACCACTGCTTAGTAAAAATTGTTAAAAGTTGTCGACAAGAAAAAGAATGAAAAAAAAAGGAGAAGAAATAAAACAAGAGAAGAAATAAAACAAAACTTGTATGTTTTCTGATGTTTCATGTTCCTTCAGGGTCTAAATATTCCCGGTCTTTTCTACATACCTAATGTCTCCTATTTTCTTGGACACAGAAGAAGCCACGTTCCTCACCGTCTCATTTGTCTTCTCTGAGGCAGTCTTCATAGCAGAGGAGGTTTTCTGGTATCTACAATGTTAACAAGTAAATATTTCATTTACTACTCAATTTTTTCTTTTGAAGATTTAAATTAAGAGAAATGTCCTTAAATGTAGGTGTAAAGACTGTATATTCTGGAAAATGAATAGAATGTACATAATGTATATGGTATAAACAGTAAATATGAATCAAATGACTCAAAAGCAAGAAAGAATACACAAATTTAAAATGAAATGTGCGTTTTTCATTTTTTGTCCATGTAGCAAACACTGGACTAATATACAAGTACAATGAAATAGTTTAATTCATTAATGTTCCACAAGTAAAGTAATTAAAATATACCATCATTTTCAATAAAATACCGTAATAATCTGGGCACAAAAGGTATACATTCAGTATGTAAATGAGCAGGTATGGAAAGCAAAATTTCATCCATGCCTCATTATTATTTTTTTTTTAATATTCTTAGATAATCAGGATTCTTGGGTTATCTTAAAGAAAATCAAATAATTTGTAAATATGGAATCTAATGATTTTCTTTCATTGGAATTGAAATTGAATTTTTGTACTTGCATTTATTTAAAATGGTTGATACAGTCATACTTGTATGAGTGAAAAAGTACATTAACCATGGCAACTTTGTGTTTAAAAACAAAGACAAAACAAACAAGTCAGAAATCCAATTTTTTTGTAAATGCATTCATTTTCATTTAATTATTTGCTTTTGGAACTCAACATCTGAAGTATTATAACAGACCATGGCAAAAGCTGCAAAAATTTTAAAATCTAATCTGTGAAAGTCAATAATTGCATGGTTAGACATTTAAACATTAATCATGTTAAATGCTTTGTGATTCATGTTTTTAATTCTTCCGCCAAAACTCTACCTTAAGTACCTAATTTCTTGATACAGACATGCATGTATATACAGTTAAGCTTTGGTACCTCAAACATTGATATCTCACATACCATGGATATGTGGAAGTGAGTTGAAAGCTTTAACCACTTATTCTTCATGCATTTTAATCTCAATATCTCAACATCTTGTTTTTTCTCAGCTCCATTGAGTTTGAGATAACCAGGTTTGACTCTATATAAGCAGTTAACAGCTAGGTGTATTTTTATCCAGCTAAGAATAATGATGTACAGGGCTCATGTTCCTTCAGGGTCTCAATTTTCCAGGACTCCATCGAGTTTGAGATAACCAGATTTGACTGTATATAAGCAGTTAACAGCTAGTTGTACTTTTTTTTATCCAGCAAATAATAATGATGTTATAGGTGTACTTATTCAGACTGTACATGTTACCATATAGATACAGATTAAGAAAACAAAAACATAATAAGTCAGAGTTGTTAAATTAATAGAAATCAAGCCCAATATGCTAATTATATAAGGTTGCAGCATCCCATTTATCATGTATTGAATACATGTACATCTTAGCATGAACAAGAGCTGATACATGCCATTTTATCAGCATTGCTTATAAAAAATGATCAATTCCAGTTTACTTTTTACATACAATAAATTGCATAATTGCAAATTATAACAAATTTACGATATAAAGGTTTACCTAAGACTTTAGCAATCTCTGCAAAGCTAATACTATACTAATATTGTTTTTTTTAAAAAAAAAACTGCTTAACAAAATGAAATACGCTGTAGTTGTTAATATTGTTATAGTTAATATAGTTAATACAAACAGCACACAAGTCAAGAATATATATCTACCTAGAGTACACATATAGAGGGGCAGGTTGGGTACTCTACAACAAGCAATCTACCCCGGTACTTATGTTTAAGCAGATGTACATTACATATCGATGGTACCTACTTTGTATAACAATTCAACACACCCCGACACCTTATTTAACAAAATACATATTCAGTGTTTGAGATCCCAAAATGTCTACAACTAACTTGCAAACTTTTAATTACAACTGACAAAACTATTCCTTTCTGATATGTAAAATTGTCCAACAAAGTATGTATAGCCTAACAAGGTGTTTTATCATTTAATACTGGATTCTAAAATACTGAATTTTCATTTCATTTGAATCACAAAAGTAACATTAATGAAAATTCACAGCACCAGTGCAACTCAACTCAAAAAATATCTGAATACACTTTAATCCCACTATTTCAACTGTAAATGGAAAGGTATACATACTAGTTAAATATGAAGCCTGAGTTAAAGAGTATACAACAATTAGTGGTTAATCAGAACTAATGAACAGACAAGCATTACTGAGGAATCATGCCACACTCTGGACTACTCACGCAGTGGAATGTGTTATCTTGTCATTTATATCATGAAGTTTTTCATTTGTTTTCTGATACCTGAAACAATAAAGTCAATCCCCTAAGTATACATGTACTTCCTCTCAAAATAAACCATTCGCTTGGTATTACAAACTTGTAAGATATATTATTTCAATATCTCTGTTATAATATAACTTAAAGTTTATGCCTTCATTGTCACTGAAGTTTTAACATGCTTCTCATTGTTATATTTCAGATCTGCCTAATTTCCCAGCAATTAACCACTCTAGACTAAGGATAATTAAAGTCTGTGTCAGTCTGCATCTTAAAACTTCAATCACACATTAATCAGAATAATTCACCATCACGTCTGACCTTGGCCTTAACCTTTGACCTTGAAATACAGTTAGGATGACAAGCATGACTATAATCTTTATTCTGACGTCTTATACGTTTGACCTCAAGGCACTGACCTTTTATTGGTAAATGAAATGTATTTACCCTAGTTGTGGATCACCTCTTCTGAATATCATCCCTAAAAGCTAAAGAAAACCAGGAAAGGCAATTTCTGATTGATTGTTTCTTGTTTAACTCTGAGTCGGCAGTATTTCAGCCATATTTCCACACTTTCATTAATGCCTTCATCTTTGAGCATGAAATTGGTGTCAATATCCATAAATCTCTTTGATTCTCATTATAACTATCATCATTTACTTCGTGTACTGATACCCTTGGATGCAGTATTTTGAATACTGCATTATATATTGTTGACTTTGACCTTTGCCTCTAAATTGGCATGCGACTTGTAGGAGCATATATTTGTCTTGTTTCTTGGTTTAAATTATGGACAGTTTAGTTTATACCAATCTCAACAATTTTAGTTCATCAACTGGTGAATACTCTGTATTGGGACCAAATCACTTTATGTAGTTTCTAGTTATTAATTTTATCATTTAATTTACAAGTCATTGATATGGTTGAAAATATCATTTTAAAAGAAAATAACTGAAAAGAAAGAAAACCTGTTGACTTTGACAAGACTGTAGCGCTACTGGTCTTGATTACTGTAAAATCACTTATTTTTGTGAGGTTAATTTTTCGACCTTTGTCAGGAAAAAATATTCGTTCATTAGGATTTGATTTTGTGGTTGAAAACGTGTTGTGTTATATTGGAAAATTTTTAACATTTCACGGAGCACATGAATTCGAGCATCTCTTCAAAATGCAAAAATAACAAAAATTAACCCCCCCACGAAAATTAGTGATTTCACAGTATCCCAATGAAATAGTTACCGTATATTAAAAGTAGATGAAACATTTTTCCTTTCAAGTTTGACTTGCCATTGAAATTCCCTTCATCAAAGCAGCTGAAGAAGGGTAGCATATTGATAAACCAGTCTGAGAATATTTTCTGTTTATAATATTTATGATAATAGTAATGTTGTACTCATCTCAGTCAAAAATTACACTTTGCATGAGCATACATGATTATAGGTCAGGCAAAAAATTTAAAAAGATAATCAAATTGAAATAATAGATCTTTCTCATAATAGTGACCAAACTGATACAAAATAAAAGATATTTGATATATTTATCACCATTTGCAGTATATGTCACTCAAAAAAGACAAAAACAGTTGGAGTGGCATCTAAAAAGATTGTCGACAGAAACTAGCAGACTGACAGAGGATCCTTTACCAATGCATATATAAACTGTTCTGGTCTTTGTCCAGTCTCTGTGGAGCTAAAATAACTGATGCAATCATTTAAAGAAGAAACACTCACACATATGTATTAATTAGTATATATATCTAATCATGTAACACAAATGAATGATGCTTATTGAAAGGAAGACTTCAACTGTTACAACTTTGCACTGCTGCCCTCAATGTAAAGGAAACAAAGTCATTCAAGCAGATGCTAATTTTCTCCCAATACAAGCTTAGAAAGAGAGAAAAAAAAAGGAACAAAAACTGAACAAGAGAACTAAAGTCTGTCAGATGCTTAATGAGTATCTGTATTCCCTTAACATAGTTTTTAAAAGTAGGGCTAATATAAATTCTTCCTGATCAAATTTTATGGATAAAAGGAAAAACTTTGTAAAAAGATGTTCAAGCTGATACCTGTATTTAAACTTGTAAAGTTTTGCTGATAAAATGTTTTAAAAATATAAGCTTATTTTAATATTTCATGCATAGACTAAAATGGAATAAAATGTGGAGAAAAAAATCCAATTCCAGAAAATGCCCACACAATTTTTAGAGAATATGTAAGAAAAAGTCTGGGAAAGACCATTCAGCCCCATGTGGAATAGCAGTATTTCATTAGCAGTATTAGCAGCACAGGCTTACAAGGATCATGATATGGGGACTTGGCAGTTGTACATACAGGCAAAAAAGCTGTTAGGATGAAACCAAGTCTGTTGGCATATCACGGACCATAAATGTTCCAAACACTGCAAAGCAGTTACTGTTATGCATGTCCAAACACTGATCCACATGCAAGCACATGTAATATAAACAAGCCTCTTAATTTTTCAGTGGTTTTTGTCTCTCTTTTCAGCTTTGCATTTTCATGTGTTACAAAATCATTGATATTTATTTATTAGTATATATATGTATTGATTTATCGACTCATTAACACTTACGTAACATTAAAGTCTTCCTTAAGCTTTAAACATCTAAATCGTTAGTTTGTAATATCAGGTGAAAATCTCATTTTTGTGCAAAAACTGCCAAACATTTTGATATGCTTAACAAACTTGATTGTATGATTATGCAGTATAAACCACATATTCTTACACTGTAGAGCCTGTTATTTTGGCTTGGAGATTCGTAAGTGATTCATTTGTCTTCTGGAACCTAGGGTACAATAAAAATCAGCTTGAAAACTTGAGGAGCTAAAATATCACACAACAATGGTAATTTTCTTACTATCCATCAATGTGTATGATTATGCTGCTATAAAACTCATTTTTATACTGTTTACCAGGACATAGAGCATCTTTGGTCAATGTGATCCTCAACAAGTTTTTAAACTTTGAATTTCAAATGGAAGGTTTCATGATACATGTACATGTATATATATATATACTGAATTTGAAGTCCCAAGAGGCAAGTAAATATTGCTTTTATGATCAAAGCAAAGAAAAGTACAAAAATATTTCACATGAATTTCATTAATTCCCACAAGATAAAAGGATATGGTTGTGCCAAATGGAGTCATTTTTTGGTTTATATGTCAATTTGTACAGCAGTAAGGCATTCATTCATGACTTAGGCTAGGCAGCATGCATGTATTGTATTTTTATTACAGGTACTGGTTTAATGATCTTATTGTACATTTATTAACAGGTAAGTAGTATACTAATGAATACTAATGAAAAAGTGATTGACTGATTGCATGGCTGATAATGGAAACTTATTTAAACTAAGGATGTCAAAATATGAAAGATAATATATAGTATTTTTCTTATTCAAATACTATTTTAGCTTAGATGTTTGAATTTTTATTTTGAATAAAACATAACCCATCCAATAATGGTTAATCAAATCTAAGTACCACACATCCTATATGTCCCTGAGGTACCCCATTAAGATAAAGTCTAATAATAAATGTAGTGACACATACAAGTATAGCTAATGAGAGACATGTAACATATACCAGTATACAAGTACTTACGTCTCTGACTGCTGGATGGACTTTAACCCCTCTGAGAAGTCGTGCTTCAGCTCCTGGAATGGTGTAATGCCCATCTTTCTCTTTAGTTCTGAGGCATATCTAACTTTGGATCCTAAAACTTGTCTGAGTGTGGTTATCTCCCCTTCAACCTAGAGAACACAAATAAGTCATTCAAGATGATCTTGATGATACTTTAATCAAACAGAGCAAAATAAATTTTACATACTTTGAATTTTCTTAATAGCCATTATTGAATGTTCTTATGTTACTGGCTAAGTTAAATGATAAAATTATTATTATTATCATTTTTAATTGGTTCATACAACTTACTTGCCAGTCTATAAAAATCCAATCTTTTATTGTCAAGGTCAAAGATAAGGGTCATAGGTGGGGTCATAAAGGTAAACTACATATAAACTTTGCCCCAATCATAATTATAACAAATAATTTGTGAATAAGAAAATTGTGAGCAAATTTAAACTAACAAAATGTACATATGTCATTTCAATTTATTTTTTTAACCCTGTAAATTGCCGTTTTTTTTTTTTTTTTTTTTTTTTTAATTTCGGTTACTAGATCATTTGTGTATGTTACAAGTATAGAAAACCCTTTATAAATCAATGACTGTGTAGAGTACAGAGATAACAGGAGGATTACCCGGGCTAGCTCCTCTTTCCACTCCTCCATCTGCCTCTGTTTTTCCTCCTCAGTCATTGGCTCCTCCTTTGCATGAGTAGCCCCCTCCTCCTCAAACAAATGCTCATCTGAAAAAAGATTCTCATCTTTTATATGTCTGCAGATATTTTTTTTGTGTGTGTGTGTACAGAATACTATACAAATCAAGCAAGAACATGTTGTTTCAACTTGTTTGACTTATCAACAAATACATATCATGCAAGATTCTACATATATATTTATCAGAAGATAGAATATTATCTCTTTCACAGTGAAATATACCTGCTTCAGTTAAATCAGATGCATCAACATCTGCATCACACTCTGATAAAAATGTCCCACCAACAATGTCATCCTCTATGTATCCCTCCAGGTCACCATGTGACCCCTCATCATCAGATTGTGACCCCTCCAGGGTCAACTGCAGAAATTTAACATAGTTTGAAGGTTCACTGATTTTCAATTTAAAATCTTCGTCAATTTCCCCATTCTCAATGTTCTGTAACTCCTTACAATTTTTATCTTTCTTCTCTTGTTTCTTTTTCACTTTTGATGAAAACATAATCCACAGAGAGATTTTATATTCCAAACAACAAATACGATGATGATTCCTCAACAGTAAAATTATAGCACCTATGTGTTTTAATAATAACACATCTTCCCCAACACTTAATTCAGTAGGAGTAATTTAATGTTAATGTTTCAAAAATATATATGAATTTACAAATGCACTGCACTGGTATTGATATACATTTTATCAAGTGAAGTGTAAATTAAATGACATGTAGATATATCACTAGATAAATCGTACAATCAGAAATGAAAGCTTTGAACTGATAACCCCTCAAAACTGAATGCACATTATTCACCTATACTCATGATACTGATCCAGGTCGATGATAATTAGTACAAAGTACATATATGCCTATTCTTCTAAGAAAAAACGATAAATTTATTATGAATTTTATCAATATTGTCTGAAAAAGCAGACTGTAAAATTGTTACGTCAGAATATAGTGCAAATCAAATTCTAAAAATCCACTTTAGCTTATTATTAGAAATTTGACTTTCCCATTGATCACTGATATCTGACTAGATGGAAAAAGCCATATTCCTCAAGTATTCATCAAACATGTAGAACTGGAGACACTCCTTTCTTTAACATGACAAGATGAGTTTCAATCAGTTCAATGATTTCCTCATTTACACTTAACTCCTCCACACCAATCAATATTTTACAAGATACTGGATGAAGCCAACCATCATTAAATTCACAACAACCACGGCTAGTCTAATGTCTTGATACATTCATCCAGTTCAGTCAATCTGTCCTCTCCAGAAACATATGGGAGCCCATATAATAACAGATTACAACAAAAAAACTGTCCTGTGACAGCCTTGTCATTAAGTAATGTATACCTGGCCACGTGAACCTATCAATGAGTCACTATTAATTGCTAAGCAAGACTTCACCTGCCTGTCAGACATTATATAATTTGTCCCAGTGAACCCTTTTTCCAGCATATAAATCATCTGAGAGTGATCATTTTAAATCTCATTTTCTCAAGATGTTTGCTTTATTTAGTCTGGTTTGTATAAAAATTTGGACACATTTCTACATTTGTTACGTACATCTTGCCTTTGGCAATTTACATATTTAGCTATTCACCAAGAACATCAAAACTAGACCATGGATACTTTATACACCTTGATTTCACACGTACTGTACATGTTAACATGTACAAGTACACAGATCAATTGATAAACATACATTTGCAGTGTTATCAGCAACAGGAAATATGTAGACCAAAATATATGCCATTAAGAACTAAATAAATAGACCAAGAAACATGGAAGCTAAATAGATGTATTAAATCACCCTGCATACATAAAATCAACAATTATGATAGATCATAAAATTCTGCTACATATATCGATGCCTACACTATTTTTAAAGTCTCACTGTTGCTCAAAGTTTGTTTAATGAACAGAATGTTATAATTTTGTTATTTGTTGTGTTCCTACTAAGGTTAAGGTTGGAATTAAAGATCTGTATAAAATTTGTATAATTTTTATTGCAGTTGAAAATAAAATGCAATAAAAAATCCAGTTAATGGATAAACACATGTCTCAGAGAGGGACATAAAACTGAAAACTCAAAAGTAAAGAACCTGAAATGCAAAAAAATGACCATTTACAATTCAAAGCTGTGAATACATACACTGGTAGTACATATAAATGGGAATTTCACAGGACTTTTTGACCCAAGAACTGCTGAAGAATGATTGATTCACTTCTAATGAAATAGTATTTTGTGAATTTGCTAGTCTCAAAATCATAATTCATAATTTGTATGTTATGTTGTATATACCCGAGTAACACAACTGCCAGATAATATGGTAATATTTGATTGAAATTGTTGCATACTTTTATATATATGGTCATTCTTCATTGAAGTCAAGAATGCCTATGTACAGAATTATTTCTATGATATGATTTGGCAGAACCTTGCATTCTTATGATAAGAGAGTTTGCATGACTGTTAAAGTACAGTATTTATAACTATTTAAATCAAACATTTTCCATCTATTGGATTCCATATTTATGAATTTTTGGTGTTTTTTTTTTTTCTTTTTTTTTTTTGGCAATTCAAATTAGGATGTATTTATCTGCATATGCAACTCAGTTGAAGTAAAATGAAAATTCTCTTTTTTTCCCTTCTGGTTTCAGAGCTTTTTACTTTTTCTATTATTAAATCTAAATCATTACAAGTATATGTACATGTAATTGATAATTGTGCAAAAGTTACTTTTCTGAATCATCTGAATTATAACAGTTCTCATTGAATAATATTGGGGAAGGAGGAATATTTGAGCAAATTAATATGCATGTATTTCATCTCATGGACTAGATTTCTCATTGAATTTAAACCTCTGAATTCCAATAAAATTTTACTAAGGAAATAGAATCACACACAGTAAAATTATATTCATTAATTCAATAACTATAAGCCATATAAAAGCCAAAAAGGTATCCAGGCACCCAAAAATCACTTTTGGGTATAATCATACCACAGAATTTTCAAGCCCATCAAAAAAAAAATCTCTTTTGAATACAATAAAATTACAGAATTTTCAACCCACAAAAAAAAAAAAATCACTTTTGAATACAATGAACCATATATTTTTCAACCCCACAAAAAATCCTGCTCCTACATTGAAATGATCATGACAGACTATGAAATGGTGTTTATTTGCAATGTGTGCTTATGTCCGTTCTAAAAGACGTCATCCCACTGCTCTCCTACAGCAGGTTTTTACACATGTTCATCAAAGCATTAAATGTGACAGATAGGGAGATAATGTAGCAGGCAAGTCCTGGATTAAACTTTAACCCTCTGAACTATATACAAGTCTTCTGATACATGAACTGATGGAATGTCCAGTAACATCAATCTGAGAGATCCATTGTATCAAAAAAAACAACATGTACCTAATGATTATATAATGATTATATTAATTTACCCATGCAGGGTTAACCAGAAGTCTCTGATGAGACTGTAGCTCTACTGGTCTGTACATATAACAAAGGAAAAGTAGCACTTGGATTTGAAACTTTGCAACAAGCAGCAATAAATAGAATAATGTATCTTAATGTAGTCTACTAATGTAGTTGCTACCATGGCAACACTGTTCATTGAAATCAAAAACTGATGCATTAAATTATGTATCTTGGTGTAGTCTACTTGTGTGCCAAGTTATACTGAAATCAGACCAAAACTGTAGGAGGAGTAGCGTTTTAAAGGAATTTCACAGAAATTTCAATTTTTAGTAACCATGGCAACACCGTTCATCGGAATCAAAAACCGATGAAATAAATTATGTATCTTAGTGTAGACTACTTGTGTGCCAAGTTATATAGAAATCAGACCAAAACTGTAGGAGAAATAGCATTTCAAAGGAATTTCACAGAAATTTCTATTTTTAGTAACCATGACAACACCGTTCATCGAAATCAAAAACCGATGCACTAAATTATGTATCTTAGTGTAGTCTACTTGTGTGCCAAGTTATATTGAAATCAGATCAAAACTGTAGGAGAAGTAGCATTTTAAAGGAATTTCACAGAAATTTCTATTTTTAGTAACCATGGCAACACCGTTCATCGAAATCAAAAATCGATGCACTAAATTATGTATCTTAGTGTAGTCTACTTGTGTGCCAAGTTATATTGAAATCAGACCAAAACTGTAGGAGGAGTAGCATTTTGAAAAATTGTTTACAGACAGACGGACAGACAGACAGACAGACAGATGGACGGACGACGGACACCTTACTATCGCATAAGCTCTTCTGGTCTCTGACCAGTAGAGCTAAAAATTAACTTTTATTACCAGGAGCAAACTTACCCAGGGTTCAAAATTAGCAGGAGCAAACTTTAGATAGTGGAAAAAAGATTTACTCACAAAATTGTAAATTCACTAGCAATTTCCAAAAATTATTCAACACTGGTAAATTCAAGCTCAAGGCCAGTGCAAACCCCTCATTCCTTTTAAAGTCATGGATCTCTTTAAAGTAAATACTGAATACACAAATATACCTATGTATCATAGAAGACAAGTACTTTAATAAAATTGATGACTGGATCAGCTGTTGGATACTGATCAAATTATAATCAATATATCATCTGCCAAAAGCATGCCATGGTTAAAATTTTTTTTAACCCTCCAAAACAGCTGGGTCATGAGACAGTATAAAATTGTAATAACTTTTCTTGTTAACCAAAAAACAAGTAGGTAAAAGGAGGTGCACAATCAATGAAATCACAGTGTCATCATCAGGGATCATGTGAGAATGACAGTGCACTCCACTGGAAGGATATTTGTGTCATAATTTTTACAGGCTTTCTTTTTTTAGCCACATACACAAATCATAATATATTCCACCATTCCAATTTATACAACTCTTTAATAAAAACAATTTTAAGACTACCACAAGAGCAAACTTCAAAATGTAAACAAGGGCCACGTTGACGAGGTCAAGGCAAAATCATCAACAAATTAATTCAGCAAAAATGAAGCATATTAAAACGTTACCTTTGTTAAGGTCCACTTGCTTTTCGTCCGTTGGAGAACCTGCCATTTTCTATATTATCCCTTGCTAATGAGTAATGTCTACTTTATGGATCGATCGTTTGCTACAGAAGGAAACTATCTGGTAAAAAACAACTGGGAACGAGTTGTCAAATTAGGAACCAGTCTAATGACGTAGATATAAAAATTGAATTATTTTATTTTTCTTTTAACCCTCATGATAATCTTAAACGATAAAAACAATTAATTCAGAGACTATATATTAAAATTAATTTTTCATAAAATTTTTAAAGTGTCAAAATCTTGTATCATGCAAATGCTTATAGTAATGAGAAATCAATCAGAACGCAAGCGCCACAAAGAAATAGATTGTCAAAAACAGCAATGGCGTTAACAAGAAAGGGAAACGTAAGTAAACCGATTTGTTTTTTCATTTAAATACAATTGATACTACTTGAAGAGATTTCAAGGCATAGAAGTTTTTTCTTTACATATGTAGATTTCCTATACAATATTTATTGGGAAATAATTGATTTTTCAAGCCAACTTTGTATTGAAAAAAATTGGGATTTCACAGGTTGGGACCCAAAGGCACTTGTTCCGTATACAGGGCACCCCTACTTATTTTTACCACAAGGTACCTAATTCAATTTCAGGTACCCCCACTTCAAGCCAGTATCTTATCAATTTATCAATCATTAACCTACTTCAGTAAGACATAGTTCGCTTCTAGAGACATTTTTTCTTTTCAAATATATTGTTCTATTCTCTATTGAGAAGTTGATGGCTCGTTTTAATACTCCCCCTCAACTTCATTACGAAAGGCCTAATAAAAGCAGTTCAGAAATCAACTAAATGAAGAACCAAACCAGACCCCACTTTGATCGATGTTTTAGGTCTGATGCAATATCATAGACGGGAAGTTTCTAGTATGCCGGTCCCCAGAATCACGCGATTGCGCATGAGCAGTTATTTCCCTTGCCGTTGCTATGCAGAATGTAAACAAACCGCCATTTTCCTCTCGCTTCAACAAAACGCATTCGATCGAGTGATTAGGGTTAGGGTATATTGTTTTAAGATTGGAACTGTTTTATAAATCCACTCTTAAATCTTCCTGACTTTGGGCTAATTCATGTAATTTTTGCTTACAAAAGGCACTGCCAAGTGCCTTTTGTGACCAAAAACTTGCATGAACCGTGCCGATATACCATCTTATAGGAGTAAAGCATGAAACATGCAAAATTTAAACAGACCGTTAATTAAATATGGCATTGTATGCGATCTACGAATTAGGGTTAGTGTATATATAGCTCGGATATTGTAACTGTTTTACATTCACCCATGCTTGCATCTATACCACTTTGGGCTTATTCATGCAATTTTTGCTTACAAAGAACAGGAAAGTTTTGCGAAACTTGGATGAATTAGCCTTGGTCTAATGTTGAAACATGCCCGATATTGTGCGCTAAGTTTTGGCAAGTAATTGGTAAAAGCGACTTGCCATTTACTTAAGCTCGATATCCTAACCTCCTAATGTCCATATTCAGAATATTTTTTTCTTTCAAATCAATGGTGATGTACAATTCAATCAACCAATTACTAGTAATTAGTTATCACTTGTTAAATCCCTGCATTTCTCACAAAAATCTCGCAATTTTAGTAGCATTTCACTTTGAGTCCTATCAGCTACTTCTTCATCAGTCTTCATTACGTCAAAACACAAGTGACGCACGTCATGAATATTTATGAGATTACGTCAAAAACTGATCATGTGACCACATTCCTAAACAACCCAAAATGGAGTTTTATCTACTAAACAAGTACGTTATTTTACGAAACCTTTTAATTCTCATTTAAAAGACTGTGTTTAAAAACCAGTTTTTTAAACCCAATTTTTCACAAGGAACACGATTTTTGGCTCAATTTTGCGATTTGTGGCCTTTTTTATCGATTTTGTCGATCGCTCACGTGATCGTATTATATTGTACACCGCCTTCGGCGGCATCTATTTTAGCGCCATATTTATAGGGACCGGTATTCTAGAAGTGTTCCTGAAAGGCCTAATAAAAGCAGTTCAGAAATCAACTAAATGAAGAACCAAACTGGACCCCACTTTGATCGATGTTTTAGGTCTGATGCAATATCATAGACGTAGTCTGGATGTACAGATGTTATTTTGCCATAGAAATGCGAATAAAATACCAATTCCGCTGACTAAAAACATGTTTTTAATGATAGAACACTTACTTGCGATATGTGTGTCGCCGGATTCATTTATTCATTCAAAACTGCGTTTGAACCGGGTTGACCTCTAAAAAAAGTCTAAAACTATTCCTCCGGATAACTATTTAACACTGGAACATATAATCTAATTTATCCGGAAAAAAAAGTTTTCGACCTTTTTTAGAGGTCAACCGGGTTCAAACGGAGTTTTGAATGAATAAACGAATCCAGTGACACAGATATCGCAAGTAAGTGTTCTACCGTGATAAATGTTTTTTAAGTCAGCAGAATCGGTATTTTTAATCGCATTTCCATTGCAAAACAACATCTGTGCATCTAAAATATGTCTTTTATAATGCATCAATCCTAAAACATCGATTGAAGTGGGACCCGGTTTGCAATCTGATTAAAATCAGATCCTTTGATCCGTTCTTCATTTAGTCGATTTCTGCACAGCTTTTATTAGGCCTTTCGTAGAGAAGTATTAAAATGAGCCATCAACTTCTCAATAGAGAATAATATTGTTCCAGACGTCCTTAAGCCTCTTTAAAATAAACCACTCATTTATTCCTTGAAAATCACCTCACAACAATTTAAGACTTTAGACGGGATACAAGAACTTCAGATTATAAGTTTTTGCGGACAAACAGACAGATGCACAGATAGGACAAAACCATACGCCACTGAATCTTCATTTGAGGAGGTATAATATTGAAATATATATCAGTATTAAAACATTATGTGAAAGAATTATTTATGTCAATTTTTTTGTGCAGGTGAGGCTTCCTCCAGAAGTCAATCGGATTTTATATGTCAGAAATTTACCATACAAAATAACAGCTGAGGAAATGTATGATATTTTTGGAAAATATGGAGCCATAAGGCAAATACGTGTGTAAGTACAAGTGGGTTGAAGATAGAATGTTGGCATTCAAAATATTATACATAGTACACTGTGAAAAGTCTAGGTGAAATATAGAAGTCCATACAATTTTAGAATGAGACCTACACTTACAGAGTTTTTAGCTCACCTGAGCTGAAAGCTCAAGTGAGCTTTTCTGATCACCCGTTGTCCGTCGTCCGTCCGTCTGTCCGTCTGTAAACTTTTCACATATTCAACTTCTTCTCAAGAACGACTGGGCCAATTTTAACCAAACTTGGTACAAAGTATCCTTGGGGGAAGGGAAGTTTAAATTGTTAAAATAAAGGGCCAAGTCCCCTTACAAGGGGAGATAATCAAGAAAAGACAAAAATAGGGTGGGGTCATAAAAAAATCTTCTTCTCAAGAACCACTGGGCCAGAAAAGCTGAAACTTATGTGGAAGCATCCTGGGATAGTGTAGATTCTAAATTGTTAAAAGCATGACCCCCGGGGGTAGGGCGGGGCCACAATAGGGAATCCAAGTTTTACATTGAAATATATAGGAAAAATCTTTAAAAATCTTCTTCTTAAGAACCACTGAGCCAGAAAAGCTGAAACTTATGTGGAAGCATCCTGGGGTAGTGTAGATTCTAAATTGTTCAAATCATGACCCCCGGGGGTAGGGCGGGACCACAATAGGAAATACAAGTTTTACATTGAAATATATAAGAAAAATCTTTAAAAATCTTCTTCTCAAGAACCACTGAGCCAGAAAAGCTGAAACTTATGTGGAAGCATCCTCAAGTAGTGTACACTCTAAATTGTTCAAATCATGACCCCGGGGATGGGGGGGGGGGGGGCACAATAGGGAATCTCAAGTTTTACATTGAAATATATAGGAAAAATCTTTAAAAAATCTTCTCAAGAACCACTGGACCAGAAAAACTGAAACTTATGTGGAAGCATTCTGGGGTAGTGTAGATTCTAAATTGTTCAAATCATGGCCACTGGGAGTAGGGCCGGGCCACAATAGGTATTACAAGGGGGGAAGTCTGGTAATGAACAGCATGGCCAAAGTTACTCAGGTGAGCGATGTGGCCCATGGGCCTCTTGTTATAAATAGTAAATTATTATTCATAATGTGAGGGGGAAAAAAATAATCCACATTTTTGAAATGTATTTGCCATTTGGATAATTTAGATGTCCAAGGGTTCTTTTTCTGTCATTGTTCTAAAAGGGAACAAGATAATGTATTTACATTCACTACATTCATGACATTTTCGATAAAAGAACCTTTTCTTATTACAGAGGAAACACTACAGAAACTAAAGGGACAGCATTTGTTGTATATGAAGACATTTTTGATGCCAAGAATGCATGTGACCATCTGTCAGGGTTCAACGTTTGTAACAGATACCTAGTAGTTCTCTACTTCCAACCTAACAAGGTAACAATAACTTACAGTTTACTGTCAGTCAAATAGAGAATATACATGTACATGAATAAGTCACATCTTACAGTCTTGGCTTTACTCAATATTACACATTTGATTGATATGTCATATAAGAGAATTTAAAATTTGATAATAAAAGTAAAATTTGTCCATACCAGAATTTAATTATGTTAATACTAATGCAATGTTAATTTACACTGCTCTACAAGTCATGCATAAATGGAATCTATTTACAGAAATCTTGTTGTACATTCATGTATCTCTGTCATCTCTTCTATTTCATTTTTAGGCATTCAAGAAAACAGATGATACCAAAAAGAAAGAAGATATTGAAAAAATGAAACAGAAATATGGACTTTCGACACCAGAAAAGAAGTAAACGTGACATGTGCAATCATTAGTGGATATTATTGTGACATTATTTTCATATGTTGTCATCCTCACAGTACTTGTATATCATAGATCTTACAGACAGACAAAGATACATTTATAAAAACAAGTACTTGTTAGGGCATCCTTTACTGAGGCAGTTGTGCAAATTTCTCATACAAACTATATTTGTTTTTTGTAAATCAAATCTCAATTGTAGATGTTTTAAAATATTTGTTAGTGCTTTTGTATAAAACACACATGGATAGTTTCAAGTTAAGACCTCACGTTATTAACATTTTAATTATAAATAGCTATGGTCACCATGTTTTGAAGCGCTAGAAAATGTGAGACATCTCATCATGGTCTGGAATTCATTTTGTATTATACATGTAGAATGATTGTAATTAAAAGAAAGATTTAATTATTATTTGTATAATGAAGTCTTACATACATGTACATGTCTTTTCACTTAAGAAAAACACAGTTCTGTTTCTGTTTTTTCCCACAAAAATTGAATAAAAAAGTATTTTTCCACAGAGAAACAGTTGTGAATTTAAGTATTGCTTAAGCAGTACTAGTTTCGTATTGGCAAGTGTAATCTGGTTCCCCTTAAAAAAAATTAAAAATGCTGTAATTCTATCAAAAATCATTGAATCAGAACAAAATCCAAACTTGATCTGTAACTCATCAAGGTACACTTGCATACCAAAAATCAGCTGATTATCTGCAAGCGTTTAGAAAAAAGGTGCAGCAAACCAGGTTGGACAGACTGGAGAATGACAGACAGATGAGGAGGAAACCTATAGTTCCCTCCAGTTTCACTGGTAGGGGATTACCAGTAATAATATTTCTAGCAACCCAGGTTCAAATCTTGGTCACAGCACCAATTGAAACAAAAGGAAATTCATGGCTGAACCATCAAAACCAGGACCCTCACATTACTATTCAGGTACTCTAACACTGAGGTACTTAGGTCGATATTCATGGTCCATATAGCCCAAACAACTACATGCATTTATTCACATCCACTGAATATTTCTCCTTTATTTTCTTTGAAATTGATTCCGTTTAAACATTCGATTAAACTACTGGTAGATGTGTTTTTAGCTCAATGAAGTTGGGCGAGCTTATGTAATACCATTGGCATCCCAGGTTTAAACTTCTTTCCAAGCACTTCTATGCCTTATGTTGATCAGAGTTGCATGGATGATGCATCTATTGTGTTTTATTGTGCCAATCAGGTTTCAGATGCTGCATTCTTAGACGAAGAATGATCAGGTTGATGTTTTTAGAGCAGGTTAAAGTGTTTGGAGCAGGTCTCCTTCCCAGGAAGCTAAAAGCCCAATGACTGACCAAACATGTATGGGTGATGCATCTAGGAATACACACTACCAGGCTTGCTTCAGATGCTGGATCTGACCTTCATTTTCTGGATAAATGATTAAAGTTTTTTTTAGAGCATTCCTAAGTAACTTCCTGGACAAAACTTAATGTATAGTGCATTTTAGGATGCTCAATACCATACTTGCTTCAGATTCTGGATAATTGACCTATATTTTGCAGATGAGTGACCATGTTAAAAGTTTTTTAGAGCAGGATCCAAGTAAGTAATAGTCTTGAGTTACCTAAACTTGCATGGATGGTGCTTCTGGAGATGTACACTACCAGACTTGCTTCATATGCTGAATTTTACAGATGATTCAAGGGAAATCTCATTTAAGATCTGTATCATAATTTTAATCTGAAGTCTTGCATGTAACAGGGGAAAAATTTTTGGATAGACAAACTTCCATAAATGTTGCATATAGGGATGCACACTACCAGTATATTTGTTTATAGTGTTGGACTTTGCCTTACTTATTGAATATTCGTTGAGGTGAGCTATGTAATCTTTGATTACCTTTATTTTTAAATCCATCTTTATAAATGATTTCTTCAAAAGTCAGCTCTTCCATCAAAGAAATGTATGGATCAATAATCCATTATTTTACATACTTTTACCCACTTTATACAAATAACATATATAGATATAAAAAAACAAAATGTCTTTCTAATTTATTTGTTAATATGACGATTAATGGTTGCAACTGTTGCAGAAAAAAAACTTATAACATTTGAACTATTTATAAATTACTTGTTTTCTAATCTTATGACATTTAATTTACTCGCATACTTATCTATTATTCTCAATATTACTGGTTGATACACTCAATAATATTTCAGATAATTTCATAAGTAAATGACCTTGACATTTGGCTACTGAAAAAGAATGCATCAAGATCTTGCAAAAAAAAACAACAAAGTTGGTAACTCGGTAACTTTATATGATCCCCATTTTAAATAGAAGATGCTTAAATGTTTTGCTGCATTCTTTTTCAGTAGCCAAATGTCAAGGTCACTTACTTATGAAATCATCTGAAATATAATTACATAACAGGCTTATGGAGTAAAGTCAAACAAATACTGGTAAAATCAAAACATTGTATTTTGTTTCACTGAAATCTTAACAATGACATATTAATTTAAAATCCAGTGTTGAGATTAGTATAGCTGCACTATGTGACGGAAAAATTCGTTTGTTGTTTTTTTTTTTCAAATTGACACTTGGCCATATACATGATAGTCTGTCACTTCTGATTCCTCCACTGAATTATCTAATTTATCATCAACATCACCGTCTCCAATCCCCGCCCAATCTAACACTGTAAAACAGTTCCCTACTGTTAAGTTGTCCGAAGCACTGGCACTGTTAAGACTGGGGGAATTATCACAATCCGCTCGGTTTGTCAGTTCAATTTGAATTTTGGCATCAGCTTTTTTCCTCAGGCTCCTTTTGTATTGTCTGTCACGTTCTTTTTCTTTCTGTCTGAATTCTTTATTGTTTAATCGGGCAAGTCTTTTTCTCTCTGCATCCCGTTTCCTTTCTCTCTCTCTGTACTCTGGGTCCTTCCTTCTGTCTTTCATTCTTTGTTTGGCTACTATTTTTTCCTGTTCCCTGATAGGATAAGATAATATTTCAATTAATTAAGAAGTGTGTTCCTAGGGATATTCCTCACCTACAGCAGCAGTATTTAGTTACATACACATATACAATACAATGAGGTAACCTGGTCTTAAACTTCTTTCTTGTATGTGAAATTGAGAAGAGGAAGTATTTGTTTAAAACATGATTTTATATTGAAATTGAAAAAAAAAGTTGAGGTCACATAGTGTTAACAGAATGGAAGTCCTAAAGCAAGAAGTACGCAAAGGTTTTTTTTTTCCCTCAACCACGTCAAAGATCAGGGATCAAAGATTGTCAATAACTCTTGCATTTTTAAAAGGCTACTAAACAATGAAACACTATATTAAATTTATGTCTTTCAGGAACAACAATAGCGGCAAAAATGCTTTGATTGAAAAGGGTCAATGTTAAGATATCCATGATTATATTGCTTTCTCCTTGTGACAAGGAAATAGGTACGTGTATGCTTGATATCAAAGCCCCATCTCTTACTCAATCTAATTTAAAATAGATGTTAGATCCACTTGCATACTCCAAACACTAACGTTAGTGTAGCAAGTATGTGAGTGGATCTTACATCTAATTTTAATCAAATAAAGTGATCTCTTACAGATAAAAAGATTGAAGCAGTTAATTTTTTTGAAAGTATGTCAAAATGTCGTTCAAAAGAGCAGGTGTGTAACCAAGCACTATGAAAAGGCTATGAGAATGCTTCCTACCAAAGTCTGACCTCTTATTGCACAACAGATCAGTATATTTATAATACCTGTATTCTTTGTTAGCCCTCTGCTCCCTTTTGTATATCTTATCCTTTTCTCGTTTTGTATGTTCTTTAACTGTCAAATGGCAGCTTTCTGGGTCAGTGTCTGGCTTCAACCCATTATCAGGAACAAGTGCTATGTATGATTGTACAAAAGACTCCTCACATCCATCTCTAAAATAACAATTAGACAATTCATCCTCAGGAACAAGTGCTATGTAAGATTGTACAAAAAAGTCCTCACATCCATCTCTGAAAAACAATAAACAATTCATTCTGCAATAAAAAAAAAATTAAATAAAACAATTCACTCTGCAGTATAATTAACTAAATAATTCAACATACCGGTACAATAAAACCTCTAGAATAAAGGTGCTTTGGTAGAAATAAATGCTAAATGAACTTAAAAAGTTTGACTGGCATCTCATGCCACTTGGTGTTTCTCAGCTGTGCCTTGACACATTGTCTTTATTTTGCTGAAAATATTCATCTTGACTTCTTTAGTTTGGGGTTAACAATTCATACACTAGTGTTCCATCCAGGCACGCTTGTTCTTTTGAAAGAGAGGATGTTAGCTCAACCATGTCACTAGCATTAATCTTTAGGTCTTGAGAGTGTATTCAAGAACACAGTAGGAATTGAATATGAACTTAATTTGTAGTGGTATTACTTAATAACTTGGACTTGCATATTTACACAATTTCATGTATAGAAAAAAAAAAATAATGATTTTATGTAAAATATTAGTTAACATTACTAAATCATTTTCAGAAGACGAAATCATGAATGAATGGAAAAATAGTGCATTAGAATAATGAAAAACAAGAGGCCCAAGGGCCTTGAATCACTCTTCTGATAAACTGTACAACCTATCACTTCTATTTGAAGCCTCTAAGTATCTGTATATTTAGATAAACCCTTGAAATTCCAAAGGTAGGTCATCATGACCTACCTTTTAGATGACACACTCTGAGAACCCAAGATGATCCTAAGCCAATTAGTACCTGAGAGTTGGTCATGGTGACCTACTTATCACTTGTCATTCTCTGAGGACCCAAGATACATCAACTAAGTTTGATAATTCTAAGCCAATTGATACCTAAAATATTTTTAAAATTATAACCATAAAATTTCAAAACAAGAAGTCTGTGAGCCAATGCTCACTAATAATACCCCCGCCCTGATGTGAATACACAAGTTCGGTTATGGACAAACACAGTGATAATCAGGAAATTGACATCGGATTTGTAAAAAATGAATCCCAACATATGGCATGCCTAAACAAAGACTGTGCTAAAATTTCAAGCATCTGCGATGTCATCATGAGTAGTTATCGAGAAAACTATGACCAAAATTTATTATGTATGGTACGGACAGATGCATGGATAAACAGGAAGTTGACATCGGATTTGTTCCAAAAATGAATCCTATTATCATGATTATATGGCATGCCTAAACAAAGATTGTGCTAAAATTTCAAGCATCTGCAATGAGTAGTTGCTGAGAAAACTACGACCAAAATTTGTTATGTATGGTACGGACAGATGCACGGATAAACAGGAAGTTGACATCTGATTCGTACAAAAATGAATACCACCATATGGCATGCCTAAACAAAGAGTGTGTTAAAATTTCAAGCACCTATGATGAGTAGTTGCTGAGAAAACTGCGACCAAAGTTTGTTATGTGTGATACGGACAGACGCACGGATAAACAGGAAGTTGACATCGGATTAGTACAAAAATGAATCCCACCATATGGCATGCCTAAACAAAGAGTGTGTTAAAATTTCAAGCACCTGTGATGAGTAGTTGCTGAGAAAACTGCGACCAAAGTTTGTTATGTGTGATACGGACAGACGCACGGATAAACAGGAAGTTGACTTCAGATTAGTACAAAAATGAATCCCACCATATGACATGCCTAAACAAAGATTGTGCTAAAATTTCAAGCATCTGCGATGAGTAGTTACTGAGAAAACTACGACCAAATTTTTTTATGTATCATACGAACAAACGCACGGATAAACAGGAAGTTGACATCGAATTCGTACAAAAATGAATCCCACCATATGGCATGCCTAAACAAAGAGTGTGTTAAAATTTCAAGCACCTATGATGAGTAGTTGCTGAGAAAACTGCGACCAAAGTTTGTTACGGACAGACAGACAGACAGACGGACAGACAGACAGACAGACACACAAGGGTAAAACAGTATACTCCCCTCTCCTTCGGAGCGGGGGTATAATTAGGTCACAGTGACCTACCATATATACTCGCCTATAAGTCAGTTTTTTGGGAGTTAAACTTTAGTCCAAAACTCTATATCCAACTTATACGCGAGTTATAAAAATATTGGTATTTTAGCAGGTCAATCCCTCTAATTTAAACTTAAAAAATACAACTGACTTAAAGGTGGACCAACTTATAGGCGAGTATATATGGTACTTTTCAGATGACATACTTTGAGGACCCAAGATGCATCAACTGACAAAGTCAGATGATTCTAAGCAAATAAGTACCTGATATATTTAAATAAAGCCATAAAATTTCAAAAATAGGTCACAGTGACCTCCTTTTCAGTCGACTAACTCTGCGGAACCAAGATGCATCAACTGACAAAGTTTGATGATTCTAAGCCAATTAGTACCTGAAATATTTAATTAAAACCATAAATTTTCATTTATGGTGACCTACTTTTCAGTCGACCTACTCCAAAGACCCAAGATGCATCAACTGACAAAGTTTGATGATTCTTAGCCAATTAGTACCCAAAATATTTAATTATAGTCATATAAATTCAAAAGTAGATCATAGTGACCTACTTTTCAGTTGACCTACTGTGAGGACCCAAGATATATCAACTGACAAAGTTTGATGATTCTAAGCCAATTAGTACCTGAAATATTTAATTATAGTCATATAAACTGAAAAGTAGGCCAGGGTGATCTACTTTTCAGTTGACATTTTTTGAGGACCCAAGATGCATCAACTTACAAAGTTTTATGATCATAGGCCTTAAAATGTCCAAATTATGCCTCTAAAACGCTTTGAAATCGAATGCCTGCAAAAGTTCAAAAAGTAGGTCACTGTGACCTACTTTTTAATGAATATGTTTTATGGCCCCAAGATGCATCATCTTACAAGATTTAATGTTTCTAAACCTCTCAGTAATGACCTTAATTGTTTTGGAAAAGATTAGCCATAAAATTCAAAAAGTTGGTCAAGGTGACCTACTTTATAGTCGACGTACTTTGAGGACCCAAGATACATCAACTGACAAAGTTTGATGATCATAGACCTTAAATTCTTCAAATCATTTTGAATAAGAATGGCCGCAAAATTTAACAAGAGGCCCATGGGCCACATCGCTCACCTGAGCAAATTTGGTAGGCAAAAGCACAAATCAGTTCAGTATTGAAAAGATTACAGGGGGGGGGGGGGGGGGGGGTTGAATTTTAAACTACCTGATGATATAATATAATAAATGGCTTTGTTGTACTTGAGAGGATTTTTTAAACAATTTTCCCATATATTCCTTTGTAAAAATTTGATCCCCCATTGTGGCTCCTCCCTATCCCAGGGGTCATGATTTGAACAAACTTGAATCTACACTACCTGAGGATGCTTCCATATAAATATGACTCATCAGGGCTTTGCTGTTCTTGAGAAGATTTTTAAAGATTTTTTCTATATATTTCTATGTAAAACTTTGATCCTCCATTGTGGCCTCACCCTACCCCTGGGGGTCATGATTTGATCAATCTTGAATCTACACTACCTGAGGATGCTTCAATATAAATATGACTCATCAGGGCTTTGCTGTTCTTGAGAAGAAGATTTTTAAAAGTTTTTCCTATATATTTCTATGTAAAACTTTGATCCTCCATTGTGGCCCCGTCTTACTCCCCGGGGTCATGATTTGAACAAACTTAAATCTGCTCTACCTGAGGATGCTTCCATATAAATATGACTCATCATGGCTTTGCTGTTCTTGAGAAGAAGATTTTAAAAGGTTTTTCCTATATATTTCTATGTAAAACTTTGATCCTCTATTGTGGCCCCGCCCTGCCCCCGGGGAATATGATTTGAACAAACTTGAATCTACACTACCTGAGGATGCTTCCACATGAGTTTCATCTTTCCTGGCCCTGTGGTTCTTGAGAAGAAGATTTTTAAAAGATGCTATTAATTTTTCACTAATTCTTTATTATCTCCCCTTTAAAGAGGGCGTGGCCCTTCATTTGAACAAACTTGAATCCCCTTCACCCAAGGATACTTTGTGGCAAGTTTGGTTGAAATTGGCCCAGTAGTTCTGGAGAAGAAGATGAAAATGTGAAAAGTTTACGACAACAACACCAACACCAACGCCAACAACAACAACAACGACGACGACGACAGACAACGGACAAATTTTGATCAGAAAAGCTCACTTGAGCCTTTGGCTCAGGTGAGCTAAAAAGTAGGTCACCATGACCTACTTTTGAGTCAACATGATATGAGGTCCTTAGATGCATCAACTGACAAGATTTGATGATCCTAGTCCTTATAGTAAGCAAAATATCAACATTTTAATAAAATGTAATTTTTGGACAACTTTGAAGTGACCTTGAGACCACATCCTTTGTCCCAGGGTAAATCCCCGTGGAAATTTTAATCTACAAAATATCCTCATCCTTTTATGTAAGTTTGATGATAATCTGCCCAGTGGTTCTTGAGAAGAAGATTTTTTAGCAACCAGTACTTTTGTTTCTATTTTCCTAATTATCTCCCCTTGTTTAAGTGTCACAACCCTAGTTTTAGTATAAACGGGAGCCCTTGGGCTAAGGATACCCTGTGACAAATTTGACAATAATTGGCCAAGGGGTTCTTGAGTTATGGCCCATATTCTAAAAAGTTTACGCACACCGCACAAATGGCCATAGCATTAGCTCTTTCAGCCTTTGGCTCAGAAGAGCTAACAATACTGATTCAGAAATATTTTAGTTTACAAAAGTTTAAAATATTGTATTCTTTACAAAATAATGTTTACAGGAACTAAAAAAAAAATTTACAAAATAATGTTACATTAAGTTTACATATTACAGGGAGCACAGATTAAAATTGTCGATCTTACCTCAGTTCAGATGGTGTGATGGGTGAAGGATCTTCCAAAGATGGCTGAAAATTTTCGTCACAAGATAATTCTATAGTGTTAAGAACATCAAGATCTCCAATAGGTACAACATGGGACTCTACATAATCACCACAAACGCTCTCTTCATCCGTGGTTGTTACAACAACAGTTTCCTGAGCAATATCTTCTGATAAGACCACTTCTTCAGCTGTATCTTCAGAGACTCCTGGGTTAGATGGTATTAAATACACTTGAACTCTACTGTTGACTTGATCTACAAAATTGATTTTAAATATAAAGAATACTTAAATTAACTGGAAACAGAGAGATACACTGTTTTCCATTCAAAATTTCACATTAAAGAAAAGTTGGCAAGGAAGACACACCAAAATTTAAAACTAGATTCTTGTAAAATAAAAACTGATCTGAGTAAAAATTGTACCAGTTTTAGTCTGTGTGAAAAAAAAATCACTTTCAGTCCTTTGGTTGTTGGTTTGTTAGATGTCTGGGCAATTCATTTGTTAACAATTTAACAACAGCCATTATTTATCATGATTATTAATCCAGAACTTGCAAAAAGTTACATTTATAATGATGGAATAATACATTTGTGTTAAGTGTAATACATATAGATCCTTGAGTTAAACTTTTAAGAAATTTATTATTCTAGTTGAACTCCCACTTCTACATGCATTTCACTTATTTTTCTTTAATTAGGATACATAGCTCATATCCTTTTTGTTGATGGACTACCTGTCTGTCATCTGAATGTTGACTTTTGTAATGATTAAAAAGTATGGAACACCCGTTGGAAAAATATTTTTTCAAATAAAATGAAATTTTACAGATTTCCCTCCCCATTTTTATTTTATTTAGACCATTGTATATATAACCAAATAAAATTCATAATAAAGTTCATATTTTGAAAGCCTTAAGTTTGTATTATTGTTAAGTTTTTTTGTAGATTTACATCATAAATTAAAAAATAAAAATTGTACTTTGTGACAGTGCCAAGCCTCTATGCTTTTCAATACCGCAATACAATGAGACTCTCCACTTCAGGAGGTAAATAAGACTTCCTGTTTTAAAAATAGTCTACAAAATAAACGAAGAAAGCTTATAAAATATTTAGCCACTAAAAAATGGGTAGAATTTACTTTATCCTGCAACCACCCCTTGCATTGACCTAATAAAGGTAACATTATAAACCAAAGCTTTATTCGGTCAATGCCCTAATAAAGCCTCGTGCATATATTCCAACTTTCTAAAAGCATTGTGATGTCATGAATATTGCAGTGTTTACGCCATGGCGTCTTAGTTTCAACTGCAGAGATGTACCTAAATCGGTTGAAAACAGTTCGTTTTGAAGGTCATGTATAAATGTGTTGCAGGATAAACAAAATACATGGAGTCTGTCTTGAAATATAAGCGATATTTGGGCAAGGGTAAGAAAACGTGATAGACGTATCACGTTTTTGACCCGAGCCCAAATATCGCTTATATTTCAAGACAGTAACCATGTATTTTATATTTACCGGTCCCTAGATCCGCAAGATCCGCACGCTCATTGCACTATGACGTAAGATTTACGTCACTCAACTGATTAGGGTTGGTTTTGCACATTTTTCGACTGGTTAGGGTTAGTCTTGCACACACCTGAAAGATTAGGGTTAGTCCTTGCATAAGTTTTCGATTGATTAGGGTTAGTATTGCATCCATCCAAGAGATAAGGGTTAGTCCTTGCACATGGGTTAGTCTAGCATGGTCTAGCAATGCTTGTAGCATCCGCCTGGGAGATTTGGGTTAGTCCTCGCATACCATCCGAGAGATTAGGGTTAGTGTCTTGTTCTTTTAGATTTTTAAGAAATTCAGTTGCATCTGTATTTTTTGCAAGATCTTAATTAATTCAGCTTCATTGACATCTCGTTGGTTTGTTTACATGAAAAAATAGCTAAGTAAGAAAGAAACGGCACTTAGCATGCGCCGCACGCGCTTCGTTCACAATTATTTTTTGTCTCCTTTTCACTTTTCACTTTTCTTTTTTCAATAAACAATATTAATTACTTTTTTTCAGATAATGAGGTTAAAAACTTCTTTAAAAACGAAGTTTTAAACTAAACTTTTAACCGTAGAATTCGATTTTGGGGTCAAAAAGGCTTAAAACCTCATATTTTTAATTTTTTTTGATCGCTCACACAATCTCATATATATTGAAGTCACCTAAGGTGACACTATATTTTAGTGCGTTTTTCTGGGGACTGGTAAAGTCTTTCCTAAAAAGTTAGGCCATTGATAGGTTTATGAATAGTGTTTGGTGAAAAGTTAATGTAAGAATTTGGAATAACTTTTTTAATGCAAAAGAAATAAGTACTGTGATATTATGAGACACCAGTATAAAACTGAATAGGTACCTTCGCTCGCCCTAACGGTCGCACCGTCAATATATTATGAAAAATTTAAAACGTGCTAATTTTAGCAATTTTTGATTAATTGTAATGAGTGTATTCAGACATGCCTAGAAAAACAAATAATACACAAAATATATCATCCTGAAACCAAGCGCCTATGATCAAACTTACCAGTCATACCCAAAAGTAACCACACATTTGTAGTGTCTATTCTTTATGTATTTTCTTATTTATGTATTTTTAAATATATACTTTTTTCACAATAGAAACCAATATTTATCAATTTTCTAATTTTGCTCAGAAGCAAACTCTCAGTCCCTGGTTTGTTGCTCTGTTAAACAAACCGGAAACGAATATGATAACCTAATTGAAAAAACAGTTTTTTTTCTCTCCGGAAATTGAAATATTAAGAAATCTATTTTTGAAATAATACATGTATGAAGAAAGATTATGCATTTTATATTTTTGTTATCATATTTAATTTCAAATGCTTAACACATACAAAAAGAGTTATATAATTTGTTATCATTCCTATGAACTCTTTAAAGAACGATTTAATGAATATTAAACCGGATATTATGTTATTTTGTTTCCGGTTTGAGTTGATGAAGTGAGGAAGATGAAGATTTTTATTATTTTCTCCTTTTGCATGCAGTTATAGTAGCGAAATAGAAGTCACTGGTTATTTTTTACTTCTGGAAATCATGGTAATAATAACTAAATAAGAAAATAAACTTGCTGATTTATGGCGTGATCAAAAGAATATTGTACCAAAATAATTTGACATTTGACAGTGTCTGATACTAAGGATTTTATTTAGTGTGTCAAAAATGGCATTTCAGTTAAATGGCTGACTATATTTTAGTCGAATTAGTATCCTCCCATTATTTTATGAAATGTAATAGGTATATGGGACGATGAGGGAGCTTGATGCTTTTTTGTAGATTCACAATGATTTAATTAAGCTTAATTTTGTAGTTATCTTAAAAAATATTGACAAATTAAAAAGAAAGAGTATGAATTTAGTGCACATTCTTCAAGCAATTCATCAACTGGGATTTTAACTTTCGTCAGAGACGTAAACAGAGATTTGCAACAGTTCAAAATATTGCAGGTGTCAACTCTCGCATGGTTCAGATCTCTTGTATACTAGAAATTGTCAAAAATAACGAAATAAAAGTTCTTAATCCCTATCAATAATTACCCAGAATGTAACATTTTTGAAAGTTTCTTTATTCAATACATAAACAAAAAGAAATTTTGAAAGTCAACAGGTGATGTGTGGTTAGTTATGTCTCTCGAGATTTCGACAACTTTCGATTATTGGCCTATTTTACTTTTGTTAACGATAAATCAATTTATAGTCTACAAATCCTTATTTAGAATTAATATAAATTTAATATCAGATCAAAAAATAAAACCAGTAAAGAGTAGTTTTAAAAATAATGCCAAGTATGGCATTTATTTGAGCAAATAAAAGTGGATAATGCTTGCAATAAAATATTGCCACTTAAAATGCCATATGATAATCTTGTGAATTTAGTTTTTAATATTCATTTTTCTATATAATCTTTATTAGTAATTGTCTTATGTTTTTAGAATTTGAAGATTGTTGATGGATCCATAGTGATTTTGTATTAAAATTCAGCCATTTGGAAAATGATTGAATCAAGAACATTTTCTGTATCCACTCAAACTCAAAATGCCTTTAAGGTCATGCATGAGTTAAGACTTCGTAACTTATTATGTGACATCATACTCAGAGTTGATGGGAAGGAGTTCACTGGACATAAAGTAGTGTTATGTGGGTGCAGTCCGTACCTCTGTGCCATGTTTACAAATGGAATGTTGGAATCAGAAAAAACACAGGTTGAAATACAAGGACTGGAGTCCTGGGCAATGGGGGAATTAATTGAATTCATGTACACGAGTGTGATTGAGATAAATGTGGACAATGTTCAAGGAATTCTACAAGGAGCCAGTTTACTAGGATTGCATCAACTGAGGAAGATGTGTGCAACATTTTTACAGTCTCAACTTACTGCTTCCAATTGTCTTGGTAAAGTTATCATAAATAGATATACTGCAGCAATGCTTTTTATGCCCCCGTAATTGAAGATTCTGGGGCATATAGTTTTTGCCCTGTCCATCTGTCTAGCTGTCTGTCAGTCTGTTTGTCCGCAAAAAATTTAACCTTGCCCATAACTTTTGATTGCTTGGAGCTATGGCTTTCATATTTCACATGTTTATTTCTTATGACAAGACCTTTCTTTGAGTACCACCATATTTGACCTCTTTCCTTGACCTTGTAGTTTGACCCACTTTGCAAAATTTTATCAGACTTTAACCTTGGCCATAACTTTTGAACAGTTGGTTGTAGGACTTTCATACTTCAGATGTGTATTCCTTGTAAAAAGACCTTACTTTGGATACCAACAACTTTGACCCTTTGACCTTGGAGTTTGACCTACTTTTGAAAAAAAACTTTAACCTTGGCCAAAACTTTTGAACAGTTGGTGCCAGGGCTTTCATATTTTACATTTATATTATTTGTGACATGACCATTCCTTTGGATGCCAACAACTTTGACCCTTGGACTTTGACCTTTGGTCATAACTTTTGAACAGTTAATGCTAGGAATTTCATACTTCAAAAGTGCATTACTTACCATCAATTTCGACCCATTGACCTTGAACTTTGAGTTTGACCTACTTTTAAAAAACTTTAACCTTGACCATAGCATTTGAACGTTTGTTTCTAAGGCTTTTATATTTCACGTACATGTGTATCACTTGTGACAAGACCTTCCCTTGGGCACCATTTGACCTTGACATTTAACTTACTTTTGAAAAACTTAAACCTTCAACATAACTTTTTCATGGTTGGTGATAGGGTTATCATATTTCACAGGTATTCCTCAAGACAAGACCTTTCTTTGGGTACCAACATTTTTGATCTCTTGACCTGGAGTTTGACTTGCATTTGAGAAACTTTAACCTTCGCCATTAGCTGTCATACGGGGGCATCAGTGTTTCACAAACACATCTTGTTAGTCTTGTGGTCGTTTTGATTTGTTTCATGATGTTCTTATAATTATTATCACAACAACATCTGAATATGCATACTTTTTCTAATTGTAGGAATCCATGGTCTTGCTGATATGTATATGTGTGGAGAACTAGAATCTGCCTCAAGACATTTCATTAATCAAAACTTCTTAGAGGTCATTCACTGTGAAGAATTCATGCAGTTGTCATGTGACCGCCTTATTACACTGCTCAAAAGTGACAAAATCCGGGTGAACAATGAAAACCAAGTTATGGAGGCAGTGAATAACTGGATTCAATGGGATCCAGATAACAGATATTCCGAAGCTTGCCGTCCACTCCAACACGTCAAGTTGCCACTGTTAGGTATTTCTCAATTAGAAAATGTAGTTGTGCAATCAGAATATGTGAAGAATTGCCCCAAGTGTCAGTTGTTGATTAGCAAAGCTATTACGACTCTGCACGATGAGACGTCCTTACAGTTGATCAGACCGCGTGCCATGCCCATAAGTATATATGTCCTTGGAGGTCGAAATAGTGCCGATTGTCAGTTACCTAGTACTGAGAGATACGATTTCCTCCTAGATCAGTGGACACATGTTGTAAGTAAAGTACCATGTAGTTTTATGTTTGGACTAGGAAATGAAAATATGGTCATTTGATGAGATAAAAATGCCAATTCTTTTACTTCTTTCTTTAGATGTCCTCTTAATGAACTAAAGCTTGCTCAATCCAATGTAATTGTCTTATTTCTGCAAACATTTTTGCAATTACCATAAACTTACTACAATTCACACCCCCTTGACCTCTCAAATTCTCTCCACCATCCCTTCTCACAAAAAAAGGAAAAAATTTAAACATAAAATTAAAAATTTTCCAGAGTGATATGAACATAGCCCGTACAGCAGTAGGAGCATGCAGTATAGAAGGCATGCTGTATGCTGTAGGAGGGGAATGTGCCTTAGCTGACACTCAGGAGGACACGCTTTACTTACGCTGCGTGGAGTGCTATGATCCTGTACTCAGACAGTGGGTCCCTAAACCTGACATGAAAGTAGCGAGGTCATTTGTGGCAGTAGCAGCAGTTGGGAAATACTTGTATGCAATTGGTAAGTTGTTAAATTTGATGGTTGAGTGATGACAGTATAATTGAATACACAAGGTGTTCCTTAGAGGAATTTTTTTTACAAAGTACCTCTCTTGCCCATTTCCTGGTGCTTTAGATAGTAATGCAAATCTATGAAATAGTTACTAAATGGATTGAAATTAAGTTTAGCTGTTTTTTCTATGCCTGATAAAACTTTTTAGGGATGGTAAGGAGGAAACACAGGGAACAAATAGCTTGCTTATTTCATTGATACATTGTATATAGATGTATTAGTCTTTCACATTTATAAGTTGATTTAATCTCTAATTTTATATTTGTCAGCATTTTTTTTATTTATTTTTCAGGTGGGGAGGATCGTTCCACTAGTTACAGCATAATGGAAAAATACGACATTAATTCAGAGATCTGGTCGTTTGGTCCAAACATGAAGAGGAAACGAGCTGGAGCAGGGGTGTGTGTATGTGATGGCAAGATCTATGTAGCAGGTGAGTTTTAATGGCTGAATATGTTTAAAATCAAATTATTAATGACAAGATTAAAAGAAATCCACAATATAATATATTGATAGGTAAAATGAAACAGAGAGCTGTACATGTACTGTGGAATCATCATTGTTCGTGGGGGGATCAATGTTCATGGATTTCATGGGTCACTCTTACCCATAAATTTATATCCCCATGAATGTTAATTTTGTAAACATATTGATTCATTGTATATACCATATAAACTAGTAACCAACAAAATTACATCCCCACGAACAAGTAAAATTTTGCTTGCCAACGAACATTGCCCCAGGATTTAAAATTAAAATGATTCCACAGTACTTGTATATTGGAAATCCAAGTGATCTGTACTCACAGTAAATTATTTAGTCAAACTGTATGAAGTATGTTTTACTGCATACAAGAACAGCTGAAAGTTATCAGTTGATTATCTACATGTATTTCTTTGTGTATGTAAATGTTTTTATTTATATTTACATTTGTAAATGTTTTCTTTTATATAGCACTATTAAAAGCAATGCGTATCTATATCCGTATAAACATGGGTTCCTCACGTCATAAACGTTCGACATAATTTCTCAGTGACGTCGTAAAGGGTCGACACGCAATCAATAGATCAAACTCGTGCCGTTGAGTTTGAAAAAATAAAACATTTCACGCGTTAAAGGTTATAATAAAGCTAATTTTTAATATGAATAAGTCACAAATGTAAATATAAGTAATAAGGTATCATTTTAAAACATCTATCGGGATATAAATACAGGTTGGTACGAGATCCAATTTACCATAAAGCCCTTTGGGTTTATGGAATTTGATCTCATGACCGACCCATATTTATATCCTGATAGATGTTTAAAAATGATACCTTATTTCTTAAATATACAGGAGGATATGATAAGACTCTTCATATGGATCGAGCCAGCGTGGAATGTTACGACCCCAATACTGATGATTGGACATTTGTAACGGAAATGGAGAAAGCTAGATCAGGTCTGTCTGTGGTCGCCATTGACCACAACATCTACATGATTGGAGGGCGATACAAAACAGCTGATCAGTACTTCGATGTGGCAGAAAGGTACAAATGTACTTTCTCTTTTTGATGGTTAAATATTTTACATCAAGGAAGAGGAAAAGTGGGTTTTTTTTTTTTTTTTTTTTTTTTATACATATTTTGCACTTAAAATACAACAGATATTCTGATATCATCATAACAGCACATTTCATCATTCAAGTTTGAAAATCTTAGAAGTGATTAAAAAATCAGGAAAAAAATTGAATGTGCTTTTGAATTATGATAAAATTTTCTTGCCAGGTATAACACTATTACTAACCAGTGGACCACCCTGTGGTCAATGAACCAGCCAAGAGCCTGGCCAGGGATCGCAGTGTACGATGGAAGAATTTATCTGATTGGAGGATTTGATGGCTCGTACAGACTCCGAAGTGCTGAGGTGTATGACATTGATAGAGACAGGTGGTCATTTATCAGTAATATGTTGGTGGGGAGAGCAGGATGTGGGGCAGCCATTGTGTGAGGAACCCCTCCCACTTTCCATGATAAACAGAAGAGGTGCTGATAGCTCCCTAGTCTTGTGGTCTTTTTTGTGAGGATCCATTGTGATATTTTTACAAACACTCCCAGCACAAATGTTGTGATATATCATTTGGGCATTGGTAGAATCTTTTCTTATTCATTCAAGGCTGTGATGTAGAATTAGTAGGGTAAAGATATAGGGAATATGTCTAGTAAAATGGGTAGTGTAATCAGTGCTGTTAAATGATATATATGTATGTATACTTGTACGTACAGTGCTAGTAGTTCTAAGATTTACACTAAGATATAGTGTAACTTACTTGATTCAGTTTGACAATTTTTGTCAGTTGCAAGTGCATTTTTATGTTATTCTCAGAAATTATCTACAATAGTCTTCCAAAGACTTTGGACAGACATGATTCTTATTTTCAATTTTCCAATGACTACTGTGATGAATATTGTTTTTTTTTTCACTGAACGTTTTCCATATGGAGTTCTCGTTTTGATGATGAAATGCATACTTTACATGTATATGCTGCAGAATTGACTGCTTTATGTTGGGTCTTGGATTTTATTTACATGTATTGTATATGATGTTGTGGTACTACATATAAAATATATTTTCTTTGATACTTGCCTGAAATGTTTTGAATGTACTCTAAGGTATATTGTAGAAGAAAGTGATTTCATGTGAAGACAATGTTCTTTTAATATTAAAGCAAAGTTTTTACAATTGAATTTCTACAGCTTAACAGATGGAATAGTTTAATCATGTCACTATTGCCCAATAGTGATCCACAACTGTTTTACGAAGTAACCAATCTTGGAAGATTTCTTTAGATGTGGACATTTCCAGGTGGATGAATTGCTTCAAAGCTTACTGTTGTAGTGAGTCGTATAATTTCCCAAAGATCATTGACTGTTTTTGTTTTACTATGCTTAATAAATGATATTGAAACTTTCATATTTTATCCGTTATTTACCGTAAAATTGATGGAATTTTTGAGAGCCGATTATTATCTATTGGTATACCTCTGTGGTTTGTTTGGATGTCTGCTGCATTGGTCATCATCCCAGCACTGTCATGCAAGCATACATAGCCAAATGCTTCTCACATGATTTTACATAAAAAGATTTTCAGAATCATGTTACTGTAATTCTCATTATTATTTTCTCTATTGTTGCCAGCTATCTGATTGGCTTAAACTAGATCACATGATCAAGTAAATCTAATAAACTGGGTGTTTCTATTTTAAGCTCCTAAAAATTATAACCTTAATCAAACAAACTAGACAGTGATTCCTTAATTATCACATTTAATATTATATTGACTGTTCAATGCTGTTCTCTGCATATTTAAATGCTTTAACAGGAAGAAGGACAGACTCTGTGCTGAAGGTATACTTTTGAAGAACCTGGGGATATTTAGCTCTTCTGAGCCAAAGGCTCAAAGAGCTAATGCTATGGCCATTTGTGCGGTGTGCATAAACTTTTTAGAATATGGGCCATAACTCAAGAACCCCTTGGCCAAATTTGTCACAGGGTATCCTTGGCCCAAGGGCTCCCATTTATACTAAAACTAGGGTTGTGACCCTTAAACAAGGGGAGATAATTAGGAAAATAGAAACAAAAAAACTGGTTGCTAAAAAATCTTCTGATGAAGAACCACTGGGCAGATTATCACCAAACTTACATAAAAGGATGAGGATATGTTGTAGATTTAAATTTGCATGGGGATTTACCCTGGGGCAAAGGGTGTGGTCTCAAGGTCACTTCAAAGTTAACCAAAAATTATATTTTATTAAAATGTTGATATTTTGCTTAATATAAAGACTAGGCTATCAAATCTTGTCAGCTGATGCATCTAAGGACCTCATATCATGTCGACTCAAAAGTAGGTCACAGTGACCTACTTTTGAAATTTTGCGGACATTCTTTTTGAAAATGATTTAGAGGCATACTTTGAACAATTTAAGGCCTATGATCATCAAACTTTGTCATTGATGTATCTTGGGTCCTTGGAGTATGTTGACTAAAAAGTAGGTCACCTTGACCTACTATTTGAATTTTATGGCTGTATTGGGCACTATTTGGCTTAGAATCATCAAAATTTGTCAGTTGATGTATCTTGGGTCCTCGGAGTAGGTCGACTGAAAAGTAGGTCACCATGACCTACTTTTTAATTTATATGACTATAATTAAATAGTTGGGTAATAATTGGCTTAGAATCATCAAACTTTGTCAGTTGATGCATCTTGAGTCTTCGGAGTAGGTCGACTGAAAAGTAGGTCACCATGACCTAATTTTGAAAATTTATGGCTTTAATTAATTATTTAAGGTACTAATTGGCCTAGAATCATCAAACTTTGTCAGTTGATGCATCTTGGGTCCTCAGAGTATGACAACTAAAAAGTAGGTCACCGTGACCAACTTTTGAAATTTTATTGCTTTATTTAAATATTTTTAGGTACTTATTGGCTTCGAATCACCAAATTTTGTCAGTTGATGGGTCCTCAGAGAATGACAAGTGATAAGTAGGTCACCATGACCTACTCCCAGGTACTAATTGGCTTAGAAACATCTTGGGTTCTCAAAGTGTTTCATCTAAAATGTAGGTCATGATGACCTACCTTTGGAATTTCAAGGCTTTATCTAAATATACAGGATACTTAGAGGCTTCAAATAGAAGTGATAAGTTGTACTGTTTATCAGAAGAGCGATTCAATGCCCTTGGGCCTCTTGTTTTTATAAAGACAACTACTGCACAAAGAACAAATATTTCAACAACTTTATTTCTCAACATACAATTGTATGTAAAACTCCTTTCCAACCAGCATGAACAATATCTTAGAATAAAAGAAACACTAGCTAATATAAATACTAGTGTTTTAACATTCACATGGCAGAATTAAAGAACATTTATCTTGGCCTGCACTCCCTGATTAAATAAAATCTTTAAACACAAACATAAAATATGGTCATGGTAATTTTTACAAAAACATATCATTGGTTTGGTCAACTTTTAATTATTTTAATGAAAGCATACAATATACCAAGACTGTATTCCTACACACATGGTGGAATTAAGTAAATGTGTAAATAGTTAAAAATCAATTCACAAAATACTGTTGAAACAACTTATATTTTCTACCTATTCAAGAAATTTGTAAGCATTTAATATAAGATAGCTATGACAGATTATCAAGAACAGTTTTTTTTCAAACATGACTATCAAACAAGGCATTTGACACATATCATTGTGTAGGACCTTTAAGTGGCACCGTTGTCAGGACTTGGGAGAAACCTAGAGGTAGAGGTAAAGAAGACAGAAATTAACATTTCTGTGATAACTTTAAAAAATAAATAAATAATTTTAAAAAAAATTAGGGATTTCTTACTCCAAAATGAAGACCTAAAATAATTCATACTATCCACAGAGGAAAAGTGCTTCATGTGTATTTCATTAAAAGAATTGAATTAAACCTAAAAATATGATATTTAAAAAAATATACCACTTTAAAATCTTACATATTAATTTATGCAATTTTTGTCAGACTGAAACTTAAATTCATCCATTGCAAAGAGCAAATAAATTTCAATGAAAATTCATTGACTGTATTATAGAAACTTAATTGCATAAAATTTATACCATAATAATAATATAAAAAAAATATTATTGAAGAATTATTTCTTTGAGATTCTCAAGGTTGAGCAAACTTTGGGAAGCAAAGAAAAGGGTTTCTTAATTGTCTACTTTACATTTTAAAAAAAAAAATGGAATGATGAAGTTGCAGATCAGATACTGGTACATGCAACTGTGTTTAAACAAATGGTGCTAGCAAAATTAATGAATTAGTTATCACAAATCTATAATTTTGACAGGGTGATTTTATAATTGAACAGAGGTATTTCTACATTTAACACACTACTTTCCACATTCAATATCTGTGTATGAGCTGTGTAATCATGTGTTTCACATCAATACATAAGTGGCAATTCTTTATCTAATTCTCCAGTAAAAGAACCCTTTTTTCTGGGGGGGGGGGGGGGGGACATGTAGTGCTACACATCTATATACTAGATATTAAAAACTTTAAGACTAAAATGATAAAATAGTTGAACTTAAACAAGGGAGAAGAGTAAAATCATCATGCATTTCAACACATCTAAAATACATACTTGTAAAATGCAATGAACAGAAGTACTGTCTGAAGCACTTACTTAGCTTTGCTATATACACTTTTTTAGTGGCTGAGTGAAATTGTGAATTACTGGTATATTGTTGAAATCCTCATTAAATTCATGTCGGTGAATATCCTTTAGATTTTCAGTACATTACCCCTGATGCCTTAAGGTCACTGTCCGATTTACATCAGCTTAGTCAATGTCAAATTTAAATCCATGTATTCAGAACATTGTGTATTTTAAATAAGACATTAAAAACACTTTGAGTTCAGGCTACATCTCAGACGAAAATATCTCTATAATTATACAGTGTCATTTTTCTACTTTTTGATCAATACTTATACTTATTAAATAAAGATACTATGAAAAAAAACTTTTTTTTTATTTTATTGTGAGAAACAGATACTCAATATGTGAGTTTATCAAACTTTTGAATTCTCTGAAAAAAATTGCCCTGAGATGCAAAAAAGATTCAGAAAAAGAGATTTTCTTTCCATAAATTCTATAATGATAGTGTTTTGTCCCATGTGAACATAAATTACATGTGTGTTAATGATTCAGTTGTGATGTAAACAATGTAATATTTAAGCATATTCTGTGTCACACTCTCTAGACACACGAGCCACACTAGTGTTCAGATCCAAATACATGTGTATAACTTCCAACACACTTAAAAATTACCTGTCTCTTTCTAAATCTAGGCTGCAAGACAAAAGGAAGCATCATGTTATATGTTCCTCGATCTACCAATTAACTAACAAATACCGCTTACATTTACAACATTATTAATATGTCTGAAAAACTTAAAATTAAATAACAATATTGAACATAGTTACATCTAAGAATAATTTTCAGCATTTAATACAAAATTCCCATGCATTTGTATATATTTCGTTATTAAAGCTGGTACATTTCCTTTTTGAAAATAAGCACAAAATGGAAGAATTTTATACATGCCCCATTTTGGACACAGTTTACTTTATAATTACCCTGTAAGACATCTATATGTTACCGAGATTTAAAATAATGAGACAGTGCAGGATAAATTTGTCAAAGACAAATCAATAACAACATTAATTCGATAACATTTCAATTTTCCTGTCATCTTTAAAGCTTAGAGACAATGCAAAAAAGCATATAAGTTGATAAAAAGTATTATCAGAATACAATTGTAAATTATGTAAAGCTGTTGTATAGAACGGCATTACATGTAGGAATGCTGATAGATATCACAACCATATTTAAAATGCGATCTCAGGAAGCAGAATTGAGCAAAATGTCATGAAGCTAGAATCACAGTTAAATGACACTATCACAGATGTGTGGTAATTTAAGACATCAATAAATATATATATATATATAAAAAACAATAGCAGACACAGATAAGATTCCAATTATAGTCAAAGAAATGGCTACCCTACCATTTCTTTAAAGCTATGTTCAAAAAGTACTTGTTATAAAGCTATGAAAAACTGAGAGATATGTTCTGTTTGGCAGATAGATAGTTCAGCCTATCTCATAGACATAGGTCTGACTATAACCCCAGGGTTGGCCACAGTTACAGTAGTGGATGTGGATAATGGCCGCCCAAAAGAGGCATAGCCGCTCTTACTTCTCTGTCCTCGGGGCTGAAATCCACTTTTGGCACGGTTTGTATAGGCGCTGGGGAAGCGCTCCTTGAGGGCTACTTGTAGATTATCCCCCTCTCTGTTCTTTTTCTTCCCCACTGGTGCCGTCTGTGGACGCTGGATCTTGGGAAATTGCTGAGAGAACCATTCCTCAAAGTCCTCTACACTCATCTCCACGATTTTCTCTCGACAGAATTCTATGGCAGCACAGATGTCGGGGCTACAGATCTCCCACTCACGCAGTCTCTCTAGCACTTTAAAGAATGTTCTCTTGCTCAATTGTTGACCAGCTCCCTCAATCTGACAGAATAAAAAATAAATCCTGATCTCATATATGAATACAAGAACCTACATTCAATTTTAAGTGATAAATTTTTATTTTCTGCAATTCTAGTAGTAATGATATTATAATGTTAGTATAAAATATAATGGTACATAACAATAAAATGTAATTTTAGTTGACAATAAAGAAAAGTACAAAATTATTCATCATAAACGTATAATTCCATGTTAATAAACTTATAGTTGAAATAAGCACGTAAATTTCTTTGACCAACTGTTGGTCGCTGATCAGTGAAAAGTTTGGTTGGGAAATTTTTTGTTTTACATAAAATAGATGTATTTCATAGTTATCATGCAAATGTACAAAAAGGGTCACCAAGTTTAAGAGATTTTAATATGTCCAAGCTAGGATAAATTGGTCTTACATACATGTATCTATGTAGAATATACTATAAGGGACAGGTGAATTTCCTACTTCTAACAATACTGGTTTTCATAACAGAATAACTTACAATCCAATGTACTCTGGAGTACATGTAACTGTCCTCTGAAAGTCAAAGAGTCTAATGATTCTAAGAAATGTCTGGATGTATATTTTTCTTTTACCTACATGTATATCTCTGGAGTTCAGTATTAGTTTTAATGAAAGAAAAATGTTAGTCTGTAAAGCTGTATATTCCTAAATCTAAAGATATCTGACTTGTATGATTATATTATATATATTTTGAATGAACATAACTAAATTGTTTAAAGTAAAAAAAAAATGATAAAAAATGAATAAACAAAATAAACGCATATGCGAGAAACACTCAATCTGCCCGAATGGTGACATATGCCAATCCAAGCACCAGCTACACAATGATGCCGAATCTCATCACTCATATTTTAAAACATAATTATGATAATAATTACAAGATACAGAATTAGACACAATAATATTCAAAGATTTTGAAATTAAAATTGGTTGAAGATATCCTGGAGCCAGACAGGCAGACAGACAGATATGTCAATTACTATATGCTCTAATTAGTTAATTTGAGTTGAAATCATTGAATACAATCATCTCAAAAATGTGTTTTAAGTGAACATGTCAACTTCAACATCTTATTTTATAAATGGCTTCAGTGAAATGGAGCAAGCAGTACATATATTAGCTAATTTTGATGGAAACAAGTGAAGATCATGCAAAAGATTTACCATCTAGAGAATAGCACTTGAACTATTGTGTAGAATTGCCAAATCAATTAATTCTTAAATTATGTATTTTGCTAATGTTATTTGAGTTGGGAATTCGTTGATAATTGTACAAGGATCCAAAATCAGGAAACTAAGAACTAGAACTAACTGATCTAGAAAATGAAAAATACTGTTAATTATTAAAGAATGATTGAAATCAAAGAAGAAACTATTGTTCAAAGTGCTATTCTCTGTCATTACCTGTATAATGGTAGCACGTCTTTGGTCTAGACCACGGGGCTGTGATAATATTACAGTGACCAAACATAAATGTGTGTTATGTACAAAAAAAAAACAATAACTGATACCGTGTTTCGGCGAGTAGTCAAACCCCTCTGAAGCTAAATGGTGTCACATAAAAATAAATGTTTAAATACATAAAATGTTTGGGAAAAGGGATATAACTCAAAGTAATTCCTCACTATCATGAATTAATGAACCTGAAAAATAAACATCAAACAAACTAGCAAAAATCTCCTACACAGGTTCACAAACAGATTGGATCTGAATGGAAAACAAATAAATTTAGAAGCATGAGGGTGCTTTAAGCTAAATATCACTCCAGTACAAAAGGTGAAATCTGATTTCTGAAAAGTACATCCAACAGACATTAAATATCTACATGCAAATTTTTCTATGTCAAAAACTACTGTGGTAAAAATAGAATATAGGCCTGTGCTCGAATATCCTCTAATTTTCACAAAATCAGCAATTGGGGTGCAACCGTACTTAGTTTCTAAGCAAAACACGTGGTGACATCATAAAAAGAGGTCACAGTCAAGGGAACTTACTCTCATTATTGTCACTTTTTTCCATACTTGACTTGGATTTGACATCTATCAATATAAATGCAATGAAAAAATTATGAATTTATTCCATAACTAGCCATAGCACTGTGTACTAGCAATGATCTATGTCTTGCAAATTGGCACTTGTATGTGCAAAGGCTCCATCTTTGCAACAAAAAGCTTGAAGTAATGTAAATGAGGAACAAACATTGACTTTGTTTATTCTAACTTAATAGCTTGTATATAAAATATATATTACTGTTATTCGAGAAAATGCAGATTTCCATTAATATTCATACATTAATGATATTGTGAAATAAAATGTGTATGTTAGGTATTTTAATTACATTTATTACATTGTTATAAAGTAACACATTTGTTGACTGTTTGTGGACAATGAACTTACTAGTACAAAATAACAACTGTAATATCCTCATGAAACCTTTTGTGATCCATATACATTCATAAATTGTATAATGTAAATCAATGACCTTGAACTTGAAATTGACCTTTGTTTAAGAATCGTAATAAAGAATGAGGGTCTCCATTTCAAAGATTTGGCATGGATACAAAGGATGTAAACAAAAAATGAACAGAAATTAGCAATGGCAACTCTTTACATTCCATATGGCCAAAAACTTAAACTCATTTTTATTTTATTGTTTAAAGTTAATGCATTAGTAACATACATCAATCATGCCATGGTTACTTTGATAGTTATTAAAAGGGTACACCAGAACCAAAAGAGGAGCATTAAAAATTTATGAAATAGCCATTTCTTCTCTAGCAGTTAATTTTACATTCCAGAAACTTGTTAACCATTAAGCTGAAAAACAATCATAAACATGCATTGTTTATACAGTGGAACCCAAACAGAGAGAGGCCTGCAAATTCCTTGATGAAAACTCTTTTTGCCTTATATGTATTTTTCTTGTGACCCCCCCCCCCCCCCCCCCCCAAGATATCATAATTAAGCCAATGGTTAACAAATCTCAAATCATATCACAAGTATACTAGAGATGTATCTTACCAGTCCATATCTGGCCAATTTCTTCATTATCACTTTGTAGTACCATTCATCCTTAATTTCGTCAGGAGAATTGGCTACAAGATCTGCATACCTGTAAAATTAAACATATCAACATATAAATAACCTTCTATTATAAAATAGTAGTTAAATTTGGTCAATGAATTTTTTCTAAAACCAATTAAAATTTTATATATGTTGTTTAAATGAGCAGTATGCTTTGATCACTATTTGTGGCAAAGCATGATGAATAAATACTCTACTGGTAAGGAAATTAAGCTGGTAACAATAAAGACTAGAAATAATTTTGGTGCAGTGACCAGGATACCCATATTGGATGCTGCACACACACCATGCTTCAGTGAAATAAAAGACAGTCCTTCTTACCAATTTCCCTTTGATCCCTCTTCTTGTTTCTTTTTAAGCAGCTCTTGATTTGGTCGGGTGAACATTCGGTTGCTCCTGTCTCTCATTTCTTGCACTGCTCTGTGGAAGCTGCTACCCTTCAGCTGGGAGTTAATAGCCAGAAACTTGTTCTGACAAACTGCAAATCTTTGTCTGTAATTAGAAAACAATATATGTCAAGAAATATAAGTATTAACTTAATAAAATCAAACTGTTCTAATCCCTAAGTGTGCCTACTTTTCTAACTGTTCTAATCTCTAAGTGTACATACTTTTCTAACTGCTCTAATCTCTAAGTGTACATACTTTTCTAACTGTTCTAATCTCTAAGTGTACATACTTTTCTAAACTCTAAGTGTGCCTACTTTTCTAACTGTTCTAAACTCTAAGTGTGCCTACTTTTCTAACTGTTCTAATCTCTAAGTGTACATACTTTTCTAACTGTACTAGCTCTAAGTGTACATACTTTTCTAACTGTTCTAATCTCTAAGTGTACATACTTTTCTAACTGTTCTAATCTCTAAGTGTACACACTTTTCTAACTGCTCTAGCTGTTCGTGAAGTTGTAAGGCTGCATCCTCCTTCCTCTCCTGAAATTTCTGGTGCATCTCATTGACAACATTCTGGTATTTACAGCTGGCCCTGTTGTTCTGAAACTCAACCAGCTGTGGAGAACTGAAATCAAAACAATCATTTACTCTGACTGAATTGTTTCATTTTAAAAACTTGAAAATTTAACCTTACGATAATAATGTTTTAAACAGCCTCTACAACACCTTTTGGGGCGTATCACAGCAGAGTCGGCTCGATTTGATCGAGATGACTCACGCTGATTACTTGCTGAGCGTCCTCTCTCAGCAGATCTCCCACGTTCACCCTTTAAAGATAAAACACTAGATTTCAATCTGTTGGTATAACTCAGTTGGCTAAAAAATAGTAGTATATTGAAAATGCATAAATGCAAGTGTACAAGTTAACGAGGTTCGCTCCTGAGCTTTTGAGCAGATTTTTATCTTAACCTATATTTAAAAAATTCTGCATGATATTTTAATTCTTACAATAAATTTGGATTCTACAATGCCAATTCAACTATATTCAGTTTAAACTCCATGATTAAATTCCATACCAATAGCATTAAGTGAGGAACTATATTTTGTGGCGGAAGGTTTTTTAGAAGAAAATGATCTTTTTTTTTTTTAACAAGTATTTAAAGTATGTTAAGTTTGGATTCCTATTTTTACATGCAGTCTGCACACAGAATTATTTTGTGCAGTGAACTGTTTTATACTGGTCCTAAATTATATATTTAATAAACTGTCATGAATTCTATCATCATATTGGACAAATAAAGTAAAGATATTGTGAAAATCAAGGGAAAAAAAAGCCCTAATTTAAGCTTAAATTTGCCACTATTTTAGTAATATCTAAAAATTAACAACACAGACCTCCACTTTTAATTTTCTTTTCTGAATATATAAGATACTTTTAACCATTCTTCTTAATTTCAGTAAAATGGCATTACTTTCAAATGATTTTTTTGCTTGTTAAATTGTTGATGCCAGAAAAATGAATTTTTTGAGTGCAAAAAGGTCAAATAATTGAACATGCGGAGTAATTTGAAAATTTTTTTCGTTGTCACAAATTTTAATGTGTCTATTCAAGATGAAATAAGACTGTGTTTCTTCTCAATATTTATTTGAATAAAAAATATTGGAGGAAAAACTTTGAAAATTGATTTATGTGTAAGACGTTTTTACAGTGCAAAAAGGTCAAACTAAATGCTCTGTAGCACCAAAAGAAGCGCATTGACCCCCATTTTTTGTTTTGATTTTTGATTAAGCTATGTGTATAAATTCTAAAAATATACTTGATAAAAAATTCTCATTACTTTTGATGGCAGGATCCAACCTCCTTAAGAGTTTTTTTTTTTACATATTTGTTTTTCTCACGACTTACCCCTGGGTCAGCTGACTTTCTTGGTGATTTCTTTGGAGAATGTTCTCCGTCTTTACCTCTGTAAATAGAATCATTTAATGTTTACAGGCATTATATTAAGATAATCTGTGTCCAGTATTCTTGTTTGTGGGAAATGAAACTCTGTGAGGATGATGATGATACCTTTTCTCTTTTTTGCGTTCCTTCCTGATTTTGACAGGGTGAACAGGTTCCTGAGTTTCATCATCCTCATACAGTTTGGTGGAGATGTCTTCATTTAGATATTTAAATATACCTAAAAAAAACAAGAAAACAAATATGTTATCAAGCAAATGATTTCATAATATCTTGAAGAGTGGATGGGTTGTATTTCAAAAGGTGAAAAGGATCCTTTGGAAATGTAATATGATACCACAAGTGGTATTTTAAGTGTAGCAAGTGGATGATGGGTTTTTTTAAGAGACCAATGAAATACAAGTATTAATTAAGGCACTTACTGACATATTTCCCATCATCCTCTTCCTCCTTTTCTTTACCATCCACTTTAGACGTGGATCCCATACTCTCATCCACACTGTTGTCTAGGGAACTGCTAACTCGTAGGTTAGTTGACCCTGATACATTAGCCATTCCCAGAAAGTTCGAGAACACACTATTTCGGTGGCTTCCTGGCTGCCTTTTCATGTTTGTTACTCTTGTGCTTTTCCTCTTGATGGTCTATAGGTATACAAACAATTGAAATTAATGATCTGATATAACAATGTGTATTGATAATTAATTTGATCATTGTGCATCTTTCTGATTTTTATGGAACAAGAAAAAGACACTTAAATATGATTACCCCTGAAATAAGTACAGGATGTTTACAGTAACAGTGTGAACAATTTTTGTTCTAATTTGTGCAAGGATATCATGAAATGCTGTGACAATAATGACTAAAATTTTAGATTCTGTACACAAAGATTTACTCTAAAGCATGTCGCATTTGTATTAAGAGTTCCAACAACTTTCAATAATCATTCACATCTTTGTAATACCTTAATGCTATCTAAATGACTTACTGGTACTTTGGGTGATATTTCCAGGTTGACCAATTCTTTCCATGTCATTCCCTCATGTTCTCTTGGAAAAGTTTTGGTGCCTCCAATTTCACTATAAATTAAAAAGAATTAATCAAATACATGTAAATCATTTGTTATAACAATTTATATGTAATGGTTCTAAATTTTCTTTGATATGCTACATTCAGAAATCCTTAATGACAAAGTACACAAATAATTTATAAGATATCTTAATAGGATGAATATAATGACTTACTTTAACTTCCAGCTAGATGTAATGGGAGACATAGTGATAGAGTTATCTCCCCCTGTTCTGGCATGTAGAGCCATTGCCTCCAGAAGCCAATGCAAAGCACAAAGTTGCCGAAAAAATGCATCTCTGAAACATTTATCAAATAAAAATCCTAATAACAAGACAATTTCAGTGGATGGCCCAAAGCTTTATGACTTAATGTTTTGTTTTTGCTAACAATACCTCCAAATTTGAATACATTTAGAAATACATGAACATATAGTGGTTAAATACTTTAACTGTAATGACATCACTGCATGGAAATAAATTTGATGTTGTTAAATAACTTTTTCAAAATTTTTAACTTTTATAACACCCAAATTAAGTCAGTTTTACATCAATTGGCAATAATTACTTTGCTATGTTTTCTTTGGTTTCCATGATATTAGTGTGTTGGGGGGTATATGGACGAGGAGCCTTGATTTTTTTCCTCCTTCCGGGAGATCTGGGGGTGGTAGCAAGAGAACGAGAAATTCCCAAGTCAGTATCCTCATCCTCCTCCCTATGACTAAGATAAACAAAAGCACTGTTACATATATACTTATCAAGTAAAAGTTCTGCATATAAGACTATCTTCATTCAGTACTTTTATATATGTTTACCGAGTATTTGGTGATAAGTGAATTCTTAACTTGGATTTTAATCATTCATACTTATTACACAATTACAAATTTGAAATTATAAATTACAATGTCTTATGTAACCAAAAAATGGTATATTTAAATATATTTACATGCACATCATATATCTATTTAATTAACGATGATGATATAAAGTTGTATCAAAATGATAAAAGAAAAATGTATGTAATGGAAAACACAATTAAGTTCTAGCAAGCAAGAGAAAACTCATATTCCCATTGCACAACTAATGTAAGATGGATGATTCAAAATTAAAAATTTCAGATCTGTCACCAAGAGCTGGACATGAACTTTACCGATGGAAGGACACCCTTCCCCGGGGGTCAGGGGATTCAGGGTCAGACTTTTGATCCTCCTCGTCTGTCAGTTCTCTAATCTCTGTGTGTTTCATGAAGCTAATTGTAAAGACAAATATTCAGAAAAATTGAACGATCAAATCTCTTGTGTTAAGCAAAGAAGTAGAAATACTGGCCAAAAATTCTTGTGTCTTATATCTTTTTTTTAATTCTAAATATCAGTGAACTTCATTTCTCAAACAATTATACCAGAGAAATGTTTTGAGGTATTTGACCCCTAACAGCCTCAAATTCAATAAAACTGAATGCATTACAGATATGTAGGGGTTAAATACTCAGTATATTTAGACTTAATTCCCATATATTAGTATTAGTATGTAAGAAGAGAACACATCCTACTTAATCACCTTATCCTGTCTTTGAATAGCTATTCCCATTTGCTTTTCATCAATAAAAATTAATTCTAATAAATTATTGGGTGAAAAATTTTTTTTAACTGTTATTCTATTTCCAATGATTAAATTCATCTTTCCACCACAGCATTTATTGATATTCGAAGTATTTAAATCTCTATTTCCAAAAATTTGATGTTCCAGTAGACCGCCATGTAATATTTATTGATAATTACTGCTTGGGTAAATATATTTTTGAAAAAAAAAATCTTTTGGTAAATCCTTTTCTATTCTAAAATGTTTCATATTAATATCAGAGTATTTTATATATGATGGATATTTATGGTTAGAAAATTAGGTCCTAAAAGGAACCGAATACCTTAAGTGAGTCTGTAATGCAAATAATATGAAATTGATTCTAAACTTTGATTTCTTGAACCTTGGATTTCTCAGCTTTTTTTTTTGTTGGTTTCTTTTTCTAAGTTCCAATTAGTTGCAGATAACAAGGCTAGACTATATATAACCTCTAAATGAGGCTAATTTATGTGTGTATATATCTGGCATAGTATTTTTTTCCTTGAAAATAATTTTTTTCTTGATTGAAAATTTCTTTTATCAGGTAAATGGATAAAACTGAATGTCTCTATAATCAGAATTACAACTAAAATTCCAAAACTTCATTTAGAATGAATACTACGAACTTGTCTTTTTTCTTTTCATTTTCATACAGTTGATGATTTTGGCCAGTTTTTACTACGATAGTCAGAAGCACCTCAAACAACAGTGATTCTTTTGCAAACAACTCATACAACAATTTAAAATGACTAGTACTGAGAGATTATAAAATGGCTCGGCAGAGTAAATTAATATTTGCATAAAAAGTCATTCACTACACTATACATTCAAAGTTATGGCTAAAATCCAATAAATGGTCACAAACTATAGTATAAACATTAAAATTATCTAAACACTCTCCCTGCAAAATGCCTTGTTTATCAAATATCTTACATGCAAACAAAAAAATTGCAAATAATAAGATTTTAATAAAAAGTACAAGAAAACAATGTAACTAAAATGCTTAAAAAAGTCTAAACTATTGTGATGATCAACCATTTAATGCAAACATTTGTATTGTGTCATCAATTACTTCTCAGTAAAATAAGGTAGATAACTGTCTTTTGAATCATCTTGCAATATAAAACATCCCCCAGTTACACACAAATATTGAGAAGCAAATTGATTTAACTACACTCAGCCAGTTACTATTTATTGGACAATAGATCTAACGATACATCCACTTGTTTAATCTCACGAATTCTGCAATATTCTTATAGAAGCTCCAATTTTTTTTTAAAGAAAAATTCTGATTAGATAAATTTCCTCTTGTTTCTTCAATTTGTAAATCCATGCACACAACAAACAAAAATCAAGTAAATAATATAACTCTGTGGAAAGTGTAAGCCAACTGCAATATTTCATTCACACTCATTCTTTACTCACCTGGATAACTCCACATCTTCCTCAAACTCCTCCTCTGACTCCTCTGAGGAAGAATCCAGTTTTGGGGGTTGCCACTCACTTTTCATCTGCTCTGCCTTCTTTTTGTTCATTTCATTTTCTGATTGTTGCTAAGAAAAAAAATTGAATTATAGGACAAACATCTTTACTGATAAAAGTCCTGGGGTGCATTCAAGAGCATAGCAGCTACATAGCCTCTACATAAAGCTATGATCTTGAACAAAATGCTAGCCTAGCCACTACATAGGGAGAGAGCTAGCATAAACATTTGATGCTAAATACCAAGTCCAAGATGGTCTCCTTAGTTACCACTTTGCAGCACACAAGATTTTAACAAAATGGGGGATTATTTTCTACATCTTAGCAAATCAAATGTAAATTTATATATATTTTTTTGCTTGAAATAAATTCTTTAAGTTCCAGAAATAAGTTTTTATTGATATATCTGAAATTTAACACTTAGCGGCTAGGCTAGCTTTCCCTTCAATAGAGATAGGTATCTACCCCCTAGCTGCTAGGTTAGCCACTACGATCTTGAACGCAGCCCTCAGACATTAAATCATAAGACAAATGAGCTATAAAACAACAATAATATGAAAGTGAGGCTATAAGTGCTTACCTTAGCAGCTTGTTCCGATTTTATAAGATCAAATAATCCATGTCCAAGCTTAACATTTCGAATCATGTTCCTGAAAAAATATCTCTTGAAAATGCACTCATTGTAAAATTTGAGAAAAAAATCACACATTCTAAATTTGAGATTTTTTTCCCATAATGGTAGGTCTGCTGCCCAAATAAAGCCAAATGAAGCTAATTTAAATTATCAAAAACTTCATTATTTCCATTTATTTTTTTTACAAATGCTCTTACTTAGAGGCCTACAAGAATGCTTACCGTCCATGGATGACCTCCCTTTGTAGTGTGTTCATGTCTTTTTTAGACCTCCTGAGAACAAAGGAAGCTGCTGAAACCTGTTGTATAGATATATAAGCAAGATTTTATAAGGAAATAAACCAGTTTTTAACTAGATACATTAATATACTCCATAACAGCAACCTGAAACCTAGCAACCTGAACATTTTGGCAATTTGATTTTTGGAAGAAGTAGTCAAAATTTCATTATTTCATTTTTTATAATTTTTATTAAATTGCAAAATACTGTAAATTCTAAAATATGCACATGAAATAAGAGCACACACTTTTATTTTCAAATAGCATAATTACACAGAAAATCTATTGATGAACAGTCAACATGCAAATTCATATTCTTCTGATTTAACAACTACAAGCCAAATCACGATATTAAGTACCGGTAATCGTGTAAAATAAGGAATCTACAGTACTCAAGTAATTGGACAAAAAATACCCACTTTACAGTATCCCCTGTGGAGTGGACATATACAGACACTATAGATATAGCATTGTTACCTGTTTCTTTTGTTGCTGGAGTTCAGCTGAGATGTCATATTCATCTTCATCACTGCTACTGCTAGTCTCTTCATCATATTTCTGTAATTATACAATTACAATGAAGAAAAGGTTCACAAAATTTGAGATTTTCACTTTTTTACCTGCATCACAGAGATATCTTGCAGGCCATGTACTTGCAAGTTCTATGGCTCATTTAATAAGGCCAAAATAAAATTACTGTTTGTTTGGAATTGCCTCCTGCCTCACTGAAATGACCCCTTCTGGAAAAAAAATTATTGACCAAAAATAAAAAGATTTTTTTTATTCAATCAATTCTTGGCCTTTTAGCACATGTGCCACTCAATCGCTTAAAGTAAGTGTCAGATCTAAGCAAAACTGGGTTCCTGGTCGATGGGAGATACCCTTTACAAAAGGCAGAAAATAATGTGTTCGCTGCTTATTGAGATTTTTATCATAAACTTTAAACTTTAATTTTGAAGAAAAAATAATTTCCCTCCCTCCCTCCTGGGTCTGAAACCCCCCAGGCAGCAATTCCAAACAAACAATTTTTTAAGGATGGCCTAATTATCTGATATCTGAGCTATGGGCAAATTTAAGGCCCATATGGGAAGTCAATTTCTATTGATCATAAAAGAAAACCTTGATTTCTAACACAAATCTTAAAACACTCACTTGTAATCACACATGTGTGTTTATCCTCTTTTCAATTTAAATTTGAGGTTAATATGTTTGTGAAGTAATAGATGCAAAAAATAATGAAAATTTACTCATTCTTCTATTTTTTTATAATCATTTATATTACAACATGACGAAAAATAGGAGTTATGAAGTTATACATAATAAATAGTAATACCATGATAACTTTACATTTAAACTCTTGTAGCATAAAGCACATATTATTTCTTATGGTTATCTATATTGAACATGAGATCAATTTTAGAATGCAAATACGTAAAATATTTAAAAATTAAATGAATGTTTTTAAATGCATTGTAGGTTGTTAAATGACTTTCCCTTACGCATGCAAAAGTTAAAAATTCCCATGCTTTAATACTTGCCTACAGCTAAGATATATACTTGTTGTGTATTCAATGAATTGTTAGAATTGGCAAATGTGATATTATCCAGTTAGCAAATACATGTATAACTAAACTGAGTCAAGATTAAATGTAAAGTGTATATTCATTATTTAAGGAGATTACCATTAAACAGTTTATTGACAAGCGGTTTTGTTGAATTTTTTTTAAAATTAAGCTTTGACTGCAACCAATTGAACCTGACGTCGTGTGTATTAATTATTAAATGCTGGTATTTACAAGTGCATTTTATGTATAATTTAAAAAAGGATTTATTAATCATTTTCTCATGCTTATCATTTTTCATATATTAGAATTAGATTTTCAAAGAAACTAGGGTTAATAACTAACAAATTCTCTCACATAAAATACCTTCACAGGATTAAATTGCATCTGTCCACTCAAATAATAAACATTGAAAATCACATCAATTTATCATGTCTAATCTAATCTAATCTAATCATGTCTTAATCTTCATAAAAATGTTGTATCATCCACATAAAATTATACCTAACAAAAATATTGATTCAAATCATCTTCAACGTAATTTGTAGCAATTCACATACATTCTATACAAAACTGGAGTACCAGTATAATAATTGTAGTACTATCCTAGTTTGAGATCATGCATGCACACCTTACTTCCAATTTAAATAATCAATTATGATCGTTTTCTTAAGAATAACCATTTTCCTGAAGCCTTTAGAATGATACTTCTATATTTGTTCAAGATTTCTTCTTGTTTTATAGTTGATTTTGGGCTGTATTCCCAATGACAATCTATGCATTTTCTTCCCAATTTTCATGGAAGAATTATCTATTGAAATTTAAAATGAAACAGGAGGCCCATAAATGAAAGAAAATCAATAAATAAATCATGTTGATGTTGAATTCTTAGTTTATGTATTAAATAATGAATTGTGGTTGTAAATACTAGTACACATAGACTAAAAAATTTTAAAAGTCTAAAATGGTGAAATATGTGTGGTTAAAACATTGAATTCCCAATTGCTAAAAAAATATTTATTAACAAATTTCATAATTCTAACACCATGAACTTTCTTATGTAAAAGTTAAAAAAAAAATTACATTGATGTTTTCTGAATGCATTCACTTTTCCACCTAATCATTTGAAGCTTAATTTTTTTCCTTTTCTATCACCCAAATCAATATATCATGTGCTTTATAAACAGCATCAAATGTGCCATTGAAATTGCACTACTAAAACATCATCATCGCAAACCACGGTTTTGAGTCCACAAGCTACCTCAATAGAGAGAATCGATGTGAATCACCCGTGGGTTACCGACGATGCTAAAACATGCACATGCATGGCGAGTAAGTTTTTTTTTTCTTTTTGTATTTAATAATATACTACAATGAAATGTAAAATACTACTGCATTGTGCACATAAATATTTTTTGCAAGTTAAACAAAGTGCTTACATTACTCTCTCGTGGAGTAGACACAACAGGCTAAAAAAGATACACTTATAAGTAATGCCTCATAAATTTTTTTATAGCCTCTATACTTGGTACTTGTCAATGGCATTGCTGATAAAAAGAACAAACAAGTTTAAAGTGTTCCCTTCCCCTTTTACTATAGATTTATTGACACAATTTCAAAACAGAGAATAAAACTATATAGGGAGAAATCTTATTTGTCAAACTTAAACACTAGCCATTGAGATTTATTCTGCACAATACTCTATCAATCTTTCAATTTTACCAGCTTTTGAAGCAATAAACATGATAAAATGGCCAAATTTAAATAGCCCAGTAAACCTAATGAAAGTGTGTTATCTTGATCAATTGACAGAAAAGTAAGCTTTGACTGCTCTTGTGAGCAAAATAAAAAGCCTATTGATACATAAGTATCAAATGTTTGAGAAATAAAATTTATTTTAGCTAAGCTTTTACCCTATTTCAAAATGAGTGGAAAATAAAAAAGAGATCACACTGATTGATTTTTTTTTAATTTCTGAAACGTATAGCTATTCTTCAATTCATTGATTTTTCAAATTCTGCTTGATCATGTATGATTTTTTTCATGATGCTTTTTCAATCTAGGATACACAAATCAATTCCCAGTTCTCTTAAGCTCCTCAACTGAATATCAAGTCATCTAATATTAAAGACAGATAATTAGAATCCAGCTTAAGATCAGATTATGATAATTTATAGTAAGGGCTGTATATATATCATAGTTGAAAAAAAAAACAATGTTTGAAATATTAAGCCAGCTGCCAATCACCCATGGTCCTACAGTATAGATTTTGTTTGTTTGTGTTTTTTTTAATTTTAACCAAGGAATTTGACTGAATTTATATTATATAAAAAAATCAGTAGCAGTCTTTCTATTGAAAATCTCCCACTTATGTAGTGAATATGAGTAGGTTTTACTTTGTAACTGAGTTAACATTTTGATTCAGTGCACTGTTTAAAAAAAATACATATAAGAAGCTTACAGATATGCACATTCTTGCACAAGTCATTGCATGGGTACCAGAGGTAAAAATAATTCATGGGTGCAATTAGCATAAACTTACACTATCCCACTGTCCTAGTGCATGAAGAATCATCCTCTGCTCATCCAAATAGAAAGGATCCCCCAATCCTTTGTATGGCACATTTGGAGCAGCAAAGTAACCCTGAGAAGTTAGCTGAGACTGACGACGTCTGTACTTTTCTTCTCTGGCTTCTTTTGGAGAGGGAACCTGTGTTTTGTAAGTTGCCAAGCTCCTTGCTGCAATCTTAGCATTTTTACCATAAGGAACAGGAACTGGCTTTGGTTGGATTCTCCAGGGATTGCTTCTACTTGCTGCTGGCATTTTTCACTTTTATTTCAGATTTCTGAAATGGGGCAGATTTATTAGATTCATACACAAGTTTGTGTTTCATACCAATGAGTGAAGAGAGGATTAAGTTTCAGGGGTAAAAACAAAGAAACTTGAACTTTGCTTGAGTATATAACATAGCACAAGAAACCAACAGAAATACAATATTTTATAAATCACTGTAATAATCTCATGATATTGATAATTATTTGATAATTGGAAAAGTTATTATTCTTATCCATTCTTATAAGGTCTTGTATATCTGTTTGTTCCATCTGTATATGCAAACGCTAAATATGCGAGATCGTTAGAAAAAATACCTTAATCTAAAATAATAAATCACTTTCAATGTTCAAGTCCATCACACAAACTGCATTAAATGTCCATCTTGGTGTCATCTCTATATTCTGTTTACCGTGTCACATTCATAAGTAAAGCCATCTCCTTCTCAAATGTCTAACAATGCATTCCAATTCTTTAAACACAAGAGGATTGGGTATCAACATTGTTTAACAATACCTTACACGATTATCTTCTCATCGGTTCAAAACCGGAACGTAAATAATGACGTCGCATGGATACGATGCTGTACCGGAAATACAGAATGATTTTGATAATTTTTGTTTAATTTGCCTTGCAATACATTCATCGGTTTGTATATGAATAAAAAAAAACAAGCAGCTCCGCTTAATGACTAAAATTATACATTAACATCAACAAATTATTTTTAATTTTTGATAAATGAATTTACCGGAGAGCATTATCTTGACCGGTTTTAACCTTTATATAATTTTGGATAAGTTGTTCCCGATCTTTTTTCATTGTGTAAATAAAATTATTTTGGGTCTTGATGTAAATAAACCTTAGTTAATATATTTTGAATATGAAAACATATAAAAAAGATTATATAAGTAATTTGATAAATCTGAAAATACAGAATTTGTTTATTTTAATTCCATTCATGTATGGCACGAGTTGTTTTGTCCTGAACGACCCTTTATTTCACATGACATTTGAGTGGTTCATCAACTTCTTATTTAAAATTGAGTTCACATGACAGATACAGTATAGTCTGCTTAGCGTCGAGTTGTAATTAATACAGAACCATAAAGGTCAAGTACTTCGTCATGAATCTACCGTAAGTTAGAGTTGTTCTATTTTTTTTTTCTATTTTATAGACTTAATTAATGTACGGGGCTGGGTTCAGGCACCGGGTTGTCTTAATTTCCTTTATGTATGACCTAATATTTTCATGGTTCTTTATATAATATATCATAAATCATCGAGCATACCTAGAGACAACACTCAATAATAACTTCAGGGATTTATCAGTACCTTCTCAGGGGCCGAAATTCGGCCCCATTCCCAATTGAAAATGAGTTCATTTTTTCCCAATTTGGCAGTATTTTTTCCCAATTGGTGAAAAATGCTTTTATATTTAATTATCTTGGAAAAACACTAAGTAAAATTGTCATAATGTCTGTAATTTTCATCTATTTAACTTGTTTAGCAAAGCTACGGTCAAAACACCTGTTTTAAAAACACTGAAAAAACATCGCCAACTTTTAATCCGTTTTTTTCCTCCGTTTTTTCTGAAAATAGTGATATTGTGTTATTATATAGATTTATTAAGTTATTTCTACCTACTCAATTGATCTATGAGTGAATGGTAAGGACTGTAGGCATTATTTCAAATAGAAAAATATATTTTCAATGCATAATAATACATATTAAAAGAGGACTTTGAGAAAATGTGTACTTCTTATAATTTTTTGCAGGAGGTTTATAATCAGATTCTATAATGACCTAAATTGGAATCTCATACACACATGTACTACCCTAAGTTGTATAAACACTTTGTACTCTTTGAAGTCAATTTTAATTTTATAAGTCTATTATTCATAATTGATCTTGTATGATGTTGGATCCTGATTGAATTGTCTGTTTGGTTGCCCAAATTAGAGTTCATGCTGAAATGTTAAATGAATTACACCTGAATATATGATTTAAGCAACATTTTTAATTTTTCCCAATTTCAACAAAAAGCTGATAATTTTTTCCCAATTCCCCAAAAATGGCGTTTCCCAAAATAGGCTGATAAATCCCTGATAACACAGGGTCTTGAAATACGGGGCACCCTTACTTATTTTTACCACAAGGTATCTAATTCAATTTCAGACATCTCGGCCTAACGACACCTCGGCCCGTCATGCTTGACATCTCGGCCCTGATAGGTTGGCCCAAGATTGTTGACACGTCGGCCCATATAAAAAAACACCTCGGCCCAAGCAAAATTTTATGATGGAAAAAAGTTACAGATAAACCTAGATAGAATGTTCTCTAACTCAGTGCATTTACTATGAAAAATCCTGAGAGTTCCAAATGTCAACATAGTGTGTAAATTTGAAACGAGTAAAAAACATTGGTGAAAATGTGTTGAATTCTTCCAATATATGGATTCAATATTTAGATGAAAGGTATTTACAGTCTCAGAAAGGTTTGTTATGATTAATTTGACAGTTATTTTCAATGCAACTTCATTAATTTTCTCCAAAATCGTTTCGGAGCGATGCTGCAATTTTCTGCTACATTACGGGCATACGGGAGGCATTCTAACTGTGGTGAGGGCTGTCCCAAGACACAGTTAGATTATTCTAACTAAGATGAACCCAGCATTTGAATTGATAATATTTGTTTAATTATTCTTTCTGACGATTCAACGATTTTTTTTTTTCAAAATAAAAAAAGGGGGAGGGTCTTTGATAGATAATTCCAACTTAATTAGATTAATCTTTCATTTACATCTATTTCTTGTGGAAAATGTAATATTTTTTTGATATCATGGTTGCAACTGTTATTCTTGTATTTCACAAAAAAAAAATGAAAGACACTTAGTCTATATTGTTTATATAGATCTAAATGTCTGTATAAATTATCACGTATAAAGCTATATGTTTTAAAAACACGTAAAATAAATGGCATTATTGGTCTGTACACTTGTACTTCATTGTATTTCTTTTTCTTTTTTGAAAACCACACTAATTCTTGCTTTGATACAAGTAGCCTAGACAAAAGGAAAAAAAAACAGACTTGAGCTAATTAAACTGACGATAATAAATTTATGAATGGAAGTGTTTTTCTAATGAAATATGAGAGAAAATGTTCAATAGATGTAATGTCTTTAATAACTTTATCCGAATTAAGCCTGCTCGTAATTGAACTCACACATATGACACTCACATGACCCTCCAAAGAATGTGCCACGGCATTTTGTTTCTTTATCAATTAGCACTTTATAATTATAGTAGCATTGTCTTATCATTCCTTGAGTATCGTCAATGTGCTCGGGAAAGGTCTTTTTTTAAAAATCTTGATAATTTATTAATGTAGTTTTTTCCAATCAACCAGTCCCAAAAGTGGAAATATATATATTTTGCTTGGGCCGAGGTGTCTTATGCATGGGCCGACCTGTCTTAAATCTTGGGCCGACCCATCTGAGCCAAGATGTCAATGGACCGAGGTGTCGTTGGGCCGATGTGTCTGACATTCTTTCAGGCACCCCACCTTCAAGCTCGTATTTGGTTAATACATGTATATCAATCATTAACCTACTTTAAAATGACATCATTCACTTTGAGAAAATTTTTTTGTCAAATAAATCTTTTCAGATGTCTCTGGTCAGCCTCTTTATTGTAAACCACTCATTTATTCCTCAAAAATTACCTTGATACATATTAAGACTTCTGATGGGATACAAAACTTTCGGTTAGGGTTATAAATGAAAGGTAAAACCAGAGACCTCAGAATGGAATACTTTTTCAGGAAAAAAAAGTGTAGGGTCGGGAATTTGGCTGAAAAAAATAGGATGGGTCGGGCAACCGGAAATACACATTTTTTTTTTTTTTTTGGCCTGAAAACTGGTATAAAGTATAATATGGGAGAAGGGATCTAACGAGCCGCCATTAATACCTCAGTGCCTTGCTTCAAACTTCCAGAAGTTTGATTTTTGTTCAAAAAATTAATGAAAAAGTCTAGTTAGTCAAAAGGCAGAATATTGTTCGTTATTGTCATAAATAAATCATTTATCTAACTTCAAAGAATTAGGTTGCAATCATTAATACATTTATTTATCATTTTTCTTAAGCAGTTTTCTTACAATACCTTGATTTTTATGCACTCACTTGACATCTGTTGCACTCTATCTTAACGTAACATTTAAAAATATAACTGCTTCTGGTCACTCTCACAACATTTGAATGACTGTTGATCATTCTCGGGATCGGATAGATCAGTTTTCACCATCAATTAGCCGCAGAGTTCAATCAGGTCAGCCATATTTGATTCCATAAGCTACAAGTAATATTATCCAATTTTGGCTTAAGACCCTGTTAAATAATACTTGATACATAAAATTCTTGTATGCTTTACGTCCCATCAAGAATATTTAATGTTGGAATGCTACTAATTGCTAGTAGAAGGCTGCAAATTTGGACCTGTACAAAGTCAGCATTTACTGTGACATGGGATCTCAGTTTATACAGCGTCCTTGGTATACTTTTATTTAAAAAAAAGAATATTTTGAAAATCTTTCAAAATGCTATTCCCCCTACATTGTACAGTACCAACGAGTGTTTCAAATCTGGGTGCTACTTTTCTCTTCCTTTGTTTTAAGTACAAACCAGAAAAGAAGTGTATATCTTGAGTGTTTCAGTGGCTATTTTATCAGGCAAAAATCATTGCAGAGGAAACATATTATGCCTAATTTAAAACATGTACATGCATGTACGTACAGCTGTTGGATCGCTTCTCAATGTTAATACGCAGAATATGCAGTATGTTCTTAATCTTATTTTTTAATTAGGGAATGACAGAGAACCATGAGGGATAACATTAACACAGACACTGTACCAGACACTGGTATAATAACAGTGGAGACAGAGGAGGTAGACGAGATCCACTTTGGACACATTCCCCAAACTCCCTCACACAGCTGGCCAAAAGCAATAGGAATTGTACAGATTTGCAGTGGATTTCTTACTACTATATTAGGTAATGACTACACCAAAATAATACCAGACACTGATTTCTTTAAATTTTACATATTGAAAGTGTTTTGGGTATACATAAATTCTCTCTTTCCTGAAGAATCACCAGCCAAGAAACAAAGTGCACACTACAATGAAAAATTTTGAATTCATATGAATTTTTAATAGTCTAATGAATTGTGGGCTGTAAGACTTTCCTTTCACATTGTTATGGTTCAAACCTTTGTATATTACTAATCGATATTTATTATTTTTGACTTCTTTTTTCAGCTGTATTGGAGATTTTTTATTTGCCCCTTGTAAATGAACTGGATAATCCATACCCTCTGTTCTTGGGACCTAGAAATTGCTATGGAGCAGGTCTCCTGGCAGGTGCATTTGTAAGTTTTGTTTTCATCCGCAACTGTACATACTAACAAACATTGTGGAATCATTTCAAACTATAAATGAAGAGAAATCTTAATGGCAAGTTAAATTTTATGCAGACATTTAACACATTCATTGTTAGCATCAGTCCCTGCGACTTATTTGGTGATTGCTTCAAGACAATAAAAGCAGTTACAAGTACCAGTGGCAGACCCCCCCCCCCACACACACACCCCCTCTTTCTGGTTTGAACATATTTTATTGTAGTTTCTAATTACAAAGGGATTGGGCACAAGTTCTAAAAACTTATTATGCCCTCTCCCTAATTACGCCCTCTCCCCTCTTTCTATCTCCAATATGAAAATTAAGAAATATTAGTAGATACAACTTACGCTGTTAAACTCATATTTACTTCATATTTATTATTGTGAGTTAATCATTTTAATTTTGCAAGTACTCCCTTCCCCTTAAACCTTACATCCCTGAATCCCCCACCCTACTGCACCATTCACTTGATAAAAGCAAAATATATCATTTTAAAAATTATTGAAGTTGATAAGTTGCTAGTGAATGTGATTTGGAATTTTTTTTAGTGGAAAAAAAATCTTAGAAGTATTTCAGAATGCTTCTGATTTCTGGTTTCAGATGGTGTTATTGGGCAGTACTGCAGTTAGGGCCTCCATTAGTAAAAGAGCAACCTCGGTATGCATGATTTTTAAACAGAGTTATATATATCAGTTCTTTCTGTTATGATCTGTATTTGTATGTAGAAGACTATGATTCTATAAATTTATGAATATATTCTACAATGTCAATTCAAAAAGAAAAAAATCCTGTTGAATGTGTATTACTGCTGTTATTAGATAAAATGTAAGGAAGTCCTTTTTTTTTTTTACAGATAAAGAAGTTTTTTTCCTTGACTTTGTTTACATTGGTGTTGTACACAGGAATTACTTTGTTTCTGATCGTGGGCTATGCCAAACATTGGACTTCAAAGGATGCCAATAATGTCAGTAACTAACAGGAAGTCAAAATAATAAGAGGTTGAAACATTAGGGTTAAAGTGTAAATAATTAGTTCTATTAATCTATTCATTTATACCTTTAAAAATGAGGAAGGGATTTGACAATTAGTTTCTGGCCTTGAATAGTGAATATGGTGATTAAAATTGAAAAAAAAATAAGTATCAGAAATTGATAAACTGTTTCACTGGTTAATTTTGCTAATGATTTCACCCTTTTCAATGTCTTGTTGAATTCACCTTATGTTGAATTTGCCTACTGATGACAAAGGCAAAAAGGATGAAAATAAAAAGGAGAGAAAGTTTTCCTGTATACATTATATATTTCTGTTTTTTTACAAGGTTCTTTTGTTTACAGGGGGACAATTATTTGTATGAGATACACATTTTTGTGACAATCAGTACTATCATGGGACTTATATTTGCTGTGACAGCATTCGTACAGTATTATGAACTTGTGTGTTTTGGAGAATACAACTTACACCATTCCCTTCTTCTCTGCCTCCTACCCTGTATATTTCGAGTAAGTCTGCCATTTTTTAAAGGGAACGTTTGGTCAGAATTTTAATTTTTATATATATAAAACTGCACCTCTCATATAAAAAGAAAAGCAGCATTCTATAGCATTGCACTGCTAATAACAGCAGTTAAATTTGATATTGATTGCTTAATTGGACCAGCATGGGGAAATCCTTATCATGGCGGCTGCTGACGAACTGGAGGAACTTTAATTGTCCATAATCTTATTGATTTAACATTATTTCAAATATTAAATACTCTGCAAAACCTGCATTTTTTCTCCAATGGCAAATAGTCTACAGTAAGTCAGATCAGCATGATTAAACATTTAACATTCACTGCTAAGAAATATGCAGGCTCATTCACTGCAGTTGATATTGGCAACTGCACTTGCTTCTAAGAAAATTGACAACAAACTTTATAACTGTATTTCTTCAACATTTTTTTTTTCAGAACAGAAGGTAAATCTTTCCTGAACTGTATTCTCATTACAGTATGCAGCTACATGTATGGCCATAATCTTATTGATTTAACATTATTTCAAATATTAAATACTCTGCAAAACCTGCATTTTTTCTCCAATGGCAAATAGTCTACAGTAAGTCAGATCAGCATGATTAAACATTTAACATTCACTGCTAAGAAATATGCAGGCTCATTCACTGCAGTTGATATTGGCAACTGCACTTGCTTCTAAGAAAATTGACAACAAACTTTATAACTGTATTTCTTCAACATTTTTTTTTTCAGAACAGAAGGTAAATCTTTCCTGAACTGTATTCTCATTACAGTATGCAGCTACATGTATGGCCATATGGCTTTAACTTGAACTCCTAGCTGAGTTAGTACTAGTTGCTAATTGCTTTTCTCTTTTCCTCACAGAGACCCCCGAGTCCATCTCTTGAAAGCCTTGCCAGTAATCCAATCTGATGACAAACATTTCTTTGGAAAATGAATTTTATTATTTTCCACTGTCTGCCAAAACTGGCAGTGATAATTAGCTTGCTAAAGACCAGGCTAAAAAATTGCTTCAGCAAATTTATAGTGCTTTTCTGATATGCATAATACATTACTTGTTTTAACTCTTGCATTGATATCAGTGTAATAATGATTTTCTGCATTTTATTTAAATGAATATTTATTGAATATGTGGAGCTCTCTATTCAGATGCTCTAGATTTTTTTTTATACAGTCTCGTGTTGAAGACCACAGATACCAAGGATATTAATTTATTATTTTGTAAGTAAAGACAATTTATGAAATCATACACTGTATGGCAATTCAAATTATACATATATATTTATGTAGATTATGTACCATATTTATCCAATTTTGGATACAGAACTAGTCCAAATATGCATTGTACTATAATTTGTGATTCTGATATTTCTTTTTATAACATTATTGTAATGTACAATTCTTTTACTAAAAACTTTCTGAAGCACATGTGTACCATTTCTAAGAAAGACACAATGTAAGTGTACATCTTTCTTTTTATAAAAGAAACAAGGGCATTTGATTTACAGTCTAGTTTTGGCTATCGTGTTGTGTATTATATGAGAATATGTACTATGCAAATAAATGCACCAAAACGTTAAGCTAGAATCTGTGTAATATTACATGTACATGTATATGATATTTTCTTTCTGAAGAAAAATTGTACCAGTCTCTATCCTTGAAAATATGTATAACTCGGTTACAGTGAACACACTAATAATGAAATCACATTATAGCAAAGTGGTTTTCATTCCCTGTATGCTAAAAAAGTATCAACTTGTTGGATATACCAAACTGATAGAGAATCATATTTGTTCCTGACACTTTGCTTTAAACATGTTTTACTGTACATGTGTATCCACTGTAGTATGCCTAATCAAACACTGATAGATTATGTCTGCTACCAAAATGGTATTTGATTAGTGTTTTGTTATTCTGATAACCTATATAAGCTACACATGGACTAGGCAGAATTTTTTTCCATGTATATAGATCTGAAACTAATTAATATCTCAGTTATTTGATGGAGTCACATTTTGACTCGTGGTGTAATATAATGCCCCATAAGCTGCTCATAAACTGCAGGTACTCAGATTAAACAGTTCTAAAGGTAGCACACATATGGGGTAATTTATTAGCTGTTACAATAATTTGTGAGACTGCATGTTTGATTATTTCATAATTTACATGAATAAATATGAAATTTTAACAAAGAGAGTGTTACTTATCTATAAGAATATTTTGAGGGAAGGGAGTTGAAAGTCATGATAAACTTGCAAAACTGCAAATAAAATCTGTATAAGTTTTCTTCAGACTACATTTTTGATAGGAATAAATAACTAGTTAATTTTATGTATTATGTTTGTTAATGATAACATTCAGTTTGCAATATCCTCATTATAATTAAATATGCTAAGTAATGCCCCTATAAATGTATTATGGATGAGCTATTATGACATTATAAATTTTCATGTGAAATCTGGATGCCTTCTAGACCAAAGATTTCATCCTTGAAATTGTGTTTAAATCTAGTTTCTATATATGCAAATAATTTAGGACTGATGAAAATGGTCATGATTTTATTTCGTCAAAAACTTATACATACTTTGCAAATATGGCTATGTCTTGTAATCAGCAGTTCATACTGGCCATTGTTCCTAAAGTAGAAAGTTGTTCTTTATTTAGCTCACCTGAGAAAGGCTCAAGTGAGCTTTTCAAATCAAAATGTGTCTGTCATATCATCATCGTTGTTGTAAACTTTTCACAATTTCATTTTCTTCTCCAAAGCCACAGGGCTGATTTCAACCAAACTTGCCAAAAAGCATTCTTGGATGGGGAAGATTCAAGTTTATTCAAATGTAGAGCCATGCTCTCATTTAAGGGAAGATGGGAAAGAAATAGTGAAAATTTGATGGCATTTAAAAATCGTCTCAGAAACCACTAGATTTGAAAAGATGAAACTTGTGAGATACCATCCTCAGATATTGCTGATTCAAATTTATTCAAATCTTAGTTGTAGGTTGGGGCCACAATAGGGGATGAAATTTAAACATGGGAATTTATGGTGAATATCTTTAAAAAATCTCAAGAATAGCAGGAATCATGATTAGTCTAATCTGCAAGCATTCACTGGTAGTCTCCTTATTTGGGATAGGATGAGACATAATAGGGGGTCAATAATTTAAGATCAAGATCATGTTCCCTGGGGGTAGGGTGGGGCCACAATGGGGGATCAAAGTTTTACATAGGAATATATAGGAAAAAATCTTTAAAATAACTTCTAAAGAATAGCAAAGTCATGTTTAGTCATATTGATATGGAAGCATCCTCAGATAGTGTAGAATGAAGTTTGTACAAATCATGGCCCCTGGGGTAGGGAGGGGCCCAAATGGGGGATCAAATTTTTATGTAGGAAAAAATTGAAAAATCTTTTTCTCTAGAACAGCAAAGCCATGATTAGTCATTTTGATAGGAAGGCATTCTCAGATAGTGAAGAATCAAGTTTGTACAAATCATGGCCCCAGAGGGTAGGGAGGGGCCCAAATGGGGGATCAGATTTTTACACAGGAATATATAGGGAAAAATCTTTTTCTCAAAAATAGCAAAGCCATCATTAGTCATTTTGATATGGAGGACTTCTCAGGTAGTGTACATTTGTAGATTCAAGTTTGTAATGATGACCCCTGGGAAGGGTGGGGCCATAATGGGGGATCAAAGTTTTACATAGGAATATATGGGAAAAAACTTTAAAAATCTTCTGCTCAAGAACAGCAAAGCCATTTTGTTATATTGATATGGAAGCATATTCCTCAGGTAGTTTAAAATTCAATCCCCCACCTCCATGTAAACTTTTCAATACTGAACTGATTTGTGCTTTTTCTAAGCCAATGTGCTCAGGTGAGGGATGTGGCCCATGGGCATCTTGTTGAGAAATACGTTGTATGTGACAGTAGATTGATTGTACAAGCATTCTGTAAAGAATAATATTACTTAAGCTGCATTGACAAGGGAAAAAAGGTTAAATGAGTACTCGACTCTCGTCCGACTAAAGCCCCCAATTATTCGGCTAGCCAAGTGAAATTGATATCCCTAGTTATAGTATGATTTTTTTTTAATTAAGAAAGAGCAATAATTTAAACGTTAAGTGCCTGTGGTGTAGCTGAATGAATAGGAGGAAAATGTGCAATTAATAATGACTATGAAGCCCAATGCAGTTCATATTTGATTTCATTGTCTTGAAGACTGGACTTTGAAAAAAAAAACACCTCTGTAATCTTTTGTTGAAGCAGAAGTATGTTAGATACATGCTGTTTTGAAAATAAACGAGGGACTTTTTCTCTCTTTTTTTCAAATGGAGTCAAATTTCACCCACTACTTTCACATTTTATCTATTATAGCATAATCACACACACACTCACCCTCACACACACACAGAAAAAACAATAAATAAAAAAAATTAGAAATTTGATTGATGATTTGAATTAAATATTTCACCATAGATTAAAATATAAACTAGCATTAGTTAATTGTCTATAAACTATTTTTCTCAACAAAAGATTTTAATTTTTCTTTATTTTGAATGAGGACACTTAAAAAAAAAGGGGGGGGAGGGAGGTAAACTTTTTAGCTCACCTGAGCTGAAAGCTCAAGTGAGCTTTTCTGATCACCTGTTGTCTGTTGTTGCCTGTAAACTTTTCACATTTTCAACTTCTCAAGAACCAGTGGGCCAGTTTTAACCAAAGTTGGTACAAAGCATCCTTGGGTGAATGGGGAGTTTAAATTGTTCAAATAAAGGGCCAAGCCCCCTTTCAAGTTGAGTTAATCAAGAAAGGACAAAATAGGGTGGGGTTATTAAAAAATCTTCTTCTCAAAAACCACTGGTCCAGAACAGCTGAAACTTATGTGAAAGCCTCCTGAGGTAGTGTAGATACAAAATTGTTTGCATAATGCCTAACCTCCCCCTCCCCCAGGGTAGAGGGTTGGGCCACAATAGGGAATCAAAGTTTTACATTGAAATATATAGCAAAAATCTCTTCTTCTCAAGAACTACTGGGCTAGAAAAAGTGAAACTTATGTGGAAGCCTCCTGAGGAAGTGTGGATTTTAAATTGTTCAAATTGTAGCCCCTTGGGGTAGGGTGGGGCCACAATAGGGAATCAAAGTTTTACATTGAAATATATAGGACAAATTTTTAAAAATCTTCTTCTCAAGAACCGCTGGGCCAGAAAAGCTGAAACTTATGTGGAAGCTTCCTGGGGTAGTGCAGATTCTAAATCGTTCAAATCATGCCCCCCCCCCCCAAGGTTATGGTGGGGCCACAATAGGGAATCAAAGTTTAACATTGAAATATATAGTAAAAATCTTTAAAAATTTTCTTCTCAATAACCACTTAACCAGAAAAGCTGAAATCTATATGATTCCTGAGTTAGTGTAGTTTTTAAATTGTTCAAATTATGACACCCCCCCCCCCGGCTACGGTGGGACCAAAATAAGGGGGGGGGGGAAATCTAGTGAAGAACAGCAGGGCCAAAGTCATTCAGGTGAGCATTTTGGCCCATGGTCCTCTTGTTTATTGAAACTCTTGTGACGTTAAGATCATTATGACGTCAAAATTTCCAAAGGTGTAGGCAATAGATGTTCTTTTACGACAGATTTTAAATTGGCGGAAATATTTTCGAAACGGGATGAATATTTGCGATCAGGTTAGTGATTTAATTCATTGTGGAATATAGTTTGCATTTACATGTATTTAAATATATTGCAACTTTCATTTTAATGTAATTGTTATCGGACTGAAATTTAAGATAGGAAATAAGAGTTTTTGAGGGTATTTGGCTGCTATTTTGGAACTCAGAAAAAGAAAATACTGAGTAGGTGAAATGGGACTTTGTTTAAATAGAGAAATAAAGAAGCTTTACGTCTATTTCTATTTCCTTTCCATCAGTATTTGATCAATTGTGTTTTAGAGAATATATATGTGCACTATTATGTACATGTTCATGATTTTCTTTAATTTTAGCATTATTATAATATTCTTTTATTTTTAATAAATTTGAACTGGGGCAATTGGTTATATATAGCTAGGCACAGCAGCGAAATTTTGACCACTATTGCATACGGGGTTCAGTAAATTCACTAAATATGTGTAGTAAGTGTGTTTGAATTACCAGTAAGTTTACGAAATTACATAAATTTTACATTTAGATGATAGATCACTAATTCGTCACAATTCATTTGACGTCACGATATCGACTATGACGTCAGTATGTTTGATGTTTTTGACAACGCATTTTATTCTGCAGAAGTTAAAATGCACGTCCTGAAAAACTATTAGTGCTAATTTAACCAGGTTAGTTATCAGGCCAATAACAGACCAAATACATGTATTTATACATTTATTACAATTTCAGTATACACGTACATATATGTGTTTTTTACAGAGTAAATTTGTAAATAAAGTTAACATCCTCCAAGTAACTGGGTATTTAGAGAACTGATATCTACTGATACAGCTAACGTCACAGTACCCATTATTGCCAAGTACCCATTATTGCCGATTTACGTTTTTACGATTAAAAATCTTTCTAACGGTAGTTTATTTTAATTTTTATGCAAGATACGTAAATTACATAATTTTTTCAAGCTACCGAGCGTTCCACAGAAGGAAAAAGTTGTAAAACAAAAATAAACTCACCGGCGACAAGTCAAACATGTGAAAACATACACAATAGCGGTCGTGCGACAGAACATGCCATAGGATTTTCGGCTAAACGTGCACTTTCATGACAGGATCAGTCATGTTTGGGTCAAAATCCATTAAATATTTTCCTGTATGCAATGATACTAAACGAAAATATCCAAGATAATATTTCTACTTCACAATATTTCACGAATAGTACGATGAGTACGAAGCGTCTGCTATACGACGCCATTTTTATTGCAACCGGGAGCGGATCAAACATCCACCCCACGCACCTGTTATAATAACTCTTTCATAGGTTATTTTTATTTATTGAACTTTGCTATGATCGCTCCCCCAATTATGTAGACCATTTCTAATGTAACATAACAAGATGTATGTGTCTTTTTTCTTTCTTTTTTTAAATAATTTTTTGTTATTTATAAATAGGCCTATCACACCCTGTTACCGGCAACTGGGACTGCCGATGCAACTGGGACGACAGACGGCAAAGTTGTTTTTCGCTATGACAGAGACCTGATTTTTATCATATATTTGACTATTTATAACATTTATTTACAAACGTATGGTGGTTGTCCGTCTTGACTATACCATAAACTATTTTCCTGTAGAATATAAAATTATGATTTCTTATTAAAACAAAATAAGAGCAGAATAAAGTCAAATTTCAATCGTCGTTCAAGAAAATTTGGTCAAACTGAGCTCATATAATTAAAACTACTACTCCACGGTCACATTTCTTGTTGTATATATTAATAAATTTAGGCTTTTAACGACATAACCGCAAACTGTGGATAGTCTTTGTTGTTTAATAAGTGTGCCGCAAGTACTTGATTTTGGTGGATCAATATATTTTGGCTGTCGTATACAACAGACGGGGCAAACAATGACAGCAGATTCAAAACAGAATTTGGCAATCGGAAACAGTGGATACGATTTTTAATAAAACATAAAGTTACTGTGTCTTATTAAGCTTCAAATTTCGGAAAACATTTTTTTTTTGTTGCTGTAAATATTGGTCGTACATATAGTATTTGCTATACGACAGTTACTGAATCAAACTTTTCATTAAGTACCAACATGAACATGTTTTAAGACGGTCCATTGGTCATTTAAGAGTCGCAAAAAAGATGAGCGTACTTGGCGTGCGATCTGCAAGAATCGTGTACGAAACATGGTTTAGAAGTCCACGATTTGGTAAGCTGACCATAAGTGGACAGACCTTACAAAGTTACACACATAGGAAAATGTTTAGATTTACATTGAAATAGCTTGCTAATTTGAAATAATTTAGTAATAGTTACGAATAACACAGTAACACTTCTTATAAATAATGAACACCTAACAGGATAATAGGGTATGATATATGAAATGAAGTTTCAGTAGGTTTGAAAAATTGCTTTCGCTCCCTGTGCAACTGAACCAAAATTTATCTTTTTTAAAACTTATATTGGGAAATTTGGAATTTCCCTATCTATTTTTGGTCCAATGTAGAATAAATAATTCCTTATATTGACCTGGAAGGTCACGTTCAGGTCAATATAACATAGTATTTTTCTAACATTGTTGGATCTCAGCCAATCAGAGAGATGGGAATTATTCAATCATATAATAAGTTTTTGTTTTAGCTCATCTGAGCATGGCTCAAGTAAGCGTTTCTGATCAAAGGGTGTCAGGCATCCGTCTGTCGTGTATATCTGTCGTCTGTATTTTTTTTTTTTTTTTTTTTTTTTTTTTTTACGTTTTCGACTTCTTTTTCAAGAAACAGTGGGTCAATTTCAGCCAAACTCCTTCAAATGAAGGCCCATACTCTCTTTCACGGGAGATAATTAAGAATTATAGTTGAAATTTTAATGTCGCATGTTTTAAAAATCTTCTCAAGAATGACTGGGCGAGAAAAGAGGAAATGAATGTGAATGCTTTACTAGTATTGCATAGTGTAGATTTTTTTTTTCAAACCACGACCCCCGAGTTTAGGGCGGGGCCATAATCGGTGTTTAGAATTTTACACAGGAATATAAATATAGAAAAATTTCTTTTTAAATCTTCTACTCACGAACAACAAATCCTCGATTAGTCACATTTACTAGTATATACGGAAGCATCCTTATGTAGTATAGTTTAAATTTGTTCAGTTCATAACCTTTGGGGTAGGGTAGGGCCTTAATATATTATCAAACTTTTACATGGGAATATAAGGGGAAAAATCTGCCGGAGGACAGCAGGACCATATAGTAACTAAGGTAAGCGATGTGACCCATGGGCATCTTGTTAAATCTTTAAATGTTCCAAACTATAATTATCCTTTAAGTGATTCCAATATATATCGTTGCTAAGTAGAACTCAACATATTGGTGATGACAACATCGAAAACTAAAATAAAATAAAGTTGTTACCGATTGCCATCATCTGTCGTCAGTGTTTGCCATGTTAACATCCATCTGCTGTTCAAGACAGCCAAAAGATCTTGACCCACCAAAGTCAAGCGCTCGTAGCACACTTTTTAAACAACACAGACTATCCATATTTTGCAGTTATGTCGTTAAGAGCCTAAATTTATTATATACAACAAGAAATGTGACCGTGGAGTAGCAGTTTTAATTATTTTAAGCTCAGTTTGACCAAATTTTCTTGAACGACGATTGAAATTTGACTTTATTCTGTTCTTATTTTCTTTTAATAAGAAATCATAGTTTTATATTCTACAGGAAAATAGTTTATGGTATGGTCAAGACGGAAAACCACCATACGTTAGTAAATGAATGTTATATATAGTCAAAAATACGATAAAAATCAGGTTTCTGTCATAGCGAAAAACAACTTTGCCATCTGTCGTCCCAGTTGCATCGGCAGTCCCAGTTGCCGGTAATAGGGTGTGTATAGTGCGTTTTGCTTTGCGAAATATGAATCTTTGGGGGGGGGGGGGTAAATGTTAACATCCTCCAAATAGCTGGGTATTTAGAGAGCTGATATCTACTGATACAGTTAAAAAAAATCTTTAAGGTTCTCCACTTAACATATGACCGGCGATTTACATTTATCTTTTTTTACGTTTATCTTTTGTTATCTCTTCAGCTACTGGTACATTTCGTGAGGCATACGTAAGAATTGCCATACAAATGTTAACATAATTGAAGAAACGTAGTTTTTACTAAGCTGATATCTACTGATATTACTGATCAGATGTAAACTTCCTCATAGGTTTTTCATATCATCTGACATTGAAGTTACTAAGATATCTGTAGTGATATCTTCAGTATTAGAACTTTGTGTGTGTGTGATATAATGCAAGATTGCGATACAAATGTTTTTTTAATTATTGTTTTTTTTTTACTTGATTAAATGTTTAATGTCATTCAAAGACAATATTTTCTATTCCTTCTATGATATGACAAAACATGAACACAAGGCAAATTGTGACAACAAACCAACAGACAGACAAACTACAAATGTTGACATCATTGAAGTAACTGGGTTCTTACTTTTAAATATGTGTGTCGAAGGGAGAGAGGCCCTATCATCTTTCTCTCTGTGTGTGTTTAACTATTAACAAATACCGGAAAATTTACATCCTATCAAATGTATTTTCTGTTTAGCGTGCATACCCACCTTCCTACTATTTTATCAACCTGAAAACGTTAAAAATGTCAGAGGACGAAGATTACATGTCCGAGAGTTTCTTGCAAAATCTCGAAGACAAAAGACCCGGGCTTGTGTTTTCTTCAAAGACGTCACGAGCTCACAGACAGGAAAAGAAGAAAAGGGAGAAAGATGACCAAAATCGAGCCAAACCCAAGAAAGTTTTAGAGACAGAAAAACGAGAAGAGGGTTTAAACTCGGCCATTCCCAGTGATAACAAGGGCTTTGCCTTACTTTCAAAAATGGGATACAAACCGGGTATGGCAATTGGAAAGAAAGGAGAAGGACGCTCTGAACCGGTTCCTATTGAGTTAAAGGCGGGAAGAGGTGGACTTGGCAGAGATAATGAAGTCAAAAGGAAATTAGAAGACTTTAGGGTGAAGTCGGCAATAGCACAAGAAAAAAGGCAAAAAGTCATGTCAGAAGCAAAACAAAACTTTGTTGGTCGAATGAGTAATAAGTTTTCAGAACAAAGAGCAAAAAGTGATCTGTATAAAAGTCAGAAAGTGTGTGCTGATCTTGATGTAAGAATTAATTTAACGGAACCCGAGAGACACTTCTTTTGGCCGGATTCTTACAAAAAACAAGATGAAAGTGATGAAGAGTCAATTGAATATGAAGAAACTGAGGAAGATTTACTCTTGAGTAGTGTAGAACAATTAGAAATTTTAACAAATTATCTAAGAACAAGACATTTGTATTGCGTTTGGTGTGGGACTGCTTATGAAGATACCCAAGACCTTGAAACCAATTGTCCTGGTAACACAGCAGATCTTCATGATGATTAAATGAACAGTCTCTGTACAAATGTTTTTATTAACGTACATTTAACTAAATTATATTGACTTTATAAGTAAAAAATAGAAAATAACTTTTTCATATTATTTTGTATCATGCATTGCAACCATCATGATCCTTTACCAAAATGACTTGACTTGCACACATTTTTATCATACATATACATGTAATTTGCCTTAGGCCTTACATGAAAAAAAAAATCCAGAATCATGCCACATGCGTAAATGTGCAATATTGTAATTTCAAAGTGCATTTTCATATTTTTTTGAAAACAAAATTATGTCTTTGGTACATCTTTCTTTCTTTTTTAAATCAAGTTTTATATTAAAAAAAAAACTTTTTTATTATTCCACTTCTTCCATATTGAAATGTCTGACTGGTATTTGCTGATATGTTGACCTTGGTGAGATCAAATTCTCCAGAGGAACTAAATCTGTAATATCTTGATATATACAGGATGAGAATCTCTCTGCTCTTCCATTAATAAAGAGGTCAGAAAAATCCAAAGTTGTATGGTAAAAAACGCTTGATTCCCTTATATTGTTGAGTTCGGTGTTACGTGGCAGTGTGAAGATATAAGAATGCCGTCTTTGATGCTTAAATCTGAAAGAAAAAAATTCATTTTCGGTGCAAATGGCTGACTTAAGAACAATAGTTATTAGTTTTTCTGCTTAGATCGATCCCAATAACTAAATTACATTTTGAAACAGTTTTCAAATTGCTGTCTCTTATGTGTGTTGGTTGGAATTAAGACACTTTTTCAATTAGTATGTGGTTTGACAGGTGGTTGAATAAAGAAGTAGATATTATTCAAATGAGCAGCAAATGCAATTTATGTTTTAGGTGAATCAACACAAAAATATATAAAGGTACATTAAGAATATTCAGTAGAGTGTTGTTATAATGTGCTACTAAAGATAACCTTAATTTTTATACCCCTGCAAACAAAGTTTAGTAGGGGTATATTGGAATCAGCATGTCCGTCTGTCTGTAGACGAGATTTTGTCCGGACCATTTCTTGGAAACAGTTGCAAGGATTTGTCTGAAATTTGTACACTTATGAAGGTGTGCACCTGGTATTTTCATCATGATTGGATAATTTTATTTACATTTTGCAGGTGTTTTTTTTTTTCATTTTTATTGTGTGGTTTTGTCAGGATTTTTTCCCAGAGACTATTGCATAGATTTGTATGAAAATTTGTACACTTATTATTTACCATATGAAAATGTGCATTTTCAACATTATTTGATAATTTTTCTTCATTTTACAGGTGATTTTTTTTAAAATATATATATATTTTTATTGATTTAGTCATTTCGGATTCATGTCTAAGGTTTGAGACATAGAATCTAGAACATCTGTACAAAAATGTGAACTACAGCTTAAAACTACTCATTAGAACTAAAAAATCACAAAGTATTAAAAACAGTTTTTACATGTGTAAATCCATTTGTCCCTTGGGAGTAATGAGTGGACATGCATCCAGTTAAAGATTAATTAATAAGTTCAGTGTGTGAAGCTGTTGGGGCATCTCTGATCAAGCAGGTCTTATCTATATCTCCTGGGAATTGGGCAGAAAGAAATAAAGATCTTTGTTGTCTAAGTCTCTTAATTGTAATTTATGTCTGTCAAAATACATAGTTACTGGAACCACCCTTTTATTTTTAAAATGAGTTTGATATAAAGGTATTAAGATCAATTTGATTTTGTATATGTAATTAATTATGAGATTTTTTTTTCAACAATCAATTTGCAGAGTGTCATGTCTCACAAAGATGACAGATAGTTGCAAACTATTTTTTCAATGTAATTATTAGTATTGATGTTTTATTAGGCTGCACCTTAGTTTCATTCATTAAAAAATATAATGAGTAATTAAATTTTCACTCTAAATGTTTAAGCAAATTGTGAACACCTCTCACATCTAGAAAACATTAGTGATTTGGTACCTTCTCTGAAAAAACCCAGTGGGGGGTATTTGTCCCTTTTGGACAGTTCTAGTTTTTCTTACATCTAATTCCATACATGTATATTTCATTAATTTCTTTTTTTCCATGCGGTGAAAGAATGATATGATTTTTAGAGCAGATATGTTGTTCAATTGTGCATGCCATAAAAATATTGCTGTGCACAGATATTGTAAAAGTCTGTTTTTAGTAGCTGTATTTTAATTCATTAAACTGAAATATAAGTTGATGAGTGTTTTGAACCCATTCATGATTGACTTAATGTATTGAAAGCTCCGATTACAAAAAAAAATGTTATGGTTAAAGGAAAAAAAAGTATGAGATTAATATGTAAATGTGAAATAAAGGAAATCATACAAATAGCACTTTAAAAAAATGCTCCATCCGTATTAAAAAAAAAAAATACAAATTACTTTTCCCCAGTGTACTCATTGGTACATGAATTACCTCTCTTTCCTTTCACGCAAAAAGGCAACAGAAACAAGTACCAACAGGAAGGCTAAAATGGCAATGAAGAGTTCCCGGATGTACCTGAAAACTGTTACTTTGAATTATTACTATGCATCTATTAGATTGACACAGGTGTTAATTTCGAGCTACGTCTCTCTCTCTCTCTCCTCCTGGCTAAGGAAGCAAGAATGACGATCAGGATGACGATTAATGAGATGGAGTAAAAATGTGAGGGCAACTGCCAACAAGGCAAGAGTGAGGGCAAAAATGTGAGAGGATAAGGGTAGAAATGCAAAATAAGGAAGCAAAAGAACTACGCTTGCTACTAAAATTTAACTTTTTTGAATGCAAAGTAGACCTCATTAGTAATTGATTAATAATTATACCACCAGTGAAAAACCGCGTTAACAGCTCTTCATTACAAATCTTTTTATAAGGGGAGAGGGAAGTTAAAAAAATCTATTCAAACCAGGCTTTAAAGCATCACCGGATTTGAAAATGCTTATAGATATGGATATATGACCCTTAAATCTTTCTGTATGTTTTAACTTAATATGCAAAATTAACCACAAAGAATGATAAAGTATAATTTCGTAGTTGTAATATCGTTAGAAATTGGTAATAAAATTAACATTTCCGCCGTGTTTTTATCTGTAAATAGATCTATACCCCCCCCCCCCCCTCGGTGAAACAACAATTTAAGCTTCGGTACGTATGAATTTGTTAAATAGCAATCCGTAATACCTACAAGAAAGGAATTTTTGATTAAGGGGGCGGGGTTGAAGTGTTTTGAAAATATTTTCCGTTCTCCATTGATTTCCTTAGTGAAGTACTCAAATTTTAACACAAATAGTAGAGTCATCTCTCTGTTTTCCAAAATATGTTATAGTTAGGGAAAATTTATGTAATTAACTTTTTAACTTTTGAAAACTGACTTGGAGCTAGGCGACAGAACAATACTATCATTCGCAGCTCTCTTGTCAGCACAATTTCTCACATTTTTGCCCCTGATTTCCCCCACTGTCGTCTTTACAGTGTTGCCCTATTTGTCTCTTCCTCAATATACTAATGTAGAAACAGAATGTGGGCCTAGCTGCTGAGTAAACATCACAGCGTGTACAAATACTCTTAAAATGCTGTGGTAAGACAGATGTATAGTATTCCTAGAAATGTGTTGAGAATTTCTTGTAATACATTTATATTTTTCTAAAATATTTCACTAATAACAAAACATATGTTAAGGTTACTTTTATATTTGATGACTTTTTCCCTTACTTTCTTATGATACATGCTTTTTTCATGGATAACCTCTCATTTTATTTTCTTACGTTGTCGGCCGTTGTTTCAAAGAGTGCTTTTGAGAACAGAAAACCTATTTAAATATTTCTGAAACACTGTATTCACTATCTATATATTTAAAAAAATGTATCCTTAAAAAATTCTTAATAACTTTTTGAAACACTACATATATTGTACTTCAATCATCATGCATGCTATATTTAACACAAATTTGGGAAAATACGCGGAGATGTCTGATTATATTCTCCGTTTTTAACCTCTCAGCGGATAATTGAAATGCACTTGCAAGTACCATTATTTTTCTCTTCCTGTTTGCAGGGTAAACATGCTTTTGATGTCAAAGCACCTGCTGGCAATGAGACCATGTCTACAAAAAATGAACTCAGTTATTAATGCCGTTATAATATTGTGAACATTTATTTTATGAAATTCCAAAAAAGTTCCTAGAAAAGTTGTCTTACAACGTTCAGTGACATTGTTCACATCTGACGATAAGTTTGCAATGGGGATTATTTTTGTGGTTAAGTTGTTCTGCGTTGTGGTTGTTGTAGAGTTAAATTTATTCAACTCAAATTCTTCCACAGAAGCATCTGTATTATTTAAATTTTCTTCTTGGTAATCATAAGGGGTGGACAGTACTCTCTCAACATCCTCTGCCTTCACATCAGTAATGTTTAGAACGCTCTGAGTAGTTCCAGCTGAAGCCAAGCTTGAAGTATTTGTGTAACTTTGATTGTAGAACTCCTTTGAATCTGTGAAGGATTCCACTATAAAATTGTGCATTTAGTTAAGATTTGTTTGAATATTCACTTGATGAATAATCACTGGTGAACAAAAATGATTTTTCATCAAGCGTCATGTACACAGTCAAACTTTGTTATCTCAACAAAACTTTAAATCTATGTGGATTGGGAAAAAATTTATAAGGTCAAGTGAAATTTTTCATAGAAGTATATTTTTTCACGTAGCTGAACATGTATAAGTACGGAAGCCCGTTGAGGCCAGTTGAAAGAAAGAAATATTTTTTATTGCGTTTAAACGCAAAAATTATTGCGTATAAACGCAAAAGATTGCGTTTGATCGCAATATATATTGCATTGAAACGCAAAACACTTTGAGTTTAATCGCAAAAGATTGCGATTAAACGCAATAATCTTTGCGTTTAAAAGCAATAATCCTTCTTTTAAGGATTCGTTTTGCATTTAAACATAATGATACTGTAGTTTTAAAATTAGACATTGATCAATAAGTCAAAGCTTATATATGATTAATATGATACGACATTTCAAAGTACCGTTTGGTTCTGTGTATTTTTGCAAAAATTTTCCAGTTTGTGAAAATTGTAGTTAAACAATCGCATCTTAACAACCAGAATGTCTTGAACGTATTAGAACCCAACACTCTTAATGAAGCCTTTGATCAATTGCCTACGTATCACAACTAATTAAGAACGTTTCAGTGGTATTAATAAAAACTTGTCAATTTTACATCGATCAATCTGTTTTCGTTTGATTTTGATCTCAAATGATTCCATCACCTATGTTCTTGTGTTTACTGTATGCAACCGTAGGAAAGGTTGAAAATATACATTTAAGTCTAAATACTTCTTCATGTTGTACCTAATTCCAACATTTCATAAGTCTATGGAACGCCAAATTAACATATATTCAAATATTTGTACCTATCTTCAAATAATTGTACCTATCTTCAAATAATTGTACCTATCTTCAAATGAATTGAAGATAGGTACAATTGAATTAAAGATAGGTACAATTGAATTGAAGATAGGTGTAAATAATTATACCTATCTCTAAATAATTATACCTAGGTACAAATAAATTATACCTATCTTTAATGGAATTACACCTATCTTCAATTCAATTAAAGATAGGTTCAATTGAATTATACCTATCTCTAATTCATTTGAAGATAGGTATAATTGATTTAAAGATAGGTACAACTGATTTGAAGATAAGTACAATTGATTTGAAGATAGGTACAATTAGAACATATCCACAAAGGATTTGAAGATAGGTACAATTCAATTATACCTAGGTTCAATTCGTTTTGTGTTATTGAAAATAATGAACGCTCCCTTGGAGACAATATTGAACATGGAGGGAAACGCACAGAGCATACAGAGCGACGAAACGAGGATGAAAGGAGAAAAAAAGGTATGTTAAAATGTGCAAAAATCATTATATACTTATCAAAATACACATGTATGTCAATAAGTGAGCGAAAAAATATATATAATAATACCCGAGTACCCCGAAAGTGTCGGAGATCGGTAGACGTAACGGAAATGACGTATAATGAAGGGAGTAGTTATTATTGCCAATATCTTAGTAATTAAAGATAGGTTCAATTCAATGGTACCTATCTTTAAATCAATTATACCTATCTTCAATTCATTGCATTTGTACCTATATCTTCAAATCAATTGTACCTATCTTCAAATGAATTAAAGATAGGTATAATTGAATTATACCTATCTCTAATTCATTTGAAGATAGGTACAATTGATCTAAAGATAGGTACAATTCATTTGAAGATAAAAATATGTTAATTTGGCGTTCCATATAAGTCCTTTCCTGAACCCATTTATACATGAGTTAAACTTTGTGACCGCAACGTGGGGGATAGTATTTTAATCATTTTTTCTTCTTTAGTCTTTTATTTAGAAGATCCATTTTAATTGTTTGAAGAGAAATTGTTTCAAAGTAGAAAAAACAAAAACAAAATAGAAGTGATTTGTGATTGTAAGCAACTGACCAAATCTTCATTAAGAATATAGCGATGAAAAGGCATGTTTCGTTCTTAGGTTGTCTCTGTTTTTACAACCCGACATTTTTTTCCTCCTCTATAAATTCACATCAGTGATTTATCCTTTCAGAAAGCGTTTGCTCGGAGGAATCTGATTCTATAAAGCTAGACATTACACGATTTCCTTTTAAGTAAAAATAAGAAAGAAATGTAATATATCAGTTTACGTGGGTCCGTTGTATTCTGCAAGATTTAATACAAATGATTTCCTGTAATCACAAAGAATATTGCGTTTAAACGCAAAGATTTTTGCGTTTAATCGCAATATTATTGCGTTTAAACACAATAGGTATTGCGTTTAAACGCAAAAAGTATTGCGTTTAAACGCAAAAAGTATTGCGTTTAATCGCAAAATGATTGCGTTTAAACGCAATATACATTGCGACTAAACGTAATCTTTTGCGTTTAAACGCAATGATTAGTGCGATTAAACGCAATGTTTTGCGTTTAAACGCAATAATTATTGCGTTTACACGCAATAAAAAAATATTTCTTTCTCTGAACTGGCCTCAATGGGCTTCCGTATGTAAGAAATACTGGTAAGAAAAATATACCTGTGTAAAAGGTCTTTCTTCAAATACTGTTAAAGATTATAATTTTTTTATGTATTTAGGCTGATGAATTACACAGCATTAAGAAAATGTGTATTTTTTTTGGGGGGGGGGACCCCCTCCCCAACAATTAAAGAAATGAATGCTCTATGAAAGCGAAAATTCTGTTAATCGTGGGAAGCATGGCGTATGAAGCGCAAAATTAATATAAACTCAGTTGATCGAAGGTCATATTGTCAATTCATTTGATGCTTGCAACAATTCAATTAAAGGTCTCTTTAAAAAATAAGCGATATCTTCAATTCTGAATTATTGTCTGCATTAATCTAATTGTTGATATCATTTAATTAATTTGTTGCATGGATTGATGAGCTCAACTAAATTAATGAAAATAATAATTGATTAGATACATTTAGTACATTTATTCAATTATTGCTGTCATCAATTTAACTGGTGCGCATATCGATGCATTTAATGCCCGTAATAACTGAATTATTGTATGAGATATGAACATATCCAACAGTAACCAAGCTTAAAAGTCTATTGGAACGATACAAATCGGGACCAGAGCAAACACGGACCTCTAGAAACATGAAAGGTTGGATCAGATCCCATGGAGGAGTGGGCATGCCCTGTCGGTCGGTCACACCCGCCGTGTGCTCCTGGTCATGATTTGGCAAACGAAGAAAAAGTCGAAAATAATGGCCTAACAGTTTGTATGAAAAACGTCAGTCAATAATCTACTTAACGATGGATTGTATTCGCTAACAAGGTTATTTCGAACACAGAATTTGCAAAATGTTGACTTCAAACGAGACTTTGTCAATAGCGTGCCTCGTTTTAGAAATTGTTCGTACGTACTTAAATTATGGTTTCAAAGACAACTTCAAAAATTCAAAGATAATTTCAATTATTGAATTTCATTTTAATTTGGTGCTCCATAATGGCATGCTATTCGTTATTCAGAATCCTATTTTGTAAGAATGTGTTTCACTCCAATTTAAGAAACTTTGCTCACCAAAGTATTCCATTGGAACCTCCACCCTCCTCAAGGAAGGGGGGTTCTATGGTCAAAACTTTTGAACCACGTCTAAAATGTAAAACTTTAATGCATTTATTTTATATATAACAGTAAAGTTGTTCATTTACCACTGGATTCTTTGCATTCCGTGTTGTTGCACTGCCTGCTCTCTATAGCTAGAGGATTACATTCCTGGGTACAATTCACTCCACAGCTCCTTACACGATGTTGTATTTCACTACCACCGCAGATTGTCGGACATTCTGCCCAAGAAGACCACTCGCACCCCCCTGCGGACGGAAAACAGTGTAACAGTAGTCCAACGAAACACAAATATAATTCTGATAATGCCAGCAGTAATTTAAGAACTCTAATTTTTTCCAACTTCGGCATATGTAAACATGTTCTGTCTGAATCAAATTACATATTACAAATGGCATTAAGTTTTTCAATACTTTCCGAAGAAAAGAGGAAGAAATTCATTTGTGCAGGTCATGAGAAACCTGAATGTCACAGGAAAGGGAAACATATTTACTAGTGCCATTTCCTATTTTATGAAAGGTAATAGAGGAACACCAGGGGATCGCGTTGTACTTCAATGGCAAACCACACGAGAAATAGTAGGTTTGTGACTGGGGGACACTCATCTTCCTCCCCATTTTGTTCTCCTGTCCGACCTTCTCTTTCCTCTCCCTATTCTTTTACGAGTTTCCGTTCTCTTCATCTCCGCTTTCTCGGGCAAAGAGAGAAATTGGATGGATTACAACTTTTTTCTAAGTGGAAGTTTTAAGTTCAAGTTATTTTCTCAAACCACTTGATGGCAGTGAGGTTCTGCGTACAATATACTACATGTAGTATACAAAGACAATATAAAAAACACACGTGAAATAGAGGAAATACATACAAGTTAAGTAAACAAAAGTAATTATGGAGGACAGACCTGTTCGTTGTACTTTAGATATGTAATTACACAAATTAATTAATGCACTGGAGTTATTCTGAAAACCTGTACAAAATTTGGTCTATTACAACTGTAACCGATTACCCGGTCGGAACGACGGTAATCGGTGAGAAAATATGTAACCGGTTAGTCGAAACAAAGTTAATATTGTGAATTTGAAAGCAATTTTCTTCAAGTTTAGTTTTAAAAAGAAATCCCTTCACAAACGTTGATAATTTAGCGTTTTCACGTATCAATTTACGCTGATTTGGAGGTAATTGTGGCTCTCCCTTGAGGAGTGTGAATTGGTATGTTTATCTTTTGCAGTTATCTATCAAGTTAGATTATTAAATATTTACATTTCCAATGTCTTTGTCCGAGGTAAAATTTCAAATAGTAAAAATACTTTATTTCAACATAAATCTACTGGTTCATCGATAGGTGTTGTGAAAAAAAATCACGTGCGGGGCGGGACAAACAGAGACAGAAGGGGCTTGTAGCACGTGAATTTGCAGAATCAAGAGCATGTAAATATATAAGGAATAACTGTCAGATTTTTTGGTTTCATGACTTCGGCGTTTATGCAAATTATCACGCAAGCCAATCGATTGATCACATCATGAAACCAAAAAATTAGACAGTTATTCCTTAAATAAACATTGTAAATTAAGTGATATAGTTCAGACTTAGTTTTGATTATGCTGATAATGCAGAATGAACTTGTTTGACATCTGCTCACATCAAGACAAATAAAGTAGTTTTATTTTCTAACGTCTTTTTCAGTCTTCTTGTTTATATGAATAGAGCTACATAAAAAAGAAAATGTGTATTTTGATACGGTTAATCGGTCGGAACGCCTTGCGATTGGCAATTTCGATTGCTATTCCTACAATACAGTTGAACTTCGGTATCTTGAACACTGATATCTCGAATACCAGGGATATGTCGAAGTGATTTGAAAGTCCTAACCGCTTATTCTTAAAACATTTTACCCCTGATATCTCGAATCCTCGGATACCTTGAAGTTTTTTCTTGGTCCCTTGAGTTCAAGATAACGAGGTTTGACTGTATTTATTGGGAGATAATTTTTCCGGCATTCTGAAAAAATGGACGGATCAAGCATTATTATAATATTTAATGAAAGTAAAGTATAAACCATAATAGCAACTTGGTTTAATTTGCTTTTTAAAAAATATTTTTGGAATAATTATTCATAGTTCCAACCATTTTCCCCCTTTTTTTCTCATCACGCAAAGTATTTTGTTTCGTACAAACCTCTGCCACACAAAATCTTTTTCGGACCATATCAAAACTTTTTTAAAATATCGTTGACCCCCTTTTTTTTTTACTTGAACTTAATTGAAATTTTGCATTTACATTATCTGTTTTACTCTACGACCAATCTTGACAAACATGAACTTCTGTATAATTTTTGTTCAGACCTCGGGATCATTAAGCATCTAAGTAAAAAAAAATGTTTTTGGCACTGAAATCATTTCGAGGTCGAGTAGTCCAAAATGAAAATGCTTTACAATTTTGCATCATCAAACTTCTGTTATATGCGAATTACCAGTTTCATGTCACGAGTAAAATTTTGCAGATGATTGAAATTTTGACTTTAGTTAATAATACTACATGGGGTCTGAACGTGTGAACACCACTCTCTTTATCCGTTTTGTCCAAGCCTATGGCAATGCGGAAAGTATAAAAGTCCCGTACCGAGTGTAGCATCTTAAATTATTCTCATAGTCTAGCATCTCAAATTATCCTAAAACACTAGCATGTGAAATTATTCTCATAGTCTAGCATCTCTAATTATTCTCAAACACTAGCACCTTAAATTATTCTCATAGTCTAACATCTCAAATTATTTTCATAGTCTAGCATGTCAAATTATTCTCAAACACTAGGATCTCAAATTATTCTCATAGTCTAGCATCTCAAATTATTCTCATAGTCTAGCATCTCAAATTATTATCATAGTTTACCACCTCAAATTATTCTCATAGACCTTAAATTAATATTTTTTTCGTGTATTAATTCTAAAATTCTCTTAAAATCTGCATTTCAATGCTCACATTGCTCAAAATTCACATCAATTGATATTCTTCTTTGAACAATGAACATGTTGAAGTCATTCAAAATTTTTGAATACACACTACTTATCAGATGATTTGGCTTTTTTCAAGTATATCTCATGTATTTCACTGACCTGCAATTACATATATCCTGCCTATATCATTGGAAATAACAATGTAGATTGTACTCCTAGAGCACTGAACTTCATCAAACCATTAATAAAATTCAAAAACTACCATCCATCTCAACACCCAATCATCAATAAATCAATCTAATATACCAGGGTCCAATTCTAGAGGTTTAAGGATGTTTGAAGTGGGCCTCGTGTAACTGAGTGACCCATAAACTTTTCTAAGTTCTTGTAGTTAGGGGGATCCAATTGATTTTTTTTAATCTGAATGAGAAATGAAAACATTGGTCACAGTATAATTACTATAATAATATTTCTTTTTTAAAAATAAGAATACAGATTTGCAGCTCATATTGTCTTTGTTAATGGTGACCATAAAATGGAATTAATATAATATTGTCTGTTTAAGCACTGTCCATTTCCTTGGATCTTATTCAGACTATGGGAAAATCTAATAGTTGCAAACACTTAGAAAAAACTTTAATTTTGATGTTATCAGTTTTTTCATAGGAGTGGAGTTAAAATTAAAAAGGAAGAGAGCTTTTCTACCAATTCTGACTTTTTTATAACATGATAAAAGAAACAAACATATACCGTGTCTTTGTTTTACACGGAAACTTTGAAGAGCACACACAAAATCACTTCACTGTATTGATTATAAATGAAGACTGAAAAGTTCTCATCACTTTCGAATGAAAAGTTGATAAAGTAATTTTATAGCAAAATCTGTCTTTAAATCACCACAGAAATTTAATTTTTATCACACCATTTTTCTATCACTTGCTTCTGTAAGTAACAATATAGAAGTTCAATATCTTTCTTTGTGTATTTGAATGCTGTTTGACTGACACATCTTCTGTATCCACTTTCATGTTCATATGTGTATTCCACAACATAAACCTGATGTCTTTGTACTAACAAACCAAACAGAGTCCCACATTTGTTCAGGCTTAACAGCATTTTGAGATGGAGTTCCTGTATTTTTCTACTTTCAAGTTCACAAAAACTAGCCACATCAGCAATCAAAACTAAATAATTCCCAATAGTGACAGAAACATCAGGTGTCACTTTTTGAGAAGTTTCCTTCAAGTCAAATGCGACTGTGTTCTGATTTTTTAACAACATCTTGTATTTCTCTTTAGAACTTAACTCTGTGTTCAATTTGAATTGATCAGCACTGTCACAGGACTGTTCTTCTGTGGGGCCTTTTAAGATATACCCACTCCGATCCAGGAAAGAATCTGGTCCTGTGGTAGAGTAGGTTACATTAACATTGTCTATTCCTGTGAACAGCATCCTAAGGAGAGACACGGTAAATAGTTTTCCTCTCAAATCCTGAAAGCCCTGAGCTCTGGCCTCCCAGTAAAATTTTGCTATATCAGAGGGACACACTATAGATTCTTCTGTTTGACTGATTAAACAGGGTGAACCCTGAAAGAATACAAAAATGAGAATGTCTTAATAAACCTGGCATGAAAAGTTTTCAGGGCAGACAGACAAATATATAGAATTGAGAAAATTAATACAAGTACATGGCTACAAACTGTGCTAAACACAATCATTTAGTTGCATTGTCCTAACTTTTAATTAACATTTCTACAAACTTTAAGTAAATATGGTCTGAGACCATTTAGTCTCAGTAATCTAAAGAAAACTTAAATCATTTTTTTTGTACAGAAATAGTTGGAAAAATAAAGAGATAATGATTATCTATTCCAAGACTTCTAATGCACTTACTGCTTGCAGATTCTGCATCCTTTCTGAAGATTCAGGGAGTTCCTCTAGTTGTGCTGTTTTAAATGCCATTGTCAAATGATGGATATCTGTCATCACATTCTCATCAATTAATAAATCTGTGTCTGTATTCTGGTAGAAGATACAAAAATTTATTTTGATCTAGATGGCTCAATTTCCTTTATTAAGTGATAAGTGGTTGATATATTCATTTTCTTGGTCCCATCAATTTTGAGATAACGAGGTTTGACTGTATTTGTACAGTAAAGAGGAGCGACAGTAAAAATTTTATAGGTAAATAGGAAAAAAAGAAAAGAACCCATTTTATATGTTGAATGCCTGAAAAAGGTGTAAAAACTATTATTTTGTACAATTGATTAAGTTCTCTTCATCTTAAAATTCATTTTCGGAAATACATGCAAATCTAAATACACTTGGCACGATAAATTAGTGACATAGATATACATTAACTAAAAGACTTGTTTTTGATAGTACTTCATTGTATTTTTAAATCTTATCAGGAATTTGTTTTCTCACAAACCTTTTTATACCAGCCTTCATCTCTCCTTTCCACTGGGCTGAAATAAAACCAGCTATCAAACATGTCCCCTGAGTAGTACATCATTCCCTCGCCTTCCAGTGCTCTGGACACTATCTCCTCTGTCTCTCTCACAAGGAAACCTATATTCAAATAAACTTATATTTAAGAGAAATCTAAACTGAACATAGATTAGAAATCTTTTTTTAGTGTACATGTTAATAAATGCAACGAGAAAAAAATTCGTGTCAAGTTTCACTTTAAAGTGCATGATGAAGCCTTCTTAGCATTTCAAAGATTTTAAATATTTGAACACAAATATGACAACAGTTCTCATTAGAAAGACCATCCAGTTACTTTCATCTACAAGGGGTATTCTTTAAAAGCTCTCCCATATTTTCTTTTAAAGCACTTAGACCTTTATTAATGGCAGACTCAGACAATGAAACTCAAACACAGGATGGGTACAGGAGGATATTGGCATATTTATTTGATAAAGTAATGTAATCTTATCATTCTTTTTTTTTTGTCTCTAAACATTCTAATATTGATATATCAAGTAAATTTCAAAAAAAATATTTAAAATAAAAAATAATCTATATGCCTGCATGTATTCACATGGTACTTAACCCTCTGAAGCATTTGTGGTATATATTACAGTACCCAGACATATCTATATGTTAATGATCAAATATTTCACCTTCACTCAAGTCTTCCCAGTGAACAAGCACTGTTCTCTTCATTGCCAGCTTTTCCCTTCTGTGGTTCAAAAAAATTCTGAAAGCCCTTTTCCATCTTTTAGTCTGAAACAAGAGGAAAGCTAAATACCATGTATGTATAAACTGTAGTAAAAATTTCACAAAATTCTTAGTCAATGTAACATTTTTTTTCTCTTTAGACTTGATGTAATTCTTTTAATTATGTACATATGGTGGTGTTTAGTGATTTATTCAAATTCGATTTTAACAAATTTTGACACTATGTTATATGGAATTCAAATATATTTTTTGATAGATCCTAAATTAGGTTCCTTTATTAAGAACTTGTGTTAAAAGAAGGAATGGACCTTTGTTAATGCTATAAAGGTTAGTATTATATACAACCAAAAAAAAAAAAAAACTTATCTCTTTTAAGTTTGGAAATTTTTGTAACAAAGATTAATGTCAAATTTCTCTGTACACATGGCGTGATAACTTTCCCTGAACTAAATGTTTAGTAGTATGTCAAAACTGAACGTACAGCAGCTGTACAAACCGTGAAACGTTGAAAATTAATGACTCTGCTGTTACAATGCAAAATAAAGAGGTGAAAAAGTGTATGTAAATAGATACTCTATAGTTTTAGTCTAAATCTATAAAAATCCAAGCTTTTGAAACATACTGTTTCTTCCGTTTCGTCGTCAGAAATAGAATTTCTTCTCCGACTTCTCTTCTCTCCGAAGTTTGACGCCATTTTTTTTTTAAATTTCTGTTTTCCGAGCCCGATTTAAAAGTTTTTGTTCTTTTTTTTACTCTATATACCATTAAGGATATCCGATCCTCAGCCAGGAAGGACAATTCTTAAATTTATTATTTTATTTCAAAAGTCTCAAAATGAAGCTTGAAATTGAGATCTTTTCGTGCAACAATTTTCTTTTTCATTTCAATTCATTTTATGTATCTCAGTATGATAAGGATTCTTTGAAGTCTTAGAAACGGGTCTTGTAAAAAGTTGACATTTGTACCACATAAAAGAAAAAAATTAATTAATTATTAGAGAAATTGAATTTCCTTTAATCTAGCATTAGATATCAATGCTTATTAGCATGATATGAAATTAGATGTAATTTGTGATGTCTAGCAATGATAGCACAAGCATCTCAGTTACACTATGTACATGTATTATATAACAATTGAAGTAAATAAAAGATGCAGTTTTCTCCAAATGCCTGGAAACCTATATCTTTTGATCCTAGAATATATTTGTTGATCAATTTTCAATTAGAAAATGCATATAGCTGGTGTTTTTATTCGCATTTCCTGAAAATATATTTGAGATTTGATAATTTTCCCTATATAATATGATTAACTATAATGATGAACTTTGAAGAAATACCATGGGTAAATTCATGTTACTTTATGAAATCAGAGATATTTTTTTGAGCATTTTTAATTTCTTAAAAGCTGATTTTCAGAACCTGAGGATCGGACTACCTTAAAAGGTATTGAACACAATAGATTAGAAATGTAGACTTTTGCCGGAGCATCGGCTCGAATCTCAACCGAGCTAAAGGACAGATGATCCCCACCCCCACCCCCCCCCCCCCACCCCACCCCCCGCCAAAAAAAAAATGGAAGCTATATTCTTGGACCTATTGCTGTCTGTTGTAGTATTTTAAAATATAGAGAAACATACATTGTAACTAATTACATCATGATTTCTGTATCCTTGGATCCAGTCTTCATATATCTTTGGATTTTGTTGCCCATGTCCCGTTCTTATTTTTTTTAAAAATACATATCTTGGAGCTACAGCAACAACAGAAAGAGGGGGAGATATCAAAAAGAGACCCTCAAAAGCAATGAACACCTTTACCAGATGTAAGAAGATTTATAACTGTAATAACATCAAAAGGAAAGCTAAAATGAAAACAATACTAAAAGTTTGTACTACCTGTAACCAGTACTTTTACATGTATTTGGAAGTGAAACATGGAAAATGATCAAAAGAGACAACATCGGTTACATCGTGAGCCCCTTGTAGTGATCCAATTACACAGAAGTCCTTTTACAATATGAAATAAATAGCCTAACAATTTGTATAAAAAACGTCAGTCGACTTAACGACAGATTGTAATTGCATACAGTGTCATTGTATTGACCTAGAATTTGCGAAATGTTAACCTTAATTGAGATTCTTGATACTCTTGTAACAGTATCATCAAGGTTTAAATTGTCAGTAATCTCTGTCGGATTAGAAATTGTTCATACGTAGAACATGCCAGGCTCATAGCAACGGTTTCAAAAAGGGGGGGGGACTTCCCCAAAAATCTTAATTACAAGCAAAAAAAAAAAAAAAAAAAAAAAAAATCTAATCTCACCAAAAGGGGGGGGGGGGGCAACTTACCATAATTATCTGACATGCTTATAACTTAAAAAAAGAAAGAAAAAAAAACTAATTTACCGTTCATATCCTGGAATTTACCAGTGCTCGACCTTACAACATCAAAAAGTGGGGGGAGGACAACCAGCATCTAAAGGACAATTCACTAAAGAAAAATTCTATACTCAGAAAAAAGTGAGTTGGGAGCCCCCCCCCCCCCTCCCCCCGCGTTCTACGGGCCTGCATGCTCTTGTCCCGATATGCAGATGATAACGGTACATAGATGTAAAAAAAAAAAGTTGGTCACCACGTTCGTCAGAAAGTTTAGTAATTAGTTTATACCATCAATATCTTTCTTTAGTTTAACATCCAAACATGAAACAGATGTGTCAGACTCCGTGATTTCTTTGATTTCGAATTCAGTGGGATATATGGAATTAACGTATATGAATGAAATTGAATACCGGGTATTGCCATTTTTAATTGATAAAATGTGGTCGATATGTCTTGAAATCAAACTGAAAGTCAAAGCAAGAGACTTCTTTTTTCGTGAAGTTGTTATATATATATATATATATATATATATATATATATATATATATATATATATATATATATATATATATATATATATATATATATATATATATATATACATATATATATATTTGCTTGATAAGAATGCAAAATCAGGTTTGGTAATAAAGGAACACAATTAGGACACAGGCATCGTCTCAAGCCACGGTCCGGAGTCCGCTCATAGCTCTCTCCAGAATGGGAGAGGATCGTACATTTTGGCCGTGGTTTGCGACAATGGGACACAGGGGAATTCCAACAGACTGTTGTAGGACTTGACATTGTAAAATAATTTGAGAAAGCAAAAATATGTCCGGGGTAACTAATTTTTCCTCTATTTCATTGAACACAGAAGTGCTAGTAATGAGATTTTTGTCTTAAAACTTTCTGAGGATGTATAAGGTGTGGTTTGGGCTTTGTAATGATCGAATAAACAGAGAAATCTGACAATTCAATATGAAATTAATAGTCTAACAATTTGTATAAGAAAACGTCAGTCGACTTATTTTTTAGGCACGGATTTAAAGAAAAGGATCTGAATACATGTATGTAGTGCTGGTTTAAGAATAGAAATTTTTCATTTAAATTTCTTAGGGTGTATACGGAGTGGTTTGGGTTTGTTTTTAGGCATAGATGGAAATAGAGGGTCTGAAAAAAATATACACTAGTACTTATTTATTGAAAATTTTCATAATGCGAAAGATATAAAAAAGAAATGTACGAGGTTTGTCCATTAAAGTTCGTGGACAATGACGTTTTTGTCAAAATGAATCGTTCTAGATATACTTCTTGTATATCAATTATCTGGTATGAAAATCCAAGCCAGAATAGATTGGTTTTTATTGTTTGAACTTAATATTTTTGTAAAATTCGCGGTCTTTATAGGTTGCAGATAGTGTGCACGGCCCAGGACTAAAATGCCATAAACTTTTAAATAAAGTGTTCTGATTAAAATGATTATTTTCTTTTAAAAACAAGTCAAAGCTTAGTAAAAATTAAATGTGTTGCAAATAAAACGGCTTTTCATTTTCTGATATCTTTAGTATCGCTTACTATACAGCCAGTGAAAATATTAGATAAAAATCTACAAGAAATATGTTTCAAAAATTAACAGAAAAGGCAGCGATCGGCCTTCCCAATGGAACAATAGAACCTAAATGTGTTTTAATAAGGTTGAAACAACGTCAGAAAAAAATATTTATTCAAGCAACTTAAAATTATTGGATTATACATTTTGTATTTAGTTCATTGACTTGATATTGATCTGTATCATTTTTCAACAGTGTGTACAATTTCGAAGACACTACAAGAAGTAAAAATTCATTGTTATGTGATGAAAATAGGATATGCCTATATTCATGACATTGTTATAAATCCAGAGCAACGTCGGTCTCGTGTGTGCAGCCTGTGTATATGAAGTGTTTATAAATATTGATGACGCTTGTAAATTATTGTTTATCGTTTTGAATTTTAAAATTTTTATCAATTATAGTCTATACATAAATATTATTGCACAAAATTGGCAGTGTGGCATAATAAAGAAAATGTGACATTTTCAAAATCCATATTTTTGACGTTATCTTGAAATTAGCTTTACGTCAGACTGGGCCATGCCACTTGAATAAACAAAGTATTTACACTATAACGTTTATAAAATAGTGTGTTTTTGATTTAATTTTTACATAATTTACTTTATTATGGTCTATATTATCGTACACAATTGCAAGTGCGAACTTTATTAAGAAAATTGTAAAGCCTTTTTCCACGAACTTCATGGACAACCCTTGTACACTTACAATATTTGAAATCTGTTTGGGTGTTACAAACGAACTCTGTAATGATCTACTTGTATGTACAAAACGTATGTCATCTCATAATCTAGCTTTTGAATACGGTCGCCACAGTTAAATAACAGATACATGTACCTGCATGTATTGTGAAATGGGCCTTTCAGATTTTTCATTTTTTCTTAAATATCCTCTGTTTTGTGATATTAGATGCCAATATATTTAGAAATCCTTCAGTTTTCAAGTTAATTCAGCCGCTAGGTGTAAAGAATTTTTGATAATTGTGTAATCCAGGCATTTATTTTCAATGTGCCTTTGAATTACGCAAACACTAAACCATTTTCTGTCAACAAAGGCGGATCCAGTGCCACTGCACTAGGAATAAAAAGACAATAGTAAAATGTTGCTAAATTATTTATTTCCCCCTGCTTTCGCCAAAAAACGAGGGAACATTAAATATCAATCATCTGTTAATCTGTCACAAAAACTTTAACATTGGTCATATTTTTTTAATGAAAGATAAAACTTTCGTATTTCACAGGTACATAACCTCTGAAAAACCCTTTCCAAAAATACTATGACTTTTGACCCCGTAACCTTGACCCTGAAGTTTGACCTACTTTTCAAGTATTTTAAAATTACTTTACCATGATCATAACTTTTGAATGCGAAGAGATAGGACTTTTATATTTCAAATGTACACTACCTGTAACAAGACTTTTCCAAAAATACTATTGATTTTTTACACCATGCCCTTGACGTTTGACACACTTTTCAAGGGGGGGGGGGGGTCCTGTCAACAAGTACCTGAGGTTCTGAATTTGTCATTCATAGTAATAAATTCAAAATTGACCGTTTACTATAAATTTTCTAAGTTATTGAAAATCACAATTAAGAATTCACAGCAACGTTTCTTCTTGCTGTGTTTTTCTTATTGGAGCATTGCAATCGTCTCCGTTGCTTTGTTTTATTTTCCACTGGTTTAGAATACCCTGACGACGTCATACTAGTAAAGCTATTACAGAGCAAAGCTTCGGTCCCATCACCCACCACCTCGATGTACGAGTGCGGTTTAGGTGTTACATTTAAATAATTATTTTCTTCTACTTTTTTGCTTTTGCTCCTTTTATTTCGTGGACGATTAACTCGCTTTTGAGCACTTTGTTTGGACGAGAACACAGCATTCCGTGACAGGGAATTGTCAAGATGTAAAGATCTCTTTCCTGATTTTTCCCCTTTCCCGACATCGGGTCGGATTACCATGGAAATATTCATATATTCGCATTCAACGTTCGTATTCACATTTTCAGATTCTATGGTCATATTGCCATAAATTGGAGTTTCATTGCCATCTGGCGAGTATGGTGTCGGTATGGCATACCCGGACGATGTTGTGCTTCTTGAGAAATTATCAACAGCTTCCGTAGTCAGTGCAAGGGGATAGTCATATACGGTTTGTGTTTCAGTTTCCAGCGAAGAAAATTCGGATGACGTGTAACTGATGGAGTATTCAGTCTTGTTTTCTGGTGGTGAACTATGCCATGAAAAATAAATATCATAGTTAGCGATTCAAGGAACATTAAAATTGAAAAAAAAAATGGTTTGACAAAGTTAACTCAAGATGTGAAACTAAGTTGTGGATGATCTGGCTTTTGTTATAAATTAGAATGGGCTTAATCTAATGCAAAAAGAAACCTGACAAAAAAATATATGGGATGGTGATTAAGATCATGATAATTTACACCGGTATTTTATGTGTTTTGAAAAGTGTTGTATGCGTACCTTTTCCTTCGGTGACAACAGAATGCCACAGTGACCACAAGTAGTGCTGTGGACAAAACACCTATGACCCCATCTTTTATGTATGCTGCATTGAAACAATCATAATTATTTTAATGTGTAAGTACTTTCAGAGATCTTAAATGGACTGCATCAATGACAGGGATGATACGAAGAATTCGAACAAGCATAGATTAAGATACATGTGTATTCCATTTACATCAAGATTAAGGTCTGTCGACACATTCCTCGATTATATTAGTTTGTATCTTCTCGAAATAAAGTGTTCTAATAAAGCCATCTAGAGTTGCTCCTAAATCGGTTTCAAAAAGTATATTCAATTATGTCACGTTTGAGTTTGGAGAGAGTTCAGGGATTTCCTTTATATAGGATTATATGGGTAATACCATCCTCTGGAATCTTGCAAAAAAGTCCTTAATTTTTTGTGATAAAAATTGTACAAGTAGCAGTTGAATAACAAAGTTTGGGGAAAACTATGTGCTTGTATTTTAAGGAACGTGTCATGAAATCTGATAATATATAGATCAGATGGTACAAATTTAGTGCAAATGTGTAAAAACGGTCACCAAGAGCAAAGCTCTAGAGATTCTAGTTAAAGATTTATACATGTATGTATGATATTAAATATATATAGACAATCATAAAAAAAATCCTTACATATTGTTGAAGTTTGACAATAGAGCAGCTTCTCGATGTGTTCTGTTGGTTCATTTGCAAGTTTGCTTGCTTCTGTTGTTAATGGAGATCTGGCTGTAACTGGGAAAGGGGGACAGAAAAGTACTTTGACGATTGGATCTTTGCCCTCTTTTCTGTAGTCTCTGACTGATAACGATAAAAAAGGGCGTAAATGATGTTTCTTGTAAAAGGATCAAGTTCACAACGTAAGTCAATATTTTTGTGATGGGTCATTAATTGCTTTTGATTGATTTTTATGAGATTAATGCCTGCTTTCTCTCAAGATGTTTAAATACATACGAAGGGAGCAAAATACAATTCTGTCAGTTTCCTGCAAACATCGTGTATCTGTCTTTGGGATTTAAAAAAAATGTTTTCTTTGTAAATCAAAATCAGAACTTTCAAATGTTTGAGGAATTTTAAGACTGCAATCTGCAGCGCATTGCCATCTCAGCTCAAAGTATTATTTCAAAGGGAGATTATTCTTAATGAAACATACAGTACAGAATACATGTAAACTGGTCCATAGACAAAGAATTAGGCCTATATAGGTCTAGATTCCTTCCTTAATTTCATTTTTGACATCGGAAAATTCCTGTTTTCAAAGATTAATTTTTGGAAGTATAGAGATAATGGAATCGGTTTTCATAATTTTACGCAGTAGGTTACTTTCTTTACCTTCCCAGTGAATCCGAAAGCCTTGAGCATTGTTTTCTCCGTCAGTTCTGAATGTGAACTTCAATTTGTTTCCAAGTAAAATGTAGTTTGTTTTAGGGATGGTTCCACATCGGTTAAAAAAGTCAAAGTTCGTCTCCACCTCAGTAATCTAATATAAAAAAATTAAATAATTCAATCTTGAAAAATACAACAGTGAAGAGGGATTTTTTTTTTTCAATATAATGTATGAAACTTTTTGTCGGTCGGTTAAGTTCAGCACTCCATGATCTATTTTCTCTCAACTTATTTGATGGGTATGAATATATTTCTTTGTTAATTTAACACATATATAGTGAATACTGTAGTAGCTTTCAAAGAGAAGTCTGTTATGAAAATACTACACTCTTACGACTTCTTGTTGTATTACATCACTGCACCACAAGGTATGGTGAACTTATGTGCAATTAATTTAGATTTAATATAATTACCATAAATAAAATTTTATATAAGTGAGAAAAGGGGCGATGGACCGCTTTAATTGAATCATTGAAAGTCTATGCAAACAAAAAGATTTTTAATGCGAATTTCAGAGCAAACTTGTGGTAATTGAAACGTACATGTATTCCAACACTTTAGTAAGCTGCATATAAAACTTATACCGTCAGAAGATCCTGGCACGGAAATCTAGGATCGTAGTAGACGTCAAATTGAAGAATGGTCACCATCAATGATATGGCATCTATGGGTCCGTACGTCTCCCACGTGATATTGAGGTTGTTTGAGTAGTTTTTAGGAAAGCTTGGAGATTCTATTGTCCCGTAAGTACCGTGCCGTACAATGGGTTGTGAACTACTGCCTACTTGTAGAAATTATAAGTAAATACAATGAGTTAAATCTTTTCCTCGACCATTTTCTATTTTTTTTTAAAGAGTATAAATGTTTGAACTAAGGACAGATGATACAAACAAACTTTTATCAAAAATCTTGAAATAACAACTTAAGTCATGTTTATATGAGTGAAATGAATAAATTTAATTGCATAGTTTTTGAGTTTTTCATTCAAAGTTTCACAATAATGGGATTTAAATTGACAAAAAATTGTATAGATTAATAAGGATGGTTTCAGAAAGGTAGAATTTTGAACATCATAGAAAGTTTACAATTTCTTAATACCTTGTAGATTAGAAATGCATCTTTTACAACCAAATACATGTAGATCCAAATATATATACCAATCCAGGCATCCATTTTTTTGTTTGTATCATCTGTCCTTAAATATCATTTTCCTTCTTTCAACATTAAGATTTATTGGCAAAAAGCATTCGACTTACCTTTTACAATCAAAACAAAAAACACATAAACTATTACGCCCAATTTTACTTTCATCTTGTTCTTATGTATATACTAGCAGTTTATTGTATCATGATGTATCCACGCAAATGAGCGAACAAAAATATGCTAGAGTGAACCATTCATAGTACCAAATATAGACAAAACATGCTTGTGTTGACACTGAGAAAAATGCTGTTTCGGAAATTTAGTCTATGAATGTTTTCCTGCAATTGTACTTTTGTCTAAGGGCCTTTATTTCAGAACTTTTAATTAATTCCTGATTAAGTACAATATTAAAACATAAGATGAGTCAGGTGTACCTTGTTTTTAACTTAACTAAATATAATCATAGACTAATTTGGAATTTAAATATCTGCATGATTAAAGGTCTATGGCTGAGATATTTCTACTTTGTCAACATAGCTGTTACTTAGATCTCCGTTACTCTACTTCCGATGTTAATTCTGCTGTTCCTAAAATAGCCTTCTATGTGCATACATCTAATTATGTCTCTTCATATTTTGTTGTATTTTATCTGTATAATTTATATTAATTTAGTTTAATAACACGCAATTTTAAAAATATCACAGGATCAGTAAAAGGAGTTTTTTTCGAATTTGTTACAAAACTAGGAAACGATAGCATATTTATTAAATTGTACAATTCTCCTCCACAACATTTATATTTTAGTGAGGAGTAAGGATAGGGTCTTATTGAAAGTTTACAGGATTACAAATTGGCTTATTATACAATGGCTTACTGCATGAGATGTAATTTTCGACCCCCATTTAACCCTCAGGGTAAAAATGAAAATTCCGAAACCTTATTGCACCATTGATTTGATTTGGCTCTTGCATAAAATGTAAGAAGAGTTTTGGGACCCAGGTTTTTGTAAAAAAAAAAAAAAACAAAAAAAAAAACAAACAAACAAACAAACAAACAAAAAAAAAAAACACACACACAAAGTCGTTTTCTTCTTTCATTTGGCTCCTAGGATGAAAATGAATACTTTGAAACCTTAAAGACAAATTTCCTCATTTTGCAAAGTCATGGAACTCCGTGCATGTCCGCCAGAATTATTGTCATACCTTTGAGCTTTGCTGAAAACATCTGTAAAGCATAAGCATCCCATTAATTTTTTTTTTGCTGTTTAAAGATAAAATATAAAATTAAAAATAAACATTATCATGCAAACGTTACTGTTGCTTTACAATTTTATTTACACTTTTTTTTTTATTTTGACAGCAGAAAATAATTCCTAGGTAAATCCATTTCCTTCTTACAAGAGCCATTTACAAAATATCGTTCTGAGAATCATAAGCAGCACAGAATTAAAAAAAAAACATCAAAAATTAAGAAAAAACAAAACATAACAAAAAACAAAACATAACAAAAACAAAACAAAACAAAAAAAAGGAAAACAGAATGCATACAATACAAAAAGTTATTAAATAGCTAATTCAAATACATGTTTTCTAATATGTGCAGTAAAAATAAACAACGAATAATAATATTTTTGCTGACTTCACTTTTATCTTTAATTAAGTGTTTTAAAATATTGAAGAACATGAGATATTATTTGTGTTCTATACAATAGTGTCTTGATGTAAAAAAGAACAATAAGAGTTTGATATCGGTAGAACATTATGGAAAAAAAAATAATGTAAACTAAAGCTATAAAATTAGGCACATTTATTTTAGATGATGCATTATCTATTAAAAAGTGATCGAAAAGGTAGGTCTGTATTCAAGTTACTAGCCCTGTTTTAATTGACAATGCAAAAGACCTTCCTCCTGATTCCTACAATCAAATATTCCATTCTTTTTCAGTGTTATCTCCTATCCAATTTACATTTAAATGCAGGTACGGGTGCGACTTATTTTACTTCTATTTGTAGTTAATTCCAAAGTTTAATTGTAGATAGTAAAAACCTATTTATGCAAGATGCAGTTCTAATTTTAGAAAGTCAATAGTCCCTATCTAATTAGATTGTACATGATTTTGAAAATGTTTAATTGGTTCCAACAGTTCAAACTACTAGTATATATATATATATATATATATATATATATATATATATAATTAGGGATGTCAATTTTATTCGGAGAGCTTAGTCGAATAGTCGGAGGCTTTAGTCGAACGATAGTCGAATATTCGTTGAAATTTAAATCAATTTTTCATGTCATTTTCACTATTAGCCTTTTATAGACTACTTGTACAATATTTAACCTACGCTATCACCATTATACAGCGAATTTATGAATCGTAAACATTTACGTAGTACAATGAATACTGTACATCTACATTTATCCAATGCATTTGATTTCAAAATTAATATAGTATTTAATGCACATTTTATATAAATGCAGGATATCAAACGCTTGCATTTGTCCTTTCTTTTCATAACGATAGTACATGCACCCATTAATTGAAGCCATTTCTACGTGTCATGTCAGTGACCTTTGACTGGTAAACAATTAAAGCGTGCCTCTTCTAAAAACAGAGAGAGGTTGCAATAAATTTTAATTATGAGATTTTGTGCAAATAATTAATACAGTCTTAAAAAGACTGCATGATATTAATATCAGAAAGAAACACCATTTAATTACGCTCATAACTGTCCCCCAATTTACATGTATTTACAATTTTGTAACAGCTGTTTAATTATTCTTTATGAATAGTTGCATTACGTCAGATCTTATGGAATTGCAGGTTGAAACTTTATAATTTGAATCTACAAAACCAAACAATTCTTGAACGTCCTCTCCATCAATAAGTGGTAGACAATCCTTGATAATCATGTTTGTGATAGCAACATCTGCTTTTTTTTTTTAGGGGGGGGGGGCATTTTGAGGAGAACTTACTTATCCCATATTTTTCTTGTCATAATACAATGTACATGTAGGACCATAATATGACAACTTTCCAAAGAAATTAGAATTCAAGAAAAGTTGTATATTAACATTGTGTAGAGTTTACTCAATATGAGTTTAAAAATGATGATAAAGATGAAGATAGGACCATCTTTAAAAAAAATTGTTTGGTTGCCCTCTCCCGATCGACTGGCTAAAAATGGCCCGACTCAAAATTTTTTATAACCTCCAGGAAGCAATTGTTTTTTATGCATTCTGGAAAATAGATTTTGAAAATTCAGCATTGATTTTGAAATTTCCTTTAAAAAAAATGACTCAATTTTCTCATCCCGAGTCGGGAGAGGGCAAGCAAACATTATTTTAAAGTTGGCCTAACGGACAGTGATCGATCTCAAAAAAATTTTTCCTACAAACAGTACAAATCTATGAACAGGGCATAAAACACGGAAACCCTGGAAATTCTAGAAGTGTGATCAGGTGGGGTAAGAACCTCTGTTGGCCGGTCGCACCCACCGTGAGCCCTTAACAATTGGTACGAATAGTTCATACCAATTGTTAAATACGACCCAAATGATACGTTAAACATGTATTTGCTATCAAGGTCATCATAATGACCATAGAATTTACGAAATGCTGACTTTGAACGAGGTTGTTGAAATCCCTGTGACATCTACTTATCTGTCAGTAGCCCGCCTCGGTTTAAAAATTTACCGTACTCAGAGCTTTTGAGTATCGAACAGTTTTACCCTGTTATCTTATTTGAAAGATTTTTTTCAAACTTTCCCCTACAAATTTCCTTGGAAATGGTGACTATGTCATTCCTTTGTGGTGACTATGTCATTGCTCGGGGGTGGGGTGGGGGGGGGGTATACATACTGAACAATCTTGAATCTCATAACATAAATGGCCTTGTAATTAAAATTTAGCATTTTGAAAATAATTCTCCTTGAAAATTAGATATGTTGATAGTTCGTATTTTGTTTTGTTTTTTTAATAATCCCTTTATGGCCTCATTCCAGCCCCGGGAAAGATATCTTAATTCGACAAATTTGAATCGGTATCACTCGAGCAGTATCACTCGAGCACGCTGAATTTTTAATTCTGTAATCCTCAATAAAGAATTTTAAAGGAAAATTCAATATTGCAGGGTGTCTACATATTTCTTTTGTAAAAATATGAATTGTTTCTCCATAGCAGAGTTAGATGAATCCTTATGTCAGCAACTTATTTGTCAATAGCGTGCCTTCTTTTAGAAATTGTTTGTACGTAGAACATGCTCTTACGTATCGAATCAACTGGGATACATAAAACCCATATGCAGGTGATAATGGTATATTGGCACATAAATAAGGGAAGGTAGGAAAAAAAATTATCACGTTTATCATAAAGTTTGCTCATTAGTTTGCAATCAATGTCTTTCTCTACTAAAATATCCAAATATGAAATAGATGTGTCAGACTCGACTCTGTGGAGTCTTTTATTTCGATTTCAAAGGGATTATATCGAATCATTGTAGGGATGAAAATAAATATTGTTTACTGATAAAACATCATCGATGTATCGTAATGCCGAATTGAAGGCCACAGAAAGAGACTTTTCTTTTCATGTAGAAGTTTTTGAATAAATTCTGCTTCATATGAATGCAAGAAAAAGTCTGCTAAAAACAGGGAGCAATTAGTACCTATGGGAATTAGGTGGATTCCTCTGGGAAATTGGAACAGAGGTTTCCGTTCAATAGCTGGAGAAAAACAAGGAGTAAGGAATTATACGAGACTGGAACACGCTGAAATGAGAAAAAGAAGAGCAGGAGGTGGGGGACAACTGTGACATCCCCATATTTCAGAAGGAGCGAAGAGGATCAAGTCCTGAAATCATTTTTGTTCATTTGTCGACTCAATATATCCCAGTGAACACGAAATAAAGGTCACAACAGAATTTGCCTCATCTGCTACATATTTGGATGTTTTACAGACAATAGTCGTTAAATGCCAACTAATAACTAACCTATATGAGAAACGGGATAACTTCTTCTATTGATGTAGTAATATTTCACTATCATATGTCATGTATGCCTCCCAGCTGATTCGATGATCAAAAGCGTGTTCTGAGGACGATAAAACCGAGGCAGGCTGACAAATAAGTTGATATCACAGGGCTTTCAACAACCTCAATTAAAGTAGGCATTTTGCAAATTGTATGGTCATTATAATGACTTTATTAGTATCACAACATATCGTTGTGTCGTATTTTGACTGACGTGTTCCCAATTATTTGATAGGCTGTTGTTTTTATATCAATTTTGACTGCAAACTACTCCGTTAACCTGATCAATACAAAAGTGACCGGTCGACAGGGTATGCTTACTCATACTAGGCATCAGATCCTATCTCTAGTGTTTCCAGAGGTCTGTGTTTTGTTTTGTTTGTTTGTTTGTTTTTTTTTTTGCTGTTCATGTTTTGTATTATTTACATGATTCATTACATTGATCACTTAGATTATCTCTACCTTTTTCATTAATAAAACTTTTCATCACGATAAATTAAAGACCTGGCTCCTTGACAAAGACAACGGCTTCTTTAATGAAAATTGAATTTGAAAATCTTTATATTTTGTGATGTCATCACAAATTATCTCGTAAATTTGTTTCATTTGGTAGTTATATGCTTCCGTAGTACCGGTAATGTTTTTTATTGTAGAAAAATAGAACAGAAAAAGACTCTGTAATTATTTTCATGTAACTTTGTTCTGTGTTCTGTGTACCGGTATTTACCAGTAAATGAATTTAATCAGATCAATAATATGCAGTTATTTTAATTACTCGATATCAATAAAGGCTTTAGAAATTACAACTTTGTTCACCAACTCTTGAACATGGTGGCATATCAATTACAATTTACAAGTCTGTATATTGTATCATGCGATTTATTTAATGAATTCAATATTTCTACTTTGGTTCAGAAATCTATTAAGCGGTCTAAAGTTTTACAGCTAATTCTGTAGCTAGCCTCTTCCTTGAACTACTCCTTTTGATAATATAGCGCCCTCTTCTGAGAGAAGTAACGCAGGCCAAACGACATAGTCTACGTAATGTCCGCTCCGAGTATAGAATGTAAACCGACTTGTATCAACAAGACTGCCTTGTGGGATCCTCCACTCCAAAACCAAAGGTGGATGATGGACGTTCATGAACCAGCAGAGCTCTGTACACCTATCGAAGAATCGGATGACTTGTTTTGGGTACGATTTAAGATTGGTCAAAATACTCCGGCATGTCTGCAAAAATGAAAAGAATTACGAGTAAATTATGAATATAATTCATCATCATTATAACGACATTTCTTTTTTCAATTCTTAAAATACACACAGTTAACACAAAATGAACAAAAAAAAATTATAATAGTGGATGAGTTTGGATGTTGCAGTTTCAAGATGGATATGATGTTATGCTAAGGCAAACTTGTTATTTTAAACTAAAAACTTCAATCACACGTATTGTAGCAATATCTGTAATAAGATAGCTTTTAATATGCAAGCATAAATTTTTTCTTTGTATTGCTTTTGTAGAATCGATCCGCTTCAGCACCTTCTTAATTTCCGGTAGATCCTCTAGAACACGTTCACGCTGTAGCTCTATGATCTGGATTGGAACTTCCAGAAGATTATCTGGATTTAGTAATCCATCCACCAGTTTACTATCACGGTGAAGTTGACGTCTTTGTTTCTCTGCCATATCCTTACACTTCAAGTAAATATTCTAAAACAAAGCTTCAAGGTCATCAGTAATTCAAACTGGAACAATCTTGATTGAAAGAACGGCTTATTTTGTAGATTTTTGCATGCTTAAAACATCGAAGTATTGTCAAAATGATTGACCGCCACCGTCTTTGACAGAGTTACTGTTTCAAAATCTAAACTTGGCACTTGACCTTGGCATTGCATCATCACAAAAGCAACAGAGTCATAGAAAAATCTCACCGTCATACAGCTTAAGAGATCTGCGACCACCTTTCTCTCATTGAATACTTTGGATATCATGGATTCGTAGGCGAGAATCCATTCATTGTTGTAGAGTTCGGACAGATGGAGGGTCAGGGCTGTCGGTCTGATCAGGTCACTGAGGTCGGCCATAAACGTCTGTGTGTCTCCGTTCTCATCCTCCCCAACATGGCTGTTGACGAGCCGCCCTAATCTACAAAATCATCCATATCTATAGATATTTTGACAATAACAATATTTTATTATTACAGTTGTATAGATGTTGTTAACCTGACGACTACGAAGTACCTGTTGAGTAAATATTTGCGCTCTGTTTCTAGTGTTTGGACTAATTTCCACAGTCCCTGAACTTGGCTCCTTAACTCCAACAGTTCCTTTTCCTCTGTCTCATTTCTTGGAGTATCCGCCATCTTTTCCTTCATCAGTCTGTTCACTTCTGCTTGTAGGTACTCATTCTGTTTGACCAGGTGCGAGTTCTGCTCTTTAAGATTAGCAATTGTGTTCTGAAGATGTTTTTCATATTCTTTGTGTCTTTTCTTGGGATTGTTTGTTGTTTTCATTGAGCTAAAGTCACTGAAGCTTGCTCTCAAAGTTTTTTGCCCATCTTGAAATTCCTTTGATTTCCCAGTTTCGGAGGTGCTATTTGTTTCCTGAGTTTTTAAGATAGTTTTTAAATCTTTTGTTTTGTCTCGGTTCTGGTTTCTCGGGGATTCATTTTTTTCTGATAAAACTGGCTTCTCCATTTTATCTCTTTTTAAGGGCAGTATGAGAACCTTACTCTCAGCTTTTTCTATAGACTGTTTCCTTGGTATTTCTCTAGGAGTTGAATCTTTTTCTATAGACTGTTTCTTTGGTATTTCTCTAGGAGTTGAATCTTTTTCCATTCTTGAGGATACCTCTTCAATTGCAAAAAGAGATTTGTAAGCGTTATCTAATTCTCTGGACAACAGTAATCCACTTCTCAAGTCTTCATGTGTATCCTCTGTCGTCTGCGTTGTGTCTTCTGTCGTCTGCGAGTCAGTTTCCTGTAGCTCTCTAATGTTTCTGTTGGCAGATTCTAAAAGCACCTATTCAGAGCTTTAAAATTAATCAAGAGTTTCAAAACGTTTTACAAGCATTATAATCAATTTTTAACAAAAACATCTTTTTTAACTCTAGTCCGAAATATCTGACGTATTCCAAGCGTTTTTTCACGATTTTTGATTTGACGTGCCAAGAAAACCTCAGAACCGGCACCATTATGAAAAGTGGAAATTTCGCCGCCCCCAACTGAACTCGATTTTCAATACTTGCAAATCGAATAAAATATCAAACTCACAACTTATCAACAGCCCAATGCTTCTAGTTCTCACCAAGATCGCTTAAAAGAAAATATCACTCCACATTTCCAGGTCTCACGAGTTTTCAGAATGCACGAAATCGGAGCAATTTAAATCTCGGCAGTTTGATAAAACGTTTTCACCAGACACTTATGTTATACAGTCATTCTACGATATATGGACCAATCAGGGTATAAAACAGGAAAAAATAAATGGACCAATTCAGGGTATAAAACAGGAAAAAATAATTAATTGTTTCAAATAGCAAAATGAACATCATAATTCTCTAAAGGACGTATCAGTGAACTTGAAAAAAAAGAATTGTTCACAAATCTGGTATCGTTACATTCTTACAACAATTTTAATATTCCATTGATTTTAAGGTAATGTTACGGAAGTTAATGCTTGAGCATGTCTTATTATTTTTTAAATAAAGCTGAATTTGACCAATTTTTCGTTTCTGATGTTCAGTAAAAAAGTATGATTCATGAAGTCTTGCATGAATCCGATATTAAGTTAAAATTTCGGGGAAAATATCGTTACGGAAGTTAATCGTTAGGGAAGTTAATTCCCAGCAATAAAAGTTAAAATTCTCGGCAATAGTTAAAATTTAAGTTTGTTTTAGGATATTTAACTAAAGTATGAAGCATTTCGCTCCCAAAATAACAAAAAAATTATACCTTTAATGCAAAAACGTTCCTTAATTACCGTTATGGAAGTTAAATTTTTAAGAGAAACAACTGTTTTTTTTTCTAATTCATTTTGTTATGTCGAAAATGCAATGGTCTAAAATAGCTGATTCGCAACTAGAATCAATGATATAAGGTTCCGTGGTCACTTTCAGATAAGTTTTAGCTCTTTTTGAAATCTGCATTCTGTGCGTGAAATTTAAATCAAAATCGTTACGGAAGTTAATCGATTTTTAGCGACATGCTATAATTTCGCATGAAAGAAGATCCATGAATTTCTTTGCGAGAAGTAGTTTGATTTCTTTTAATATAGGATAAAAACCTTTTTAAACATTTATTACAATATATTCGGAACGCTTTTACGGCTGACAATTTCATCCTGAAATTTGTAAATAAATGAAGCAACATTGAGATTTGCAGTGGAATACATTTTTCAACATTACATTATGTTCATATCAAAACTTTAACTGCATATACATGTATATCGGTGAATATTTACAAAACCATGTGTGTATGTTAAGTCTTAGAGTTGAAATCGATCTTTAAATTCATAGTTTAGATATTACAAATTAAAGTAAATTTGTAAGCGACATAAAAAATTCTTAATTGGTCATGTTTTTGTAGAATGACTGTACAAAGGAACTATACTAGCGGTATTGGTAAGTACTAAAAACATTGTAGTGTTGATAAGATGTGAGATAAATTTTTACTTCGGTTCGTATGTCGAAAATCGACCCGAGAATGCAGCCTCCGGTTGAAGGCGGCGAATTTCCACTTTTCATATGGCGCCGGTTTTGACGTTTTCCTGGCACGTCAAATATCAAAATCATGAAAACGCCTGGTTAACGTCAGATATATTTCAGACTACTTTTATCCCTAATAGTAAATTTTCTGGAAGATAAATTTAGGCTGTTACATGTATTTATTGTTTAAGAATGTTACTAAGTAATTAATATTCAGTTAATATTTACCGACAATCTCATCTGCTCAGTGTTCAAAGTGTGAACCTGCTTCTTCAAAATTCTGTTTTCTTTTTGGAGATTGTTCCATGTTGGTAAATTTGAAAAAGACACTTCTACTGGAAGCTAAAAATTAAAATTTTGTTTAGATTGTTCCGTCTTTTTTGCAGTCTTTACTAATCAGCAAATCATAATCATTGAAATTTCTTTCTCTAACAAGCCTTACATTTTCTGCTCTCTTCACTGCAAATTCCAGTAACTCTATAACTATACAACAATATCGTCGTTTTTCTGTCTCCGTGATGTCGGGGTAGGGAGCATCTACTTTCAGCATAAAAGATTCTAGGTCACAACGTAGGCGCTGTAACTTATTAGAAAATGTTCTTTTCTCGTCTGAGTGTGTCGTGCTTACAAACATTTTGCCGCTGGAATTACAGATTTTTAAAAACAATTTTATTTATTTTGAAAGAGAGGTATTTAAAAATAATGAAAATGAAACAGTATTGACTAATGTTGTGTGAAGTAACAGCAATCATAATGGTATTTATATCACTTTAACGAATATCTGAAATAATTTAATGCACAAAAAAGGAAGATATTTAACACTACCTTGCTATTTTTCTTACCTCAGAAATAGAAAAGACGCCGGCCCGCTCCTTTCATTTGAAAGTTTATGAACGAATGCTCTCAAGCATGTTTTAAAAACAATAGAAATTTATGACTTATTTTGATTGATTACTGATCTGGAAAAATAACTTCCATTAAAGATTACCTTGCTAAATTTAAAGGACATGCAACGCTCTGTACTTTGTTATAGATAGTTTTTTTTTTAAATTAATATATGTTTGTCTTGCTAAAACCTGCTGCAAATTTGGAAACATATCAGAAAATGTCTTGTAGAAAAATTATTTGAGCATACCTGGTAGGTATTTGTAAGTCAACGTTTCATGGAGCACCAAATTTGCATGAACTAAAATAATTGTAGATAACTTTAAATATTTGCAATGCACATGCACAACAATTCCATTAAAGATTTCTTCAATACTCTTAGTAATTCATGATTTCTTCCATTCTGAATTATGGCGTGCATTAATTCAATTGTTGAAATCAATATTTAAATTGCTGAATTGGTTCGCACAATAATTGAATATTACTCTTTTCAAAGCATTTGATTAATACACAAATGATTCAATAAAAGAGGTGATTAATTTATCTTATATCTAATTGAATGTTTGCTTTCTTCAATTGAATTATTGCATGCATCAATTTAATTAAAGCGTGCAAAATCTGAACAATTGCTCTCTTGATATCACCAATTTATTTAATGCGAAAAAACAATTTGTGGAGAAAAATCAATTATCTAATTAGTGTTATCTCTATAACTGAAATAATGATCTTTTTCATTGAATCATTGATATCTTTAAAATAATTTACGAGCCCATTAATTCCTCTAACAAATTTGTTGTGTCGTGCTTACAAACATTTTACAGCTAAAAGGACAGAAAAATAAAATTAAAGACATTCCACCTGAGTTTTATGAAGCGCAATATTAAAATAAACTCAAATATTTGAAAATATCTTTAATTTTAAGAAGATAACATCAAATTTCAATTTCGCTTGTAATTGAATAAATGCGCATAAATAATCAATTAATGAAATTTTGCGCGCACCAAATCAATTCCTGTTCCCATCAACTGAATTTATGCGTGCAATTATTGTTCCCATTCATTCAATTGATGCGCACCTCAATTCCACTGATAAGAATAATTGATTTTATGTATGCAATTCGATTTTTGTGCACTATAATTTATTAAAGGTATCTTTAAATAATTTAATATATCTTCAGTTATTTGAGTTTATGCTAATTTGAAGATTACTAAAGCTCGGGTGGATATTGGATTTCATTCAATCAGTGACCAACCTAAAATATGAAGATATTATTTTTTAATATGTCCAAAGTATATAGAAGCCAGAAAAGATTTTTTTGGATAAATTTCTTATTACTATTTATTATTTGATAAAATTCACATTTTAGATACACATGTCTTATTATGGGGGAAAGATTCTATGAGTTCTGATGAGAATAAACGTCTTTTCTCCATTGTTCAAACGTTTATCAAACATTCTGGCAGATTCACATGTTAGTATTATTATTATTTAATAAATTTATTTATATATACATGTATATACAAAATTACATGTATGTTTCTTTAAAATGCGTTGATTTGTAAATTTGGCAAATACATGTATTGAATATTTTGAATGTACATATTTAACTGTGACCTAATTTAATCTTTGTAATTAACATTTAGGGAGAAGGCTTAATAAGTTTTTAGAACTTGTACCCAATCCCTTTGTAATTAGAAATTACAATAAAATATGTTCAACCCAAACGCAGGCTAATTCATCAATAACTTTAAACTGTTTAGCCAACACCTGCGCGTCACATATAGCATGACTGACATCTTAATTTAAAAAGATTTTTCTATAGTAGTTTAATTAAAATTTTTGTCATATTCCAAACATGAGAAAAAAATTTTCTAAAGCAACACTAGTATCATTTATTCAAGGGTAACTTTAATAACAGCTATGATATTGTTCAATCGATTTCCAATCCATAGGTTCCCTTTTGCGCCAAAACAAATTGATAACAGTCCCTCTACCCCGTGGTCTTCTGTTGAGATTAATGCCAGCTGTTTGCCGTCTGCTCCAAGAACGTGCACTGCATCGCTCCATCCATCAAGGACATAAATCCGGCCTGTGTCATCTGTGGCAATCCCTCGTGGATAAAACCTAGATCCACTCCCCGAGTATGAAAATTTGTGCTTTCCGCTTCTGTCTGTAACGATTAAACACTCTCCGTTCCAATCGGACACGCAAATATCTCTGTTTATATTTTCGGTTATATAGCAGGGATTGCGATATAGATTAACACCGTTGGCATCTCTCTGGCTATCGCACAGTTCTCTTCCCTTATCATCATATCGTACGATCCTTGCATCGTGTTTGAAGTACATACCTATCAGAATATCTCCATTTCGCGTGGAACAGTGGAGAGTAGTTGGGGTCCATTTCCCTGTGTTGATGAGAGGAATAGATTTCTTTTCCTGTGTGACTTTGTAGATTTGGTGTTTGGGGAGATCTATAATTAACAGATCTTTTTCTATAGTAACTGCATGGCAGCCGTAACCACTACTCACCATAACAGCTTTCTCCTTCACCATCTCTCCTCTCGAATTTGCGAGAACTAAACTAGAGTTGTTGTCACTGAAAAAAGCCATCCCATCCCTTACATAAGAAATGTGACTAGTATGAGAGATTCCCGATACTTCAAAACTCAAGACTCTCTCCACGACAGGAGTGAATTCGAACTGGATTTGTCCTTTCTTGAGTGCAACTTCCTTCAAGCGCCTCAGTTCGTTGACGCTTCCAGGCTTAACTGTAATACATCCAAAAAGCTTGCTGACTTCTTCCAGTGTTAATGATTTATTAGAATTATAGTTCATTTTGGAGACTAAGGCTTTACTACACCTTATAGGATTATTTTGCAGACTTGTGTGGAAATTGACCATTTCTGCAAATTTATTTGACGTTTTCATTTCATTATAATACCGCACTGCACATTGCAGATCCGAAACTTTGCCTTTAATATCATTTTCTCTTTGAATGTAATCTGCAGTCAACATAATTTGAATATCGTTTATTACTTTCAAACCACTTGCCAGGCTTTCATCAAGCAGCTTCTTTGCCCGTTCGGCATCTGACGCTAGTTGAGACTTTACCTTTTCGATGTCAACAATACAGTCCATTCGCCCCTGTATTGCATGGTCAAGAAATCCTTGAGTTTGTGGGATCTTAGAAGAATTCATATCGAATACGCACCTTTCTATCTCTTCTTTTATCATCTCATAGAACTCTTTTATTTCTATAAATACGTGACCGTTGTGTTTCTCTTTTATACATCGGATGCAGACGGGCACCTTGCATTCTTTACAGCATACTCCGTAGGTCATGCTAGGGTGAATACTGCACATCTCAGAGATCTCAACATTTCGTCCAGAGATGATTTTCTCTTCTATCAATGTTAATTTGTCCTCTACGAATACCTCAATATTTTGACCGGATACACAACTTTCTTTACTATCACACTTGTATTTCTGACTGTATATGACCACTTGGTGAGAACAATCCTCTTCTTTTTCTCTAGTATGTTCGAGGACACACTCCTCGCAAAGATCCATTTTGCATGTTTTGCAGAAAAACGTAACATTTTGTTCACAGCAAGAACACCTGATGAAATCTTGTGCATGCACAATTTCTTTGGCCGCCATTTTATACTTCCTTTTACATGACTTTACACATATGTAACAAGTGTGCACTTTTACTGATATTGAGTGGTTTTTCAACAATCATGCATGGACATCAATTTGTACTTTGATTACTTCCTCCTTTAATATTCGCTGAAAGTAGATAAAACCAATTTTTTTTAAAAAAAATATGACTCTTTTGAAGCTTAATTAGATATCAAACTAAGTCAGATTTCTGTTCTTTAGACAAGTAGGTCTGAAGAAACCGGGGATTCGTGCCCCCCCCCCCTCCTTCATAATTTCGCCAGCATATATTTTACAATAGAAAACAAAGCTACAATTTTGTATGTGTAAATTGTGTGGTCATCTACCTTATTTACTTTAAAAAATTACCTTCAGTAATTAATACAAAGTGATATTATTTTTACAGTCTATTACAAGCAGTGAAATTAAAATTCACTTTGAATTATTTCAGATTTTCCAAGGACATGTGGAATCTAATGAAAAAAGCCACTGGACACATTCCAGTATGTGAAAATCTTTTTTGTCGTTAATTCTTCTCTTAAGTTATTATGTGTCCTTCTCTTCTATTCATTTTTATTTTCTTGTTTCTTTACTGTCTATCTCAGCAAACTCATATCAGTATAACTAATGGCTATGTTGTCCTTGAACAGAAATTTAAAAAAAAAAAATTAAGATTTTTTCCCCTATATATTCCTTTGTAAAAATTTGACCCCCTACTCATGGCTTCGCTGTTCTTGAGAAGAAGATTTTTAAAGATATTTTCCTATATATTCTTATGTAAAACTTTGATCCCATATTATGGCCCCATCATACCCCCGGGGATCATCATTTGAACAAATCACACTACCTGAGGATGTTTCCATATCATTACATGTATGACTACCCATGCCTTTGCTGTTCTTGAGAAGAAGATTATTTTTAGTCCCTATTTATTCCTATATAAAATTTTGATCCCCTATTGTGGCCCCACCCCCAGGGGTCATGATTTGAACAAACTTGAATCTACACTATGTAATGAAGGTTTCACATAAGTTTGAATTTTTTTGGCTTAGTGGTTCTTGAGAAGAAGATTTTTAAAAGATGCCCCAAAATTTCTTTTTTTAATTATCTCCCCTTGAAAGAGGGCGTGGTCCTTCATTTGAAAAACTTGAATCCCCTTCATCTAAGGATGTTTTGTGGCAAGTTTGGTTGAAATATGCCCAGTGGTTCTTGAGAAGATGAAAATGTGAATAGCTTACGACGACAACGACAAATTTCGATCAGAAAAGCTCACTTGAGCTTTTGGCTCAGGTGAGCTTAAAATATATAGCATCCATAATTGTAATCCTCTTTGATTTAACTCTAGATAAATGCAAAAAAATCAATACAAAGTCTTCTTTTTTTCTTCAACAGTTATAAGAAAAATTAACGTTTTTGAACCCTTCCCAAGTAGATTTGGGTGGAAAAAAAATGAGTGATTGTTAAGAAAATTCGATACACGAAAAATAACCGATATATGGATTGTTCTGTGTATTTTTGGATCAGTTCATGTCTTGCATAACTACACTTTTTGAGTTCAGGTAAGATATTCTAATAAAATAGACACTGATAATTTGAGCTGAAGTCTGTACGCACTTGTACCACTACGGAGATCCTAAGGAGTTGTAGCCCACTCTAAATTGAGATAGCTACATTATTGCAGCTAATATTGAAATTTGTAGTCCAGGGTCAGGTTTTCTCTGTGGGATGAAAATGCGTTTAGAAAAAAAAATTCCGGAAAACCCTGAAAAATGGAAATGGTCGTAATTCCGTCAAAAATCATTGAAGCGGAACGAAATGCAAACTTGATCTGTAACTCATCAAGATACACTCACATACCAAATATCAGCTTAATATCTGCGGAAAACCAAGTGGGACAGACTGACAGAGGGACAGCTAGACGGACGGACAGACAGACGGACGGACAGACTCAGAGGAAACCTATAGTCCCCTCCGGTTTCACCGGTAGGGGACTAATAAATTATCAATCCTGTGCTCAATTAATGTGTAAAATGATAGAGTCATATATATATATATATATATATATATATATATATATATATATATATATATATATATATATATATATATATATATATATATATATATATATATATATATAAGAAGTGGCGTTAAATAGGGGGAAGGTTATTTGCTCCCTCACCAACAAGTATATGACGCGTAATTTGACTATAAAAAAGAATAAAGTTTACTTCCGCGAAAGTGCAAGGATATGTGTCAATCAAACGCGCCCCAAAATTCGTAGTTTTAATAATTTCCAAATAAAAGAAGTTTCTGTACACGCTTTTTTCATATTTCGACATGAAATGCTCTAGCAACATACAAATTATTATATTATACTGAAAATTTTAGAAAATATTAACTTCAAATCTGTGCCCAAGCCCCTTTAATTTCTGTCGTACTAGGGATACTGCATATAAATGTGTATTGTACAAATTATTTTTTTCAATGCCTATATATGAAATAAAAGGAGAAATGTAATTATAATAACTTAAGATGATTTAGCAACATAATGAAAGGATGGAGCTCATACCGGATATTAACACTTGTTAGAATTTGAAATGCACTCGTTCGCCGATACATTTGAAAAGACAACATCCAATAATACATACGCTTTTGGGTAGTTATTTAAACAGTCCTGTTTGCATCTTACTATATGCGTCGGTTGAGAAATAAATATCTAAAGGGAAATGATGATTTCACATTAAACCGCTAATATCTTGGGAACATGTGCATATCGAATTTTGGAAAACCAAAAAAGCTCAAAAGTTGCTGCAATGCCTGTAAAAAGTTGCAAGAATTGATTTTGATTTTTAAAAAAAAAACTATAATCATGACCCTGTGGTTAAATGTAAAGGAAATGTTTTCCCTATTACATGTATGTATGTATTTCATTGGATAAACGTCAAAATGCTAGTTAAGTTTAGGGAAGTATTGCATAAAAACAACTAAGGCAAAAATGATAAAATTGTTATATCATAACTTGTAAATTCTAATGAAGATTTTGAACGAATTTTTAGGGTATGTTTTCTGTAACCCCCCCCCCTTAAACCCGCGAGCTAACTTAAGAAATGTAATTGAAAGTGAGGGTATTACTTAATGCCTTCAACAGACATAATTTATATTCTATGAAGCTCATTAATAGCTGACACTTTTCTATAACATGTTCTTCCCTCACTGAGTACTTTGTTGAGTATACACTTATTTATATGAAAAAGTCTATTCCTATGACCACTATCATTATGGTGATACATTTATAATCAAGGAAAATGTAACATTTATATGGAACAAGACTTAACTTTTATGACATGTACATCACAATAACTTCAGGCCCGTAGCAACAGTTTCAAAAGTGGGAGAGAGGGGAAACTTCCCAAAAAAAAAAAAAATCTGACAAGCAAAAAAAAAAAATCTCAACTGAACAAAAGTAGTGGTGGTGGGGGGGGGGCAACTTCCCAAAATCATCTGACAGGCCAAACATTTTTTTTTTTAATTTACCGTCCAAATCCTGGAATTTGCCAGTGCTCGACCTTACAACATCAAAAAGTGAGGGGGGAGGGGGCACCAGCATGTAAAGGAAAATTTACTATGGCGGAATTCTATACTCAGAAAATTTGGGGGGGGGGGCGTTCTACGGGCCTGAACTTCGTTCAGCAAATATCCTGCGCGCGACAAAGTACATATTTGACATTGATAAGACACATACAAAATCTGTTCCTTACAATCACTGCCCAATTAACGAACAGCGATTCAGATGACTTACCAGAAGAACCCTGATCCCAGAGGGTGGTAATCTCCCTTAATCTTGATAAGCTATTTGCATAATGTAAATGAATAATGACCAAAATTAAGAAACGTCTTTTCCCTTCCTTTAATGTTCAGCCCAATGTCTTGATCTAAGTTATATATAGAGAATGCATTGGTTCTTAAGGTCTCTTTACTTGCTGACACCTTGCATGTTTTCTTCTACAATGATAGCGTTTCCTACTTTTCAAAAGGAACTAAAGAAATTTACAGATTCTGAAAACTGTGTGAGTTAATCATTTCAATATTTCCTGAAGATCATTATGATACCGTCTTCTCTGTTGAGTAGGTAAGTTTACTGTTAAATACTTCCCTTAGCACATTATTCAATTTAAAGAATTACAGCAAGTACTGTATGTGCAGTTTTCTTTCCACTGGATCAAATTCAAATCCACTTTGTACAGATAACTTAATGTGGCTCATTATTCAATTTAAAGAATTACAGCAAGTACTGTATGTGCAGTTTTCTTTCCACTGGATCAAATTCAAATCCACTTTGTACAGATAACTTAATGTGGCTCATATCTTCTGTGTTCACATTTCCTTATGAAATTCATGTTGCTATGGCTCTCCATAATAAAAGACAAACAACAGTTTTGTGGAAAACAGCATTTATATGTGAACATTTGTCATGGAGTACAAAGCAGGGGAGGAAACTGATACAAGATTCCTAATGGAGAAATTCCATGTACAACAGCAATTATCTACCTTTGACAGTGGGCAACAATTTTGATGATATTTCCTTTGTCTATAAAATATGCTGTGTACTTGGTTTATTCTGCACAAGAATCTAGAAGGGATTAGCACATCACTCTAAGCATTAAATTTTAATAGCTACTGGTGAACTTTTCTTCGAAAAATCACAAGCCAGATCGAATGTCAATTCATACATTATAAGATTTTCATTCCTCATACAACAAGATTCTCTCAGATATTTATCAAGTTGGTGTGCTGTTTTATGTAACTGACAAATAAATAAAAAATAGTCTACTGTTGAACAGGGCTATGTCCATTAAAATAAATAAAAAATATACAATGAAAATATAGTTTAACTCTTCAAACCGATAATGAAAGACGTAAATGGTTTTTCATATATTCAACAATATTTAAATATATTAAAATTTAATCTGTATATGATAAAATAGAAAAAAAAACACATTTTATGAGAATAACATTCCACATTTATCAACTCATTCAACTGTCTGTGAATTTCTGATGAGAGTTCATCAGATAGAATTGATTTGAAAATCTCCAATGCAAGTCAAAACAAGCCAAAGTCTGCAGCCAATATTTGCACAGTCATATTGGTATTATTCTGTCTTTCTGTACGGTCATCTGGTTCCCATTATCAGAAAGACCCTAAACTGGTTCACCAAATTGATGATCACGTGGATGGAATCCATGACTTTTGGCAAACAAGTGGACAATGTCTATGATGATAACTATCAGAAACTTCATTGCTGTAAAAACAAATTTTTGCATAAAAATAAATTTTTAAACAAAGCAAAAGGATATGACACTATACAGAGTTTCTCTTTACATTCATTGATAGTTGACAGGTAAATAAAACTTGTTTTAAAAAATTAAAAATTTAGATATATTATTTGAAATGAACCATGAAAAGATTACATTAATTTTTTTTTTTTACAGGAATAATTATTTAAACCTTTATAATATACAAATACTTACTTACTATGGGTACATTTCACAAACACAATACGTGCATGCAAAGACAAGAGGTTAAAGGTCAGACAAGCTCTATTATATTGTCAATACTTTAATGTTCACCATACGATTTTTTAAACAATAAGCTTACTAGTATATAACTGAAGTAGATTTTTCTTTTCAAAATATATATGATACATATGTGAGTTTTTAGAATATATACTAATACATCATCTAGACTACTTGTGCTATAATTAATCCATTACAAATATATCAAAATAGTTAAATGTTAGAAATTATCAATTAGTTGCAAATTATGCATATCTGTATTAAATGCCAGCATATAGGATTTAGCAATAATTATAATTCAGGAAGTCTACCTAAAACAAATAACAAAAAAACTAGGCTATGAATCTCTTTATAATGTGGTTTCAAGGTTCTTAAAATCTAAATACAAGATTTACTTCTCTCCACATCAGATCTTGTCAACAATGAATGTAAACACAGAAAAAAAAATGCTTTTCAATGGATACTTTTCAATGAGAATATAAATCCAAAATCAGTTAAAGTACAAAGCTGAGCAAAATTTTGATCATAATTACTTCAAGTATAAGTATTCTAAAATCATTCCATTTAGACAATTTTAAGATGTGAGTAGAATTCCAATTCTAGTGACCTCAAAACCACGGGTTACAGTGTAATTGTCTGTGACCTTTGACCTCTCACCTGCATTGACTTGATCAGTTGCAGAACATCAATATCAGCACAAGGGGAAGAACTTACTCGCACTACGAGTGTGAACTGCCACTCGGCCTTTCCTTTACTACTTGTTGCCTTGGCACAGTAAACACCAGAATCTGTTGCCAGTGCTGCAGGTATCTCAAAGGTGAAAGAGTTACCATCTTGGCTGAATTTGAATCTACCTGTGTCTTCTATTTCCCGACCATCTTTGGTCCAAACAACTAAAAAAAAAGAAATCAAGACATAATATCCTAACTATTCATGAATGATACTAGTAAATTCAAGTGTCATACCATTCAAATATATTTTATTAACCTAAATTTCATAAAGCTAATCTTGGTTCCAAATGATTGCTGCCTATGCTTTTTCTTTCATAGTTATAAAATAGGGTTTTTGACATACCAGATTCCACATCGTCTAAATTAGCAGTGGCTGTGAAGGAGGATCCCTCATCTACAGTTCTGGATTGGGGGAATTTCTTAAATTGGGGACCTTGGGGTTCCTCATCAGGCACTGCAAGGAGATTAGAGATTATTTAGACTGTATTGCAAAAATCAAAAGAGTATGGCAGTCCAAGAGATTAAAATAAAACAAATGATTTTAAAGAAAGAATGTGTGATGACTACAAAATAAATGTATATAAAGTTCATCCGCAAAGTCCAAGAATCATATGTTTATGTGACAGAAGCAGAAAGCTGCATTTTTTCTATAACAATATTTGACAATTAATTTCAGTTGAATAACTCTTTGATCTAAACAACAACTCTTCAAGGATCATTTTGAGGTTTTGACCATATTTCTAAGTACATCTATGATAAAATCTGCCATCTGCGTTCTCTACAGGATTCGGAACAAGAGACTCATGGATCACAATGCTCACTGCAAGTCACAGCAGCAGGGTTGTCCCCAAGAATTGAAATAGCAGGGGATATTAAAATAGTAGAAGGGTGTCTGAGGCTCCCCTAACAGAGGGTTGAAGGGGGAATTTCAGAATAACCGGGGAACTACATCAAATAGGTGGGGAAATTCCCCGGCTCCTGCGTCTTAGGGACAACCTTGCAGCAGAGTTCACCAACTTCTTTATCTCATTAATCATTATATTGTACTTGTTTATTAAGTCTTACAAATAGAAAACTCAACCAATTGGGAGATGAAAATTTAATTTTTTAATTTACATCTGTTCAGCTATCCTCAATTTTTGATCAGCAATGGAAAACCCATTCTGAGGAATCAAAAAAGAATGACTTACAAAGTTGTCAGTCTGGAATTTCAAACGTGCTTCAAAATAATCTCTTCAGGACTATTATGATAAGTTTGCTGACTACTCTTTCAAAGTAATCAAATTTTAACAGACAGAAATTATAACAGACACACAACAGACAATTTATATCAGAAAAGTTCATTTGAACCTATGGCTCAGATGAACTAATTAAAGACCAAGAATGCCAAATACAAGATCTCACAAAACATATTCACTTCATTCAGAGGATAAAAGTATGTTGCAATTTTTCAAAAATGTCACAGTTCAAGGGAAAAAATGGTACTGGTTTGTCTAAAGTAATACTTAGAGGAATCTTGGTCATGCTCTCAAAGCAGTTGTGTCAAATATTGGTCCGAAATAATTTGATTCATTCAATGGATTCATTCAATAGACAGGTATTTTAGGAAGAAACCTTTGAGTTCTAACACAGTTTTTTTTTCTTTTTGTCTTTTCCTTTTTTTTTTTTGGGGGGGGGGGGGGTGTCTAGGGAGAACACAAAAACTATATACATGTATATAACTTGCAAAGTAACAACCAGATAGGTACAAATGTAGAAATATATACTGTTGGTAAAACATCACAGCACCCAATTACATATATTACCTGATTTTCCTGTTAAAGAAAAAGTTTAATTTAATAAAAAAATTAAATATTTTATCTTTATTATCTCATCCAAATTCAGTTTACCTTTGTTCAAATGTAAACTACTGAACTACAATGTTATGAAGGGGATAGCACTCTCCAAGATCAAAATATTTTCAAAGACACATTATAATTCTTATTATAACAATTATAATTTAAATGTTGAAAATTATCAAATGTTCCAAATCCAAATATAATATTCTCAACTGATGTTTTTCAGCTTTGTCTTTGTAAAACATGCTCAAGGTTAAAATTGAGGACTGTTGCATGAAAAATGAAAAAGTTGACATTCCAATGTTACATGATCATGTTTATCTCCTGTAAACAAAAAAAAAACCCTGTGAGCAAAAGCCTGAAAATTTCCCCTCGTGTACCTTCTACGAAAACAGTGAAGCTGCTAGAGGTGGAGCCAGCCTCATTTTCAGCCACACACTTGTACATTCCACTGTCCTCAGGGAACACTTCAGCTATTACCAGTCTGTATGTGTCACCATCGTTTTCATAACGGAAGTCTTCGCTGTCCATGATTTGTTCTCGACCTTTGTACCATTTAACCTCAGGTGAGCCTAAAACAGGGTCACTTACCATAAACAATCTCCAGAAAATGCTACTGCTATATGCTTTCCCTCACCATTGCAAAACCACTTTTCCTGTTGGTCTTGATATTTTTTTGCCTGACCTAGTTTCTGAAAACTGTGCCTACCATCATGGTCTCCCATTTTATGAAATCAGTGTTTATTTTTTGGAAAACTCAGGATTTAGGACAAGATTTGAATTCAAACAGGAAAGGAAAAGAGGGTTTCAAAGGTGAGGCTTCATTACAATCCAGGAATAGATTTTATATGAATATATACATGTAGTTCTGGCATGTTATATAAATTTTGATATACATTTACCTTAAATTTACATTTGTTTTAATTTTTATTTGTCTTTTTCTTTCTTTTTTTTTTTCAATTATGATTTTGTTTAACATTTTCCATCAAATTTGCAAAAAAAAAGAGATTTTCTGTAGTTCATGTGTACCTGAAATTTGACATTCTAATGTGGCTGGGTCGCCATCTTTTAATCTTAGACCTAAGGGGTGGGTAATAAACCGGGGAGGTTCAGCTAATTTCTCTTGTGGCTTGGCTGTAACAAAAATTGATAGGTAAAGCATATCACAGATAGTTTCTGCAGTTGCTGAATATTTTTGTGGTCCAACCAAAATTTGCTTAATCTGAGAATCTCTCAAGCATTTGTTGTGGTAAATTTGTGAAACTGAAAAAGAATTGAATGCTGTAACCTTTGAAGGTTTAGTTTTTAATATTTTGAACTGCAGAAACTACCTATACATGTTTTATTTCGATACATATCAAAGGTAGCATTTTGAATGGACACAAGGAATGGTTTTCAGTGGCTTAACATTCGATCAATTTCATGCTTGTATTTTTGGTAATGGATTTCAAAGAAAACGAGGAAGAAAGGAATGATTCAGAAAGGGCTGACCCACCAGTGACTTGTACACTAGTTTTAGTGGACGCTACTCCTGCTGAGTTGAGGGCTTTACACGTGTAGGTTCCGTCATCATCCATTGAAACCTCGTTAATTTCTAAAGAACAGCTACCAGCAATGTTCCTGATCTTCACAGAACCACCACTCTTTAACAGCTGAAACACAAAAATATCAAAGCATAAACACTGTGATGTACCATCATATTTCATCACCTTCAGACTGTATGGTTAACTCCTGAAAGGTGATTTCAAACATGGAATGGTCTGCCTTTCAAGAGTCACAGCTCTGTGGCAAACAAAACTGTTTTATTGAGGGAGCTATTTTTTTCTAGTATGTAAATGCCGGTACATGAATTTACTTCAAAAATGAAGCAGATCAAACAGCAAGTTCTAGTCTATAAATGCTCTCTCCTTCTTGAGGCTAGAGGTTCTAAGGTATCTGTGCAATACTCCCCCCCCCCCCCCCCCCCTTCCATAAAAAATTCCTAGAGGGAAATCTTCGCAATATTCCTCTCTGCAACAATCAATTTTCCTAAGGAGGAAATCTTCATAAGGATCACATAACCCTGTTAAGTTTAGTACCTGTCCATTGAAGTACCACTCAATGTCTGGGTCTGGGGTTCCTTTGACTGAGCAGGTCAGCTTTAAGCGATCTCCTTCCTTAAGAATTTCTGGGGACAGGTTTGATGTAAAGGCAGGGGCTACTTCTTCTGGTTCCTCTCTCTCTGTAAAATTGTTAAATCATTGTATCATCATAGATCATAGATAAATCACAGAGTGTTAAAACATTCTCTTGTAACTGTTTCACTGAAGAACAACTTAACTACATGTATTAAAAAATAAATAAAGACAATGCACAAACTTGCTTAAAGAGAAGCATTTATGAAATACATGTGTATCAGACATGGCTTTCAGCATATCTGCACACAAATGAAATTTTGAATGCTTTGAAAAACATCATTGAAAAAATAAATGATATTGAATATTAGGCTTACTTTTCCTCTCTGAGCGGTCAGATCGCCTGGAGGAATAGGAGCTTTCCTCGACAGTTTCTTCAGTGTATTTCCTTGAGGAGCGACTTGTCTTCGTGGATGAGGAGTAGGAAGATTCGCTGTAGCTGGAATCCTCATATCGACTGCTGTAACCAGATTTTGTCTGGCGTACACTGCGAGATTTAGCACTCTTCCTCAAGTCAAGTCCCTCATGAGCTCGGTCTGAAGGGAATTTTTTTTTTTTTGACATTTCAGTTTCAAAATTATATTTTGCAATATGAACAAGTCAACTGATAGTGTAGAACATGAAATATCAAATTCATATCTGATTACACTAAGGACAAATGTGATTCACATACATGTACACACACACACACACGTAACACATGTGGGACTTCAAGTTTCTTAGGTGGTAATACAATCTACACGTAATGTGTCAAAGACTACTTATTATATTTCACACATAAATATGAAAAGGTAAATAATCATTCTAATGTTTAGAAGGCTAGAATATGTTATAAGTATTGTCAGGCATCTATCTGTTGAAACTATTAGAAGACATATTATGGTGTGAAATATTGTCCATTACAATGTATGTCTTGTTGTTTTCCTATATATAGATATACAGTATTCTATTTGTGCTATCTATAAGACTAGCTACAGTGTTGATCAGAATCAACCTAAACCATCTGTATAATACCTTTTCTGTCTGTTCCTGCACAACAAAATCAAGCCTAAAGATTTGCTCATTGTGGTCATGTTTATGTAAGTGTAACCTTCTTTGAATAAAATTTATCAATATACACATATCCTCAATCATAAATTCACTTATAAAAAAAGCATTAAAATTTGTATTGAAAAAATTCCTTCAGAGTTTTGATTTTTCATGGAAATTGTTCAATAAGCTTTAAATGTTTTTACCTTCTACAACAACGTAGCTGGATGTTTCCTCTGTTCCAAGTTCATTGACAGCAATACATGTGTACGTTCCGGTGTCTGACACATGTGCACACTGTACTTCCATTGTACACACACCACTGGAATATGTACACAAGTAGTGGTCACTGTGGGTGATGTCACGACCATCCTTTGTCCAGGTCACCTGATATAAATAAATTTTTCAGTTTATACCTTATATGGACAAACAGTAAAATTTTTTCTTCATCAAATCTAACTTACAAGTGTTTAATGAGTGTTTTACATAATAATGTATTTCAACATTGTCTGTCCATCTTTAGAAATTTATTGCTGGAAAAACTTCATGTACCAGTAACTTTTCTTGAATTTTCTAAGATACTTGTCAGAGGCCATCGTAACAAGTATGATCTTTACCATTATTAAACATCTTTTTACTGTGTAAATTTTCTATAGATAACATCTACCTTTGGTGTTGGTGTACACTGAACACAACAGATAAGTTTAAACTCCTGTCCAGCCTGGATCAGACGAGGACGCAGGCCAAAGTTGAAGTCAGGCCGTTCCTCTTTTGGTTTCTCTATCTCTCTCACCATGGACGGTGGTCTGGATCTAAGTACAAAATCAATGGAGGTGATTTACCATTCTTCCATGTAACATTTTTTTATCTGTTGATACTTTTTTGTTATTTTGTTATAATACAGAAAATACAGTATCCATGTATCTAAGATAGCAAACTAATAATGGAAGGAAAAAATGTTGTTCTACCTGCGCATTGGTGTGGTATCCCTGCTGAGGGGAATCTCTCTCTTAGGAGCAGCTGAAATTTTAACAAAGAATACACTGTGATATTAATCTATTAAGATACATGACAAAAAACAAATGTCATTGTTAGGTTATTTACCAGATTTTTAAACAAAAACAAATTGGTAATACATGTGTGAGGTCAAAAAAAGCACCAAAATCAATGTTAACACCTTTATAAAGATCTTAAAACGTCACCAAAATCAAGTATAAATCAGTTCTAAACAAAAAGATCATTAATTACAGACTTACGTTCTACTTTGAGTGATGCCTTCTCTTCACGTTTTCCAAACGAGTTCTCGGCTATAACAGTATAAGTTCCAGCATCCTCCTTCTTGCACCGACTGACCTTTAACTCGTACTCGGTGCCCGAATATTTCTGCATGTGCTTCACACTCTGAGAAAGAGCACCTCCATCAAAATGCCTGAAAAAAAAAAACTCCAAGAATTTCAAATCAAATATTGAGACTAGAATCCATATAACTTACTGATGCAGTATACACTACTGACACAACTACATACAGTTTTTGTTTGTAGACAGATCTTACCAGGTGACAATGGGCGCAGAGGCAGCAATAATTCTACAGTCAAACTTAGCAATATTGCCTTCTCCAACAATAACATTTCTTGGACGCCTGATAAACCTTGGAGCAGCCTCCTTGCGATCTATATAATAAAACATACATTATTTCATACAGTTTTTAAACTTACATTATTTATGAAATATGGGTTTAAATTGAAAATCTTCAGTTGTCAGTAGTTTTCTTTACATGAATCCAGATCATTTTCTCTCCCCTGCAACTTAAAATTAGATACAAATGCACCTATGTAAATGTTTTTGTAAAAAGTATTATATTTCATGTAATGGAAAAAAAATTACCAAAGTAGGCATCATAGATGTTGTATTCCTTGGGACGATGTTTCCTGAGGGAGCTGAAGTTAGCCAAGCGTCCGATAGCTGGCATAGGTTGTGGCCAGTCAGCCTGTATACAAAATAAATCAATCAAGGTTTATTTGCTGTACATCCTTCATTTTTTATTACATCACTGCATGCTATATCTCTTTAATACACAACAAGTGTAATTTTTTCAAGTTTTCCGAGAGAAATTTATTAATCCAATCAGCTGACTTACATATCGTTCCTTGATCCTGGCTCTGATTGCATCATAACGACTAGATGGAATTCTGGTAGTCCTACTGCTAAGATCACCCTGATAAAAAACAATAACATATAAATATCAGTCATATTGTGCTAATACATGTACTTTACAACAAGCTTTTAAATTAGAATTGGAAAAAAAAATTTACTATATCTGAAACCATGTTGTCAGTGCAAGCAAAAGATTTATCTAATGTTCCTATAAGAATAAAATTTATGAGCAAGCAACCACAGAAAAGTTTACCTTCAGCCATGCATGATCTAAGCAGTCATGGACAGTCATTCTTTCTCTGTTGAAAAAAAGAAACATGCATTACCACAAGTAAGAACTTAAAACTTTTTTTTGTATAATATTACTTGTAACCTGAATCAACTGATTTTTGGAAAAAATCTATTGTGTAACATTTTTGTGTAGTCCTGTAGCAAGAAAAACTATTTGTAACATTTTTTTGATAGAGATCCTATAAAGCCTTTTTTGTATTATTTTTGTGAGGATACTATACTTACTGAGGCCTTCTGACGAGGAGTCTCCTAATGAAGTCCTTGGCCTCAGGAGAGACTTGAGAGAAAGCCTCCTCAGCAAACTCCCAGTCACAGCGACCTACATTCTGTAGAGTCTCCAAATCATCTTCACCAGCAAAGGGAGATAATCCACTCAACCTAAACAGAAGAAACACATGGTACAACGTACAATTATAAAATAAGAAGAAACAATATTCTTTAAGACACTTGTATACAAAAAATGGGCCTCTAACTCAATGTTGATATTACATAAGACCTCAAAAAGAAGAATTTTCCTTATTCCAAATGTACTCACAGTACGTAAGCCAGCACTCCAACAGCCCACATATCTGTGTAGAAACCAATGGGTTCTGAGTCTACAATTTCAGGGGCAGCAAACTCTGCTGTGGCTGTGGTCACTTTAACTATCTCATCAGGATTCAGTTTGGTGGCCAAGCCAAAGTCAATCATCTTCACATTGGTGGACTTCTTTGTTTCACACATCACATTTTCAGGCTACAAAAAGTAAAAAGAAGTCAAATCACAATATGGAATATTTTTTATATGATTTACACAATTTTACCCCTAACAATATTCTACAAAATCAGTGTCTATTAATTTTACTTTACTGGTACATCCTTTTAATCTTCTACGTTTTTTGCAAAACTTGCCACTTACACCTAACTATGCAATTACTTTTGATCATGAACTAAATAAATTTAGTTAAATTTTCTCTCTTGTTTTGTAAGTTAATGTGAAATGCACAAAGGTCCAACAATTAGAATCAACTGACCTTGACGTCAAGATGGACAATGCTGTTCTCGTGCATGTGTTTGAGTCCCTCGCAGACTTGTCTCATGTAGTTTATCACCTCAGCCTCAGTCATCTTGTAATCCTCCGCAGCTATTCTGTCAAACAACTCTCCCCCAGACAGGCTGGAATCAAACAGAAAGAACTGTAGACTCTACATTCACAGAAGACTGTAAACATGGGTATATTGATGGATTGAAAGTCGGATGATTTCCTAATTTTAGAAAGTTGGCAAATGGAAACTATGAAGGTCTAGAAGTGTCTAAATGATTTCTTTAATGACAATGAGAAAACTGACAAGTGAAACCACTGACAATTTTGTCACTCTTTCTACTTCCACATTTACAGTATACTGACAGTATCACAGGCCTGAATTTGTGCTATCACTGAATGGATACATGTATCAAAAACTAACAAATGAAGTGCATTAAAGGTTAAGTTTCTTTTTTTTATTTAGAAATTGATCATAAATATTTGTGTAATAGTGTGAAGCACATTTTTTTAAAAAAAAACTTCTTACTTGTGCAGATTTAGTTTAACTTACAATTCTAAGATTAAGATCATTTCATGACGATCATCAAATGCATCCTTGAGTTGAAGGAGTTTAGGATGATGAAGCTGGTTCATGATGTTGATTTCATTTTTGACTGTAGCCTTGTCCAGTGGGTAAGGAGTGTTGATAAATTTGGCCACAAACACTCGGCCAGTGGCCTTCTCAACACAACGATGGACTACTCCAAAAGCACCACTGTAAAACAAATTGCAAATCATTTTAAATGTTGAAAATAAACAGAAACCTGTACTTGCAAGTCAATGTTTATCATATTAAACTATCTGTTAATAATTCTTTTATGTCAATGACTAAAAGCTTCTGGCCAAAGACAGAACTGCAGTGTGATTTTAATTTTCATTACCTGCCGAGTTCCTCCAGAATATCATAATAATCGTACACATTGTCTGTTCGGACCTGGACTGGTTGGGGTACATACTTTTTCCACAAATCCTCATCTGTAAGACATGACAATGTAAAATACCCACTCCTAGATTTCTGTTTTTCTTGTAAGTATGTATATATATATATATATATTTTGGGCATCTTAACTTATATTTACTTTAGACAATATTCAGAATTTTTTTTTATTGGATAGGGCATCAGGAATGCCTCTACATTTTTTGCAAATACCCTATGCATACTTACAGAATTTGTCGTAGTCATTAATCTTGGGACCATCATATTTTCCTCTGACTTTTCTTCCCATCTCATCTATAAAGGCAGAGAATTAGACATTCTTAGTTCTGGTATATAATTTAACAATCACTAAACAGCATTGATCTATAAACCCATCCTTAAAGACAAGAAGTAAATAAACTGGTGCTCTACCTTCATGCTTCTTTCTCTTCTTGTCCTCAGAGTCCTCCATTTTGATGGTAGATGTGGGCTCACAAGGGTCACTCTTGCCGTAGAAGTTCTCAGCGATGACTCGGAATTGGTATTCCTTACCAGCTGACAGACCCTGAATGTTGTGGAAGGTCATCCTACACACACAAATACATGTTACTAATTAAGTAATTCACTGCTTACTTAAGCAAGTTATCAATGAGGCTCTCATAAATATACCTTAATAGGCTCAGTATATTGCTGTTTACTACTTCAAGCATTGATGTTTTTCTTTGTTTCATTCATTCAAATGATACATAAAGCTTTTCACAAAGAAATTCAAAAATCCTTAAAATACATATTTGTCTGCCAGAAATTAAAATTTTCTTTCTCAAAGATTGGCATAGCTGTTTACAGTGTTTTTAATAAAGACATAAAAAGGTTGAAAACTCTTATTATTTTATGTAGAAATAACGATTCACATTCTTCATACCTTGTGTTAGCCACTCTGACCCAGTTAGTTCCTGGTGGTTCACATTTTTCAATGTCATATCCAGTGATAAAGCTACCACCATCATTCAGTGGTGCCTTCCAGGAGAGGACCACAGAGTCACTTCTAATGTTCTCCACCACAGGGAATCGTGGTGGGTCAGGACGATCTGAAACACCACAAAATTACACTTAGATATTGCAGATTTACAGTCACTGTGTTAACTAAGACTCAAAATAACATAGCATCAATACACTGACAAGTTACAAAGGATGTCAGTTTAGTAAACCAGATCCACAATATTGTCTGTACAACATGGATGTTCATGGATTCGTGGACTGCATACCCACAAATTAACATCCATACAAATGATGTTTTTGTACATATCAGTTCAGAGTCTTCTGTGTGTATGAGTTCCCACGAAATAACATCCCCATGAGCCAGTAAAATTTTGGTTTCCAATGAACATTGACCTTCATGACTAAAACAATTCCAGAGTATCCACTATATTACAGTTATGTTACACCCACCATTGACCTGGATCTTAATAACAGCTGTGTCAGTTCCAAGTTCATTCTCCAAGGTCAGTCTGTAAGGACCATCATTATCCTTGTTAGCCTCCTTGATGGTCAGAATGGCATGGCGGTCAGTCACTTCCTGAACGTAGTTACGGCCCTTGACCTCCTCTCCATCTCTGACCCATTTTACGGTCGGTTTGGGGTTACCTGTAAATGGTATCTTGATGACAACTGGCTCTCCCTTCTCGAATGTGCTGACGTCCTTAAATCTGGATGGTACATTAATTTTGGGTGGAGCTGTAAAAAAGTATTAACAAATGAAAGGATACGTAACATCTCTACAAACTATTTAAACACAGTGCTTATAGAACAAATTAATTTATTGGCTGATGTCTAAGAGTGAATTAACCTACCTCTGATGCTCAAATTGGCCCTTGACACCTTAGATCCACCTTTGTTGAAGACTTTAGCAGAATATTCATCAGCATCCTCTCCGTATACATCCTTGATAGACAATATATGAAGATTTCCTTCTTCAATGATCTCAAACTTCTTATCATCATAGATTTCTCGAGATCCTTTGTACCTGATAACAGAAAATAGGAATTGCACAAAGTTATCTATATATAGTCAGAATATCAGCCATTTTTGAAAATAAAAATATTTCAACATTTCAAGGAGCTAAGCACCTAGCAATATTTCATTTACACTAGCTTTGTATTTCTGTGCTCTTCAGATTTTCCATAAGGTTACCTTGAAAAAATTTGGAATAATCAGGATTGACTGTATTTGACTTACCATTGAACCTCTGGTTTGGGATTGCCAGAGACTTCCAGCTCAAAGGTGGCATTTTTGCCAGCCACTGTCTGAATGTCTCTAAGACCTTCTACAATCTCAGGGGCTACAGCAGCTGCAACAGATTATGTACACGTATTCAGTGAAACAACTTCAAAATTCATTATTACATTGATTACCATTAGTATTATTATAGCAGATGTCGACAGCTCAGTCAGTTAAATTTGTTCAGGAAAAATGTCATTTCAAGGCAAAATTAAGCTACTAGGATATGAACCTTTGAGTTATAAGTTATTTATTGTTTCAATTAAAACATGTATTTGAAAAAAAAACTTACATGTATTTATTAAAAACAGAGGAATGAAACTTACCATGAGGATCCTTGATTTTCACACTGGTGGATGCTAGTGATGGTTTACTCATTCCTGCTTCATTCTCAGCAAACACTCGGAATTCATATCTTTTATCCTCGATAAGGTTTGGAATATTGATCATGTTTGTAAGACAGGGAGTAAGATTGACACGATGCCAGTTTTCGGTTCCATGCTCACGTTTGTCAACCCAGTAAGACTTGATCCTTCCCCCTCCATCAGACTTAGGTTTATCCCATTTGAGGCTAACGAAATCTCCACCCACTTCTGTGACTTCAGGGGTGCCAGGAGTATCTGGTGCATCTAAAAATACGCATAGGAAAAAAAATTAATAAAATACATGTATGTCAAGAAAAATAAACATTTTGTGGTTTTTACTTAGTGAAGTTTTTCTGTATCTTTTTACAGAGGTAAATCTTATTCAATAAGTTTCACTTACCAAATGGCATTTTAGCTACAATAGGATTCTCAGCTTGCAGAGGTTCCGATTGTCCATGCTCATTCACAGCCATGACCCTGAACAAATACTTCTCATTTTCAAACAGGCCTTGGACATCTTGGTGAGTGTCCTGTCAACATAAATGAACAGGTTATTGATAAATATTCCTTTTATGTAATAAAAGGGTATATCAGGCAAATTTAACATATTCAAATTTGCTCCTGCTTCTAAGACCTTATTTTTGGTTCTTGTTCTTACCCTACAGTGGGAGGATACAGTGACCCAGTAAGGTTTGCCCACTTCCTGACGTTCAACAACGTAACCAGTTATCTTGGCACCGCCTGTCTCCTTGGGAGGTTTCCAAGACAATCTGCAGGCATTCTTTGTAATGTCACTGATTTCCAAAGGTCCAGTGGGGGCAGAAGGAGCACCTGTTACAAAGGAAATCAACACATTCACAAACATTGGCATCAAATTTCAGCCACTAAATAGTTGTTCACTTTACATGAAACAAAAACTACTAAATACATGTAATATTCACAAAACCAAAAAGTACGACTATTAGTATAGCAATAACTGAGTGACTTACTGACAACATTGAGTCCAAAACCAATCGAAGCACTTCCAGAAGGATTGCTGGCCTCCAACTGGTATCTACCTGTGTCATCTCTGGTACAATCTAAAAGTCAATTAAAAAACTCATGATTTAACCAAAGGAGAAGTACATGTAATGTCAATCAGACTGCACAGATAAATAGAATAAACTGCACACTTCAACAATTTTTCTACAATAAAAACTTTTTTCACGTAAATGGTAAAAATATCAGATCTAATGATTGATGTTAATATGAATTACCTTTGATTATTAGTATTAAGTAATCATCAAATGGTGTGATCTTCACCCTGTCACTTTCTTTCACTTCACGATTATCTTTCTTGAGTTTGATATCGAATGGTCCAGTGCCTGAGTAAGGAATCTTAATCTTGAGTTGTTCTCCAAGCTCTACATTCTGGTCTTTGATGTCTCTGTCAAATTTGGGTGGATCTGAAAAAGGTATATTTATAATTCAGTGATTAGTAATAAATTGTGATATTTATAAAATTTCCTGGATATAATTTGTTCTTGTCCATTTGAAAAAAAAAAGAAGAAAAAAAGCAAACACCTATAATTCAACAAGGTAACTGTTAATTTTTTTTTAACTTTCAATCCATTTGATTTATTCAAATTGACATACTTTGAAGTTCTAATCGACAAGTTGCTTTTTCTGATCCAAGTGGGTTTGAAATTTCACAGGTAAATTCTCCCTCGTCTTTATCATAAATTTCATTAATAACGAAAATAAAGACGTCATCCTCTTTAATCATTCTCATACGGCCACCAGTGCCCACAGGAATGCCATTCTTGTACCTGAAAAATTTAATTCAACAAGGATATATTAAACTAAATGTATAGAGCTTCTAAATATACATGTATGTATGTTTAAACTATTACAGATAAAAATTTTCAGGATTTACTGGTTTTGCTTTCAAATGGCATACAAAACAAAGCCAAAACAAAAAAATAAAAAAGAAAACAAAATGCTCTGCTTACCACTGACAAGTAGGGAAAGGTTTGCCATGAACCTCAGCCGTGAAGGAAACTTCTCCTCCAATAGGTGCCTTGCTGTCTGCAGGCTTCTTGATAAATTCTGGGGCTGAGCCAACTACAGAAAAGAATGGTATGAATTTACTTTACATACAAGAAATTCAAATCATGGTCTAAAAATAGCAAAGTAACTCCAAAGAAAAAATTATTAAGGTTTTGAGAAAAACAACGTTTGATTTGATGGTTGAATCTTTTTTGGATAAAAATTGACAACATACCAATCTTTTCCTTGATCTTGTATGCTGGTGAGCACAGACTGGGTTCACTATTTCCAGCAGCATTAACAGCCATAACTCTAAACTCCCACTCTGAGTCCTCGGGAAGGTTGGCGACAGTAAAAGCAGGGTCAGTGCAGGGGTAGTCATTACACTTGGACCACATCTCTGCTCCCTTTGGTCTCTTCTCAACAAGATAGCCTATAAAGTTCATTATTATCATCAATGCTTTGTTGAATACAATCACCATTTGTTTTTCTTCTCCTTTAAAACTTGTAATGTACATGTACCTGTAATTTTAGCTCCACCATCATGTTTAGGTGGCTCCCATTTAAGATCAACATATGTTTTGCCAGTGTTGACGGCCTCTGGTACTCCTGGTGGAGATGCCTTGGCTAAAATAAAAGTTTTAAAAATTGAGGAAAATAAGCATGTAAGATTACTTCATAACAATTTAGCCATTCTTTTAAATATATAAATATTTTTCCAAATATACTTACTGTATTTAGGCTTAGGAGTAATGGGACCGACCATATCACTAGGCTCGCTGAGGCCTGCGATGTTCTTTGCCCTTATGCGGAAATCATATTCCTTGTCCTTCTTCAATCCCTTCACTGTTACCAAAAAAAAAAAAATCCTCTCATCCAACTTTCGAAAAGTAGTACACATTTTAAAAATATTCTTGTAAAGCATCTTATCAGTTTCATATTTCATTAATATGCTAACCACACAACTACAAAGAAATTCACCTTGCAATTCACAAAAATAGATTCCTACATCAGATATCTTGTAAATCTGTACTCACCCTGATAAACACATTCATCCACTGGGTAGTCGTTAGCTTCCTTCCAGCGACCAGTGGTGGGGTCTTTGTATTCCACGACATATCCTATGATCTTCTTTCCACCATCATTTCTTGGTTTGGTCCAAGACAGAGTAACAGAAGCTTCGTCAATGTCTAACACACTGGGATGTCCAGGAGGATCAGGGCGTGCTGAAGAAAATGGAAAGTTGGTTCATAGAATTTTACAACTCCACTCATCAAACACAACACAATTACTTTAAATATATGCACCATTCAATGATGAAAAACCAATGCTAAAACTTTTAGAAATCTCCTGGTATTAACACTCATTCTTAATTTCAGAATAAAATTGATAGTAGAGAAACACTTCATCTCCAATATAAATTATCTCTAAACTACAGTTAAGCCTAAAAAGAACAGTGATCATTTATTCAACAATTCTAAAGCTCAAGAAATGTAAAACGCTTATTGTACAACTGGACATACTGTATGGATGCTGAGCCACAATAGGAAGAGAGGTTTCCAGTGGTTCACTGACACCAAACTGGTTCTCCGCTGAAACCCTAAACTTGTACTCATGTCCCTCAGTGAGACCCATTACTTCATAGTTGGTACCCCGTACAAATTTGCTGACTGGTTCCCACTTTCCAGTGTCAAGATCCATCTTCTCAACAACATAGTTAGAAATCGGACTTCCTCCATCATCCTGCAATGAAACGGACATTAACATAAAGATCCTTTTATCAATTTGACAGCCTCGAAGCTATTCCATTCACTCAAGTTTCTCAGATATTAAACTTTGTGGTCGTAAAATTTTGCTTATTTTTCCCAAGTATCTAATCACAGGTGTTTAATTTACCCAAACATAAAGTTTGTCTTCAATGTGTAAGTTTTGACCTTTTAAATACAGGTAACTCTCGATACCTCGAAGTCTGCGGGACCGAGGAAAAACTTCGAGAGATCAAGAGTTCGAGTTTTCAAGAGTCTGGAATTTTCTGGGTTTGTTGACAGGTTTTAAAATTAGTTTTACTGGATGTAATGATTTTCATGCAGCGCTAACCTTTTATAAAACAACCATATTTTTTCGTAATTCAGATGAATATTTCATTAAACTGAGTAAAGCAAAAAGCAAAAAATGTATATCGTCATTTCATGTATATTTATTTATTCTTCGTAATACGGACATCATACTATGCATTCGTTACATGAAAACAACATTTTACAGCATCGTACATAGCTTTGACTATTCCAAAAATGATCATTGAATGCAGTTCTGTAAGTATTTGTCCAATAATAGTCGTCATATTGACACTGAGGCTGTTTCTGCTTTTTTCAAATTTCATTTAACTTTGACATGACTCGAAATAAAAATTAAATTAGTGTTTTGCCTTTTAATCAATCACTACTTTTCAATGACACTGTGTCTCTAAATTATTGCAAGACAGTTGATGAAAATTATATTAATAGCATATAGGCAAAATATGATTAATTATAAATCAGTTATCACCTTGCAGCATAAGTGTCACCTGAATAAACATAACGTTCCTCGAGACCCGCGTCTTCTACCTGGGGCCATTTAAATGTCCAGGTAAAGGTGCTAATTATATAATCTTGTATACACAAAGCCACTTCGAGGTATCGAGGGTAAATTCTAATAGAATATGCATAGCGGGACTGCATTTTGACTTCGAGGGATCAAGGGTTTCAAGAGATCAAGAGTTTGAGAAATCAAGAGTAAATTTGCTTAGTTATATAGTGGAAAAATTCCGGACCGGAGACTCACTTCGAGCGATCAAGAACTTCGAGAGATCGAAGTTTGAGCCATCAAGAGTTACCTGTATAAAGATATACATGTACACGTACACTTAAATGCTGCAGTACAAATTGACAAACTTACCTTTGGAGCATTCCAGGTGAGGACACAGGAGTCAGGGGTGATGCTTCCAACCTCCAGTGGTCCCTCAGGCTTAGTGGGGGAATCTATAAAGCGGGGACATTTATTTTATGATTATACCAGAAATTCTTGAGAAGAGTGATTCTTTAAAACTATAGATTGCAAGCCATATACATGTATGAGATGGTATGCATAAATCTATCATAAGTATATACTAGAAAAGAGTAGGTTACTGACCGACGACATTAACGTTGATAGAGGCAGAGTCGCTGCCCTTGTCTGTTGACAGGAGGACACTATATCTTCCGGAATCTGATTTTTCAGCTGCTTTATTGAACAGCTTGATTTCTGTAGGGGTGTTCTCAAAACTCACACGACCACCTTGGGAGAGAGGTTTACCAGCCTAAAAAAATCATGTTAACAAAAAATACATTTACGTTCCAATACATTCATTGACATTTTAAGGTCTTGTGCCAAAAAAAACGTTATAACATCCATAAAAACAGATCCCCCCTTTTTGTTAAAATAGAGACTTACCACAGACCAGTCTGCTTTAGGAATAGGATTACCATCATAAGGAATAACAATCTTAAACTCTTCTCCTCTCTTGACAGTGATATCCTTAGGAAGGAAGTTTGGACTGACTTTTGGTGCAACTGAAAAAAAAAGACATTTCAAACTTACTTTAAAATTCAAGGAAATACTATAGATGGCGAAAAATTTAGCGCCCCGTTAACTTAGTTCAATTGTGTAATTACTTAGGTAAATTCTTGAATCCAAAATTTGCAAAATGAATTGTGTAGATTCAAAAATGAGCTTCCATAAAGAACCAACCCTTCTGAGCCCATGGGGAGCCCTGGGGGTCATGGGGCAGAGATCAAAATAAAAAAAAAAAACCTTGTGGCACATCAACAATGAATGGCCAATCTCATGCAAAAAAATATTTTTTCTACCACTTAAATTTTGCATGAGTTCTATTAATAAGAGAGTGGGACACACATGAAGTGGGTTCAAAAGACAGGGATGCAATAATATACTCAAACTTTCTTTGAAAAAATACCGAGCTGATAGATTCCCACCATACCTGGGAACAGAGAGGTTCTGGCAAACTTAATCACACAAACCTGGAGGTTGCTGAGCCTTGATAGCATCTGATGTTTCAGCAAAGTCTCCCAGTCCAGCATTATTAATAGCCGCCACACGGAACTCGTATTCTTTACCCTCAGTCAGACCCTTCACTGTGAACTCGTTGTCCAAAACATCAGCAAAGTTTGCTCTATTATAGCAAGTAAAACATGCACAGAGTATGTCTTTGAGCATTTTCTAAAATTTAGACTAACATGAACATGTATTGACTTTACGTTTAAATCATATTTCATTTTAACTTTTAAAAAATATATAACATACACTGTACATATAAATTTAAGGCCAAAAAACAGAGAATACAGTAAAATCTTCGAAAGAGACTTACTTGGTCCACTTTTTCTCCCCAACTTCCCTCTTCTCCACCTGATATCCTTTGATGGGGTTCCCTCCATCTTTCAGAGGTGGACTCCATTCCAGGGTGATAGAATCAGGGGTGTAAGCTGAGCATTTAGGAGTGCCTGGGGCACCAGGAGTATCTATCAAAGAAAAATAAACATTATTTATAAATGCAACCAAACTTTTTTTTCAATCTTGGACAAAAGATGATTATTATTTTTTTCCTAGAAATTAAAACCAGAAATAATGAAAACTGTTACTAACCATAAGGCAATCTAGCCAAAACTGGTTCAGATGTTTCTAAAGCATCACTGACTCCAAGCTTGTTTTCTGCCATCACTCGGAACTCATACTCAGTACCAGGCTCGAGATTCCTGACAATACATTCTGGAGTATTTATAAAACTGGACACCTTCTGCCATTTCTTGCTGCCAGCTTTGCGTTTCTCCAGAATGTAATTATTGATCTTTTCTCCTCCGTCATCATCAGGAGCATTCCATTGAAGAGTCAGTTCTTCTCCCATGATGTCAACAGCAGTCAGGGGCCCTTTAGGAGCTGCGGGGCGATCTGAAAAAAAGCAAGGGGACAAAAATAGAAACATTAACAAATAGATATTTGTACAATTTATGTCACATTATAAATTATTGATAATTTTTCGAAGGTTTCTGTCCAAAATGACCTGGTAAAACTCCTCTTTTTCTTCACTCTGTTAAAGACTAAATCATTTACCTATAACATTGACATTAAGAGAGCCAGAGTCCTGTCCTGATGGATTTTTCAGTGTCAATCTGTATCTACCAGCGTCTCCTCTCTCAGCCTTTGTGTTTGTAAGGGTAACATGATCAGCAGCCACTTTCAAATGTACACGCATGTCATCTTCAATCTCTTTGTTTCCATTCATCCATACAGCCTTTGGTTTGGGGAATCCTGTGTATGGAACTTCGATCTGGAAGTGCTGTCCAGCTTTTACATTGATGTCCTTCACGCCAGACATGCTCAAGTTTGGCCTTTCTGTTAATTTTAAGAGAAAATCTGATATAAACTACCATGTTAATGTATCATTATGTATAACAACCATATTACCTTAGAACTTCATTGTTGTAATTTTCAATGGTAATGAAATGCAATATACATGTATACATGTAGCTCTCTAGTTTGGGAACAGTTGTTAGACACCTGCATCTACATGTATATGCTCAGGAGGAAGTGTTGTAATACACTGTTAATATATTTAATACAAATATACTAACAGATAACTAGATCACTTGGGCAAAACAAAATGAAACTGTACATTCAGTAAGACAGACCTGGTTGTTGTTCCACAGTGATCATGTTGGTAGGCCTGCTGGGCTCCCCTTGACCGGCCTCGTTCACTGCGATCACACGGAACTGCACCTCGTCCTTCTCCTTCAGATTAGGTACCGTGCACCTCGTCTCATTACCAGGCACCTCCTTACAATCCTCCCAGTCGCCTCCCTTGGATTTCTTCTGAATGATGTAAGAAGTTGGTTTTTTGCCACCATCCTTAGCTGGTTTAATCCATGAAAGGTCTACAGAGTCCTTGGTGATCTTGTCGATATTTGGTTGTCCTGGGGCTCCAGAAGGGACTAAAAATACAATATGTAATGATTTCTTTTTTAATGACATGTTAACATTTTGATCTCTTGAAGAATACTAATCACAAGATTTTATGCTAATTCTGTAGGAAATGCTTCTATAACTGCAATTTAAGAAATGTGTGAACCATAAATAATCCGTTTATTTGTAATGTTATTTCAATATGATAATTTAAAGTAATAAATTTTGAGGTTCAACATTTATTGACTATCTTCAGCCACCAGGTCCTCAACAAAACGCAATCATTAAGGACATGCTCTTGTTCGGGTGAATGGACCATCTATACAGTCTTCATCCTTGACTCAATAGTTTTCATTCCCTGAGAATTTCTATTCATATGAGATGGTCATTGTACCAAATTTTACAAAAACTCTATTTAACTTCTACTCAGAGACATCCTTTCATTCTTAGAAAGAGATATACTTACAGACTTGGTCCCTGACTTGATGTGGGGGCGTCGCCTTGCTGAATTTTCCTGGTCCTCCATCATTAACTGCTGCCACTCTGAATTCTACAACAGTTCCCTCCTGAAGACCCATGACAGTGAACTTATTTTCCTTCACTGGGAAGTTGTTAACTGGTACCCAGTCACCTCCCCTACTTCTCTTCTCAACAACATACCCTGTATTGGAAAGTTTAACAAAATAATGTAGGGAAATTATCAAAAAAGGAAAAGAAAATTATCCAACAGATCTGTGGTACTTTTTATTTATTCTTTGTCTTGAATGCCAAAAGAATTGGTTATTATGAATATTCTTTACCAGAGATGGGATTTCCTCCATCAGAATCGGGTTTGTCCCATGTCAGATCACATGATCTCTTATCATAATTGGGAATCTGGAGATTCTTAGGAGCATCAGGAGTGTCTGGAAATAATTTCAAAAATATGTTTATTGTAGGTAAAATTTCTTTCATCTAATAATAAAGTTCTCTCACTGTAATCTGGTTTATAAATTACAGTTCATTAATATAATTACTAACCAAATGGATTCTTGGCAACAATAGGTCTGTGTGTTTCCAAAGGTTCTCCAGCTCCATAGATATTTTCAGCTTTGACACGGAATTTGTATTTTTTGCCCTCCTTCAGACCCTTGACTGGCATAGTGGTTCCTGATCCCAGTCCTGTCACCTTCTCCCAAGTTGGCGAACCTTCTTCTTGTTTCTCAACAACATAGCCTGTACACACAAAGGTTTAAAAATGCATTAAATGCATTAATTTTTTTCTCCGACTTTATAAAAGTACATACATGTATATATATGTACAAAACATAGATTATGTAAAGTTGTTCTCTAAATATTTATATTTAACTTTTTTTTACCTCATTATTTATGAACATAATTTTCAAAACCATTTTTTTAAAAAATTAAAGTAACATTTGAATTTTCTACATAATAATATACATGTATATGCTGAAATTGCAAATGTTTTTGTGAGATATGTATAAGCATAAATATATATATATATAAATGCACTAGTATAAGTGTATATTACCAGTAATTTCAGCTCCTCCATTGTCCAGAGGTGGTTTCCAGGAGAGTTTACAGGAATCGGCCATCAAGTCAAAGACCTCCAGGGGTCCCTCTGGGGCACCAGGCTTATCTGTCATCAGAAGAATATTAGTGCATTAAATGGTAATACAGTGATGTATAGTAAATGGGAAATTATTCTTATTGAGTAAAGTTCTAGAGATGATATTGAGTATGCATACCAAGGACCACTACAGGGATATCAGCGGACTGTGTGCCGTACTGGTTGGACACAGTGATGGTGTATTTGCCGGTATCCTTCCTCTCGCATTTTGGAATGTGAAGTTTAGCCTCATCTTCATTGCTGGTGCATTGGGCCTGTCGAAAACACCAAATCAATAAACTATACATCTCTGTTGTTAACAACTGCTCATCTTTAGCACAGTACTGAAGTGGACTTTTAATCTATTGCATAGTATTGTAGTGGATTCTTAATTAATTGCATAGTATTGTGGTGGACTTTTAATGTATTGCATAGATTGTGGTGGACTTTTAATCTATTGCATAGATTGTGGTGGAGTTTTAATCTATTGCATAGTACTGTGGTGGACTTTCAGATCTGATAAGATACTTACCCTGTTATCCACTGGACCTCCATTCTTATTCCAGGAACACGTTGGGGTTGGGGCACCAGAGATTCCTATTGGAATAGTCAGTGGCTCTCCAGCCTTGACTCGAATCTCTTTAGCACCAAACAAGGCATCTAGGTTAACTTTAGGAGCCTCTGTGTGACAAATTCAAAGTTACAGACTAACAATTTTCATCAGCATATCATTTTCTTCAAATTTTTGTACAAAACTAAAAATTTTAATTATTTGTAAAATCAGAGACTAACCTTTGGTAGGCTTGGCAGTGATTGGTTTACATGGTACACTAGGTTCAGAATTTCCAGCATCGTTGACGGCCAGAATTCTGTATTCATATTCCTTCCCTTCTGTCACCTTCTCGTCTTCAAACTCACAGTCCTAGTTTAATTAACAAACAATTACAATTACAATCCTTAATGATTATGTCAATGCTACATTACATAAAAATCATGCTTTTTTCATCAGTATTTAATGTATCTCATATATTGAATTACAAAAAAATAAATAAATAAAAGGGAAAATTATGCATGTAAAATTTCTATAAAAAGTAATGGAAACATTCAAAATTGCACTGGCATTAACATTCAGAATTTGATATTACGTACGGGAACAAGTCCTCTGTTGATTGGCGTCCATCTGTTGGACCTGGGTTCCTTTCTCTCCACTATGTACCCCTTGACTGGATTTCCACCATCATTCTCCGGAGGTTCCCAGGCGATGACAATGTGATCCTTGTCCTGTTCAATACATTTGGGCTGACTTGGAGGGAAGGGCTCATCTGAGAGTACAAAGGAGAAATATCATTGATAGTCAATACTTCAAAATTTTATCTTAATTGAGGACTTCTCTATTACTCTGACTTTTTTTTCTGTCTCATTTGCAGAATTACATCAGAATATATGCTTATGAAGATTTCAAAGAGTGCAGCAATGTCTGCAACCTCTATAAAGTATTAAAGCTTAATTCAAATCCAATCATAAATACAATTTACCATCTTTCTAACTTTTCTTAAATAAAACAAGCATGTTAATAACATTACCAAATGGATTTTTGGCAGTGATAGCAAAATCTGTTTCCAAGAACTCTGATTCCCCGTTCTCATTGACGGCAGACACTCTGAAGTGATAGTCATGTCCTTCGGTGAGTTTGGGGACGGTAAATGGACTTCCACTAATATTATCCTTGACTGGTTCCCATCTCCCTTTTTGTGTGTCCTTCTTTTCCACTCGGTAGCCACTGGAATTTGTTGAAACGTTTTTTATTAACTAGATAACAGAACGTTAACATGATGCATGTTTCTGATTGAAAGATATTTTTCCAGCCCCTCTCCCCCCCCCCCCCCCCCCTCCTTTTTCAAAAAATAACCATCTTTCATCTGTAGAATGCTTTTTACCTTTTCAGATTAAGTATTTTATACAACCAAACCTCATTATTTCAAACTTGATGGGACAGAGATAAAACTTATATTCAAGGGTTTGAAATATTGAGGATAATGGTCGCTGTTATAGAAAATAACTTTGACATATCCATGATGTTTGAGATGTCAAAGTTCAAAATACCAAAGTTCAACCATATTTAGTCTAGTTCCCTGATGAACGAACCTGATGGGATTGCCACCAGTGTCTGTGGGCTCCTTCCAGCTCAGGGTAGCAGTGTCCTTGGTAACATTATCCACAATCAAAGGTCCATTTGGCTTAGTAGGTGGACCTGAATAAAACAAAATGTCACAGAATATACCAAAGGTTTTACTACGTTTTATAAATCTTTATGATTTCCTCATGAATTTCCAAAAGGTTTTTCTGCAAAAATTTGAAACTTTATGTGCCAAACATTATCAGAGCAAATACCTACCAAGAACAACAACTTCAATGTTGGCGTCGTCTGAGCCATGTTTGTTGGCTACTATCACTGTGTATTCACCAGTGTCCTTTCGATCCCCTGATGTGTATTTGAGACTTGTCTTCTTTGGCGTGCTGTTGTCGATGCGTACGTTAGAATCGGGTGTTATCTCCTCCTCTTTGCCTTCCTAATTTATTCAAAACAAACAGATTTCAATGAAAACCAACTGAAACAATATGTTTGCCTTAAAACATGTCATGCAAAAAACTGTGTTAAATAATTATGTTAAAAAAATCTCTGTTAAAGAATTAGAGTATGCCGTTTAGCTTCAACATATTAAAATTTCAACATGAGCGCTTTCTTTCTTTTTTTCTTGCACATGATTTGTTTGCCATTGCAGTAAAAGTGCTGCTCAAAATTAAGCTGCTTGCCTTTAAAAGTTTTATCTTTGCTGCTGCACTAGTTTTTCAATAGCTCTGCTTAATACATGTAGCTTGTTACATGGCTGAATGTTTTATGATATGACCCATTATTTGATTCATGTGCTTATTAAATATTTTTATCATTTACTGTATACATTTTAAGGATTTGCAATGAAAAAAAGTAACCAGAGCAAGGAACTGGTTAAAAACAGTAAACAAGAGGCCCATTGGCCAAAATGCTCACCTGAGTCACTTTGACCCTGTTGTTTTTCACAGTTCACAGTTGATTTTTATTTTAATTTCCCCCTTTAATTTCATAAAAATTTTGACTTCATATTGTGGACTTAAACCTAGCCCTAAAAGAACTATGATTTAATCAAAGTTGAATCCACACAACATTGGGATGCTACAATATCAGTATGTCCAACATAGCCCTCTTGTTCTGGAGAAGGTGTTTTTTCCTATTCACATACATTAAGTAAAGTTTGAATCTCTACTTTCAGCCCAAACAAAACACCATAATTAAAAAAAAAAAATTATTCCACATAACTTAGGTATGTTTTGCTTTTTAATATGATTTAATGTAGTCTTGCCACTCTTGAACAAATTTCTTTCTATATACTCTCTTGTAAAACTCTGATTCCCATATTGTAGCCTCAACCTATTCTTGAGGGCCTTGATCTGAACAAACTTGAATATAAACCATGTGAGGATGCTTCCATATAACTATGACTATCAAGTACTTTGCTGTTCATAAGAGGAATGATTTAAAGATTTTCCTTATATATATAAAATTTTGATTGCCTAATGTAGCCCCACCCTACTCCCAGTGGGTATGATTTGTACAAACTTAATTCTACACTATGTAATGAAGCTTTCAATAACGTTTAATCTTTTCTGGCCAAGTGGTTGTTGAGAAGGAATATTTTTAAAAGATGCATTTAAATATTCACTAAGTTCTAAATTATCTCCTTTTGAAAGAAGGCATGGCTTTCATTTGAACAAACCTGAATTCCTTGCACCCAGGAATGCTAAATTTGGTTGAAATTTGCCCAGTGATTCAGGAAAAGAAAATGATTTTGTGGAAAGATTATGAGACAATGGATACGAAAGACAACGGAAAATTTTGATCAGAAAGACTCACTTGAGCCTTTGGTTCAGGTGAGCTAAAAAGGAACAGTATTTCTTGGCCAAGAAAAATGTGTAATTCATGTGATTTATTGGAGAAAATATGGGTCAAAGGTATTAAAATGTTGTCAGAAGCTTGTAGCAAATGTGCCAATGGAAACATGGTAGAATAGTTTATGTTAGGATGAAACTCAAGCTGTGTAAACTTTGATCACATTTTGAACTATTATCTTACCCTGTGACCTACAACCTGAAATAATGTTAACCAGTATATATAAGTGTACATCAGAATGTGAAATAAGATTAACCAGTATTTATGTGTACCTCAGAATGCTGTTTGGAATATGAAAAACTCTCAAGTATCGAGCAATAGGATATCGATGTTCCTTCTTCTAAGATACATGTACATTGCAAAAAATCCAATTAATCAGTTTTTTGGATGAATTTTCCTACCAAGCATCAATGTTTTAAAAAAATGTAAAAATGTATTTCAATAGCTATCATACATAGCTTGTAACTTATAACATCCTCAAAACCGAGATAATATGCGCAGTTGTTATTTCGCATGCGGCATACCTGTATACAGTAAAACTCGTTATAGCGAAGTCATGGGGACCTGTGAATTTACTTGGCTATATCTGTAATTCATTATATTCGTATAACGTATACATGTATATAACAAATTTGCAATATGCATCTTTTCCTTCAAGTATGACTACCAAATATGTTCTGGGAGGTATTAAATACAAAATTTTACTTGGGGTACTAAATATTTCTGACAAATGGAATTTAAAATCTAAATACTTAAATAAAAATAATGTCAGTTTAATATTTTGAATTTTAAGATATTGAAAATTAGTTATAAAAGATGTAATTTTTGTTATTTTTAACTTCTACTGGACAGAAAATCACTTCGCTATATCCTTAAATTTGTTATATCAGAGTTGGTTATAAACGTAATATTTTCCTAGGATTTGTTAAGAATTTCGAAGGGGATTCCAACAAATTTTGCTATATCAGTAAATTCGCTATATCTGTCTTAGCACTAAACGAGTTTTACCATATATTTCCAGGTATCATAATAGACAAGCTGTATGCTTAATATGGCTTAGTGTTTTCTACTAAAAAGTTACAAATAAATTAATAACTAATTCTACTTGGATATGCCTGTAAAAAAAATATTATAGATTAAAGAAAAAACTAACATAAAGGTATTCTATTAAACAAACTATAGATAAATATCAATACGATATAAAATATGAAATATAGAATAAAAATTGATTACTGTAGAGTGAAACAATGTAGTGCAAACCCAGGCAGAATTAAGACACTCGTAGTCCTTTAGGTACAATTAAGCACAGCTTGAAATTTTTACATAAAATGTTTAGTATACAAGGTTTGTTACTCTTGTAACTCTTTGCAGAATGCTAGATTTTAGCCCAAAAGAGCCAGTCCAAATTTGATGTGCTGAACATCACTGAGATAATTATATATCTATTCCTTAGATGATGTCTATGCAAAAAGTTTCTCTGCTTGCCTTTAATGTCATTAAAAATTCATACAGTCATCAAACGCCAGATTTCAAACCACTGAATCTTAGATGTACTAATGTTTGTGAGCACATATGTCCAGTGCTGCACTTTATAAATTAGATGGTTTAATCTGCAATCTGACTGTTTCACTAATTTGAAAAGTATACATTCATTGAAGTAATGCATTTCCACTGAAGCTGTTAAAAAAAATTTGCACTAATTGTCTCAGTTTACAGTGTACTTCAGAGAGAAAGAGGTCTCTACAAGTAATAACCGTGCAGGCCTAGATGTATAGATCTAAACACCAAATATAAACCTTAAAGTCTATTTCTGTATCTGAATCTGAGTCTATATCCTGTAAAAAAAATGTAAATGTTTCTCTGCAGATCGTATTCACAAACAGCTTAGAAAGCATTTGTTCTTCAACTTTTAAATATATTTACAGATTTTCATTGTCATTATTTATACTTTAGCCACTCAAAGCATTCATAAATCAGCATACCAGTGTCTTTCTCTTCCATGTGATAGTTGGTGTAGGTTCTCCAATGTAGCTGACATCAATATTAAATGGCTGACCTCTCTTGATTCGGATTGGTAACAATTTGTTTTTGTCCATAATTCTTGGTTTGACTGTATGGTTAAAATAAACATTTTTATTCCTGTTGACTTGGGTGTTTGTATTACTACAACATCATCAAAGCTTCTGAAATTTCATTATTCTAACTTTATCTTCTTGATCACAATATATAACAGAACAGAGATATCCATTTAAAGAGTGACATACAGCAATGTGTAAGGTATACTAGTACCTCTGCGAGCCTTTGTGACAACAGGAGGTGACACTGTACTGGGCTGTGATAGGCCAGCACGATTTTTGGCCAGGACACGGAACTCATATTCCTTTCCTTCTGTCAGTCCCTCTACAGTCCCTGTAGTATCATTGCCATCCACTTCTACGCCCTGATGATACAACGAAATTCATTACATGCTGCCTACACTAATATCATACTGACAATAGTTCAATCAATGATCAATAATACTATCATTAATAAAATTCATAAACAACAAAATATATTCTATTTTTCAATAATTACTGTACTTTCACAGCTCTTAAGGCATTAAAATAAAGAAAATTTCGATTCAATGGCTAGCAAATCATTTTGTCAATCACTCCAAAGAAGGATACTCAGCTTGTGAACAAGTACAGAGTATCTTACCCACCTTTTCCCATTTATCAGATCCTTTCTCTTTCTTCTCAATGATGTACTTTTCAATAGGAGCCCCTCCGTCATTGCGTGGGGGTTTCCAGGAGATCTCTACATAATCCTTATCATAGTCAATAATCTCTGGTTTCTCCGGGGGATCAGATGGATCTAAACAAAAATTTTATCACAATTAATAATTTCATCGCATCTTTCAATCTGATCATTCCTTAAACCTATTGAGATTAACCAATCAGAACCTGGTATCTCAGAGTAATGTGAAGAAAAAATCCTATATGAATATTATATTAAAAAGTTTAACTCTCAAAAAATTTAAAGATAACAGTCGAACTTTGCTCCATTTAGACCCAGAGTCTACTATATAAGTAAAGAAGTAAAAAGTTTACCCCAAGGATCCTTGGCAATGATTTCACCATCAGCCACAAGAGGGTCACTAATTCCTTGAGCATTAACTGCCTTAACTTGGAACTGGTAGCGATGACCTTCCTTGAGTCCAGTGACATCAATCTCTAAGTCCTCTGTGGTGCACACATCCTCCCAAGTATCCTTGGCGGCATCTTTCTTCTCCACTGCGTAATGCTTGATGGGGCTGCCACCATCATCCTTGGGTCTGTCCCACAGCAGTGAACATCGGTCACAATACACATCCACAACATCCAAGGGACCCTCAGGTTTACCAGGACGATCTAAAAGAAGAGGATAACAAAGTGTTATAAATTTTTCATTCTTTTGAGCATGCATTTGTGTTAATTTATTTTCTTACAGTGATAAAATCCTGTCCAATTTATATGATTGTATCACAAAAAAAGTTCATAGTTAGTACTATGACTAATTTTTTAACTTCTTTTAATAAGATGTCTGCAGACTTAGCATCTTTTCACTTCCAAATTACACAGTCAATCCAACCATAACTCACCTTTCTCCAGCCAAAATAGACTTCGCAAAAAAAATTTAAAATACATGGAGTGCTACATAAAAAAAAATTCTATTTTTAGAATCTTACCCAGAACTCTAACGGGAACAGGAATGATTTCAGATCCCACTTCATTGGTGAGTGTCAGCTCGTACTCCCCAGTGTCACTTCTCTGAGCATCAGGAATCCTGAGTTTAGCTGATCTGTCTGTTGTTTGTATGTCAGTATCAGCTTCACTGAGGCCTGTACCATCCTTCTTCCACTGAGCAACAGGTTTAGGTGTACCTAAAGAACAAACATTTACATTTTACACATTACAAAGCACCAGTGTCAGGCATACTCACACCGCTATGAAGGACAGTGGTGTTATTCTAGGATACACTAAACTGAAAGCTTCTATTAACTTTTCAAAAATCGTTCTTTCTCTCAATTTTCATTATCTATGAATAAATTGGTATTAATTCTTCTCAAAAATGAATGTATAATACAACTGTAAAATGCTTAAAAGCAAATTTCTTGGCTCAATTAACACAATAAAGCTCTTGTACACACCAACATATGGAATTTCCAATTCAATGCACTCTCCTTTTTTGACAACAATTTCTTCTGGGATGTATTTGGGATCCACTTTTGGTGGTTTTGGCACTGTAACAGATAAATACATAAACTATTAACAGATAAATTCTGCTTTCAATGTGTACTATGATATTCCTATACTAGTACAGTGTCTCTCTTTCATGTTGTACATGTATTTTAGAGGTAATCATGTTTTGGTGCCTTTTATGCTAGTTCATGTCCTCTTATTCATGTACACACTAATATATGATTTAAACCAACACTGGTAGTTTTTAAGACTTAAATGTACTAATTTATGATTGTGCTGATCAGTTGAAGAGAAACATCACACTAAATTTTGAGTCTGCTAATTTATGTACGCTTCCAGTACTTAAATAATTATCCTAGTACTAATTTTACTTCAATACTAAATTCTACACTCAAAATAGAAAGGAAGCTGTCATAAATCTGGATTAAAATCACTTCAGTATCCATGATTAAAATTCTCTTTGAACTATCCATTACATTTCTTTTAACTTACATTCTTCAACAACAACATCAGCCTTGGTTGGTCTCTCTCCAACTTGACATGTGTACTGGCCAGCATCATCGCGATTCAGATTTGTGATGACAAGTTTATGCATCTCACCCTTCCTGGTTACCTCTATTCTCCTGCAAAACATAAAGGCAAAAACTAGATAAAAAATTATTTAAAGAAGTGCTCTTGACGGTTAATTTTTGAAAACCTCCCTTCCATAGGAAATTTTATTATGGGTGCAATTTTCATCTCATGATAATATATTGAAAATTCTAACATTCCAACACTGAAAATAATAAAAATTACATGTATGAACAGTTTTCTTTTCTCAAAACGATCTTTAAATTTTAGATTTATCAGGACTTACGAATCATCCTTGTTTATGGGGAAGCCATCTTTCAGCCATTTGACAGGCTGGTTGTGTGGATTAGAAGCTTTACACTCTAACACTAATGTTCCTGTTTCCCTCTCTTTCTTGTTTTCCAGCTTCTTGAAGAATTTGATGTCAGCTGAAACAGTCATAACATATCTAAGTACCGGTACTAATTTAACTACGTAAGTTGAATCAATCTTCTATGTTGAGAGATGTCAAATCATGCTACCAGCTAACAAGAAATCAACCTACGTTCCACAAAGAGGTTGGCAGTGGTTGATTTATCCAAGACTTTACAGGTGTATTCTCCATCATCCTTCATGTGACAATTCTTGACCACGAGTCGACGTTTGAAGTTGTCTTTCTGGATCTCATATTTTCCACCTCCACTCAGCTCCTGTTCAACACAAATACATCCTTTAGTTATAGATAGTACAGCAATGTTGCAAACTTAAGCAAACAAATGGACAAGATTCCCCTTATGTATGATTTTTAGGCATGTAAATAATTATAACAGTATTTTGAAGTGAATTCTTTGTTTTAAAAGGGTGTACTTTATGCACAACTAACCTTGTTTCCTTTCCACCATGTGACCTCAGCCTCAGGGTCGTTGACGTCACACTCAAACACGGCCTTATCACGTTCCACTCCCTCTACATCCTCTAACAGCTTCATAAAGTCCCACTCAGGTTCTGTCAGGGACACACAAGTATGAAGTACACATTGATTTCACATTTTGTTTTTGTATAGTATTTGTTTTATTTATGAGGATTTCAAAATTGAAGCAATTTCAACATCAGGACTGCAATTTTTTGTTTGCCAAAAAATTGTTTTAAGCTTCATTTCTCTATGATTTATTCCAATTTTCTAAATTTTGCAATCACTATTACAACATTTTCCAATGAATACATTCATTTGGAATAAATTGTTAACACAGTATCAGATCTCTCAAAATTTATAAACACACCATGAAAAAAGTCTAAATTAGGTTTCTAACATTCTGTACTGACCTTCGACCTTGAGTTTACAGGCAGTGGTGGCGGCACCACACTCGCACATGAACTCGGCCTCATCCTCGGGCTGTGCGTCTTTGACCCTCAGGATACAGCGGTTCTCTCTTCTTTGGATCTCCAATTTTCCAGGTGTGTACTGTAGCCAAGGAAATAAAAGTGATGTGTAGTTATTGCTTATTATGTTTTCTGAGTTGTTGATTAAAAAAATAATGAAGGAAAAAATGTCTGTCAGTTTTCAATGAAAATGACTTGCTGCATGTAACTTGAGGGTTTTGTGCACTCAGGGTAATGCTTGATGCTTCGTCAAAATTTACTGAGAAATATCAACATCATTTTAATAAAAATTACCAGTATACATGATTATAAGAAATTACAGAATAAGAAACACTAAGTATGATAAGTGACTTCTGTAGACTTTTATAAATTGTATCATATACATTATCTATATCACTGACAGTTAAAAGAATACACAAAATTCAATTTAAAAGGCAACAACACAGGTTTAAACATTTAAAAAAAAAACTTTCAAATATGAAAATTGATATCTTTCTTACTTGACCTTAAATTTCTTTATGCATGAACAGATAAAAACATTTGATGGATAAGGGGAATGATTATAAATAAAAGCTTTGTCATTATGAACTGAAATACAACTGAATGCTTTAAATCTTCAGCATACACGAACACAAACTATAAATTTAATACAGTGGAAGTGGTGGTGATATTGATATCTAAAGGTAACACATTTTAACATTAATCATGTTAATCTAGTACCCTTACATTAAGAAGCAACTGTTTAAAATATGGGCCAGGTTAGATAAATGCTTTTTTACAGAATTCAATGGCTCTGCATAATACTGCTATCAAAATCATTTTAACCTGTCAATAAAACTCTTCAAACAATGGTAGATTACTACTTAATAGTCTGAAATTAAAATGTTTGGTAAAACTGACAAGGAAAAGTTTTCAGCTATTACATGAAAAGCAGATTAATGGCCATAAACATGTGGCAGTTTGATAAACACATGAGTATAATTAAATAAATATTTCATATAAGAATTATTTTCTGATCTACAGATGTGTATGATGACACATGCATAAGTTGTGTATTCTGGTGAAGAATAATGGACCAGTTTTATGAGAAGCCTGTGATACAGAGTGATATTATTTTACCTACTTTACCACCAAAGGTAACAAATTCTCTATGATCAAATTAAATATTTCAAACACCTAGAAAATTAGTTTAAATACATTGTAATGTTCATCTTTAGAAATATAAAATAAAATTGTCTCTCAGAAAAACAAATACATCTTTTTTTAAAATATTCCCTGGCCCTGTAAAACAAATAATAAATTCAAAGTTTTTTTTTTCCCTCTACATGAAGGGATCGTCTATACTGATACAACCCCAGGGACTGAGCGGTTTTACCAGGGACCCTGACGACGACCGGAGTGAATCCTCTTTCTCCAGTGATTCATCAGAAACCTACAAGAATGAACTCATCTACCCTGTCCTTAACTCCAAAGGTCCAACAGCCCAGACAACTGCAGTCTGGAGTTACCTCAAACCTGACAGCATCGCAATCTTCCCTCCAGGAGAATCAAACCTCATGTCACGGATAGTGAAATATTCACAAAATAATCTCGGCTATGAAAGACACCAACACAAACTGATGATGCTGACCCCCGGGCAGTTATCTCCCTTAGATCTTAAAAGTGTATACAGTGTCAGACCAGGATCAGTTGTCATGATTTTTCCACGGAGTCGTGATCATGTGACCATCGATATTGCTCAATTGGATGTAAATTTCACACTGTCTGTTGATCCTTCTATGACGGTGTACAGTCTCAAAAAGCACATCAGGAAGATGCGAGGGATTCCAATTGATAGACAGGAACTGCTTTATATGGATCAAGCCTTAGAGAACAATCGCCGTCTGCTGGAATACAAGGTCAAGAACAGGTCCATCCTGTATGTAATGATTCAAGCTCATTTTGATTTGTTGATTAATGTGGATACATTTTGGGGGATCACCTACAGATTTTATGTGGATCCCTGCAGCACTGGCACTGACGTTGTCCACAATGTGTTCAGTCGTACATTTAGTCCCTCAGGTCCCAGGGAATATAATGGTGTTCATGAATTCTTTATCCCACTACACACTTTAGTTCTGAGTCACAAATCCAGATTTGTTCTTTGGGATTACTGCCTAGCTGGAATGGCCATCAAATCAGGTGACAGACTTTCACTTACTACTGTTGGCCATCAAAACCACATGAAATCACAAGCCATTTCAGTAGTTACAGACAATGGACAAAGATATGAAGTCAAGGCTTCTAGATATGACCGATGGTCAGTGGTAGCATTTCTGATGCATGGATTAACAAATGTTCCTGTGGATTTCATTAAACTTTACAAAGATAAAGAACTGCTGAATTTTATGAGAATGATTGGTGAAGTCCCTAAAGGTACTGCAATTGTCATGAATGTTGTCATGACACATGTAGATGGGGACCTCATGTTTGGGGTACCTTTGAGGGTGAGTCTAGGGAATGGAATAATAGAAAACGTAAAAATTTCTGCAAATAAGACTGTTAGGAGCATCAAAAAGAAGCTAGAACATTTTGGGGTCCCAAATGCCTCGCAGTATCAACTTCTCATTGGAAATAAAAAACTTCCAAACAGCAATATTATTCAGAATGTTGTGTACGATCTTAAAACACCCCTCGCGTTAAAACTTGAGGAGTTTGCCGTGTTTGTCCATACACCTGATGGAGTCATTTACAAAACTTATGCATCAGTGATGCAAAGTATTGGTCAGTTTAAAGAAAAGATTCAGACAAAATCTGGTTTTGATATGCGTCAAAGTCGTCTTTTAATAGCTGGAGAAGAACTTCATGAATATGACTCCGCCATCTTATATGATGCAGGAGTTAGCGTAAGAACATCTATATTTGTCAAAACAGGAAGTGAATATGAGGTATTTCATGTCCTTGGAAGTTCATTTGTCACTAAGGTCATTCTTCCAATCAAACCTTTGACCTCTGACATTGAGAAAGCTCTGAAAAACAGGAGAGACATTCCAGAGGGCAGTGTAAATTGCATGTTGACATTCATGTACTGGTTCTTTGTTCATAGATTGATTAAAACGAACAAGATAACTCACAGGAAACGTATCAAGAAACGTTTGCCAAAAGCTAAGGAAATGTTGTTCATATTCAAATCTGGACGTAACCTTCAGGATGTTTACCAACGTGGCAGCCTCAGAGCTGAAGCTCTATCCCCCGCCTTCTTTCCTGGTGGCATGGGCAGTGAAAAAGTTTACCCAAAACTTCAGCACCATATCAAGTTCCAAGCCAATCCGTCATTTGAACCTAGCCAGTTTTTAGATGTTGCAGGTGATATTGTAATACAAGGACAAAATCTGAACTCCAGTGTGGTTCCCTTTCCAGACATTCACCACATTCCCACCACTATAGATCCACCACATAGGGCTAGGACCCAGACCTTCTTAAAGGGTCCAGATCGATTTAATCACAACAGGAAACAGTTTATTTACATTGGGTCAGATGATGAAGTTGGGCGGGAAACCCCTGCTCAACCTTGACAGATCAAGATTGAAAAACACTGTTTGTTTTTTTTAATACAGGTACAGAGCTATAATATATCATAGATCATATAATAAAAACAGTTGAAAAAAACATCTTTGAAAGAAAATGCATGTTTCTTGTAAACAGAATTACAAAAATAAGACAAAATATTAATTCACTGTGGAATATTTGGTGTGGCTGAGAGATTTCAATGAGGATCTGATAACAGACGTACAATTATATTACCGTAAATCTTAAGGAACTTGACTACAACAATTTAGGGAGGGGTAACCTGCACCTGTGCAGTAAATAAACAAAAATAAGTAGAACAGAAGTGGGAGATAAACTGTTAGCTGATACAAGAACATGTACTTAAACAGTGCTGGGTATGAAGGCTTAATTATACATTTATATGTCTATGTGAACTGTAAAAGAAGTCATAAGGTTCTTATATTAAAGTGCTTGAAATATTTTGAATTGTATTAAAAGGAAATGGTATAAGAAGGCAACCTACCCATCTGATGCTTGGAAAAACATTTCACTAAATATCAAATATTCAAGATAAAATGAGAAAAGATTCACCAAGCATCAAGATGTGAATAGATTGGTGCAAAAGAGGCACGTTTGTAACTTACAAAGAGATTGTTATTTTTAGAGTTTTGTGCAGTGTCTATTAATGAGAAAGCTCTTAGTTTACTTTGAGAGGGAGTGCATTTTGTGACTTTTCTTACCTTATCAGGATTTTCTTTAATTATTTTTCTCTACATTTATACAATGAAAGTACATGAAGACTCTGTACAAATCTTCCAAAAAACGCTTTATCTGATATCATAATTTTACAAACTGTTCATTAACTCTAAATCAGTTCTTAAGAAATATCTAGTCAATCCTACACTCTTTTTACCTGATGTCCAAAGAAGCTTTCAGAAAATAATAAATATAGATAATAAGATACAAAGTCAAATATATATCTAACCATATAAAAAGATTCAGGTGCCAGTGTACTATTTTTAGAATTATACTTACATCAATATGTTCTCCATTACGGTACCATTTGACCTTTGCCCTTGGGTCAGAGATGAAGCATTCTAGGACAGCTTCTTTTCTTCTGGTGACAGAGTATTTCTCAGGTAATTTCTGGGTGAAAAAGTACTCAGGTTCCTTGGCTGCAACAATATGTAAAATGGAATCAAAACACTAGCCAGAAAGAAAATATCCCAGAAAATTCTGCTGTTAGCATTAATTGTTGCAACTAAAACACACCATGTATATTCCACTGTTAGGTGGATATTCATTTAATAATATAATTGAACACTTACTTTTCCAGAAAAATTTTAAATCAATTTCTTAACTTTAAAGAAAACTCATTTAAATGCAACAATTCAAAACTATAGGCAGAAAAATCTCAAGATATTATTTGAGGAGATTTTTCAGAGTTTATTTATTCCTCATATTTGCCTAAATAATGAGACTATTTCTAGTATTCACAAGCAAGTTTTTCTAAAAACGCTGCTAAGGACTGCCCTGTTTATACTAGCGCAGCTAAAGAAATCAATGCATCTCATTAAAAAGATGTATTCTCTAAAGCAATTCATGCACATAAATATGTATCATGCAGTAGATACATAATATAATAATTATGCAAAACCAACCAGAGAGGAAAAAAAGAGTATAGAAGAAATAGAAGTTCTGGTTGAATTTACCTGAAATTGTAGTGAAGAGTGACTATAACGGGAGGCCAGGGAAGGGGCTGGGAATTTGGGGCGCGGGGGGCACTGGAGCAGTATCAAGCGCTGCTTTCATATTGTGCAAATATCGCTGGACATAATTTTCCATACATTTCCCAGGGATTAAATTCACATACATGATTATCTCCCTTAACTTTGATTACCTACCTTCTACATACAACCAAGCGGATGTTTTGACACCATTACATTCCAATGTGTACTTTCCTCCATCTTCCAGTTTGACATTATTAAGTATAAGTTTATAGATGTTGCCCTCGTTTTTGAAGTGATATTTGTGACCACTGAAAATTTCCAGTTTGTTTTTGAACCATTTGATTTTGGCATTGGGTTTACAGAATTCACACTGGAATACACATTCCTTCGTGCCTTCCTTGATTTTCATGTCCTGCAGATCTTGTATAAACTTGTCTGGTTCCTAAATAATAACAAACATATATTACCATTCAAGAACTTTACGTTTTCATAAGGTTTTCTTTTTCATACAGAACATTCAATTATCTCTCTTTTATTTTTAAGTAAAAGAATAATTTAAAATCATAAAAATAACAACTTCTATACTTTGCTTTCTCTTTAAATAGATTGAATCTGTAGACAAAATGTCTTCTAATATTTATAAATAACTGAAGAAGAAAGATAAAAGATTTTTTTTCATTGTTATAGGCCATCATTAAAAAAAATTATTGTATTCCGACCTGCATTTTTCAAGTTGGGTAGGTAGGTAGGGCTTTTTTTTTTTAATATCTAACACATTGATAAACATAAAAAAATCTAAGTCTTAAAAAAAAATTTACTGATGTTTTCATTATACACCTGACAACTAGACAGATTTATTGCTTCTTTCAATCTTAAAAGCATCTTAGACAGATGATAAACCAAATTTTAAAAATGATAGAGGCAATCTGTATTTTTGCAGACCCCCCCCCCCCCCCCCAAAAAAAAAGAAATTAAAGTTCTTAAAAAAAGATCAGGTAGAGGTAATTTTTACAGGTCCACTGGAATAAATCACACAGATCTTTTCTTTTTATTGTTGGCCTTAAGATTTAGTCCACACTTTCACTAAAGCTAAGAAACCTGCAAACCATGCTTCTATCCTAAAGAAAACATCTCAGTTTACAGTACCTTGTAAAGTGGCTGAAATTCTAAGTCTTTCGAAGCAAGTGCAGAGTATCATTTAACCGTTGATTAAAATAAATCAGTTTTCTACCAAAGAAGTTTTCAAGACTAAAAAAATCTTCAAAAGAGAGTTTGTGCAGAGAAAAAAAGCATGTGTTTCATTTTTTTCAAGCAAGTGTATGATCTTGAAAAAAGTAGTATTGGAATAGGAACTTGCTGAAAATAAACATTGAAATAAAAGAAGGTTGAAGGAAATATAACTTTAAAAACTGGTGTTTTGCTCAGGCATAAGTGAAGGATAGAGAAGTCTTAAAAAAGTTAAGAAAGCATTATAAGCTAAAGGTTACATATTTTGTTAAGGATATAGCGCACATGTCTGATACCTCTTTTTTGACCTCCCTATGCTGAAGAGTTGGCCAGTCAGGAATGAGCTCTACCAAAGAGGCTCTGCGCTGATTCATTGAGGATCTACGTTTTTGGTCTATAGCCTCCAGTTTGTCAGCTGATGGTTTTTTAATTGGAATATCGAGTGTTTCAACCGACTGTCTCCTACTTCCTTTATCCTAATGAAAACACACACACAGACAAACTTAACACACTCCTATAACTACAGCTAAGGGGAGAAGCATTTACTCTAATGGTACGTACATCCTCACGTCTGGTCTTTAGACAGCATTTTTTCAACCATTTTAAAGGAAATGGCATATTACTTAGCTTATTTATACAGTCTAAAAACCAGAAACCAGAAGATCTACCTATAACATGAAAGCATATCATACGTGTATTACTAACTAATATGACACTTATTTTTTCAACTGATGAAGCAACATTGTAGACTACACTACCAGCATTGATTGGTAAGCAGAAGCAAAAATAAAACGTTCACTCCCTAACATCTAATCAGTCTTGCCAAATTGTTTTGACTTTCACTGCAAAAATCCTCTAAAAGGCAGTCTCGTGTAGTAGAAACAATAGAGAATTATTGTGATCTCAACTTCTCTACCACACCCACACGAGGGCACTGGATGCAGTCACACAAGACCTGCCTTATCAACAGTTTTTCTGTGTTTTAAAACAACATGAAAAGGGTCTCCTTGTGAATCTGTTGAGGCATTGGACCAGCGGCGTTGTGACATATCTTTGCGTGAGGAGGGGTAATACGGCTGATCATCCGAGATCAGGGAACCTCTTCTGGAAGGCCCTCTACTGGGGCACTGATAATTCAATTAACAAATAATTAACTATTCTACATTAATAACAATAAAACCAGCAATATGACTTCCTAAGAAACAATTCAGCATTCTGCAAGTCTGTCCTGGGGCTGTTGATAAATATGGGGTATGATGTGATATTCAAACTGTTAATAATGTAACTTTTGGCAAAACAATGTCATATAATTAGTTCTATGGTGCAATGGCAAGATGATTTTTACATGTATGTTCAATATGAACTTGTTAAACAACTGAATGTAAAAATTAAAGGTTGCTTCTAAAAACAACAAAATAATTTTGATAGAAATTTGTGCAGCCTCTGTAACATTGTGGCCAATGGATAAGTTGTTACTCTCTAGGGTGCAGCTTCAAGTGTTCAAAGTGAAGTGGAAGCATCTAGGAATAATCTCAAGATTAAAAAGGATTAATGAATTTGTTAAAGGGACTTTAAATATACCTCGTCTTCCTCATAAATAACAGCATTGCCACTAGATGAACGCAACTGTAACAGAATAATTTATGTACAAACTAATGCTTTTTTTTTTTGCAAGTCTATGAAAAAGATTTTAATTGCTCATTAAAAGGTTCAATTTAAAATAGTCTCTGAAAAATTGTTGGTCCTTGATCTGTGTTGCTGGGGTTTACCTTAAATCATTACTACAACATTACTATATCTGCCTGAAGCTCAATTCATATTGCTTAACAGTACTGGTATTTGAAAAATCAAATACTGTACTTCAAAGACTTCCTCTACTGTACCGTCATGAACCTGATTCTAGAAAATAGCTTCTTGAAAACTCCATGTTCTACAAGCTACATGTAACATGACAGAGAAATTCACCTTTTCATCTTCACTGTCACTTCCTGGCACCTTCTTCAGCTGTTTTTTCATCATTTCTATCTCTGATGGGCGTCGCCCTTTCTTATCCACTGTAAAATATCATTTCAACCAAATTATAACCACAAAGACACTAAAACTACTACTTCTTTTCCTTAAAATACTCTTGAAATGCTGCTAAATGTTTTAAAAATGATTTTGTAAAGGGAAAATTGCACAGACAACATAGGAATTTTACCATATTACATGTGTGGATAGGGGGAAAGTGTGAACAAACACCACAGTGGATGTGCAGATTTCATTTAACTTTACATACTATTTATAGAAATTACGTGTCTGAAATTTAACATGAGTTCCAAGGTATAACATGTCTAACTAAGTACAAAAATATGCAGGGTAGATAGAAATAAATACATGTACACTAATGTCTATGGAACATATCTGACAACTTGTGATGAAATCTTAAGTGCTAGCACGAAGATAATCACAAGAATTTCTACCTTTTTTACAGAATAAAGTTGTCAAAAATGTTTGGTTGAAACTATACAACTACCATAATCTAGGACTTTGTAAGCTTATCTAAAATAAGTGAAATTAAGAATACAGTCACTGCAAACCTAATAAAATGAACACAATTAACATAGAGAAAAGGATTCCCAAGACTAGAATTTTCAACAATTTACAAACTTTTTGCTCAATTAAGTTTTGCAAAAAAATTTTCTACTCTACATAATAAACACCTATATTACCCGCTGGAAAATAAAATGAACTACCTGGTATACATCAACACACTGATTTAGCAAGGAGCTTGAATTTTCTAAGTACATATTATATCAAATAGTTTGAAGCATTCATATAATAATCTACTGAGCAATTTTCTTTGTCATTCAATTTGTTCTTGAAATCCATAACAGACATAAACACAAAGCCTATGTCACATAAGCATTGTACTCGAGACATATATAGATTAATACTGATACATATTGATACTAAAATATTATAATTATCAATATATGTATATTTTCAGTAAAATTTATGCACAAGAAAAATAAGTTATATTTCATTTCCTATAGATTGTCACCTTACCAATGGAAAAAATTGTGTTTCTTGTATAAGATTTATGATTTACAACATCTGAAATTATAAAATACGGAGTCTGCTTGTTCAATGTTACCTAGAAATTCAAGCTCATTATTCTGTATATAAATCCCTGATTGTCTTTCTACCTGGCTTTACTTGAAACCACACAATCAAACCCACACATTAACAAAAAGAAAATTTCTATCTCCAAAACAACCATCCTGATACAAACCCGTGGTTTGGGGTTTTGACTGAAGAGAAGGGTTTTGTTGATTACTGCCTAGATAATTACAAAATAAAATTAGAATACTGCTCCTTACAATATTGATTTATTTAATGAAAAGCCAAGGCTGTGTGTCATTAAGAAAATCTCAAGTAATTTTTTTTTTCATTTCTTTAGAAAAGTTGACTTTTAAAAATGTAAAATATGAAATTATTTTATACTGATTTACAAATCTCGATCAATTCAATTTTTAATAGGTGAAAATGGCCTATCAAAGTTTTCGCTATATATGCTGTCAAGATTCAATACTTTAAATCAGATCATTCTATATGTACTTTTGTCCTAAATGACTAATGGTATCTACACCACTCACTCCTAACTAAAATCTTAAGAATAATTAAAGAAAAACCAAATTCAGCGGTGCCAACTACCAAATGTCCCAGTAAAAAACACATCAAAAGACTATGCCTATAATATTTTATATTTTTTTTTATGAAATCAACGTATATTCAATCAAATTTTTGCAACATCAAACTACATATCCTGAGTAAATATATAAACATTTAATATTTGTTTAATAAAAAGGAAAAAAGAAGAAGAAAAACTTTACAAAGAGTATAAAGATAGATATATTTGGCCTGGCCAAGAGATTAACAGCACAAAAGCTAATGGATTAAAAAGACAGAAAGATAGAAGAACTAGGGTACAACAAATTCATGACAGCAATAGCCTGACAAGATGGGCACTTATTTCAATGAAAAGGATGTTCTTTGAAATCTGCATTAAAAAAAATTATGGTATTTTTTTGGTTGAGAATTTGGAGTACCCTGTCCAGAGAAGTCGCATAAGAACAACAGCGCACAAAGAATGCTACATGTGAATATGCTTAGTCTACTATGCTATGCACCCATTATATTGTATATAAATACTAAAGGCTAGCGCACAAAATATTGATTTGCAGTTTGTTACAGCGCAATGCAAAAATGAACAGCACTTATTTTCCGCATAAAGACATACTCGGCCCATCTGAAATTAAAATTAATTATATGACATATGGCAACCAAAGTACGGCAGAAATATTGCTTTAGCATTGGAATTGGCAAGTACTTACAGCATGATAAGCACAGATGGTATTATTAAATTATTTTTTTTTAAAACAAGATGATTCATTTTAAATTGGTCTTAATCACAACAAAAACAGCTTTCATAAAACTGCTTGGCTTGAAAATTTTAAAGAAACACATTTTTAGTTGTAAGCCAGCTGTAATGTTTATTCAGCTTCAGTGCAATAAAGACTTTTTGTCTCGCAATAAAAATAAGCTGTGAATTTTCTTCTAGATATTATATATCTAACACATGTAACAAAAAATACAAAATGTTTGTACCTGGTTTAAGTGATCCCCAGTCAATGTCTTCCTCTTCCTTTTCATTTTTCTTGTGATCTCTGTGGAATAATTTAAAGCAGATTTAGTTTCTCACATCAAAAAAATTTTAGGAAGCTGTAATTAAAACATTTAAGATATTTTTAATCCACTGACTTCATTCAGTTTTGGCTAGAATGGATTGGAAACTTTTTTTTTCATCATGTTAAATCTTACAGAGTAATGATTATTTCAGATAAAAGATACTTCTAACAAGTAAATGATCATATATTAAACCTGTGTTTCAATAAATTTCTGTAATCCAGCTGGGAGTCTTTGGGATCTGAAATTACAAGGAAAAAGTATTGTAAGGTAGGTTTCAAAATATACCAGGATATCATTGACTCTGATCAAAGTGATAATCAGAAAGCAGAAAAATACAGACTTTACATGTACATGAATTACAAGCCAGCTGATAAGAACAATAGAATAAAACACCTTTACCTTTGACAAACACGCTCCAAGTTGCCTCATCAACTGGAACTCCATCCTGTTCCAAAATAGCCGTATACTTGGCCTCGTCTGTGAATCGTGATCGTCTGATTTGGATGGAACTCTTGTCTCCCTTGGTGACGATCTTGGTACGACTGTCGTTCTTTAGTTCTCGGCCTCCTCGAAGATAGCGGACTTCGGGAGCAGGGGCATCAGGCAGAACTTCAATGTCCAACTTACACGAAATGTCATTTCCTGCATATCAATTAATAATTTAGATAATTAATTTACACTTCTTTCATATTGAAGTGTACTTGTATTTGGGAAAATGGTTGAAATAGAAATCTTAAAGTACATTTACCATGAAAGGGTCACAAGGTAAGGTATATATTAAATTGAAAATGCTACTTGTTTCTTATTTCTTACATAATACTTCAACTTTTTTTCTCTTTTGCACAGTATACTAAAATCTCTTTTGCACAGTATACTAAAATCTTTGATCCACCTACCTTCTTCCACACTCTGATTGGAGGGCTTCCCTTTGAATTTGTGAGTTGGTCCTTCAATCTTTTTAGGAGGTTCTGCACCTTGTTTCTTTTTTACCACAATTCTCTTGGGTCCTTGTGTTTCATATTCCCCATTCTGTAAAAAAAAATATCAATTTCATTCCATGATAAGTTTTAGAATAGGTTAAAAAATTCTCTATTCAGCACTTTTAAACACATAAAGCCATACATTTCAATAGAAATTTATTGTAAATATAGAGCATAATAAATATTTCATAAACTTGTTCTTTTGTAAATCTGAAGGAAACTGTGATGCCATCTTTCAAATAGCATACAGCAACTCTTGCAGTTCTAAACTTTTGCTGTTTACATGTGGCCGATATTGAATGACTGATAATAATGTGTGACATAGCTGTGACATTGCAGTATAACAATTCTTATGTTGAACTGATAGATCAGTCAACATTGAAATTGTTAGACCGATGTGAAAAACATTTAGATTATTGGAGTTTTTATTGGTCATAAAAATTCAATGTTCGATAAATAGATAGAATTGAACTTGCCTTTTCAGGTGTTCCTTCTACAAAGAAAACAAGAGAAAAAAACTTAAAACTTTGTATTGTCAAAGACAAATATCAAATACAAATGTTAATATATATATTAGAGGAAATGTACAAAAAATTGTGGGGGGTAAAAAGAACAGAAACAAAATACAATATAAAATAAAAATTTATTAATTTGTATCGATGTGGGACAGGTTTTATAAAGTAATATATCATGCAACAACATTTATAAATGCAGGTAGGGATACTTTACAAACTACAGGAATTTTACTATATCAGCAATTATCAAAAACACAACACCTATACCTAAAATAAATTGTAAAATAAAAAAATGGATACTTACCTTGCCTCGGCCATCTTTTATAGTATGGTTTTTAGTGAGATACTTAAGACTTTGTTTTAACAGAACTAAATTCATATTGCATTCCTTTTCTCATGAAATAAAACTGAAGCATGATTGAGTACCAAGCGATCCACAACAGAATGATTAAATTCCACGGAAGCTGCACAACATTGAGTCGTAATTTTTGTTTTCCTCTACACCTACCGTCATTTGTGATGATGAGCGGAATATCGGGTTTATCATCATCCGCTTCGTATCCATCTTCCTCCGAGTCCACTATGCCATGGACCTCGTCTTAGGAACCAAAATTCTATGTCAGCTAATTTTTTTTTTACATCACATCATGTATATAAAAAACTGCTGTTATATCAACATTAAACAAATGACATTGAAATAACTTACTTTTAGTGTGCACGTGTGATTAATAGAAAGACATTTATGTTGTATATAATTTTTTAAATTGTTTGTGACATAAATTTATGGAGATTACTGTGCAAAGATATGTTTAGATATATGATAATATTGCAGATCAAAATATAAATGCTTTCACTACTGTGTGGGTTCCATTTTTTATACATTAACTATAAAATATATAATAACTTCTGTATACTTGAAAAAAAAAAAAGAAAAGAAAAAAAAGACCTGGACTGATTTCAAATTTATGAAAATTAATTCTAGCAGACACTTTTAAAAATAAATAATTGTGATATGTTACACATTCTTCCAACTACATGAAATTAGTAAACTATAAATAATTCTATAAATACATTCAAGAATGTATGCTGTGTACAAAAGAAAGAAAATATATACAAAAGAAGCTTAAATGTTTAAGTTAGAAATGAACACAAGTTACACCTTGCTTTATTTTCTGCTTTTGGCAGTACTGCAGTGCTGAAACACATCTATAGTAATGTGCAAGAGTTATTTCCCTTAGTACAGACTACATTGATACATGTACTAGACAGTATTTAAGTAAGAGTGACATTCATTTTTCAGTATTGATATAACAAGCAGTGTATACATGAGTGTTACATTTATTTACAGTTTATACACATTTCATGCTAGTCAACAGGGTGAATATGACAGATTTTGCTATCAGTCTTTGCTTTGTTAGTATATAAATGTAGTGTCTATGATGAAGTACCATGGCAATTGACATGGCTGGCATTCTGAAAAACTCCATTTCTGTGAAAAAATATTCATGTTCTGTAATTTCTCATTCATTTCTTGATTGAGGAAAGAAATGAAAAAAAGAAAAAGTACATTTCTTTTTGTGAATATTTCAGTGTCCACCACATGTCTTATACAATGTAAACAAGACACAGCACAGAGAGACAGTGTACATCATAGTGAACAACATCAATTAAAAAAAAAATCTTGTCACCCTGTTGACTTTAAGCTATTTTGAGACTTACCCTCTTCCAATATGGTGGTAGGTTTCTTCTGGTATGGTTTTATTTGCCTTGGTGAATTCTTATTGGCTGTTGACAAATGACATCATTTACATGGAAAATAATTGACATGACTGTACATAGAATGATGGACCACAACATGAAGGGGGCAGGGACACCTTACCCACAACAAGCCTACAACAGTGAGGGGAAACCTTGGAGCGATTTTCTCTTCGAAAGGCCCTACCAACCAAAATTTACCTTCATCATCAATAACAATTTTGGGGGCTTCGGGCTTAGTCTCCTCTTTAGGTTTTTCTGGAGCCTTAGGCTCTTCCTTAGGTTTTTCTGGAGCCTTAGGCTCTTCCTTAGGTTTTTCTGGAGCCTTAGGTTCTTCCTTAGGCTTTTCTGGGGCCTTAGGTTCTTCCTTAGGCTTTTCAGGAGCCTTAGGTTCTTCCTTAGGTTTTTCTGGAGCCTTAGGTTCTTCCTTAGGCTTTACTGGAGCCTTAGGTTCTTCCTTAGGCTTTTCAGGAGCCTTAGGTTCTTCCTTAGGCTTTACTGGAGCCTTACGTTCTTCAACTATAGGTGTTTAACAGGTTGTTTGTACAAAGAAGGAAAGGAGAAAGACAAAGAAAAATTGCATAAATAAAAATAAAAAAACAGAATAAATAAACTGAATTAAACTATAGTTTAAATACAAAGGAGAGAAAAACCTCAACAAATCAAAATAATATTTTTTGAAACTAACATGCTGGTAAAATAATATATAATATGTTTGTGAGAAAACCAAAAAAGAAAAAAAGATTAAAGACATTTGCAGGCATGATAGACTTCCACACAAGAAAAAAATAACCCAAGCAATCTATGCTGTTCTAGTGTGGTAATTCAAACTCTACGGTATAAGTCACCGCTATCATCTACCTAACAATATCTTGGTAACGTTGTAAGAATAATTTGTAGTTTCAATTACACTAAAAGTCTCGTCTTTTTAAATTTACCTGAAGAAATATGTCATGAATTCTTTTGTTTTTTGCTTTTTTCTTTTTTTTTGCTTTTGTTTTGGCTTTTTTTATTCTCTGTTCATATATATTTTTGATTTCTAAACAATAATCCTGTGTTATATTGACTGATTACATGTACAAAGGTACAAGCCTACCTTTTTGTTGTTCTTCTTTTTTCTACAAAATAAAAGGCTAAATGGTAAAATACCTGGCATTTATTTCAATCTTAGTTTTATCAAATGATCTTGTGAAAACAATGGATTTTAGCTTAGTTGAAAGAACATTGGTTTAAACCCCCCAACCCGATTCTCCCAAGTTTTAAATCTGGTGGTCTGGTAGTCACCTCAACTTTCTTTTCTTCTGGTTTCTTTTCCTCTGGTTTCTTTTCTTCTGGTTTCTTTGGTGCAGCTGTATAAAATTACAACACAAAATATCCATTAAAAAGCCAATATATATGTATGTATCAGTGCACGTCTTTTAAATCAAAATATCCATGTATATTTATTTTCTGGAGCAGATTGAATGTCACACATTCATTGGTTTAGACTCAAGATATATTCCATATTCTTATGTCCGACAGTTGAGAATTAATATCTGGAAATATGGCCTATGCATTGCATTTACACTTCGATGTTATTAAAAATAAAAAGAGTAGCAGATTTGTTGTGACTGCATCACAAATGATGGTAGTGTCAAGACTGGCTCAAACAAGATCAACTTCAAGATAGGAAAAACGTTGTAAATTAGAATCTTAACAGAAACAATTTTGTTAAATGTAAATAAAGGTGCCAGAAAGATTTATCAAGATTACTTGATGGCAAAAGGCTAAGATTGCTAATTTTTTTTTTTAATTTTTTTTTTTTGGGGGGGGGGGGGGGGGGTCCCCACTATTTTAAGAATGGTGTTTTGTTGTAGACTCCATTGTATGTATCATTCAAACGCCGTGCTCCCCCCCCCCCCCCCCCATTTTGTGCGGTAGGTCAGAAAGTGTACCAAGTTATTGCAAAAAAATATTTCCCCAATATTTAGATGAAGATTCTGCTCCCCCACTCCCTTTTTGATAAACATTGCTATGGGCCTGTCTTGTGTTTATGTCTCTCACTCTATGATCCCCAAGAAAATAAATCACTTATATTAGGATTGTTACTGACTGTCTATAGAAATATATCAGGTTGATCAATCTCAAAGATGGCTTGACTCCATCTCACTGTCTATGAGATTGATAAACCCAATATATTTCTGTAGACAGTCAGTAACAAACCTAGTAAGTAATAGTATCTTTGCATCCTACTAATAATGTAACATTGAAGATGTAATGATCTTCATGGAATACCATGAACATATTCTGAAATTCAATTTAAAATTTACCATCATGCAGACACTAATATACAGCCATGTATATATACTGAACAAACTCATAAAAATTACAAGAAAATGGCCCCTTTTTATAATTATATGTTTAGAATGAGTCTCAGAGATTTATCTTGTGCTTGAAAATCATGGGTAGGCATGACTGCATAATATTTTCCAAAGCAAAAGTTTCTAAAGTTTATGTAAAAGTCAGAAAAACATCCTCCAAAATGAAAATTTTAAAACCGTCTGTATCTTTTTGTTCATATATGAATAATAAAATATACTGCATTTTAAACCAGGCATCAATTTTGACTTTTTAATAAAAACTTTCACAATTTTGACCGTGATTTTTGATTTTGTTTGTCAAATTATGGGGATAAATTTAGGCTCTCGTCGTACTTATCCTTCCTTTTCAGAAATACCCTTTCTGACAACTCAGAAGTACTGACCTTTGACTCCCAAACTAGCAGAACAGAAGGCAGACCCAAACTGGTTCTTTACTTCCACCTTGAATTCACCAGAATCAGACGGCTTGACATCTGCTATATAAAGCCGACAGGTGCCCTTTTCATAGGTTATCTTGTATCCATCGGAAGGTTTGATTGGCTTACGATCCTTTGTCCAGGTGGCTGTGATTGGTTCAGTTCCAGTCACCTTGGCGATCAGATCCAGAGCTTCACCCTCTGTCACTGTTTTAGGGGTCAACTTCTGTGTGAAATTGGCACCCTCACCTTTTATTTGTGGTTGAAGAGCTGTGATGAAAATTTTTTTCACTTTTTATTTTTATCTCTCTCCCTCTCTCTAATTATCCTGCTTTCTACATATTAGATATACAAATGTGTTACCTTTCATGTTGATTTTAGCAGTAGATGTAATTTCTCCTGATGGATTCTTGATAACACACTTGTAATCACCAGAGTCTGCATCAGTTGGCTAAAAAACAAAATCATTTGTTAATTAGAACTACACCTTAGTCTATACATAAAGACCATATTTCTTTTAGAGATCATATGCACTGAAAAATTTCTGCATTTTCTAGGAAAATCAATCATTTCTATCAATTTAAACATGTAATAATAATTTTTAGAATTGCATTTCCCCCCCAAATTCAATCTTATTAAAGATTTATCTGAATAGTAGATTATATGCAGCCAAGTGTATATTTGTCCAGATGTAAAATATAAATAGATTGAAACTAACATTGGCAATTTCCAAAAAGATGAGGAAAACCCCTGGAGATTCCTCCTTCACATCCAGCTTGTAGCGACCACCAGACTTGAGAGGGGAATTTCCAAAATACCACATGGCAGTGGGTTTGGTCTTGGAGTTGATTCTCATGTCACAGAGCAGTCTCTTGCCATTGTCTAGAAGTCGGACATTTGGCATGTCCTTGATGGAAGGCGGGCTCTCCTTGGGTCTGCAAGTGCACGATTAATTAACAATCATATATTCAAGTATGTACCAGCCAAATAATTGAAGATTGATTGATGGCCATATGACCCTGGACTCAAAGTTTTAATGTCATTTTATGCAAAATAATGTTGCCTATTCTAAAACTGTTATAAAGAAACAAAAGTTTTCAATGAGGGAAGAATGATTTTCTTGAGAAAATGTCTGCCAGAAGAAAAAGACAATTTAATCGCACTTAACCTGGCTTATCTCTTAATAAGTTCCTGTCAGTTTGCTTTGTAAAGAAGAGAGAATTTCCATTCATGTTGCAACAAAGTAGCAATTAAACAGACATAAATAACTCTCATGATAGCCCAACTAAACGACCTTGACCTTATGAGGCTTAAGGTGGTAAATGTATATTGCTTTATCTGAGTTTATCTCTATAATTTTGGTGCAAGGCAACACTCAGCACTCATCAAGCTTCAGTACCTCATGTGGATCTTGATATTACTTTAGTGAAAACTTCATCAAACAGATCAAACAAAAAAGACCTAATTTTTCTCTCAAGAATTCAATTAATCTTTGCTAAGTGTTAGACAGTAAAATCTTTATTGCTTGTCTAGATAACTGGGTTATGAAAGCAAATAGTATTAGATGAGCACCAGCAGTTTCTAGCTTCAATAAAGGGTTTAAGCTCTAACTATTACTATCATAAATATAGAAATTAATTCCCTTTGATATACCATGATTACTTTAATAGTCAAAGGGGAAATAACTGCATTAATCATATGTATCCCAATGGTTGAATTCTCAAGGATTATCTCAAATTAGTTTTCTTAAGTTGATATCACTAATCATATGTTTAAAAAAATATTTAATGGTCTTTTTGAACCCCAATTTAAAGTACTGAAGATACTTGTGAAAGCAAAATCAGTCCCTCCTTTTCCACAATAACAAACAATCAAAATTTATTTTGTCATCCATTTATATTAGAATTATATCAACTACACTTTAACATCTTTTGTTTTGTCCAATAATTGGGATCTGAAATGAGTCAGGAAAGTAGCTGCTTATAAATTATTAATATCCAAAGATATTTAACAGCATCTAATTTACCAACTGTTCTTGATAATAAACTGGGAGAAAAAATATAATGAAGGCAAAAAAAAAAAAAAAAAGAATTCAGAATACACCAGCTTTCTTGGGATGCTTACGGTTCTAGATTGATGTTTATGGTGGCTGTGCCTTCCCCAGCATCATTCTTAGCAATAACCTTGTAGTTCCCACTATCAGCAGCTGAGAAGTTCTGAAAATTGTCCAAAAAAAAAAAAAGAGGCATTTTGTATGACATTTCTTTATAGATTGAATCAAATATACACATGGGATATAGGGAATTTAAAATCATGAATAATGCTTTTTTTCCTAAAATAATGACAGTTATATTTAGTTAGGATCTATTACTTATAAATCATAGATACAGGTGTCATAAATACTGATAAAAATAGTTTTCATTTTTAAATTTGCTTCTTATACATTTACTTACCAAAATATCAAGGTAAAAGGTGTAATCATTTCCTTTTTCTGTGGAGCGCATCTTGTAGCGTGGGCCCTGGTTCAGGACCTGTGTTTCCTTGTACCAGGTCAAGGTCGGTTTAGGACTAGCATTACAGTTACATTCAATGATAAGGTTCTTGTCCTTCTGAGTGACCTTGGGTTTCTCCTTAAAGGTCGGAGGTGTTCCTTTTGGTTTATCCATACCTGCATTGTAAGATTGTTTATTTTTAGGGAAGATGTCTTAAAACTTTGCATCTGTATGAAAATGATGTTGTAAATTTAGAATTGAAATTCAAATTATAAATAATATTTAAACTTTTGAGCATATCAAAATTAAGAGAAAGATGAAAACATAGGATGTAGGGAGGTAGAAATTGACAAAATCATTTATATCAATATATAAAAGATGGGAATAAAGTGGAATGATTTTAGAATTGGTGAACATTTGGAGATATATCCTTGGTGACAGATTGGAAACTGGAAGAAAACTGGAAAAAAGATGAGGTGATTGTACAGGTGTATACAAATATACAAATATCATTACAACATCATTACGACATCAATTGTACTAAACTATATCTACTGTATAATGTATCATGTAGACAACAATGCAAGTAAATGGTATGAAATAAAAACTGAAACTTATTTTTAATTTAGACTACTTATAAATATGGAGCAGGATGACATATGGACTAGTATGAAGATATTGTGAAATGAATGTTAATGAAGCTGGGTAACATATGATTATGGGGCAGACTTTTGTGTGGACACACTGTGGGTTTGTGGTCACACTTGAGTAGTGACAACACCAAGGATTACGTAGATCTCACCGATAATCATCGCTACTGCCAGGCCGTGTCGAACTGAAAGTGAGTCATGATGTAAATACAGAGTAAAAAAAATGTATTACAGAAAAAGAATTAGGTATTCCAAAGTTAAGCATGGAAGATATTTTCTTAACGAGTACTTTCACAAAAGATGAGTTGCTTTTCTTCTTGCCAGGTGGGATCAGGGAATATCTATTTTTAGCAAAAACTTTGGCATTTATGGTCAATTATCCTCAAGTCAGAGTACTTAGTATAAAACAACTAATTATCCTTGTGCATAACCATTATCCCCCTCCACTCTTTGTTATTGCTATTAAGTGGTATTACCAGTACTTTCAGTTTTTTTATTTCTTGTTCACATTTAATTACACTTAACCTTGGTAAATCAAGCCTCTCCTCTTCTTGCTAATTGTTGTCTTTGGCTGCTTGTAACTGTTTTGTTTTGTCTAATTATTCTACAGTTCTGTTTTGAGGGCTATTTGATAGTCGTACAAAATGCTCATCCAAAGTTCCCATGACACCTGCACATAACAAAACACAGCCAGGGAATTTCCAGCCAAGTTTTGACAAGAGTATCAATTCTTTATGGGAAAATGCCTCTTCTTGTCATCCCCAGATAAGATGGTGAAAAAATATTATGAAAAACTTGACTGTATCTTGTTGCCAGCTGCCTGTAAATGTAGCCTAATAAATCTCCCACTGAAGAAAATGTCCCAATAAACTTCAGTTTCCCGACAACTTACATTTACAAGGCATACCAAAAAATGTGTGGTAATGTGTATCTTTATAAATTTCCCCTTCACAAATGCTTTGATAATTTGATAAAATATAATTTCAAAGACCTGGTTATGCTAAATCTAACTACCAGAGAAGCTCAGAAACTTCAGATCAAATGGTGCAACCTGCATCTTGATGCTTGATCTAATCTCAAGTATTTTTAGATCATAAAATGAATTAGGGAATGATTTAGGTTAATATCTCTAAATAGCTAAAGAGATGCAAGGAATCTACACTCTGAATGCCTACACTGATGTTTATATCTAATGTGAAAAAAGAAGATATTTTAGACCCTATAAAATAATTAAAATAAAAACAACCATACATAATCTATATTGGAAGTCTATATATATAAACACTACATTATGCACTTCTTCTTTATAATTTCAGTATTTTAGAAGATTATATAATTAAGACATAAATAACAAGGTTAAAAATTTCTCTGGGAAATGTACTTGGTTGATCATGTGATCAAATCCTATAAAGCCCAAAGGGCTTCTCAGTAGATTTGATCATGTACCAACCAAGTTCATTTCTCAATGAACTTTTTAACCTTGTTATTTATTACTTATATTTACATTTGGAGATGAATATTCGAATAGAAATATTACACGAACGGCCTGCCGTATCACTAAGTTGTGACAAGCAGTGACCAAGAAGTTATTTGGTCATGAAAGATTGCCTAATTTCAATATTTGAATGTTAACGTTAATGTTAAATTAGCAATCAAGTTATGGAAATCACTGTTTAAAATGATAGAACAATGAGTGGTATTGAGAATAATCTTACTATTTTCTGAGTTCTTTAAATGTGAAGTCAAAAGCAGTGGTATCGTTTTTTTTCAGTTTTAATACCTTCGAAGGAATTTAGAGTTAAAAAGGTGCTATTTTGATACTATTATTCAAACCATTTGAAGATCTAATAGACATCTGTTGATAGAAAAAAATATCCATATTTTTCAATTATTTCATCTTCATCATTGCTATCAATTTAGTTCTCAGCTGAAACCAGTTTCACTGGGACAGAAATATGTAGGCAAGATATCATCTCACTGTATGATACGGTCATGCCATGACCTCTGACCCCTTGATAAGTTCATACAGAATTGAACATACCAGTATTTTCTCTTCAGTAAGTTTGACTGGGGAAAATAATTGCAAATGTAAATATTAAATATTGACATGTTCTTGTGTACAAAACCTGGGTTGCATTTAATTGATTACAAAAGAACTTAGGATCAAGACAAAGATTTATTTTTGCAATGTACGTATTTTATTTTTTATATTGATTTGTGATTTTAGTGTAAATAAGAAGAATTTAGTTATGTAAACTCATACATGTATATCTCACAAAATCCTGAAATGAAAATTTAGCACATGAAATTTTCAGACATAGTATTAAGTTCTTTTGTAAAACAAAACCCTGACACAAGACCATAAACTGACAACAGACCTAACTTAAAATTTTGATTTTAAATATCTTTGATTTTATTTTCTACACACACAAGTTTAAAAAAAAGAAAGATTTATTTTGTAAAATATTCTTATACAAATACACAATTAACAAAAGGCCCATGGGCCACATCGCTCACCTGAGCGCATTGGCTTGAATTTTAAACTACCTGATGATGCTTCCATGTCAATATAACAAATGGCTTTGCCGTACTTGAGAAGATTTTTAAAAAATTTTCCCATATATTCCTTTGTAAAAATTTGATCCCCCATTGTGGCTCCTCCCTATCCCAGGGGGTCATCATTTGAACAAACTTGAACCTACACTACCTGAAGATGCTTCCATATCAATATGACTAAACATAACTTTTCTGTTCTTGAGAAGAAGATTTTTAAAGATTTTTCCTATATATTTCTATGTAAAACTTTGATCCTCCATTGTGGCCCCGCCCTACCCCCGGGGGTCATGGTTTGAACAAACTTGAATCTACACTACTTGAGGATGCTTCCATATAAATATGACTCATCATGGCTTTGCTGTTCTTGAGAAAAAGATTTTTAAAGATTTTTTCCTATATATTTCTATGTAAAACTTTGATCCTCCATTGTGGCCCCGCCCTACCCCCGGGGGTCATGGTTTGAACAAACTTGAATCTGCACTACCTGAGGATGCTTCCATATAAATATGACTCATCATGGCTTTGCTGTTCTTGAGAAGAAGATTTTTAAAGATTTTTCCTATATATTTCTATGTAAAACTTTGATCCTCCATTGTGGCCCAGCCCTACCCCCGGGGGTCATGGTTTGAACAAACTTGAATCTACACTACCTGAGGATGCTTCCATATAAATATGACTCATCATGGCTTTGCTGTTCTTGAGAAGAAGATTTTTAAAGATTTTTCCTATATATTTCTATGTAAAACTTTGATCCTCCATTGTGGCCCAGCCCTACCCCCGGGGCTAATGGTTTGAACAAACTTGAATGTACACTACTTAAGGATGCTTTCACATGAGTTTCATCTTTCCTGGCCCTATGGTTCTTGAGAAGAAGATTTTTAAATGATGCCATTATTTTTTCACTAATTCCTTATTATCTCCCCTTGGAAGAGGGCATGGCCCTTCATTTGAACAAACTTGAATCCCCTTTACCCAAGGATACTTTGTGGCAAGTTTGGTTGAAATTGGCCCAGTGGTTCTTGAGAAGAAGTCGAAAATGTGAAAAGTTTACAGACAGAGGGACAGACGGACGCCGGACAAAATGTGATCAGAAAAGCTCACTTGAGCTTTCAGCTCAGGTGAGCTAAAAATATTATTTCATTATTAAAATTATTTCAAATATATCTCAATTTTAAAAATGTTGACTTTATTCTGTTCTCAGTTAATGGTCTGGAGACCTGTCGTCTTTCAATTAGTAGTATGAACAATCTTATACAAAGGACAAAATATATTGCTTGGTATATGACTTTTCATTCCTGACATAAGATTTACCTTGGAAGTTAAGGGTGATTGTAGCATTGGATTCTCCCAATTCATTGACAGCTGTAGCTTTATACTGACCGCCATCATCCGCTTTTGGATCCTATAAAGAAGAGACATAAAACATCTTATATCCATATTACCAAACAAAGCCTTACATCACAGATTAACAGTAAATTATCACACATTCTTTACTTTCTAATAATGACTACTTTTCCAAGTTGCCCCAAACATTTTTACTACTTCAGAGGTATATTAATTGGTATATGCCTTCAGCATAATTAAATCAACTCCAATTCAAATTGCACTTGTTATACATGTACCAAGCTTGATAAGAAACAAAATCTCCTTTTCCCAATAATGAAATCAAAAAAGAAAAAAAAAGTTCCACTTTGCACCCAAATCTTACTTATCTGTGATATAGATAAAATTCCCTTCGAATTCTTTCATTTTCATTTAGTACCACCCTTCATACAATCAATTAAAATTTAGAATGACGAGAACATTCAAAAATCTGTTTCATTTACACAAGAACTTTATAATAAAATGGAGTTTTATTGCAACAAAAATTGTGTATTTTTTTTCTTTATCTCATAATTGGCTGTGTGCAGTAAACAAATACACTTTGAATGGCATTTGAGATAAATTGGAGTTGACTGCAGATTTCAGAGTGAGATGTGAAAATTTTTTTTGGTCGAAAAAGCATTTTATTGTAATGGAACTTCCTCTTTCCATTGGTTTTCAACAAGGAAAATATTTTAAGGCTTGACGCCTATAACAAATTAAATGCATGTCAGATGGTTTCTTTCAACAAGGAATTTATCTGTGGAAAGCTTATCGCTACTATCTGGGTTCAATTCTAGTGTAAAATAATTAAATATGTAAACAATGGGATACCTGCAGTTCTGTATCTGGCATTCATGAATTTTTAGATACAATGTCCTGTCTAAATCTTTCTTATTTTTCCATACATACGTTACCAAAAAAATGTACTAAGTATTTTGGCAGACTAGGTAGTCTTGCATAAACAGTTTACTATACAAGTCAGAGCAATTTTGAAAAAAAAAAAATAAATAGGCTTGTGGGCTCGACTTAGGACAAGAAGTACAGAAATGTGTAGCATGTTGACTGCTATACTTGTGGAATGCATTCAGAAGCCAATCAACTTCTAGACAAATTACAGGAACAAGCCCATTGTGACAGCTTAAAGTATATGCTTGTTCAACAGAGCAAAGTGTGTTCAATTCTCCAGCCCTGTCTAACATCACCGTCAGTCCAGCTGATTTAAACTAACAGATTTTTCAGAGACATTCAATAAACAAAATCACTGAAAAACAAATTTTTTAACAAACAAGAGTATATCAATTGGACATCAGTCAAGAATTTTCCCATTGACAAGAATAGAAAAGATTTCCTATTTATACTCCATCTTTAGATGCTTCACATAAGCCGGTTCTGTAAAAGTTTCCGAATCCATTTTGCTGCAATTTACTGCACCATGGAAACACAAAGTAGAAATGAGATCTATACATAGAAACCAGACATATCATAAACAGGTTTTTATGGGTTTATATACGTAAATTCCTCCTCCCTATTTCTTCGTATCAGTGATATAAAGTTTAAAGCTTGAACTGCTGGGATTGCATCTAACTTGAAAACATTAAGTAATAAAAATAAAGATTGATAGCCACAAATTTCAACAATAGTCTATATGTTATTTAATAGGTTAATACCTTTTTATTTCAAGGGGTTTATTTATGTTGCTTATTAATTTTGATATCAAATGAATATTATAGCCTGCTGTTTTTGTCAATTATATAGCCATAAAATTAAAAAAAAACAACTTTTTTTTCCATTTCATTGTCACTTTTGCTTTATTTCATAAGAAATTCATCTTAATTTCTCTATTTTTCCTTATTTTTCTATCTGTTCAAAAAATTCCACACAATCTTCAGTCCATTCATGTTACACATATACCGGTATGTACCGTATATACTCGCCTATCAGTCGGTTTTTGGGGAGTTAAACTTAGGTCCAAAACTCTTTATCTGACTTATACGCGAGTTATAAAAAGATTGATATTTTAGCGAGTCAATCACTCCAATTTAAGCTTAAAAAATACAACCAACTTATAGGCGGACCGACTTATAGGCGAGTATATACGGTATGCATATTGAGGAGATAAAGGAAGTCCAATACCTGCATGAGGATAAAACACTGAAGTTTAATTTTTTAGGCACTATTTTAGAAGATGATCTTTAAAAATGTTTAGTTAGCATGTAAAAGTTCCTTACGACATCACAATGATAAAACACACCTAATATACATAGCAGTTTTCCTGCACAACTAAAAACAGCTTTCTTTATCATCATGCTTGAGTACAAGCATTCACTGCAGTGTAAACTCACCACAATGTTATGCTTTCTCTATGCTAAACAGGTTTCCATAAATGACTGTGTATTCCCCTATCTTGGCAAACACGTAGTCATGTCTTCATTGATAAACCCGATTGTGTGCAGATAACCTTATTTCCTTGTTTTTTCTGTAAATCCTGATAAAATTATGATGCATCCTCACTGCTGCACCTCCCACTATTACTCAAATTCTCCCTCTTCATCTTGATAAACTAATTCAGTTACAAAGTGTTTATTGTGGGAAAACATAAATGGAGATAATACTACAAGGTAATTCAACTGCAAGACAATTACCTTTAGTTAAATAAAAATGAGGCATTTAAACTCCATTCCACTTGGTAATGGTATTCATTATTCCTGATTCAAGTTTATCAAATAAATGTTTACTTAATGGCTACTTAGAAATGCGATGAACTCATCAAACTAATCAACTTGGCAATCACTTAAAATGTCCACCTAGAATTAATTATATCATCTTGCCACTTTATCTTCATTTCTGAGATCTTTTTGATCTTAAAAAATAAAGTTACAGTGATGTTTTTTTAAATCTTCTTTAAACTACTTTTTCAACCATTTCTCTTCCAAATTCTTTCCAATTCATTAAATGTACAAAATAACTTCTCTATATTTCTTCATTTAATCTTATTAGTTTGGATGCCATTTAACATACAGCATGTCTAGGATGAAAAAGTTTGCTTACAAAAGTGAGAAAAATTACACCAATAGACGTAAATTATGTAGAAATAATATTCATTATAGTTATAAATAAAAAAATAAAGAGACCTAGAAATTGATTTTCAAGGAGTATAAACCCTTGCACTGAACAGTAGCACAGAATATGCTCATAGACACAAGTAAGCTAAGTCCTATTTTAATTCTCCACTGATTATATGAAGCAAAATGCAGGGCACCTTAAATTGGTACTATAGTGTACAACACATACATGTACATCCCTGATTAATATATCAAGGTCAGGACCTCTATAGATGCTCTTGCCAAGCCTTGCCAGAAACCCAGTAAATGTTTAGATACCAGGATACTCTCCACTGCAATACCAGAGACAAGCATCTTTATGACTTTTCCTACTTAGTCTGCTTTAGCTTTTTGTTATTAATAAACTGCTGAGGAAGCACAAATTAAGCTGTAGAAGGGAAAACATGGAGACTTGCCACAGCAAAGTATCAAAGTGACAAAGATCATTTTGGGGTTTTTAGATACAAGGTAAAAAATCAAGTCTTGCAGTGTTTATTTTTTTCTGCACCTGAAGGCAATCAGAATCTCACTGAGTTATACATAAAGAATTGATACCACTGGCAATGTTTATCTGTAATGAAGTAATATATTCATGTGTACATGATGATCACTTAGCAGAGAGAGATTAAAGCTTTCTTACTGGCCACCTCTGATTTACATGCCCTGCACACAGATGTCTGCCTATGTCAATAAACATTCCTCTACAGTACAGCTTTGAACCTACTGATACCTACATCTTTTGAGCTGATCTGACTCATTAATGTGCAGCTAAATGAGAAAACAAAAAGCTTGAGAAGAAGAAAAATTCAGTCAATGCTTCATTCATTGTTAAATCTTTCACAGGTGTTTTGACCATTACATTAAAAGTTTAAATAGAAATAATCTTGTGTGTACTTTTATTTTATCTCTAGATTCCAAGATGTCTCATCTACGAAGTAGAGCATGAAAAAAAAGATAATAAACTTCATAAAAAAAAATACACAAGACAAAATTTTGAATTCTTTCCTATCCCCTACAAGTTCTTGATCAGCCCTGTGATAAAAACAAGGTGACTGAACTTCACACGAATATGATAACCTCCTCTTGGGAACTCACCCAAATCATGAGAGCCATATCAAAATCAGTCATAAAATTCCAATTAAATTTGAAAATCTCACTTGACTTCCTATCATTGTTTTAATCCAAATTCTGATTAGCCCTCATAAAAAAGTGATCATTTTTATCAATTTGAGACAAAACTCCTCATAAATCTCCAGGTACTTAGTTTAGAGCATTTTACATAAAGTGAGAAAAAAAAACCCCAGATCACTTTAACCTTCTTGAAGATTAATAAAATCTTTTTCAAGTAGCAACATTAAAAATTTTACTGACTTGGGATGCATTAGCTTTAAGTTTATTGAATAAGAAACATTTTTTCCTGAGTGGAACTAATCAATTTTGGCAGTTGTTTAATTACCTGATCAGTTTACATACACTAAAGCTTGAACTACGGTACCTCACGTAAACTAATAGAATGCGTAGGAGTAAGGACGTTTATTTTTCTATGTATATGACACTATACCTCGGCAGTGTTTGATGTAACTCGTTAATGCTTATGGCATTGATAATATGATGGAGTCATACTATGGAGGTCTGTAAGAAGGTTAATTAATAACAGAACATCTTTATATCCATCCAAAATAGTTTAATAATTGCATTATTTGAAAGTTAATTTGTTCATGTCAAACTTGTTTTATAAAAATGGAGTTAATTATTAAAAGTGCAATTCCATTTCTTTTTTACGAGTAAATACACAAAAATACTTAGTTTTCCTGTTGTTCCATGTTACGTACACAGTAAATCATTGATAGACAATCTTCATTACTTCCCTGCTGAGAGAAGGGAACAGATTATTCTATAAATCCTAAGTAAGCACTCGAAAATTCACTATGTAGAACATTAATTATTACTTGTGAATATGGCTGCCAGCTAACCAAGAAATTGCATCATAGTAATGATCTGAGAGGTCTTTTGAGTTTCCTAGGCAATGAAGAGTTTTCAAAAAGAACAGAAGATTCCATCAAAACTAATGGTAATTGCCTATTGATTCAGATATTCAATGTTTATAACAAATATTTTGTGTTTTCCATTATAAATGAATTGTTTTTCTTCACAGTTTTTTTTTTTCAATGCAGTAAGTTGTGCCAATGTTCTTTCAGGATATTGAAAGAATGAACTTTACCAACAACCCAACATTGAAAATCTTATAAATTTATGCTTTTTGTATCAGTTTTAAATCTAATAAAATGGCACCACATATCCTATAACAAGATATATCTTGTGTTTATTCAACACCTATCGACACTGAAAAACATGCATTTATCACTTGTTAAAACACAAAAACCAGCAGAGACTCTCCGTGCCAAAATGGCAGTGACTATAAAATCCATGTAAATACGAAACACGCTGAAAAAGTTATAGCTTTATCAGCTGTACCAAGGGAGATGAGAAGATACTGCCCCAGGTAACTGGTCACTTAAAAGTTCCCAATGAACTGTAAGCATGTGAAATATGTGAAGAATCTTTTTTTTTCAGAGAAAAGAAAGCTATGTTATGCTTATCAAGAATAGGCAGAATACCATTTGAATTTCTTTGATCTTAGGACCTAAACAAATTGTTTAAATTACAACAAGCAGACAGGGATACATTTATATAATGGTCTTATTCTACCCCAAGACTCAGTTTTAATCTTTCCACTCTGGATTCTCAAGTCTTCAAACTGAAAATGTTACCTTGATGGTAAGTGTGGCGACATATCTGTCTGGTCCCGAGGCGTCTTTTTTCAGAGCAATGATGTAACGTCCCCCAGGGGTGATTTCGGTATTGTCCCTGAACCAAGATAGCTTAGGTTCTGGTTTGGCCTCCACGTTACAGGTCATTAAGAGCTGCATTCTCTCTTGTTTGATGGTTGGTTTTGACAGGAAATGAGGTGCTTTGCCTTGCCTACAATAATGATTTTCAACTTGCACTTTTGATTCATTAAAACAATTTCTTTCTTCGCATTTTTTTCAAACAATTAATTCTTTTGACTTTTTTTGCAAAAACAAGTCCTCATAATATAGCAGTACATGTGAAATAAAATATTCAAGGATTTTGAGTGTAAATCTTGTTCACTGTTTCAATTTGTAAAAGATTTTTTCTTTAAATCAGTTACTTTACAGTAAATTTACATGATTCTGTCTACATGTATATGTGTTACACATAAAATGCATCTATCATGCAAATCTGTAACTTCTGTACGTCTAGCCACCAGGTAAATTATGTATATACTATCTCATCTTTTATCTGATGATTCTTTTTTTCACCTAACAATATGAAGTCAGTATTTCTACATTGTAAAGCTGCCAAAGCTATCCAGGAATCATTTACGTGTTTTCCCTATGCTTTTAAACCTTTCAGACATGTGATTAATGTAATGTTTCTCCTTGTATACTGAAGAGATTCTTGTAAACTCTATAGTTTCCATAGATACGCGATGAGCATGTAAACTTATGCAACTATATCATCCCCTTAGTGTGCAGGTGTTACCATTCAAAATTCCCACAAAAATACTCACGGAGGCTTTTTTCCTGAAAAAGAAATACGAAAATTTAAAATTCAAATCCTTTTCCAATTCAAACTTATGCAAATTCAAATATTATTATTGCAGTATCATTCACAAAAACTTGTAATACATTTCTATTGTTATTCATTAATTTCTTCAAATTTTCTCAGTCTTTAACTTTCAAAACTTTCTTTCAAAATTATCCTAAGTGTCCTGATAGACATCCCTTATCATTAGAGAGTCATGTTATTTTTTTAACTTTTCTGATTCCCTAAGCTTTACAGAAAAAGCCGTGTCTTCATGACATAAAAATTTAGAGCATTCCATATAGACAGCTGGACAATAAATACCTTCAAAGTTCAATGTAATAGTTGCTGTGGATTCTCCAAGGTTATTTTTGGCCACTGCCTTGTACTCCCCTCCATCTTGCATCCCCCCACCAGATATCTCCATGGAAACACTGTGGGTGTTCTTGTCTGAGGTCATTTTCATGTTGTATCGACCCCCTTCCTTTAGAACTTCACTTCCCTTGTACCAAGTGATGGTGGGTTTGGGGTCTGCTGTGAGTTTGCAGTCAAAAATGATCTTGCCACCATCCTGTCGAATTGTCGGCTTGGTTGTAAATTTAGGTGGCTGTCCTTGTGGCTTCTTTGATTCGTCAGCTGAATTTCAAACAAATAAATTCTTTTAATAAGTTAAGGTGCAATGACAATCCCAAAAGCTCTGTCACTTGTAACAGAACATGGTGATACATGTATCGTCCATACCTTTGTGTTTGTTTCGAAAGAGAAAAATACTTGGCAAGTAATTGTTTTTTTTTTTAACCAAAATTTTGGTGATTGTAATAATTACAAAATTTCAAACCTCAGATGTAATGGAAAAAATGGATATAAATTCAACTGCAACCTCCTCAACACTACTTACATAAGAGAAGTGAAACATAGTGAAAATGAGTAGAACAAGGATTACAGATATAGACTGGGTCTTGAATAGAAATTCTGAAGTTTCATGTGACATAAAAAGTGTGGTCATTCACGAGTTTCACCAATTTGTTGTTGGTTGTCACATGTGGTCACTCATGAAATCTTTGTTTACACACATGCTCTTGTATTTGCACAGTATCTCTACATACATGTTAAAATTAATGAAGTTTTCTCCAGAGGGTCATTTTTAAACACACATTAACCATATTTTGAACTTCAATCACAAACTTAAGAATTTACAAAATTATGGACCATGTAACTTTAAAATATGTGCTTTTGGTCATACATCATTACTTTTCTTTATTCTCTAAACAGTTGATAAGTTTACATTTCCAACTGTCAGTTAATTAATGAAGTTTATGAATATGGGTATTTTACACATCTAAATTCTTTAAATCAGTATACTAACTATCAAAATTGAGTCTGATAGTAGCATTGCTTTCTCCTAAAGCATTCTTTGCAGTAACTTTGTAGTTTCCAGCGTCTTTTACATTCACATCATTAATTTCTAGTACCAAGAGGTATTTCTTGTTAGGTTGTGGATCTGTTCGAATCTTAATGCGACCTGAAACATACAAAAAAAATCAATAAGCCTCAAGAAAAGAATATCAAGATTTATTTTGAAAATAAAGTTTCTATTACTGTCTCATTACTTAATTTGAAGATGACTTAATTTTATTAATATATGCTTATGCATAGAGCAGATGGATATGCATGTAAAAATTACTGATGTTCATTACTATAAACATACAGTTGAACTTCGGTATCTTGAACATCAATATCTCAAATACCATGGATATGTCAAAGTGATTTGGAAGTTCCAATCATTTATTAATTAAGAATTTTACCATCGATAATCCTCGGTTTTTTCTCAGTCCCATCTCATTTGAGATAACAAGATTAGACTCTACTTGCATTTGTTTAAAGAAAATAAATTTGTACATCACTGAACAAGTTACATCAGCAAAAGTTCTTTGAAAAAAAATTGAATTCATTCTCTACTTCATTATAATCTGTAAAATAAATATAACGGTAAATAACCAGTAATGAAATAATTAATAAAAACAAACCTCCAGGTGTAATTTGCTGTTCGTCCTTGAACCAAGTAATCTGAGGGGCGGGGTCTGCCGTGAGTTGACCTTCAAACAACAGCTTTTTACCATTATCTGCTTGTTTGGTGACAGGTTTCTGTATAAAGTTTGGAGCAATTCCATCTTGTCTAGAGAAAGAACAAAAAACAGACTTCACACAAGCATTAAATCATGGATAAGAATCTATCTATTGGAATATTGGTTTGTTAGTATGTTTAGACAAGTTTACAGTCAGTTTAAGAAAAGCAATAATGTCTGTTATTACTTTCTGGTTTGGGTGTCATTTATCTTTTGCTTTCTTCCTTGCTTGTGTCTAAAATATCTGGTAAATTTTCCACTCTGAAGGCTAACAAATTAAATGATGCACTTCAGAAATGATTGTAACAGTGTATTTCAGTCCTTCTGGGAATTGAAAATAAATTGGAAGTGGCAGAAAAATGCAGGTGGATGAGAAAAGATTAAATATTTCCACCCATCACTATGTAACATTGGGACCGAAGCTGTTGGCAAAATGAATGGAATCTTCATGATGGTAATTCACAGCTGTTATGATATGGAAACTATTGCAAGAACAAACTTTAGCAGGTGTTGATTTCAGAGGATCACGATTTAAACTATAAACAATATGTGAGGTAGCCTTACCATGAAGCTCTCACTTCCACTGTGGGGGGTTCCGATATGGAGAAAAATTATCAAAACACACACTTTGTAACTCAGTGCTTCTTGTCTCCTAATTTATACAAAGCACTGATGATACAGGATATTTTTATCTAACATCCAAATTTACTCAAGAATGATGGAACTTACATGTCAACTCCCCGTTCCAAAACAATATACTCTTAGTGCTCAGATTATCAGCTGATGATGTAAATCTTAGACACTGTATATATAAAAGTGCTTGCACTTTGGAAAGAAATCAGATCATACCATTTTTCATTGTTTTAATTAATATGTGGAAATTTTTGCTACTGTAATTTTGTAACCTAGTACATGTATATCTTTTGTTTGATGTACAACTGCATAGGAAATGCAGTTCACTTGTACTGTTGTTTTTACAATACATTTATTACATTTTCCTTGAATGCAGTGGTCAATATTCTGCTTCCAATTACATTTTATACCTCTTTAAAAAAAAAAAAAGGTTGAACTCCCATTATTTTGAATAGTCTTTTAAATTTCTATTGGTATCTTCAAATTATTGGAAGATTTTAAAAGTGTAAAAGATGTATTGTGAAACAGGACATTTTCTGGATCTGCAACTCAATTAATGAAAAAAGACTTTAAGCTACAATTCATAAACTGGTATAATCTAAGCCATGTTAATTGAAATGTTAGAAACATATCACAGAAATGATTTGCATAAAATCATTTTCACAAGAACTCGACCATATTTTGTATTCAAACATGTACTTAGTACAAATACATACAACATGTACATGTTGTTTTGATATAGAATGTAAAACCCTTCATGTCTGGAAAATTTTTCCAACAATTAACTCTGATTGCTCTCTGTTCTGAATCTGACCCACTGGTGGATGTTAGATATAGAAACAGCTATCTTTACAGATCAAAGGCTCAGGAATTTACAGCAAGCTGATTTTAAGAATAGAATAGAGATGAATGAAATTACGCTAAAACAAGAATAATAGTTGTGGGCAATTTGTACATGCCATCAATCAAATCAAATCATGAAACAAAACTATGTATAACAAGAAGTGTTAGGTGTTGCTGTTTCAATGTTTGTGAATTCATATATGAAATACATGTGTATGGCACTAACAACTGAATTAAAGAAAATCTAGCACATGCAGACTAATAAATTTAATGTTTGAAATTATACTCACTGTTTTTGACTACCTGTAAGAAAACAAAAAGAAAAAATAACAAAAATTAAAAATACAGTGAAACTTTTCAAATTTGGGTGTAGTCTATTCCGAAATCTTGTCTAATATGATTGAAAGTTCTAGTCCCTTTCAGTTAATATTCTAGTCAGGGTTGTCCTTAAGAATTGAAATAGGAGGGGACATTTAAAAAGTAGAAGGGGTTCTGGGGTTCTTCCACTAAAAGGAGGTTGCTGGGGTATACCAGAATAACTGGGGGATGTCATTATAGGAAGGGAAATTCCCCGGCCCCTGGGCCTTAGGGACAACCCTACTAGTGTTTAAAATGTTGTATAATCCAGAATATTGTCTAATCCGCTCAAGTGGTGTTTCCAGATTAGACAAGTTCTACTTAACAATGGATAGAACACTTATTTAAATCTTGCATTTTGTACATGGTGATCTTAAAGGACTTATACTCTTATATAAAAGTTGTATGAAAATAGAAATGTATGGTACATTTGCTGTCTGTAACATTCAATGATGAATTAAAAATTGGACCCAGAAATAATTACATGTAATATCATAATCAAATATATATAGCATTCAAAGGATAAAAACCAAAATTGAATCTGAGCCCCTTGAACTCTACACTTGTACTCTAATAACTTCTCTATGCAACAACCAGCAAATGAATCCATACCATCATTTAATTTAATTAGCCCTTTCATGGTAACTGTGATACTGCTCCTTTGCAGGGCAAATTAATAACGCTTAGTGAAGTTTTTTAGGTAATAATTAAATGACATTTATTAAACAATTGTTGCTATGTCATATTTCACCAAACTATATTATCGTGAAACAGTCTATTATGGCATTAGAGATGGGACAATATACTGATACACCAATATATACCAATATTTCTTGCTAAGATATGGTTTACAATTCATGCATTGAAATATTGGTATGACAAGATACACAAACGACCTATTAAAAAATTGAAAATGAAAATAGTTGTCTTGGAAAAAAGGCAATGGGTAATGAAACTTTATGAAGCAAAGAGATGAATTTCAAATTGAAAATGTGCTTTATCACTAACAAGTCATAGATATGGGGGAAACATTTTCACTTTTTAGCATTCTCGGAAGACTGCACAAGTAAAGTTTACAAAAGCCAAGCAATCTGTAAGGCGTGTTATATACAGAAAATATCTTTTTCCACAACAAGGGATATTATTATTTATTAGTGCCCATCTGGCACTAACAGTTTTGAACAAAGCATAGATTCTCTAATTTTCATTAAAAAGAAATTTTAAAACAAATTGTTAATTTATTTGTAAACTCAACTTAGTTATAGACTTTCAGCAATTAATAATTATGTACATGTGGTACTGTTTTTGATGAATTTTTAGTCAATGATATTGATAAACTACATAATTATTTGAAAACTCAACTTATTTATAGACATTTGGCAATACGTACATATAATATTGTTTTTGTGAATTCTTAGTCAATGAAATTGATGAACTACTTGTATTAATTTCAAAGCACATATGATTTGATATAAATTTTGTGGATTTATCGTCTAGAAGACAAATAAAATACTAAGTTTATTATAGTTTTTCTAATATATCATAATATCGAAATATGTGCATCATATTAAATGTATCGAGATATGTATCGTATCACAAGACCTGTGTTACTTAAAAATAGATTTTAGTGTCTTCAGTTAATTATAGCCTTATACCAGAGAGCGATATACTTAGTATATAGGTCCCTGCTTATACATTTCACTTTTACCGACACCATTTTCCCTACAAAAACATTTTCATTTATCTTAATTTTTTTCATTAGATCTTACTTTATTTATGTCACCGGGTTCACAGGTGCGTGAAAGTCAGTCAATATATCTGGTCTCAGTAGCTCAGTGGTTAGAGTGCTGGCACGGTATGCCAGAGGCCCTGGGTTCGAGCACAGGAGTTCGCAATTTTATCAATAAAGTCAATAAAAATCACTCGATTGACCAAGCCATGAGCTATGCGTTAGCATAGCGAACAGGAATGCAACACGTTTTTGGAGAAATCAATCAATTTGCTGTTACCCACCACTTATTCAATACAGCTCGTCAGCATTCGTATCAAACAACATTTCTCTACTAAAATTTGCTTTCTAACCCTTCTCGAATGCTGTCAATACCCACTTTCTTCGATTTCGTGTAACATTCGTTTTACCAAGAAGCCATTGCATGATGTCACATCAAACCCGAACCCGACAGGTAATTATTCGATTGTCTTAAATAAAAAAAAAAAAATAAATACATTGTCAATTATTGTACATATTTTATTTTATAATTAAATTGAATAAATCATAATACTTAATATCCCCCAATTATTTTTTTATGGTGAGAAACCATGTCAAGTTGTTCAAAAACAAAGGGCGATAATTTCAGTTGCATGTGCGCGCAAATTGAAATATTGAGTAAGTAAAAAGAAATTCGTCGTGTCCCACAACTTTGTTGATATACTTTGGTAAGTTGGTGATAATACAAAGCAACAGGAAATAATTTAAAGTTTATTCTCTATCTTTTTTTAATTTAATAATTATCTTTCAGGTTCGGGTTTGATGTGACGTCACGCAATGGCTTCTCGGTAAAACGAATGTTTACGCGAAATCGAAGAAAGTGGGTATTGACAGCAATCGAGAAGGGTTAGAGAGCAAATTTTAGTAGAGAAATGTTTGATACGAATGCTGACGAGCTGTATTGAATAAGCGGTGGGTAACAACAAATTGATTGATTTCTCCAAAAACGTGTTGCATTCCTGTTCGCTATGCTAACGCATAGCTCATGGCTTGGTCAATCAAGTGATTTTTATTGACTTTATTGATAAAATTGCGAACTCCTGTGGTTCGAGTCCCGGTTGAGACTTGATTTTTCACCACCTGTGACATTTATTTTGCTATTAGTGTAAATTTATCTTCGACTATCATATCTAACGTTTATTATCTATGTTCAGAGACCAGAAATTAAATTTCGTCATTGATTCCATAATCTCTATTTTTTATAATGAAAAATAGCTCTAAATTACCATCACAATCACAATAACCTTCACTAATTTCATTGAATTCTAAATCCTTACATCAACGTTTTAGACGTATATGATTTAGGTCTGCTGCTGTATAAAATAATAAACAAAACTCAAAATTCCCGCTGCAACAGGAAGTAAAGCTCGAGTAATAATATATAAAACACTCCTGACAACTTCGAAAATTCCGGTATGTGCTAGCGGCATCTGACCTCAATTGTCCGCAAAATTAGCTATGATAATTGGGATTTTCTGAAACAGCTACATTATGATTTTTAACACTCTGATTTGTTTTTAAATAATGTTTACGAATAACAAGAGTAAAAGACTGTAAAGAAAATCCGCTGCTTTTTTAAACAAACAACATGGCAAATTAGAGGTAGAGAAATAATGTGACCTCTAGTCGAAGTCAGACATCTATTTCTAATATATAACTTTTGAAGATTTTTTCAACCATTGAATTATCTCTCTAATCAAAAAGAGGAATGCGGCAAATTTGCTATAGGCAAATGTGTACTCTGACGTAAATCACAATTTATCTGCCTTTGCGTTCATATTTCCTTTTTTCAATAGGTTTTTCAGGATGTTCTACAAAGGTAGCTTGTTATCTAATTGATTCCAAAATTGCCTATGTACACGGAAACTAATTGCAAGGGATAAATTTTCCTTATAATTCCAAGAAGATGGGCGAACAAGCCGAGAAAAATGCCTATAGTTCGACAATAATTAAGAAAGTGAAAAATAAAATTTCAATTAAAACACTATTTTCTTTGGTATGTCAACACAGATGTATACTTCATGTAAAATCCCCAGAATTTGAAACAGTCTCACAAGTATTAAAATTATTCGTCTGTGAAATAAAATGCACATACCAAAGAGGGCAAAAATCATTTAGTCATACTATAACTGAATTTTTCTGTATAAGTGAGTCTTCGCTCCATTTTTTGAAAGTATATCTTTAACGTATTGTGAGAATATATTTTTTTGTTTAACAAAAACATGGAGCACATGGAGCACTCTGCCTTAAAAATTCACTCTTATAACACAAAAATCGTATCTTTCCGAGCAATATTTAAAGTTCAGCTATTCAGAGGTCATATTACAAACAAGATTTAAATTCCGCTACTTCTTATGAGTTGTATGTCAGTATCTAAGAAAGAAAATTGTTGCTCGGGAGTTGTATTACTTGGGTTTAAATCTCAACAAATCTTTAAGGTCTGACGACACGTTCCTCAAATACCCGTTTTGTTTCTCTTCGTTATTATATAAAAATATTCACAATATTAACATTATCTTGTGATTTCTAAACCGTTTTCAAAATGTCTAAAAAAATAAATACGACAAAAATTGGGCCCAAAAATTGTGATATTGACCATTCAAGTTATTTCAAATAGAATAATAAAGGAAATATCACCCTCTGGTATCTTGCACAAATGCCTGGTAAGGTACCTCAACTTTTTGTGTAGAAACTTGTTAAAGTAGCAATACTTCAATCGACAAATTCTTGGGAAAAATTATATATTATTGAGGAACGTGTCGTCTGACCATAACTTTCTTTATATACCTTAGAAGAATTTTTGCCGAGAGAATTTTTCCACAGAAAAGTTTTGTTTTATACCATTAAGTATTTAGAACTTTGTTCTAAGTATTTAGTTCACAAATTGAATTTGATTTTTATACACATTTGAAGCTATAGGCCAGTCTAATTAAATTAGATCTTCCATCCGCTCCCCGGTTTTCTATGCGCCGCATGCGACATATAGAAAAGAGGACAGCGGGTGGAAGATCTAATTTTAATTAGATTGAGCTATAGACATTTTGCACGCCTTGTTCGTCCATCTTCTTTCGCATCAATGATATCAAAGTAAATTTTAAAAAAAAAATCAAACAATATCTATGTTCATATCCTTCTTCGTTATTTTCATTGTTTTAACAAAAAACGTATTCGAAAATATTGAATTACAAATGTTTGCATGAGAACTAATTGCAAATAACCAGAATATCAAACTTGATCATTGTGTAACAACACAAACTGCTGATGCATATATATGTATTTTATCACTTATTGAGAGAGAGAGAGAGAGAGAGAGAGAGAGAGAGAGAGAGAGAGAATAAGGAAGGAACAGTGATAGGGTGCACTTAAAAAACGTAACTGCATCTTTTGTATTGGCAGTTTGTTCAATAATGGTACTGATATATACAATGGGTCCTCAATCATAGACCATTGACCTGCATCAGTATACAAAAATAATCCTGACACCTTCAGGCCTAGTCCGAAATATCTGACGTTTTCCAGGCGTTTTTCACGGTTTTGTTTTCCTGTCACGTCAAATATTAAAATCGTGAAAAACGCCTGGAAAACGTCAGATATTTCGGACTACTTCAGACCAAACTCATCTGAACCATATCTCGATAAAAAAGAAAGAAAAGAAAAAAAAACCTTTGTTCTTACCACTAAAGTTAAGGTTGATAGAGGCCGACACTTCCCCTAATTTATTTTTGGCCACCACTTTGTACGTCCCAGCGTCCGCAGCAGTGACACCTAAAATGTCCATCATCACATTGTATTTGTTGCCCCCGGCGGGTTCCACGCGCATCTTAATCCTATTGGACTGCGAGATTGGTGATGTCCCTTGGAACCACTGAATATCCGGTTTAGGGGAAGCCTCCAGAGTACACTGAAACACCAGCTTTGCGCCATTATCCTCCTGTTTAAGAACTGGTTTCTGGGTGAAACGTGGTGCGATGTCGTCACCAACCCCCATTGTTGCCCACTTTTAACTAAAAGTAACAAAAATATATATTACAATTACATTTTAGTTAAACATTCATACATATAACCAACGACTTCCCGAGCTATTGGCTGATACGTTCGCACTATATACATACATCTGCCTCCTCCACAGAATTTGAGCCGGTTTGCAAAGAACAACTATCAGAATAAATGCATTGCTAGGGACCGCAGTACCCCCTGGGGTTAACCAAATACCAGTAAGTCACATGTGCATAGTATAATCAGCTACACGTGTTAATGAAGGATGCTAATTAATTGCGCGTGCAGTGGACACCAGACAAGAAAAAAAATCAACTGAAGTGGTTATCACCCCCATTTAGATATGATCCGAACCCCCCACCCCCACCCACCCCCTATCCCTTTCACACACCACATACACCCCAAGGGCTAGGGATTAAATAATGAAAAATAATTTCCCTTCATACAGAGAACCATTTAGGATTCTTGCCGACCTGATTTGCTTCTATATTTCAATGTTTTCTGTTACATGCCAAGGGGATTACCAAAATCCGAAGTTAATTTCAAAACAGATAGACAGATTTAACACCCCTCTCTAATTTAGGTGCTATTAACTCTGTACAGTCTGACGTTTATAACGATTTAGTCTGTAGGTTCACTACAAAAGTTAAAAATGAAAAGTTTTTTTCTCTTTTTTTTTGTGGAGAAAATTCTAAAAATGTGAACACCAACTCCAAGTTTAAAACTACCAAACAACATATCAAAAGTACATATTTAAAACCCTGCATTAAGAACAATTACATTGATTTTTAATACACTTTAAAATGATGATTAATTAACATAATTACACAAATTCTAGGTGAAAATATCATTGCAAAAGTTGATTTAATCAATAAAACAAAGCTTGCACACAAGATACTAGTAATGTTCCAATGTCTTCGGATTAATTCAACAGGTACATTTGATGGTAGGGTTGTGAGAAACAAAATCTATTGCCGAATTACGATTGCTTAAAAAGAAATCAAATTGTCATTCATTTTAACACCAATATCTGGCTCACACAACTCACCTAACCGTTTAAAACCGCATTTCCCAAATCTAAGAGAAAATATGCAATTAAACGATCAAAATGGCTTGACTCCACCAGTATGTAATTTTCCCAATCGTGCAGATGTTAGAGGGAAGACCTCGAGAACATAAACGAACGATCTTCGTCTAACATGCACTCGGTTCCAATCAGCACAAGCATAAACATCTAGAATATTAAATTGCTAAAAATGTAAATTAGTGTTGTTCTATCCACGGGGTGTATGTTTTCCGGTTTCCAGCCACAATCTGATAAATAATTTGATCTCTCGCTGCAAATGAGATACCGCCTGCTCAGTAATGTTTATTTTTCAACTAATTTTCTTTAATTTGTAAACAACCAAAATTGCCAGCACGCAATGGACTAAATACAGTTGTGTCGTTCTAACAGAGATTAAAGACTTTTTGTAAGATTGGTGATTTAACCCGGTTCCAATGTCGCATTACTGTATGTTTTCATCATACGACCATATTATTTTATAGCTGAAAAATTACGAAATACCAACAATAAAATGCAAGAATCAATATAGAAAATAAAATAAAAAACTATGTATATTGTTTCAGAGGCTCGAAAAAGATCACTTTCTTTAAATTCATAATTCAGGCTCAATGAATATTATTATAAATGACCTCAGAGAGAATTCTCCATATTTTTAGCACTCGGGATAAATCTAAATAGAATATGTTAGAATAAAAGTGTATCAATTTAAAAGCATTGTAAAAAGTGCTTGCATTGCAGATTGTTTCATTTGCGCATCGTCGTCTGCTCCGATGCTTTGCCTCATATATACTTTGCAATTGTGCTATAATATTTCGTTTGTAAGATCTTTTCTTGGCTCCCATAGATAGCAGCTAAACTTTCCAGAAAGCTAAAGAAAAACGAATGCGAGATTGATGGCGCACGCGCTGGTCGTCTGCCAAGCATATGCAGAAATCTGTCATTGTTTCCCTTCCTTCGTGAAAAGAAATATGGACAAAAAACAAAACATTTGGTAAATTAAAATTTTCCTGTTTGCAAGTACACAAGAAATCTAATTCTGAAGGGGAAAAAATGTAATTGCCAAATTCTAATCCAAACTCAAAGAACCAATACATTTTCCAGAAATCTCCTGCTATGAGCGTATTATGTACAGAGAAATGCACTGCTGTTGCCCTCTTTGTGCACATTTTATCTTAACAAAATTTCGAGTATAATTTTCCCGTTTATTAGAATACAAAATCCGTCAGCAGCGATTATCTACATTTCCTTCCATAATATATGTATCATAAGAAATATAGAAATTTTATTTCAAATTCCTTCACATTAGCTTTAAGATCAAAGAGCATACTAATTGAAGTAACAATTATCTGGGAACATGTCCAAACGATATTATTAAGAATTGATCCTATGTAAATTACTTTAATCTAGAGTCCGAAAGTATGCAATGTATTTTTTGTTCTTCTCAGCACAAACTGCAATTTCATTTACCTGCCTGGGAATAAGCTGATGAAGAAACAGGTCTAATATACTCAAAGGTATCCAGCAGAGACATCAGTCATTGTCAGGTTTAATTAACTACAGAGATTTGCCAAGGAAACTGCTGTTCTTGTCTTTCTAGGAAATCATAACCTTGAGAGAGAGAGAGAGAGAGAGAGAGAGAGAGCTTTTTTACTTTCAAGGCAATCTTTCTCTCGGCGTTTAAATCTTGCAAGAAATTTCTGTTTTATCAAAGAATGCACGATTCCAATCATAAACGGTTTTGACAAAAAGAAATACAACGCTTTCCCGTGTTCTGACAAACTGATCGGGATCACTGAAGATCTGCACTCAAGTCAAACATCACTTGTAAACTTAAGGATAACTGTACCAGACAAGATAAATAAATAAAACTGAACAAAAACCAACCCCCGCCTTGATACATTTAGGTTTCTTGTAGGCAGGGCCTGTATTGTAAGTGCTGGCCTGCAGTCAAGTAAGACTTTTGATGAACATGCAGTGATAAAATGAAGACAATAAAGGAAATTTAATATTTGATACATCTACCTAGTCCTATCACACATACAGAGAGAGAGAGAGAGAGAGAGAGAGAGAGAGAGAGAGAGTAAATGAATGTCTTCCATATAGGATGAATAATATAGCATATCTTAAATATTCTTCTTTTGAACACAAGGGAGCAAAATATTATAATACTCTCTCGAATAACCTTTACTCAACTGTCTCTTTACTTAATTGCCAACTCTCGTGATATTTCAGGTATATATAATCTTAATGATATGTTGTTATATAAGATTTAGGTATGAGGAATCAACCCGATACTACGCATAAAGCACATTGCTCCGGAGTGATAACAGATATTGTTGATTTGATCTGATAACTTGTATTTCATTATTCACGGGTCAATCACCTACGTCTAATTACTTCCACTTTGGCATATTCACAGAATATCTGTATACATCATACAAAGTGACAAATTACAGACAATGATCTCATAAAACTATCATTTCTTGATAATTTTCAGGAAGTGATGATGTAGCCATTGGCTCAGTGGTTAAGGTTGATCAACTTTGTAGTTCGAATTAGGGAAGAGTTCCACTTATATACAGGTGGCAATGGTTTACCTAAAAAGCTAATTGGATATTTAAGTTTGTCTACAGCAAGGAACAATTAAAAGCTACCTTCCATCTTAAAGCCGAATTAGGCATATAAAGTGTTGAAATATACTCGCATTTCTCTTGGATTTTCTTTAAGATATCAAATATATGATGGAAATTTATTTGCAATGATGGCAATGATATCTTTTTGATAGATAATATGCAAAACAATCAATTACTGCAAAACGTTTTTATCACAAATTTACTGAGGAAATTTAAACTCATTCTATTTCAAGTATAAGGGTAATGTAGTAGAGTACAACACTTACAAAACAACTACAAAGTCATTGCGTAATATGCTTACGGTAAGGCAATATATGTATAAGCACTTAAGTTCAGCTTAATTTGACGTTACACTCAACAGAGGAAATTCTGGTGCGCCCATAGACTTAGACAGAGAAATATTGCAAATAAAGATAAACATGATTGTTTTTGTGCATTCCATATCGATGTCTAACATAAAACCAAACGCCAAGTTTGTTACGCTTCCCTGCAGGAGAAAAGGTATTTTGAATTTTTTGGACAGGGCGCAGCACTTTATAACAGTGAGTTTGCATCGTGTTGCAGAATGATAAATTTCAAATGATTTAAAGGAAAAAAAAAGTTTCATTTACATGAACAATTATTCATGATGATTATTAAATCACTCCCTAACATTTGATTAGTTTGAATTATTTCCATGACAACCAATTAAATCCCATCTCTGGAATTGAAAAAAAAAGAAGTTTTATTTGTTTTAGTTTGTTATCAAGAACACATGCATAATGAGTAAAAGCATTTTCGTTGAAGAAACTGCGAGGTTTACCTGTTTGTTGTGTTTATCTAACGCTTCCGCTCTGAAAATGAACTCCAGTAGCAGACGATACCACTGTTTTCTGTTTTAACGTATAAGGTACTTGGACACAAGTGATTGGATAGCACTGCATTCACTGATTAATAAGCAAAAATTAGTGACATTTCACAATCATAAGAGAACGTACTTCTAGAACTTACCAATATCCAACTAGTGAAATTATTCCATAGACTGAAAAAGAAACCTGCATTAAAAGAGAGAACTAAAGAAGAGGCGATAGTCGTAATCTCAGACGGCAGCCATGAGGCTTTCAGAGTGGAAGTAGATATTACAAGTATGCAAAAAATCCCATTTTTTCTCGAAGAAATCTAATATCACCAGCAACGGTTCCCATATTTGTATTAGCCAATCAGAGTGGGTGTCACTTCTAATCACGGCACGCGTGAGGGGCTGGGCTAGACAAAATTACGGTTTGCGTAATGAGTAACTGGCAATACATTGATATTATCTAGAAAGTAGGTTGAGAGTAGCTGTGCTTTTTTCGCTTGAAGTACGTGTATATCTATTATATGCATCAACTCTTGTCGGTGACTCTTTACGCAACAGTTCGTGATGGTGGTAGTTAGAAATAATATTTGGGGTATCAACACTTCTTCTCAAGCCTAAGCAAACACTAATCGAATTTTCATCATTCTTGCATCGTTTCTGCAAACCCTGAATAATGCTGATAACATTCGTGAGGAAAAACATACTTCAGATGGAGAAAAAATTGACGAATTGCATTATAGGAAGGTTTTTTTTCTTAGGGAAAAGTAAAACCAGAGCACAGCAGATTTTGGTATAAAGTTTGTGACTGCTGTCATTTTTACACCAGTATTGATAGCACTTTGGAATGACATGCTTGTCTCTTGTCCAATCAGATCTAAGAACACTATATTATTGTGGTTTTTGAAAATTTAATACAAGGAAAATTGATATGGACGTAAAAATACAATAAATTATACAAGTATAGGTCTTTCATGTAAAATAATATATGCATGTATGTTATTTTGTGTAAAATGGATGGATGTTTTCATTAAACCACAGTGGCTTTGGTGCCGACTTCAGCAGAAAAATAATATACTTCTATCAAGCTACCTGTTTGTGAGTACGTATAAGAGTGTTTGAATGACGATTCTTTCAGGTGCATGACTATGTCAATCAGACAGACATACACTAGGATAAAGAAAAAGGTGACGTTATATATAAGTTAATTTTAAAATTAGCAATATACCCATTTACTACTTCCAAGAGGATACACATGTGCTTATAATTTTATTCCGTGCAAGATTTCATGGCTCAATTAATTATGCACTAAATAAACAGTGTTTGTTTTTAAATTATTGAGTGGTTTGAAACAGTATTTTTTATCACCATCCTTGGTGTTCTTGCCTCTGACAGACTGACACTGACGTATTTAACAGTGTGAGCAATAATAGGTTTATACAGACTCGTTGACCCTCCCGTCACAGCATGCCGGTGTTGTTATCATCCTGTATACCCCAGACAGTATTGTTGTTGCCTGTTGTTGTTGGCTTACGTCTTCAATCTTGTTCACTGATTTTTGTAGCACTGGTCAATGTTACTGTCACCTTTCCGTGTAAAAGTTCAGCCGTTACAATTGCTTCAGTTCAGTTCTTTATTTCGTGGGACAAACATCCCGCATGCAGGTTTGAGGTATCCGATCCATAAACGGACCTAATTTTCTAACCTTATATATCCATCTTGTATTAAATAGTTGGAAATTAATTCAAAGCATTTTAGAGTAGAAAGGATTTACCAGGAGAATTTTTCAAAAATATAATTACCTAAGCAGTAATTAATTAATGAAGAATGCATTGAGGGCTATTGGGACAAGCAAATTTTTGAAAATAAAAAATTAAATACTAAGAATATAAAAAAAAATGCTGTGGTGGAAAGATGTATTTAATTATTAGGAATAGAAAAATGATTGAAAACTAATTTTTTACTGGATAGATTTTTTTTAGAATTGATTTTTATTGATTAAAAGCAAAGGAGGACAACTCTTCAAGGACAAGACAAGGTCAAAAATTAGGACACATTCCGCTCTTACATACTAATACTAAAACATGAAGATTATGTCTACATATACTGATTATTCAGCCAATATATATCTGTTATGCATTCAAATTCATTGAATATGAGGCTATTATGGGTCGGATACCTTAACAATGCATATACAGGTATATCAAACAATAACATGCATAATATATCAACAAAATAAGACATTGATTTTTTAAAAACACTAGTCGTATTTTGATAGTAATGAATAAACATTTTCCTAAAACTTTTTTAGCATTTTGTACTATAGAACAATTATATTGCTTTCAAGACGCTTGGTCTTCGTGAGAAATAATGTTGAATATACAGTGTTCTTATCTCTTAATTCGAGAAAACTGATCAGATTAGTAAAATAAGATATACATCTTCGATAAGCAAAGATCTAAGCTGGAAAAGCCAATTTTGAAGTTGGAATTACCACTAATACGCTTCCGTAGATATCATTTAAGTTGTTAAGTTATCATACCTTCCGGTCTCAATCTTTAAGTCATGTGACGATAACCTAAAATTTGTGGTAGCTTTAATATATATTCTTGAAAACCCCTTACGAACAATTGTTTATGGTGTTCCACATATTTTAGTTATAATTTTCTGTTTAATAATATCGTACATTTTATATGTTAAATATTACGTAAAATAATAATTGTCTGATTAAAATACGATATAAGTCAGACCTAGAGTATACTAGTACATGTATTTGTAATACTCGTAATTTAGGTACCATTGTTGTCCATCATATCTTGATATCATGTCCTCAATATAAAGTAGGTTCTTTTTCTTATTTTTAACCTACATTGAAATATTTTGAGCTTCTTAGATATTCAACCTATCCATAATACCCTTTCTTCTTCAGTTGCACCGTAGCATAACACGCTTTTAACATAGTACCAAATACATTAATCAAATACATTAATATGGTTGTCAACATTTAAATCTTTCATTTTGCTATGGACACAAAACATCGCGTTATTACCATGTGTTACACAATGCTTCGACGCTTAGATAAAAAAAAATTATGAAATAATTAAATAACTTCCCTAAATAATCCAATTGATCAACCACATACGTCAGCGAAAAAAATAAAACATTTGCAGTTCAATTAATGTGCAATCACTTTTTTTAAACAAAAAAATGTCTTTCAAAGTCATTAAGATGCATGGAAAATAACACAGAAAACATTATTTCTCCTTGTGGAACACCAGCTAAAATACAAAATATGTCTGTCAATATTGATTGATGTTGCTTAAATTTTTACAAAGTGACTGAATACATGTACATGTGTAATATCTGTTAGTGCTTAGATGAAATGCCTTTGTACATGTACGTATATTCAACAAAGCAACAGCACAGTCTTTTTATTTTTGTTTCTCAAAGTTATGCTTATCAAATTTCGAAGGACAGATACATGTAGCGTTAATTGTATTTCAACAACTTACTGAAATTATACCTTGTATTTCACCCTTTTAACAAGAATTGGCAAAAAAAAAAACCCCCTTACCAAATATTTGGATACTCAGTATTTACCAGAATCAAAGTTATTGTTAATAATCTATATTAATTCAAACTCTGATATCTTTGGCAGTAGTCAACTAATTTTTTCGAATATGATTTATTTGTGGTGTCCAGTAGATGTGCAATATTACTTTGGAATTTTCAGTTTCGGGATTAGGGGCCGAAAAACAACGTTTATCACAAAAACTAGGTTTCAAGAACTCCTCTTACAATTTATGCAATATAGCCAAATCATCATTTTATATATGTTAACTGATGTGCTGTAGATGTGCAATAAGGTTTGTAATTCTCTCCAGTACTCAGTATATGAACGTAGTATTTTTAAAATTCGTTTTTATGACGAAAATGGTACATGATTTTTTTAAATCATCATGCAGTTTGAAAATCAAAAATAGTATCTATGTTTGTGTTAGTCAATAGACTTTCCATGATACTCGTGCCATTTGCATTATAAAACCTGATACTACAATTACAATCTTCTCTTTTCCTACCATTTGCAATTCGTAATCCTATTGTTCTATACAAACTGATCAACTTTTTAAAATTATTAATTTCATATCCAAATTATATCTACAGGGTTTTTTTTAAACAGTATCATACAATGTGGTCTATGATTGATTGTTTGTTGTTTTACGTCCCATTCGAAAAATTTTCATTCATATAGAGACGTCACCATATACCGGTGAAGAACTTCAAATTTAGACCTATACTCGGCACTCAGGGCCATTGAACAGTGAGGGTTCTTTATCGTGCCAAAGCCTACCGTGACACGGGACTCGATTTTTAAGGTCTCATCCGAAAAACCGCAAAGGCATTTGCTTTCCACTTCTTATGCCGGGCGCTTGGCGAAGGAACAGTCACAGCCGGGCGGCTCAAAACAGTATCTACCTACGTCTTAGGTTTGACGTGGCGCGGCGAACGAGAATTGAACTCTGGTGTTTCGTAAGATCGCCCTTGTGCTTTCACTGGCTACGCGTATGTTTCCATAGGTTACGTATATGTGCCCATACGGCACGTGTGTTTTCGTGGGTCAGGCGTAGGCATAATGCGGTTCTGTGGTCTCTAACTGCTGTCGAATCTCCTGTGTTTGCGTTCCATTGTGAGGTGTACTGATTTCTTGGTTTTGCATTCGATTTTTTGCTTCTATTGCGTATGTATTTTCCCGTTTACATATAGACAATCTTTGACCAGCCTCCGTGTTCTACAGGTATTTCCTTGCTTTCTCATATCTTTCGTCATCGGGAATATAGCTATTTCCTGCATGCATTATTCAAAATCTGTTCGTATATTCCAAATACTGTTCCTTTTCATCGCTTTACTCTTTATTTGGAATGCATGTGATCGTTCACTTTTCAATTGTAAAAAATAAAAAATTCTGCCACGATTGCCCTGTTTTGATAAAATTGTCCAGAACAGTTTCCATATTGCAGTTGTCAGTGAATCCCTAGTTCAAAATAGAAGAATTCTTGCAATTTATTCTCCTAGGCATATTATAGTAAAATTTGTTTTTCCGTAGAGCATATTGAAGTTCAACAACCGAGTCCTTGAGTTGTCAATTGAAATATCTTCTTTTTTTAAATTTGTAATGATCTTACATCTCTCCTTACTTCTTCAAAGAGCTCCTTTTGGTATTTTTCCATATTCAACATGCTGGCTCTCATTTCTTGAATATCTTTTTGAAAATCGTCTACCTTTTAGACACGTGTACAACACACCTATCT